TCTGCAGCTGTGCGGAGTGGTAGTTTTGCTCATGAGCAGCCCTCAGCACCTGCACCAACACTCAACAGCCGAGGCCGCAAAATACTTCAGCCACGCAAGTTTTGGTAGCAGATTTTGTTGTATAGGTCTATAGATCACTCCACCAAAAAAATCTAGTTGCGATAGCCTTTGTGTGTGGCTGTAGAGCCTCATTTTTCTATGGGTGGTGTAAGTGTTGATGGTGCGCGTTGCGGCGCATGCGCATTGCGAGCACGGACACGGTAGTGAGAGATCAACTATGGGTCAGTGTCTGAGTCGCAGAGTGTCCCTGAAGGTGCAACATTCAAACGATCAAGCTATCCCCCTGAACATCGGTCCACGAGGTAAGTACAGTCTACAGGCTACCATACCTTCAACAAAGCTGACAAATGTAGTGTCACGGCGCATGCCCAAGGTCTGCACCAAAGTGGAGACGTTGCGATACATCATGTCGACGCCGTGACACCGCCCGCAATGATGTACAACTCTACATATCAAGAAAATTACTCGAATCACGCTCACGACTCAAACCACTCGACGAGGTCCACCACTGTTACTTAAACGTCCAAAGCTCTCGATACCTCTCAATCCTGCTCATCAATGTAAACTCCGTGCCAACAAGAACCATTTATTGACGAGTCTGACATATATGTAGTTGTTATGTGCACAGTAAGTTCCACCCAAGGAGAACATTAACCGGTAAGCTCGAAGCAAGCAAATCGGAAGGCAGGGAATTGCGGGTACAGATGCGGCAAGCATAACCGGCCGAGTAACGAGGCTAGCACCTGCATGGTCGACAAATAACCTACATCGCACATCGGATACTTTCTGTTACCTGCTTCTAGAACCTCCGTTAACAATTACCGGTCATCAAAAGCGGAATTTGCTCGGCGGAGTCACAAGCATGATGGCAGACTCCATTTAGCCTTTCCCATTGTGGTCAAAGGTCCTTTGTAATCCAGTGTTCTGTGGAAGGAACTTGGATGTCACGCAGATCATCAGGTGCCACGGTCAGGGCCGCTGTTCATCCGACACTATGTATAAATGGGGTACGGTCAACCACAGTACCCCTTCGCGGCGCCCATTGTCTCCGAACACGCCCTAGATATCATGGTGCTCAAGAGCCAGCTGCTATTGCTCCTTCCCTCTCCTGTTCTTTCTGCGCTTATCGCCCCTACCGCATCGAACTGTACAGCTAGCGCGCTCCTCACGCCGAGCATTCCTGGAGCCTCCATCCTGATTGTCGATGCCTATGAATCGACACTTGAGTCCACGGCTATCAGCTTCTGTAATGTTACACTCACCTACACGCATCCGGGCCAGAACGACCTTGTCAAAGTCTGGCTTGGGCTTCCCAGCACTTGGAATGGAAGGTTCGAAGGCGTAGGAGGCGGCGGCTGGGTCACTGGGTTCCCGTCTGAGATGGTCCCAGCCATCTCGCAAGGCTACGCGGCTGTCTCAACAGATGGAGGTCACGATGCTCTTAGCCAGGCGACTGACTCGTGGGCGCTCCTGAGCCCTGGCAACGTCAACTTGTATGCCCTGCAAAACTTCGCTTCTGTAGCGCTCAATGATATGACTGTTCTTGGCAAGCAACTGACAGAGGCCTACTATGGCAAGGCTATCACGAAATCATACTGGTCCGGCTGTTCCACTGGAGGTCGGCAAGGTCTCATGATGGCACAAAGGTACCCGGACGCTTATGATGGTATCCTGGCACAGGCACCAGGCGTCAGTTGGGCTGAGTTCATTCCCACTATGTTCTGGCCTCAGTGGATCATGCACGAGATTGGGTACTTTCCACCTCAGTGTGAGCTCGATACCATCACTGCTGCAGCTACGAGCGCTTGCGACGAACTTGATGGACTCAAGGATGATGTTATTGGTCTGACCGGCCTGTGCACCTTCGATCCCAGTACTGTTGTTGGCCAGCCGTACGCCTGCAGCAACGTAACAGGGACCATCTCGAAAGAGGCCGCGGAAATCGCGAAGCTCACCTGGACAGGTGCCACGAATGCGGTGGGGAAACTGCAATGGCCTGGTATTGCTCCGGGCTCCCCTTTTAGCGGGATAGCAGGTACCACGTGCGACTCGAGTGGCGGCAACTGCACTGGATTACCGTTCGCGATTACGACAGAATGGCACCGACTCTTCATCCAGAAGAACCCCGGCTTCGACCCATACAACTATACCCAAACTGGATGGGACGCAGCCTTCCATGCTTCAATACAAGAGTACACATCAATCATCGGCACCAGCGATCCTGACCTATCTGAATTTAAGAGCTCGGGAGGAAAGATGATCACGTGGCATGGTATGGCCGACCAGTTGATCCCCTTCAACGGCACTGTCAGTTACTACGAGCATGTACTCAGCTTGGATGCAAATGCGACTGATTTTTATCGCTTTTATTCAGCGCCAGGCGTCGAGCATTGCAGGGGAGGTGCGGGTGCTGCGCCAACTGATCCTCTGGCTGCACTGGTCTCTTGGGTGGAGGATGATGAAGTACCGCAGACGTTGGCTGCGAGTCGCACAGTGAATGGGACGATCTGGAAGCAGGAGTTGTGCTTGTACCCGCTGTCGTCCATTTATAAGGGCGGCGATCCGGCGGTGGCATCTTCGTACCAATGCGAGTAGGGCCACTTTGAGAAGAAGTGTGGATCATAATGATTAGGCAACGAAAGCTTTCACCGAAAATGCTACATAACGTATTCGTATATAACAACCGCCGTAGAAGTCGTGCGGTCCTATAAGATGTAGAAGGAACAAACCTGAACCCATCTTTTACTGCAAGGAATTATGTACATGGTCTATTCGGGTCTATAAAAGAGCGCTGATATCTACTGGACATCCCCAGAGGTAACTGTACACACGCGAAATCAATTGCCAAGATGGCTTCTTCTTGCCGAGATGGGGCTTCTTTGGTTGAATTCCATCTCTTCATCAGATCCTTCGTCGTTCCTGTCGTCGCGAATCCTTGTAAGTGCTTCATTAGGCAGGAAGACTGGCCATCGGCTCCTGTAGTTTTCTGGAAAACCTTTTCGACTCCACTGAACCAACCACTTCAGTTCTGTCAAGCCGTGACTTACATGGCCAGCGGTGTTTGTAGAAGACCTGATCGGGCTGTTCGAGAGCCAAGTCCCTCGTTTCCGGGACAAAGAGCAGTATCATCCACCACCCAATAATACACCAGGCGGCATACCATGCAAAGGCCCCAACCGTCGTCATTCCCTTATTACTGCTGAAGACTGGCCAGGTCATGGAAACGAAGAAGTTGAAAGCCCAGTTGATGAACCCTTATCCCATCTTTGAAACATACTCTTGCCTACAGTATGAACTGCCAATCTTGCACCTCGTTGGCTGCTGCCAGCCCCATTGCTTCCACATTCTATCTTGCTGCCTCCAAACGGCTTTCCGAAGCTTGTGCCTCTGCGTCAGCCTCGTCATCAGCCTCAAGCCCAGTGGCTGAGCAGCAATCTCATGCCTGGCCCAAGGGCAATCTTGGTGTTGTTGGCAAGCAGTCTGAGGTAGATTTTAAGCATGTTTACCTCAACGCTAAGAGGCTTTTGTTGCGGTATTGGTTGGTCTGTACAAGGTCTGACTGTCCGCCCGACAGACTAGTCTCGTGTGTAACAGGTCACTGGCTTGAGGTCAGGTATAGGTTCGTCATCTCCCAGCCAGATAGCAATTTAGCGCAGTATTCCATCGACCCGATAGTCATACGTTATCGTTTACTGTAGCTATCAGTATACCACAGCGGCCCACGCCACAACGCTTTTGACAGCACGTTTGGGTTACAAAGTGAGGCACAACAGTGCGCTGAAGGGCAATAGGGAGCCCTCGCCAATCTGGCAGTACGGTGTGGAGTTGGAGTACCTGGATGACAACATGCAAGCAATAAAGCTCCGGCTTTGCAAGCAGTGCCATCTCAATCGCAAGATCAATGATGCCAAAGCTATATGTGGCACTCGCCATATTGTTGAGCACTTGATCAAGACTCACCGCATTGATCCATATACAAGCCTGCTGCCAGAGACCCCATCTTGTCCATCCTTCTTGTCACCATTTGAAGCTGCAAAGGTAGCAGGCAGTGGCAGTGTAATATCTTACTCTCCATGGTAGGAGGAGACTTCACAGAGCACCTTGGTCAACTGGGTGATCTTGAAGGACGTGAGCTTTTTGAATGCAGTGTCATCAGAGTTACATGGAATACTTACATGAACCGGAAGAGCCTGCTCAATTCAGTGAGTACAATGAGCAAGTACATTGTCAGCACTCTGGAAGAAAGAAAAGAGGAAATTAGGAAGCTTTTGCTGGCCACAAAGAACAAGATCAGTGTCAGTGTTGATGTGGGGACCTTATGCAACCATCTTAGCTTCCTTGGTGTTGTTGCCCATTTCATTGACAAGTCAGAATAAGCTCAACACTAGTCCTCATTGCCTGCTGTACAGGGAAGCTGATGATAAGATCCTAGATGCAGAGTTCAAACAGAGGGGATATATTGATCTGCTTCAACTACCTCTATGAAGACCATACTGGGGCTGCCCAATTGCTCTTTGTACTCGACACTTTTGATTCCTATGAGATTTCTCAAAGGTTCCACTGCTTTGTGGGCAATAATGCAACCAGCAATGATGGCGAATCCATTAGGGGCCTCAATCAACATCCTGACATCATCATCACGGCAGACCACCGCATACGCTGTGCTGACCATATAATCAACCTTGCGGTCAAAGCTACAATATACGAGCATGGATTGAGCAAAGGGAGAGGGAGCTTGGTGTTGTAGGCAAGATGCACAACTTTGTCAATGCAGTGTGTGCATCCCACAAGCGCGCCACAAGCTGTTCAAAAGTGTACAGAAAGAGGCAGTTAATGAGGACGACCCTCTATATACTTTCAATACTCTGCAACTTTGTCAAGATGGCCGTGTCCACTGGCATTCATTTTATCTTATGATGCTGTGCTGCCTCAAGCTGAAGGATTGCATCCAAAAGTTCATCTGACTTCTCTGTAATAACAACAAGATGGCTTCTGATAACTTCAACTATAGTCCGCTCACTAATGCCCTCACCAATGAGGTCGGTCTCCATCTACTTACAAACGCAAAGAGCAAACGGCAGAAGCAAGTAAGCCAGCTTGACGTGTACTTTGATTCTTTGATCAAAAACAAGCTACAAGCATTAGAACATTCCTGCAACAGTACCTACTGCTACGAGCAGTATTTTGCTCCCAAATCATTCCCACAGTAAGTAGTTCACCTACTTTTAGGCAGTATCCTAGCTAACCAAGCCAATCAGCAGCAGTACTACTTCCTGTTGGAAACGTTGCGCTCCAGGCGGCATACGGCGATGTCTGACCTTTGGTCTCATAATAATTTGACTGTTGGCGTAGGATATGGCAAAGATACCTACCGAGAGACTTTTCTCGCGCTATCACTCAATTGAAAACAGTCTTTTGCCCCTATAACAAGGTGGTTTTCTCACCAAGTGCTACTAAGTACTAGGAAGTGCTACTAAGTACTAGGAAGTGCTACTAAGTCCCGTTCGGCGGCTGCTCATATCTTCGCCCCTCAACCGTCGTCGTCAGCGTCCCATTCGCTTCGAGGATATTCGTCATTGCATCGATCTTCAGATGCAACCCGCCCGGACCTGTTGTCTTCGTGCCGGTTACCACTCCATCTCGCGTTTGTACAAGATTTGAGTACCATCTCAATGTGTTCTCCCAGACCTTGGGAGGCGTGATAGAGACTGTGACATCCTCGTAGCCATTTAGAACGCAGTCCCCGTCATCGGAGTAGTCAGTATAGATGACTGCAATGCGATCGATGTGCTCGTCGCCAAAGAAGTGGATCTGTGCGTGCCCAGATACTTTGCTATTGAGCGTGTAAGTACCCGGTTCGACGACAAGCGGAGACGTCGGAACCTCGCCCGGTATAAACTTCGTCGCCCACGGCAAATAGTCAGGAACCTTATACACCATCTTCGGCACAACCGGCTCCCGACTCTCCAGCTTCGCAAGCATAACACGATACTGCCTCCCGCCCTGTGCTGTCGACTCAGGGCACTTCAGCATATTCTCACCCCCACAAGCCGGCGCGCTTACAAGAGCTTGCCAGTACACAATCTTCGTCCCGTCGGGCGAAAACGCTGGATCCGCGCGCCCATTCCAGTTTACATCGTCAACAGCACCGCTTGTCCCGTTACCGGCGGCGTTGACCTGTTGTCCGAAGTAATTTCCGCGGTCACCGTGCCGGTCGAGGAGAACGGGCTGGAAGAAGCGGCGCGCGCCATTGTTTCTCGTACTCGCCGCCGCCGTAACAGCTACCACATCGATGAGAGGCGGTATACCTCGGAGACCGGCCATCCACATCTGCCGATCGCTTCCGCGCGTGTCCATCGTGACGAACCACTCGTCGTCTGCCGAGAAGGAGATCGGGTCCGCGTACTCGGGATGGCTCGTCAGACGCCGCACAACCCCCGTCTGCACATGTACGGCGTAGAGATCGATGTTCGTGGACTCCGAAGGGTAGCCGATGTACGTTATCTCGTCGCCCGAGCCGCTGAAGCCGCGGAGTTCGCCGACTGTGATGGCGTCGCGGTGGATGGTGAGGTGGGTCCCGTTTGTGCTGAGGGGAGTCGCGCGTGTAGGATCTACGAGGAGATTTACGTTGACTAGGTCGTAACGGGGAACGAGGGGCTCGGAGGTTGGCAAGGCGTTGAAGGAGAGACGACCAAAGTATGCGAATTGGCCGCCAGCGGTGAAGGAACTCCAGCCGATGTGCGTGTCATCTGGGTGAACGCGCAGCTCTCGCGGAGTGCTGTTGGTGCCTGGCCAGTGGATTGGGTAGATGTGGATATGGTCGGGCGTGCAGGCTGAACTGCTCAGTTGCTCGCCATCGCAGTCGAGAATATTGTGACCCCAGATTGCTTTTGTGCCGCGGCGAAAGACGTGTGGGTAATCTCGTTCGGGCTGCAGCTCTCGAGCGTTTTCAGCTGGCACACCGCAACTGAGGCATTTCCACGTATCGCCGTTCGTGAAGTTGGTCCCGTCCGCTTTGATGAGGATCAACTGCTCACCGGTGTAGATGCTTGCTGGATCCGGGGAAGCTGGAGCACCAACAAACTCGACATTCACAACGACGTGCGTTCCGTCTGGGGTGAAATCTCCAGATTGGAACTTTTGCCTCTGTAGGTCGCGTGCAATGCAGCCTGTCCTGCGTGGGTTGATGTCGATGGAACATGACCCGGGGTTACGAGTGGGAGCGACTGGTGGCAAGGATAGCTCGAGGACTTCGATAGGCTCTGGTGATGGTGAGGATGGTATGTAGTCCTGATCTTGCCCAGAACGATAGGTGTTTGGAGTATCTGTTTGTTGCTGGACTAAACCAGGGTTTCCCGGGACTGTGACGGATGCCACGATTTGAACCGCTAGAGCGATCGCAAGAAAATACATGATGGCGTTTGACGGCTGACTTGAATTCAGCTGAGGTTTTTGAAGAATAATGGGAGGGCGGTTATGTGTTTTGCTCAGTTCAGGTTCCTTGGAAGACGGGATGGCGTAAAGCAGATGAACCTTGCCCGCGCGACGTCAAGAACAATATGAGGTTACATTTAACGTTACAACATAGATATTTTGGTACGGAGCAGGTCGTTTTGTGCGATGGAGGTGATACTACGGAATGGAACGGTGTATCTTGAGGAACAAGTGCTTCATACCGAGAGAACACTAGAGATGCTAGTGTCCTAATGTGGCTTAGTCAACCAATCGTATAGCGTATTGCGTCCGCCGTATACCAAATTCTTGGAATACGGCATGGGTACACTGACGACTTCTTGACATGTTGAATTTGGCATTTCGCTACAGTTCGTAGCACAGTGGAATACTGGACCCCTCCAGTACACTGATGATCTATTATTGCGGGAAAAGCTAGAAATCGTTACATCGGTTGGTTGCTTAAGAACTGCGACAAAAGTTTTCTTGTGACTAAGTAGTTCCACTTGACTCGAGTCCCGACTTGGTCTCAAATGTGAATCCAGCTGCGCCTGGAGACTACAGGGTCTTCTTGGCTTGGAAAAATGGCAAGTGTGAGCGACAAACATACTTCATTACACCCCAACACCATGCTCCAACACCAGTCCGGTGCTTTTGAACCACGTGAACACTTATAGTATACAACCACTTTTTGAAGAAAACAAGAGACCGAGCTCAGCGAGCTGACAAAGTCTCCTTGGTTTGAATACTGTGCTGCCTCAACTGGAGTAATCGTTTCACCCAACCGGAGTAATCGTTTCACAGCCTCTTTATCCCACAACTCGCCAGGTCGAACTCCTATCTCGTCCTTGGCGTTCGTCCAACCTCCGGACTACCCACCGCACTGCCTCTGCGCCTGTCATCGGGCCCCATCAGCTTGACAGGCCTAGTCCCCAACTTCCTTTCAAAAATCCTCATAACCAGCGCCTGCACAGCCCTCTGGACATCACTCGCCATCTCCGTGCCCAGCAACCCCACCACAAGAGGAGCGAACACATCTGTGAGCCGTTCGAACTCCGCGTCAGGGAAATTGGCGTACCCGTCCAAGACAGTGACGACGACGGGACGCCAGGTAACGATATTCCTCTGCTGCGTCTCCTCATCGAGTTCGATGTAAGATTGGATGATATCCTCGCACAGCGGTATCAATGCTTTTTCGGTTTCGGAGCGCGAGGCGGCGCGGTCGGAGGATGTGTCGTGGTACATTCTGAACAAAATCCCAACATACACACTCGCACTTCCACTCTCCTGCTTCAGCAAATTCGGCGGCTGTTTCATGAACCCCTCTCTGAACAGTCGTGACCGCAGATCGCGGTCGGCGTTGAAGCGCTTGGCGAAGTGGTAGCTCTTCTTCAGCACGGCCATGAGCCGCAGCAGTTCGCCGGAGGGAATATTTGAGTAGACGAGTTCGTTGCCGAAGAGCTCTTGCACGGTCTCGATCATGAGCAGTTGCAGGACGCACTTTGTTATGATCTGGTTGAAGAAGCGGCGGCGCGCAGCGGTAACGACAACTGGGGGTTGTTGCAGCGAATGTTCCTCAGGCCGGTAGTCCTCTAGGTCGCTTGTCTGCCGCGTAGGCACGTCGCCGGCTGTGGACTCCGTGACGAGCGAGGGACGGTGCGGGCTGTCGAGGCCGTTGATGCCGAGACCGTTGGAGGGCTCGGTGGAAGTCTCGGTGGGCGCGGTTTCGAGGTTGATATTGGTGGATTCGGCGATGGATTTTGCGTCGTCGGAGGTGCTTCGTGTGCCGTTGAGAGGGGTGGGGGCGCTGGAGCCGGATGTGGCGGCCGAGAAGAGTGCGGAGGCTTCGGTGCGGTGGAAGAGGTCGACGAAGGCTTTGACGATTTGGCTCCAGTGTTCTGGCTTGAACTTTTGGACGTTCTGGAGGATCAATTGTTGCAGGCAGTTGCTGCCGATGCGGGCTAGGGTGTCGTTCTCCTGGCAGATGCAGAGCGCCAGGAGGTCGAGGAAGCGGTCGAGCATGTACTCTAGTGAATCGAAGAAATGTGTGAAGAGCTTGATCATGTTGCGAAGCGCTTGAATCATCGTTGTCGAGAGCCAGACGGACAGCTCTTCGTGGTTCAGGACCTTGGTCATCTCCGACTTCGACTTGAGAACCATGAAGATGGGGTAGAGCAGCTGCCGCCAGAGCATGTCCCAGAACTCGCGTGGGAAGTTGCTGCCATAGCTGATGAGCGTATCAAACAGGTAGCTCAATGCTCTTGAGCGCACTTCCAGATCCTCGCCAGTCATGAGAACATCGTGGAAGGCGAAGAGCACAGGGAACCAGAACTGCTCTTCCTGTGTCTGATGAGTGGGCTGCTTGGGGATGGAGGAGCCCTTCTCGGACTCCTTGAGATAGCCAGCACGAGCAGACAGTGAGCACTCTGGCGTCCTCAGCATCTTCGGCACCGACGATTTCAGCAACTCGATTGCCTGTAGTGACTTCTTCTGGAACTTGTAGTTCTTCGAGAACTCGGTCAGACAGACGATCAGATCTGCAAACGCGCCCTGGGAGATGACGACACCGAAGCGGGTGTTGTACACCTGTGTGACGTTTTCGAATGCTAGGTTGACAATGCCCTCTGTGTAACGTTTAGTGGTTGAAGTTGCTATGAAGTGTTTTGGTTGACCTACCATAAGGCTCCCGGGCGGCAACAGTGAAGACGCCAAACATGGTCTTCCAGCCAGAGCGGATGTTCTCGCCGCGTGCTTGAATCATCTGGATCAGACAGCGCAAGACCATGTCCTTGACCGAGACAACACTGGCGTTGTTGATAATGTGCTCAAAGGGCTTTAGGAAGTCTTTTTGGAATTTGAATCCAGGAAGCTCTTCGATCTCCATGAACTTCATGGACAGCTGTCGTAACGAGTTGAGAGCGAAGTATACGACGTTCGTGTTGGTATGACAGCCGACTTCGTTGAAGTGGGCGCCCAGTACTTGCCAGATGTTGGTCCATTCGAATCGCACACGGGTCATGTTGTATCCACTGATTTCGACCAGCTTCTGCAGACTGTAGGTCCGTGGCGACTCGCTTTGTCCTGACGACTGAATTTCTTGCCAACTAACCTGGACCAGTGCCTTGACGAAGTCGACAATCGCCTCACCAGACAGATTCGCACTGTTGGTGAAGATACGGTCTACTCCCCGGACGATGTCTGTGGAGCGACTCTCTTCCGCTACATCCGCCGAGAAGTGTACGCTGTTGACATGGGATTGTCGCCGGCGGTTGCCAGGGACGTTGAGATTCTTCTTCGACTGTGACCCTGTGTTCGACTTCAGGACGTCAGGTACCGCGCGCTCGTCGATGCCAGCCGAGATTAGCTGGAAACGATCCAACTGTGAGACACACGTGAGAATCTCGCGCCAAGACTCTCTCAGCAAATTGCCCTCTGTGTGCGCGACCTCGATCAGTGTCTTTAGCGCCTCCATGTTCTTGGCCTTCATCTCGTTCAAATTGTAGAGGTTGGTGAATCGTGCGAGGAAAGACACAAAGGCCTGACGGGCATCCTCCAGATCGAAGAGGCAGGATATCCGGATCGCCAGCTTGATGCCCTCAATACACAAACGCACAATCTCGATGTTGTGATCCTGAGCCTGGCCAGAGAGGGCCATGAGGAACGGCATCCAGGTCACTTCAAACATGGGACCGACGTGTTTCGATGACGAAGCGGGGATGTACTTTGACACTGGCAGAGTAGCAGCGGTCCTGCGCTGAGCTCGGAGGAGTTGCTTGTACAACTGCTCGGTCTTGTTCGCCATTGCTTCGGAAGCCTGTGCAATGGCTTCTCTTTGCAGGTCTCGCGCACCACCTGTCAGCGCTTGACCTATGCTCGCAAGGCCAAGGCCTCCAGCAGGTTGTTGAGCAACCAGGCCCTTGTCTGCCGCAGCCTCCTGTTCGGTGTTGAGGACGATCTCGTTGTGCGCGATCTCGTCGTAGATGGCACGGAGATAATCTTCCGGCAAGTCCGCATTATCGTTGATGCCGCGGTTGTTCTTGATGAAGTCTTCCGGCGTCATGCGAGGGCCCTTCATCTTCTTGCTGTGCTGATCGACGTTCAACATGATCACAGAGTAGGAAAGAACGTAGGCAGTGTCAGCGTTGGCGAACGCGTTCGGGTTGCCGGTCATGTAGCGTTCAGCAAACTTCAGCATGAAACGATCAATCTTCTGCGCTTCACCAGGAAGCCGGAAGCTCTGGAGGAAACGGCGCAGCGCATCTACGAATCGAGTCTTGGTAAAATCCATCAAGTCGACAAATGCATGCATAATGGCGATGTTTTCGGCGTCAGCTTCGCCGAGGAACTCGCCAAGCGCACCCTTGTCTAACCGGTCGTTGTCGAGGAAGAAACGAGCAATGTCTTCCGGGGACTCGGAAGAGATGAAGCCATCCTTGATCAGGACCTTCAGACCCTTCTTAGGCTTGTAATTGAACTGTCGTACCGCGTTTGTCATGGCGGTCTTCCTCTGTTTCGCTTTCTCGAGTGAGCTGTAGTCGTCCTCTGCGAGAGGTGTTACTGTGCCGGAGTCCGCGCCAGCCGCCGGTGAATCGGCGAGGGTTCGCGCGTCTATCGAGACTCTCAGGTCGTCTAGTGATAGCCTGGAGTCTTGTGTCTGTGTTTTTGTGCTCTCAGGCAGAGACTGCTGCGCCCAGTCAACGAGCGACCGCAGGATCTCCACAAGAGCCTCGAGAGACTCTTGCTTGATCGCGTACTCTTGTGGGTATGCACCGTCCGCTTCACTAGCCGAGTTCATCGACACGGTGGTGAGCGAAGGTGGTAGTGTCCCCCGAGTCTGCCAGTCCATCTGTTTTGACTGCTTCTCTCGGTGGTCTTGGTACGCTTGTTGCTGCATGGGGGTGATTGTGACAGGATTGCTGGAGATCTTCGACAGATGCTCCACAACGCGCTGGTACATGTTGTCGAGCGCAGTGCGATCGCAGTCGTAGTTTAGGTACACCTCGACCAACGCCCTTGGGTCTGCAGCCAGCCGGCCAAAAATTGTCAAGACGTACTGCTTCTGGAAGGCAGGAGCTGCACGCTTGTCTAGTGTGGCAAGATAGATCTCCTTCAAGAACACCTCCACCTCCTTCTTGAGCATAACGCGCAGATACTTCAGCATCTGCCAGAAGATCTCACACGCTACCTCGAACACAGGCTTGACCGAGCTTGCACCGTTCCGGCTCAGACTGAGGCAAAGGTATTGCTTGATGGCCTGTACAAAGCTGGTGGGCTCGTCGCCGCTGCCACTCCTGATCGTGGCGTATGGCGAGATGAAGACTGCGATGTTGTTGTGGAGGATAGTGTGCACCATGTGCAGCGATAGCAGCTTCGACCTCATGCCCTGCGACCGTACGTCCAGGGCGTGGTCTACCGAGAGGCCCTTGGTGCTCAGACGGCACATGGCGCGGAAGACGAGGTATGCGTCCTTGACGAAGATTTCGTCTTCTTCCTCCTCATCCGTGCCGGTCTGTGGAGTGGATGTGTCTGCACCAGAGACCTGCCGCGAGCTGGGCTTCCCTTTTATGCGGGTGACTAACGTGGGCGCGTTGTCGTGTATCCGGTCGTCGTTGAAGCTCATGTTGTTCTCGAAGCTTTGGAGGGTAATCTTTGGTCCGGTGTGCATGTCCACTGCCCTGTCACTGGGCTCCTCTGATTCGCCGTCCTGGCCGGACGAGCGTGAGTGTGAGCGTGAGCGTGAGCGTGAGCGTGAGCGTGAGCCTGAACCTGAGTCATTGACGTCCGGTGTGCCTTCCTCGTCTTCCTGCTCTAAGCTCTCGTCTGACCGATCCTTCTCGTTCAGCGAGGCACGCGACAGATTGACTCGTGCCTCTTTGACAGCCAGCCTCGCCTTGACCCTCTCGAAGACGGTGCCGACCATCTGCGTCAGAGCTCCCTGTGCAACCTGCTGGTTTGCGCTCGACTTGGAGAGCAGGAAGATGTTGTAGGTCAAGCGCACCGCCTTGAGCAGGCCCGCTCCGTGGACCACGATCTTGTCGTTCAGGATAGCTGCGAGCAGCGACTTCACAATCTGCAACTGCACGTCTGGGTGTGTAGCCTCGCCCTGGAAGCAGTCGCATATTGTGTCGATGGCGCGCTCGATCAGGGGCGCTCCCTGGCTGGGTTCGCCCTGTAGCTCCGAGGGCTCCGAGGGCTCCGAGGGCGCGGAGAAGTACGAGTAGCTGATGAGCTTGCCGATGCAGTCCAGGGCGGTGATGGACACGGGCACATTGGACACCTCGGACGCCAGCTGCAGGGGCTCGAAGAGCAGCTCGGGGCTGATGCGCGCCGGGTCGCCCTCCCGCTTGATGGCAGCCAGGGCGGCACTGGTGGCATTGCCGAGCTTCTTGTTCTTCCTGGCGTCTTTGGAGGCGGCGATTGTGTCCAGCGCGGTGCCGACGAAGACAAGGGAGCTGCGCGTCGAGGGTCTTGTGGCCGTGGTCGCGGCGGTCGACTGCGAGTCTGTTCGCGGGCGGGCGTCGGCGTGGACGCGCTGGTCGAAGATCTGCTCCGACGAGCGCGGCGTGTCTGCGCCGTTGAAGACGTTCAGCGTGGGCGTGGGCGTGGGCGGGGGCGGCGGCTCTGTGCCTGCGGGCTCCTGCCGTGTCTCTGCGGCTGGGGCTGCGTCTGGGGCTGCGTCTGCGTCTGCGTCCGCCTCTGCGTCTGCGTCTGCGTCTGCGTCTGCCTCTGCCTCTGCCTCTGCCTCTGCGGGTGTCTGTGTCTGCGCATGCTCGCGCTGCTCGGGTGCCGCCTCTGCCCCGTTACTCCCGCCTTCTTCTGCCGGCGTGTCTTCCTGTAGCCTGTCTTCCTGTGGCCTGTCTTCCTGTGGCCTGTCGTCCCTCGCTTCCTGCTCCGGCGGGGCTGCTTGGTGGTCGGCCATGGTGGTCGCTCGGTGGTTGCGTATGCGCGATGGTCCGGATACTCGGGGAGGCACCTCTCTCACGAGTCTTGTCTGTCTCAGCTTCAGGGTGTCGGTGCTCCTCCCTCAATCATGCTGGACTGCGATTGTGCCAGCTACTGCAATCTTCGCACAGCAACGAATGCCTGTATATCGCGTTCTGGGCAGATTCGTACTCGGCATGAGATGACCAAGTGTCCCTTGCCCCAAGCACCTAGTGTGGCTCGACCCTCCGTCGGAGCTGCTGTCGTGCAAGCCACACAGACCGCCCGACGCGCGCCTAACCCTTCCCGGCCTAAGCAGCAAGAGAACCTCCCGGCTCCGATTAAACACATTTTGTTGGGCTGAGACTCTCAACCATCACCTCGACCTGCATCACAACCCGCGCCGCCGTGTGCAAGAGACCACCCATCCCGCCGCCCGTCGCTCCTTTCACACCCCCGACGGTCCTCTCCCTCACCACCACATCGCCCCGTGCAGCACCTGAGCGCAGCCCCGGCATCCCGACACAATGCCTGCCACCACCACCATCCTGTCCCGCGCCGGCGCTCAATTGAGCTCGAGGGGGTCAATCGCCCTGCGCGGCGCCTTCCAGAGGTGCGTTTCCGGCGATTGCTGCCGCGGCGGAGCTGGGGAGCCCGCCTGCACGCGTCGTAGGCGTGCGGTATGGCAGCAGTGGTAGCTAACTCGGCCCAGACGCACTCCCGCTCTCTCAGCGCTCGCCCGCTACTATGCCTGTGAGTGGCTTCTGATCCTACCACCCGGCCCTCCAGCACACTGACGCATTTCTCCGCAGCCTACCCTTCGCACACGGTCATCCGCATGCCCGCGCTGTCGCCCACCATGACGGCGGGAAACATTGGCGCATGGCAGAAGAAGGTCGGCGACTCAATAGCCCCCGGCGACGTCCTCGTCGAGATCGAGACAGACAAGGCACAGATGGACTTTGAGTTCCAGGAGGACGGCACCATCGCCAAGATTCTCCGCGACGCCGGCGAGAAGGACGTCGCGGTCGGCAGCGTGAGTGGGCCCAGCTGAGGTCGGAGCATGGACGCGAGCTAACTGATGCGTCTAGCCCATCGCTGTCATGGTGGAGGAGGGCGAGGATGTTTCCGCCTTCGACAAATTCTCCATCGAGGACGCCGGCGGCGACAAGAAGGCCGACAAGCCGTCCAAGGAGGGCAACGCCGCCGAGGCCAGCGAGCCCGCCGACTCGGGCTCCAAGACGGCCCCCCCTCCCAAGCAGGACGAGTCGGCCGCGCCCGTCTCCCAGGAGTCCGACTCGACCGGCGCCCGCCTCGAGACCTATCTCCAGCGCCAGCCCGCCTACTCGCCCGCCGTCAAGAAGCTCGCTCTTGAGAAGGGCGTCGCCCTGAAGAACATCAAGGGTACCGGCCGCGGCGGTGCCATCACCAAGGAGGACGTCCAGAAGGCCACGCCCGCTGCTGCTGGTGCTCCTGCCGCCGCTGCCACATACGAGGACACAGAGGCCACCAGCATGCGCAAGGTCATTGCTTCGCGCCTCACCGAGTCGATGCAGCAGAGCCCCCACTACTTCGTCGCCTCCAGCATCTCCGTCTCCAAGCTCCTCAAGCTCCGCGAGGCCCTCAACGCCTCCTCCGAGGGCGCCTACAAGCTGTCGGTCAACGACCTGCTCGTCAAGGCCCTCGCCGTTGCCGCCCGCAAGGTCCCCGCCGCCAACTCCTCGTGGCGCGAGATCGACGGCAAGGTCATCATCCGCCAGCACAACGTCGTCGACGTCTCCGTCGCCGTCTCCACCCCCGTCGGCCTCATGACCCCCATCGTCAAGAACGTCAACGGCCTCGGCCTCCAGTCCATCTCCGCCCAGATCAAGGATCTCGGCAAGCGCGCTCGCGACGGCAAGCTCAAGCCCGAGGAGTACCAGGGCGGCTCCATCACCATCTCCAACATGGGCATGAACGCCGCCGTTGAGCGCTTCACCGCTGTCATCAACCCTCCTCAGGCCTGCATTGTTGCTATCGGCACAACGAAGAAGGTTGCCGTCCCCGGTGAGATCTCCGAGGACGGCACACCGAGCGTGGAGTGGGACGACCAGATTGTCATCACTGGTTCCTTCGACCACAAGGTCGTTGACGGCGCCGTTGGTGGCGAGTTCATGAAGGAGCTGAAGAAGGCTATCGAGAACCCTCTTGAGCTGCTGTTGTAAGTAGTCGTAATGGGAGGGGGTTGATGTGTGTGTGTGTGTGTAACTTTATTGGGGGAAGCATCTCTTGTACAATGAACTGCGACTTCTATTTCCCATACGATATCTAGTTGCATAGGCTGAAAGCATTTTCCGTTCATAGCCTTCCTTTTTGATTGTCGGTGAACAATTGCACACATGTGCCTCGACGGCATTCAGTCCTCGTGCAGCCTTGAGGAGCGCTACTCAATACTGCAGCGGATATCGATGGCACTGAGTTTTTGAGCCTCAGAGCTGTTCAAAGGGTCAGTGCTGCGGCCGCGGTGGGTCTGCAACCTCCGACTTCTCCCGGACATGATCTCGTTGCGGGCTAGATCCAACAACACCAAGGCGGACCCATCTTCTTGAATCTGCTCTCACGGCCAGTCCTCGTGTGGCTTTCCATCGTCTTGACTTTTGCTTCACCATCACCGCCTATTCACTCCCACGACCCCGTCTGTATCTGTTTCCCCCTACACCCATACCCCTCTTTCTTCGTTCAAACATAGGCGGTCCACGAACATTTTTCTTCTTCCGCTTTCCAGATAAGATAAGAGGTGCATATTATCCATCCCACTCTCACGATCAATTATTGGCACTATCGTGTTTGTCATTCTCAACTTACATCGCATCCCATCTTGAATGTTGCCTCTTTCTCAGGCTCCCTCTCAATCAAAGCACGCTGTTCTTGCGGTCCGCATGATCCCGGCTCTCCATCTTAGCCACACGATCCTCTTCCCAAACAACTACGCTTCGTCGGTACAACCTCTTACTTATCTCCTCCAACCAATTACTGCTTACCACATCAACCCCTCCAATACTCAACCTCTTCGTCTCCTTCACGAATCCCCACACAAACAGCGTGCCAAATTCACACGTACCCAGAAGAATGAAGTACGAATACAGTTCCAGCTTCTCCGTAGCGGTAGGCCACTGCTGGCCGAGAGCGACGGCTATGCCAATCGGAATTGCTGCAGCGTTACCGATTCCCATTTCGCGCGCGTGCGTGGGGAAGATCTCGTTGACGTAGACCACGGTTGGGCCGGTGGAGAGGAGTCAGTAGGTGCAGGTGTTGATGACGATGAAGACGGCTGTGGTGCGTCAGACGTTAGGTCTTGTATGTCATTGAAGAGACTTGTGTGGAGCTCTTGCCGATGAAAGCACACGCAGTCGTGTTGTTCTGACCCCGAGTGTCCACGGCTAAGCTGCAGTTGCATGCTAGTCTGAGGGTTTGGATTGTGGGTGCGAAGATGATGCAGTTCCGTCGGCCGATGCGCTCGACGAGGTAGCAAGGCCCAAGCGCAGCGGATGTGTATAGAATTTTGCAGACAGGCCTGGACTAGGAGGGCGTTTTTCTGCGTCGACAGGCCGAATGGTTGGTAGATTATGACTGCGCAGACCTGACGACCGACTAGTCTTCTATGTAGGGTGCGGTTGGGGTTTACAAAGGGGGGATGTTGCTTACCTCCCAAGAGACCGACGCCAGAGAATTGCTGTTGAAGGGGGACCATAGCATAGCCAAAGCGCTTTCCAAGACGGTTGTTTGAGAATATGACAGTCATGGTCACATCTGCGGAGAACGTCTCCTTCACAATTCCTAATCCTGATGGCATTCGATGTGCTACGGCATCCTTGTCGATGATCACGACCAGCAGCTTGAACGTGCCTCCCACCTTAGGGGACACTCTGCTCGCTCAGCGAGCGCATGTATTCACACAGCCACTCGAGCCGTTCAGCTTTAAGTCGACATGGAACAGCATTTCAACCTGACCTCAAGCCCACTTCATCGTCGAAGTTGATTCCACACGTGCCAGCATTCAGACACTGCGGAACCCTGCAGACGCGTGTGGCACAAATTTCGTCCTCAACTCTGCCCAGGCACCAGACCTCGATGTAGAGGATTCGAGGTTCCTGGGAGATGTGGTCCTCCACGGCAGACCTGAAGCTGAAGAGCCAAGCGCGACAACGACTTCCGGCATGTCCAGACATGTCCGTTCCACAAGCAGTTTGCATGACTGTATCACACTCATCTACACAGACAACGCAAGCAGTGCCGCCGGATTCCAGGGCTTCTCTGTACGGGAAAGATACGCCTTGTCTGGTCCCACTCGCGACCCGCTCGACTGGACCATCCAGGTCACGAACGATAGCCCAAACTGCCTGATCTTGGAAGACTTCGGGGTGCCACTGCTGCTGAACTCGCGCTGGGGAGACGATCAAAACGCACAACTACGAGCAAGCTGTCCACCGCCATTCTTTTGTGGGAAAATACGGCTCTAACATGTACTGGCAGCGTCCCAACGGCGAGGGACCCATGCTGGTGATGACTGGCCACACCACTACGGCCTTGGGGGTTCAAGCATCGCTTCAGGGACGGCGAGGGTGTCTTGGGCAGATTCTCACCAAAGACGCCCTCGCCGTCCCTCTTCCCGAGCACTGCATACGCTCTGTGCACACCCCTACGTCGAGAGCGGATGTAACCTGTCAACCCCTTCCAGTCACTGCCCTCACCCTGCCCCCCCCCCCCCCGGCGAGTCCCGAGAGTACGGATTTCGCTTCAAGTGCGCAGCCGATGATTCGGGTCTTCGGAACGCTATCTACGAGTCTGGCAGCCTTGATGTTGCGTCATTGGCGGGTACGGTCATCCCATCGAACACTACGGCGATGCTGGCGGTACGCAGCCAAGGAGGAAACCAGAGGCCTGGGGTCAGACGACGTACAGATCAGCGACGCTGGGGCACTCAAAGGGATACACCATCTACAAGCTCATATTCCAGGCCCTAGGAGCAGCTGACCTCACATTCTCTATCGGTGATTCGCAATGGAGTGTTTTGCAATACTATTGTGTGGAGCCGCTGCGTTTCTAGCTGTCCATCAACAAGCGGAGACAGCAAGGGGTACAATGGTGCTTTCTTGCAATGGGACATGAGCACACGCAAACTTATCACCTGGGATGACTACCCTGGCGGAGGATGGAACGAGTGGATGGTAGGAGGCTCCGACGACCTTGGCCTAGCTCCTGCCGCGTTTCTGTCCGAGAAAAATGTTCTTTCCTGTTACACTGATGATCGAGAAGAACACAGTCGAGTACTGTCTCCCGGAGATGCTTGATGCGAAATGCACAATCATAATCCGCGAGGAAATTTTGAACAGGTCGGGCAGGGAGAGCGGGAGGGCGGACATGCACGAACAGATGAAGTTACTGAAGTGAGATGTGCGAATACAAAAAATGCATATACACTAACAGAGCCTTTTCGCTGTATAGTGGAGATATGCGCAGAACGCCAGACCATGCTGTAAACGCCCATGCGCATCCACCTGCTTCAATTCATCCATGTGCTTCAATTCATCATACACGTCTCTCCCCCTCCCTCCTCTCGTCCATCTCTAATCCACCTCTAGCATCGTTCACTTTACTCACTGAATGTCAAACAACTTCTTCAGCTCAATCAACAGCTTCCACTCATCCTGACTGACGTCATTCCTGAAGAACTCTTTCAACGTGTCGATACTCTTCCTGCTGATCGCGCTATACAGCGTGTCATCTTCTTCCAGGTGGCGTCCGTACATGGGCTGGTTGGGGCCTTCGATCTTGACGGCAACAGAGGGTTGACCCTTTTTGCAGACTTGGATTTGCTTATGGTCGCGCTCGATGGATGTACTAGAAAATACTTAGTAAAGGGTGTTTGAGATTGGGAATAAAAGGAGGGACGTACACTCTTCCAAGCTGGATAATCTCCTTGACGCCAGTGGCGGGATTCTTTTTGATGGCGCAGATGGGCGTTGTCATCTTCAAGTTACCTTCCACAACATCGACACCAATGACAATCGGATCCTTCTTGTTGAAGACAGCGACGGGGCGCAGCACGCAAGGGAAGACAGCAAGCATCTTGGACTCTTCCTTGCGCTGCTCCTCCAGCTGCTTCATGTGCGCTGTAAACTTATCGAACAGGTGGTAAATAATGTCTGCCTCGAAGATCTTGACGCCGATCTCCTCCGCGTATGCCTTCGCCTCTTTGTCGACCTTGACATCGAAACACAGCATAACTGCGTACTCCTTGGCCTTTTCTAACATGATACCAGCACGGAGAACGTCCTTTCTGAAGACAGGACCGATGGAGATGGTAGATACGGGAATCTTGGAGACGCGCAGGAATTCGAGGAGCGCTTCGAGGGAACCGAGGGTGGAGGCTTGGACGGACACACCACGGCCGGTCTTGGAGACCCTGCTAAGCAGGTGCTCGAGGTCGCCCATGACTTCGTCCATGAGGTCTTCTTCATCGTCGTCAGGTCCTACAACGAGCAGGCGAGATCCGGCAATGGCGGTATCGAGGCCATCGGCGGCAATCTTGATACCCATGGCGGCCTTGACTTCCTTGTTGTGTACGTACTGCGATTTGACACGCAATTCCTTCATCTCGGCAGGTGTGAGGAGCGCACGCACATTGGTGACGATGGGCTCGGGATTACCGCAGACTACTATCCGGTCACCCTCGTGGAGGACACCGTTGGACAGAATGACATCGATGGTTGTACCAAGACCTTCGATGACCTTGACTTCGAGAACGGTACACTCGACTTCAGAAAGGTACATGAGGTTGTTGGTAAGACGGCTCTGGGTAAGGTTGACGATGAGCTTGATCATGTCGGGAATACCTTCACCGGTGTGCGCGGAGGTAGGGCACACCGAGACGTACTTAGACATGCTTTTGTTTTTGAAGTGCAGCTCAGAATTAAAACCCTGTTCAGCCAGCTGAGTGCGCACAAAGGCCCATCGCTCCTCAAACTCGGACTGAACTGCTGGCTTCTGGAGGTTGAAGCTGTCCTCAAAACCGTTGTTGTCGATCTTCTTCCAGCCGAACAGACGATCGATCTTGTTGAGAGCGACGATGAAGGGTGTTTTCCTGCCACGGAGCAGCTTCATCGACTCGATAGTCTGGGGCTCAAGACCGTGCATGATATCGATGACCAGGATAGCAATGTTACACAGAGACGAACCGCGAGATCGCAAGTTAGTGAAAGACTCGTGACCAGGTGTGTCGATAACCAAGAGACCGGGGACATTGAACTTGAAGCTGTGGTCCTTGTTGACGACTGCGACCTTCTTCTCCAGAGCCTCGACCGGGAAGTAAGTGGCACCGATCTGCTGCGTGATACCTCCGGCTTCGCCCTCTTGTACGTTGGTCTGACGGATCTTGTCGAGCAGCTTTGTTTTACCAGTATCGACGTGACCGAGAATGCAGCAAATGGGAGATCGCAGGTTGTCCTTGGAACGCTGAGCCAGAGCAGCCTCGTGAGCCTCCTTTCGTCGATCGGCAGCAGCCTGCTTGCGGGCAGCCTCAGCCCTCTGTGTTGCAGTTCCTTGCTCGTCCTCTGAAGAGTCGTCCTCGCTGTCATCGTCGGAGTCTTCCTCGGACTCGGAATCAGAATCAGCAGCTGTCGCAGCGGGCTTCGCAACGGCCTTGTCCGCTGGTGTAGGTGCTGCATCTGCGGCCTTCGCTGCTGCAGTCTTGGCCTCTTCTGCCTTCTTCTTCTCTGCCGCATTCTGCCCCTCTTCCTCATCTGTGTCGACATCCCAGCTGTCCTTGACGCCGTCCATCTCATCAGCCTGAGCTTCCCAGTCGTCACCAGAGTCTTCTCCCTTCTTGGCTTCAGCATCGGCGCGGGCCTTCTCAGCCTCTGCAGCAGCTGCCGCGGCTTGCTCTTCAGCCAGCTTCATCTCTTCGAGCTTCTTCGCAGCCTCCTCAGCTTCGCGTGCTTCCCGCTCTTTCTGCTCCTGCTGCTGCTTCCTCTTCTTTCGGTCGTCATACTTGGGCTTCTTGGGTGCTTCCGGCTCGCCTTCAAGCGCGGCAACCTTTACGCCGCTCTCGAGCATCTGCTTCAGGCGCAAGTCAGCCTTGGCTTTAGCTTCCTTTTGCGCCTTAGTCAAGTATTTGCCCTCCTTCTTCAGCTGCTCGATCTTCTCTTTTTCACGCTGCTTCTTAGCAGCCTTTGCCTCTTCTTTGCGCTTGCGCTCCTCTTCAGCAAGCCTCTCTTCCTCCTCGGCGCGAGCTTTGTCTTCGGCTTCGAGGCGAGCTTGCTCCTCCTGTTGCTTCCGCAGCGCCTCTTGTTGCTTCTGAAGAGCTGCCAAAGCTGCAGGGACCTTCTTCTTTTTGCCACCAGCAGCAGTAGTGGAAGCAGCAGGCTCAGGAGTGGGGGCTACGACTTCGACGGGTTTGGCCTCGGCGGCTTCGGGTTCGGGCTTCGCAGAACCGCTAGCCTTTTTCTTCGCAGCCTGTGGTGTTCTGGTTAGTTTGATGTATATAGTAAAGCTTCAGGGCTTCGACTTGGACCTACCATCTCCTTCTTTCGCTGCTTCTCCTTCTCTTTCTTCTCTTTCTCTTTCTCAGCTTTGGTTTTCATGCGCGGCGCCTCGGCAGGTGGTGTCTCTGGCGCAGGCTCCTCCTTCTGAGCAGCGCCGCCCTTCTTATTCTTCTTGCCATAGTTGCCGGCGAAGACATCGTCGTCATCATCAAAGTTGGCTTCCTGAGGTGCCTTGTCCGCGAAGTCATCACCGCCGTTGGCTGCCGGTGGGTCTTCACCCTCGACTTCCGTGTTTGCTACCTTCTTATTCTTCTTCTTTCCACGCCTTTGGAGGGCAGCCATCAGGCCACCGCCCATATCATCCTCTGCACCAGCTTCCTCTGCAGCCTTGACTTCCTGGGCGAGAGCATCGTTCTCAGTGGTGACTGTCTCACCGAGCTCGGCCTCCCAGTCATCGTCCTGCTGCTTCTTCTTGCCCTTTTTTGGCGCCATTTCGTCGGTTGAGCTTCTCGTGGAGGGAAATGTAGTCGCTCGTGCGTATTATGTAGGGTGCCGACGGGAACGGTTCCTGTGGCGGCGGGGTTGACGAAGTCAGGTTCGGAGTCCTAAAGTTGCAGGTGGACGTTCGAAGTGGGAGCCCAGAGGCTAGCTAGCCTTGTTGAAAGATCCCGTGAGTCAAAACTAAGCCAACGAAGGCCTGGATCTAGCAAGGAAGTGATTTAAAATTGAAGCGTGAGGCAAACGCACACAAGGCGATCGAAATTCGTCTGCTGCTTCGATTGTTCTCAGTGGCGCTAATTGGTGGGGTAGTGGCCCGTGCACAGTATATTGTGACAAGCTGTGGCGCTGAGGCATCAACACCACATTCACACGTCCATGGATCTCACTCGAAAAACGCATGTGACTCATCACCACGCTTGTTTTTCGGCGCATGAGTGATCTGGAGCCAGAGATCAATGAGTCAGGACCTATCAAGCTGCGCCTTGTTTGCCCTTCTCACTTCAGCACCACTCATAATGCTTTCGTGTTCCATGGTGCATCTTAGTATCCTTTGGGCATGAATGTACTGTATGAGTGTTTGGGCCAGCCAGATTGCACTGGGACCGCCCACCTAGGAGGGTCTGGTACATTTGTCTTGGATGCCCTACGGCAGAAGCCATACAGTCACAGGTAAGGCCCATAAGGGGAATAAATATACACTTGCTTGCGTTTCTGCGCAAATCGTATCTCAGAGTAGTTCCTAGAGGCTTTTAGTACTATATATGCTTCGATCACCGGGCATACAATCCTTCGCTCGTCTGTTTCATTACTCGTGTCTTCATTTGGAAGGCGTTCACCTTCATCTTCATCATCATGCTCATCTGCAGAATCAGGCCTCTCTTCAGTATATTCCATCTCTGTATACCATCATGCGCCTCCGCAGTGAGCCACGCCTCATCGAACTCCACATTCCGCCGGCAGGGAGCCTAGGTAACGTACTTTGCACTCGATGATGCCGTCAGCATACTTGTGTTCGAGGATCTTACCTATCGGCCAATCGATAGCGAAGCGACCATTCCAGTCCTTGAAGTTTTCTGGGTTCCTCACATGCTTGAGACGGTCGGCTATCAAGAACCTACCGGCTATGACCTGACCTTCGTTAGTATCCCACTGCTTGCACTGGGTTCCTAGGAAAGTGGTGATCCAGGGCTCTCAGCTGTTTGCGAAGCTGGCAGCGAATTGAGAATTTGGCGCGAGACAACCACGTATCTCCGGATTTGGGAAGAGCTTCATGAGCACTTTGAATGTCTTGAAGGCCGCCAGGGGGTCAATGTTGGTGCTCCGAAGGGAATCTAGAACTTCTGCAAGATTGTGCCAGTGGTGGTACTGGCTACCGTAAACGCGGAGCTGTGTGCGCCAGTACTGCATCAACTTACCTCGCACAGCTTTCGAGATCTTGAAGTAGCTGTCTTCTTCGATCAGCTCGTTTAGCTCGATGTCGAGATCATCTGTCATATCCTGGCGCAGCTCGACGATGCGTTTAGTAGCTTGATGAGGCATTACTGTGACATGCGGTGGAGCAGGGTTACCAGCTTGCCAGACGTGACAATTCTAGTTCTGGCAGTAATCCGGCTGGACGGAGAGATTCTCACCACAGCGCACTAAACAATAGCTCATGGTTGCTTCGCGCCAAGCTTTGAGACAGGATCGACATAGTGCGTGCTTGCCACATGGAAACATGAATGAAAAGACTATTTCGCGTGTGCCTACCTCTCATGAGAACCATTCTTTGCTGCAGGATGAGCACTCTGTGCCGAGAATAGCTGAAGCTGCTCCATGGTGAGGATTCGTTGTACTGTGTGAGGACACGCAGGTTCCCCAGCTTTAGGAATGCGACCATACGTTTCTGCTGAAGACATTGCGATTGTATATGGTTGTTGATGGGTTGGACCTTTATCAAACCTGTATTGTACGGAAATGGTGGGAGCTCCAAGCTTTCAAGCAAACGCTTGCAAGCTCGAGTGGTGAAAGCAACGCTCCAAGATGCCATATTGTGGGCTCACATTGTTGGTGACAAGGTCGCGTGGGGGCGTGATGCGCCTTATTCGTTTTCGGTAGCCGCTGTACTCGAAGATGTGTTGTCAATATGAGTGTTAGCACAAACTCAGAGGTATCTTCGGAAGTCCGGTGATTGCACGTTCCGGGCGATGTAGAACCTGTCAAAGGGTTGTCGAAAAGACGCGCTAAGCACGCGCTAGAACGCGTCCAATGTGCCCAGCTTCGCCTTCCAACCGGATCCTCACTCTAGCTTGCGTGGATCATCTATTTCTATCGCCACGTCCTTTCCGACAGCAGATCATCCCTCGGGGACTCCCCCTGACGTCTGATCTGGTCATCGTACTTTCGCTGCAGTGCAGGTGGTTAGTCTGACCTTCATCCCAGCTCCGAGGCACCGAACTCGAGGGTCGTGCGCGCAATTGAAGACCGGCGCTGTACAGTAGTGATATCATGATGTTGTAGGATTGACAGATGGACTTCGAGGGATCCTTCGCGGTGCCGAAGCTAGTCGTTCGAGCGGGGTGGAAGGATGACGTAACAAGCTGGTATACGCAGCCGCTGATAATGAAAATGGATAACGACGCAGGTCAATCTGGACGTTACACCGCATCTCATCCTTCATACAAAGACTTTCCTCTGATTGTGGCGCGATGACCACCGCAGAGAAGCCCTACCTCGACCGCGTGTTCGCTGCAAGCAGCACAGAAGAATCGCGGCGCCTGTACGATGAATGGGCCGCGACATACGACTCGGACATGCAAAAGCATGACTTTACAGCACCACGTCTTGTCGCTGAAGGAGTTGCAAGAGGCTTGAAGCTCAACCATCTACATCGCGACCCCAGCCAGGTCCTTAAAGGCCTCCGGATCGTAGATGCAGGTTGCGGGACTGGAGCCGTTGGCAACGAACTCGCGAAAATGGGTGCAGAAGACATCGATGGCCTCGATATAAGCGAGAGCATGCTTAAGGTCGCGCGCAAGAGTGGAGTTTACAAAGACTTGAAGATTGCAGACCTGACGAAGAAACTGAAGTTTGAGGATGGAGAGTATGACTCGCTTGTCTGCTGTGGCACGTTCACGCATGGGCATCTGGGGCCAGAACCACTTGCAGAGTTTCTACGGATCGTGAAAAGTGGCGGCGTTGTTGTTGCGACGGTGCTGGATAGCCACTGGGTCGAGAAAGGTTTCGAAGCTGAAGCCGAGCGGTTAGCGAAGGCCGGTGTATGCGACATTGTGGAGAACAAGGTGCATCAGTATCGCAAAGATGCGGGAGGAGGACGAATTCTGATTCTAAGGAGCATCTAAGTATAGACCAGATTGACAGAATGTGATCAGATTGTATTCGTTTGTGCGCCCTCTGGAGGATCCTCAGCATTCGAGCTTCGTTATCTCACAATATTGCGTCGTTGAGGAGCTGCTTTACGCTCTTGGGTGTGAACGCATGGAGAGAGCACGCTTTGTGCATTGGTGGACGAAAGGATGACCAAATGACAAAGGTTGTGGTGTGCGCCACCCTCGGCTAGCGTGACACGCTAATCTTAACGTCAAATCTCGAATCTCGAGTATACACCCCCGACACTACTTCAAGAGGTCGAGTTCCGGGCGAGTGCTTCTTGCTTCTGACCAAGAGACGCCAGCAAAGAGCGCTCTACCTTCACCTGTTAAGTGCAATCTCGATGGGACACTTCATTTCGATTCAATCGCACAAGCAGGCTTCCGGTACAAAGTTTGTTGGGAGAGCTGCGGTGTCTCCTTTTCCGATATTGCTGAAGCATCTAACCACTTGTCAGTACAGTATGAGGGATTGTTATCACGACATGATGCGATATTGTAGCGGCAGACGGTACCGCTGTAGAATACTAATAGCTACGGCAAACGATAACGTAGGGCTATTGGGTTGATGGAATACTGCGCTCAATTGCTATCTAGCTAGGAGGAGACGATATATACTGTCCCTGGAACGTGCTAGTCCATAACAGTCCAACCAGGGGTAATTGGGTCTTGTACGGACCGATTGATACCGTGACAGATATGTTTGGTGGGTGTCACGCAAGCGATAATGATCACGTAAGTATCCTCAGTTTGTCCAGATGTCAAAACCCGAGTCCTGTCACTATGCCTTTCTCTCCGTCTATTATATTATTTTGCGGGCTTTAGTCTATGTATATCCCTCCTTCTCCAGGGTTGTGCTCCTTGTGTGCTTATATCTTCTTCTTCGCTCACTTCTCAGCTGCGTATATAATGTCTGAATTTTTCCTATTCGTATTTCTGCTTTCATCGTTGCCCCCCTACTCTTCTCTAGCACCAATGCCCTCGCTATCATCTCATCACTATTTCGGAGATTCGCGCTGGTAGCGGCTTTCGAAGTCATCCAAAGCGCGCCGCGCCTACGTCTTTTTACAAAATCCTGGTCCAAGGCATATTGATTCTTTGATCATTGTTGGATGGCTACCGCACCAGCCGGAAACTCACAATGTTCTTTGTGCACATCGCCGAGCTCGGTGAGGAAGGACAGCCATCAAGAGCATGATACAAAGAATGGATGGGCACTACTACACGCACCTATGGCAGAAATCAGTATGCGGCATCACATGCAATGACTTGATCAGTCTGCCCACAGTACTGCGGAACTCAAGACCTCCACACATGTTCAAAATGCAATGGCTGCCTCTACTAACCACTGGCGCATGAGCGATAACCTTACAGTTTGAGGACTCACGCTCTGATATGAGTGGAATCAAGATCTTGCGATAACGTACTGTGTCTGGCTACAGACCGCTTCACATACGCAGAGATCCCGAGAACCTCCAGGTTCGGCTCTGAGGTGCTGGATCTGTGGATTGTGGGAGATTGTAGTTCTCAAGGGCATCATCTGTGAAAGATCCATTCTCATAGTTAATGTTGTGGGGAAGCGCGTCGAAGACACCCGAGATGGGATTTCGGGCGTCGAAGGCAAGACATTCTTGAGATTGTGGTATACGACTCGAAGTAACTAGCTGTCACTGATCAGCATTGTTCGAATGTCATCATCGGACCCGGTAGGCACCTCTACTTAGTTGATGCGAAACTTCGTGTTATTGCTGCTTTCTGTATGAGGTGTAAAGTATGTACCGCCCCTTGGGTTCGAAAAATGGTGTAGCTGACCCACATATAGGCCGACTACGGTGTATATGATGTATTCCAGATGCGTCCCCACATCCTATAGCATGCCTGCAAGGAACCCAATACCAGCCCCAATGCTGATGACTATCCACCCAGCGCCCATAGCACCAGGCATCAACTCTGCCCTTCCTGCAGAGCCTGTCATGTTCATGCCCGCCATTGCAGTACCAGTCGCGGTAGTCATGCTCATGCCGCTCATCCCACTCATTCCACTCATGCCACTCATGACCTCACCGTTCGACATGGTCATGGAGGCGTCCATCGACATGCTGCTCATATCGGTCACCATGGAGGAGCCGCTGGCAGCAACTGCGGCGGCGGCTGTGGGTTCGTTGTCCCACATCATAGTGACAATCTCGGCGGCGGATGCGGTGGCGGTTGCTGATGGCTTTGATGTCATACCAGATTGTGCGAGGGCCAGAGGTGCGAAGGCCAGGACGGCGACGGCGAGGATATTGGAGTGCATTTTGACTAATTCGATATTGATTTCCGTTGATTAAGAGAATGTGTTACTGATCGTAAGAGTTCGTAAGGAGTGTGGTGAGTCCGGCTCGAGAATGGAAATGGCAGGTGCCTGGGGTATCGAATGGAAGATGATGGATGGAGTCAATCGCAAAAGGCTGTACTTCTACACTTAAATCAGCATCTCGAATGTGCGACACGCAATGTGCAGACCCGTGACTGTCAAGTCGCAACTCGTGTTACGCCAAGGTGTCGGGAGGCTAGAGTTCCACTGCGGCATGACATTGTGCTCGGGCGCTCCAGCCACTACTCATCGACAAGCAAAGGCGGTGCATAGCCTGGCAGAGCGAATGCTGCAAACACGGCGGAGGTGTTTGTTCGATGATTGTTGCGAGAACGTTTCGCGAGGGGTTTCGGACAGGGATGGCGTTGATCTTTGACGCTAGATTCGGAGAGGGAAGGCGCAAGCAGCTGAAACCATGGCGTTGGTGCTTGTTCGCACCTCAGGCTTCAACCACCACTCTTTCCTCCAGCTCTCACTCATGCTGCTTCATCCATTACAAAGCGTAGCCATGCGATCTTCATCAATATGATCCGTGCAGAGCAAGAATATGTACATTGAGCATACTGACAAAGCTCTTTGACAGCTCCATGCCCTGTCCAAGGTAAGAACAAAGGGCGCCGTTGTCCCCGCAAAGCACGCATCCGAACAACCTGTAATACACACCGCCACCTTTACTCGAAGGAACAGAAGCCATACACAACGTTTGCTGTCCTAGTCGCCCTCCAGCATCTGCTCGAGCAACTCATCGGACGCCCAGACGCGCTGCGTCCGCTCGCGCTCGATACAGGCCATGTGTTCTAGACTTTCATTCCACCTGATCGCTTCCGGGAAGGCCTGCGCAAACAAAATTCGCTGTTCGAATGCCCATCTAAGGTTCTCCGCCCAGCCGCTTATGTCCCACGGGTGAGGCTGCGCGATCTGATTGAGGTAGCGGTACGGTGGTGTGCGGCGAGGGCCTCCGAAAGCGTATGCGCTGTAAGGATCCGATTCGCCACCAGCGCCCTCAACTTGGAACGCCTGCGCAAGGTCCAATACGGTGGATAACCCTGCAACGCCAGGTGGCGGCGGCGGCGGCGGCACGTATTCAGCCTTCTTGGAAGTCAGCATTATGCCACGATTTACCATCTCACAGGAAACTTCTCGCAAATACACTTACTGGCTCTCGTACGTAAGGTGTACCATACCCGCCATCAGGTTCAGAATCGCCCATGACCACTATATCTACCGCATCTTCTGGGTCCATATTTCCGCTGTCCCTCGCAGCTCTGCATTTGACCAACGAGCCTGGCCCTGGAGACACAGTTCTCGATCTTCTTTCCGCATTCGACCTTGTCCTTGCTGCGCTGCTCCGTCTCCTCGTCTTCTTCCATCCGTCAGGTAACTCGAGGCCTTGCGGCGGCCGTGTAGGCTTGGGTAGGGGCGGAGGAGGTTTCCTGTTTTCCCAGCGTCTGAACACTGCTCCATCAGTGTTTGCCTCTCCTACTTTAGTCGGACCTCCCAGCAAGTCCAGCAGCTCTTCGTAATCCTTCGGGTATCTCCACCCATCCTCTGAGTTCTGCACGCAGTATCGTACCATTCTTGTCAGGTCCAGCGCATCGTCCCCTTCCGGCATTGTTCTCACATTCTCAGCAAGGCTTCTGAAAGACACGGTTCCTGCTGGTCCACCAGGCGCCGTCCGCAGATTGCCCACATCTAGTCTGTTTGCATTCCACAAGGCTTTCCGACTGTTATGCCACAGGTCGTGTCTCGTGATGGTCCACTCGGCATAGCCAGCCTTCTGCATCGTCTTGTACATGGCTTCTCCACAACAATTGGCACTCCATTCGGCATCCAGATCGCGATGGGTGTTGACGATGGCATGGATGGACTTGCGCGTGCCACCATTCGAGATCATCCGGTATATGACGTCGGCGCAATTGATGCTATTCGGGAGGAAGGCGAGGATCTCGGCGACAGTCATATTTGCCTTCTTGGGAAACGGTAAAGCGTTTGAAGGCGCGTTGTCGCCAAAGCTTGGTCTGGTTGGGTACGTCCTGCGCTTGAGCTCCGCCATGCTGAGCCGTACGTAAGTTGAAAGAGAAGGGAGCGAGAGGTTGCAACAGGGTGAAAGGGCTTGTTAGAGGCCTTGTGTTTGCGGGAATAGTCAAGGAAGCATCTATGAAAGGCTGCGCATTGCTTTCTGACCATGTTTGTTGCGACGGCCGATCCTGAGGGAATTTTCGCGCGCAAACTGGCTACTTCGTCTTGTTTGGGCACAACAATAACGGCACTATCTTTGGGGCCCGAGCGCAAGCTCCTCCAGGCGAGCTGCTCCTCGCCGCCAACTTCTTCCTCCCAACCCTGGCCAGCCCAGTTCTTGCGTTTTGTTGGGATTGCAGCATCGTTTTTGTACAGTCTTTGAGTACTGCAACGGCTATCGATCTTTTGGCGTGTGGACTTGAAGTGAATTTGGACTTCGCAGGTAGGACCACACCTTCACGCTGCTTCATCTTCACCGAAGTCCTTCGTTTTGGCGCGCCTGCCGCTTTCACATCGTATGTACTGATTTGTGGAAGTTCAAGCATTCAGAATGACGGCGATTGCGAAGAACAATGCGTTCGGAGCAGGCAGTCCCAGTTGGAACCTCTCCTTCCCTGAAGGCAATCTTACAGCTTCCGAGATCCTCGCGTACCTTCCACACTGGCTAAAGTCGGTGGATGTCATCCTCAGGCTCGTCAATCATGGCGGCAGGTCTGTCACGATCACCCACTTGCTTAACAAGTTCAGAGTCATGCCTACCAATGACTACCAACCCAACTCTACGACCGTCATGATGCACTACGCCATGCGTCGTGCTGGCAAGGCAGACTGGACGATTGGCACACGTGGCGAGTTCGACAATAATCGTGAGTATGATGAGAACAGCTTGTATGTGGGCGATTTCAGGCCACCGCGCCTGACTCACCCCAAGAGCGCTTCCACCAAGCAGAACGCGAAGAAGGAGAACCTGGCACGCAACCAGGCAGCTGACCCTATCCCGTTCAAAGACCTCGCCCTTCATGTGCAGGAGCACCCTTCAGGTGACGACGCGCTTGACCTTACTCGTTGTGTCGACTACGCTCTCAAGCATCCAATGGAGAAGTGGCTCTTCCCTACCGACTTCAGAAAGTTAGTGAAGCACATTGGAGGCCCGCTCCCCGTCACTCACTCTCACCTCGACAAACAGCTCTTTGCGCGCTACGACCCTCTGTTCGCCGCCCACGGTCCCACACGAGCCCCCGCCAAGTACAACAAGAAGTCAAAGGCCAAGCGCAGGGCCGACTCTGACACCGACTCGGACAGCGACAGCGACAGCGACAGCAGCAGCGAGACTGGAGTTGAGGTCAAGCCCAAGGCCACGGCCAAGAAGACCAGCAAGAAAGCTGCCACCAAAGTCAACAAGCCCATCAAGAGGGTTATGCGCCAGGCACGAGACAGCGTAATGGCAGGCACTGCCTCGCCCACACTTGGAAAGCGAGTTCTTGGCCAAGTCGACGGCAGTCACGATGATGGCGGTGGTAACAGGAGGAGCAGCCGACGTGTCAAGAAGGCGCCAGATTACGTGGAGAAGGATGAGGATGCTACGGTACAGTCTAAGGTTATCACGCATCTATTTCAGCATGCTAATTCGTTATCTTTAGGACATCGAGTCTTTCGACGCAGACTACATCACTTCCCGCAAGAAGCGCAAGCTCTTACGCATCTCGCTCACCCCCAAAGTAGAGGAGAGCGACTTCGAAGCCAAGGAAGAGCCCGAAACCGACGACGAGATCCTACCTGCCATCAATGAAGCCGCCGACGACTCAGACTTCGGCACGCCCACTGCCGCACGTGGCAAGCGCCTCGCGTCCCGCAAAGCGCGTCAGACCATCAAGGAGCAGTCCCCCGCCGTCCTCATGGAGCAGTTCCGCGCCGCCGCTGCAGCCGCAAAGCCCGCGCACAAGACCTTCATGGAGCACAGCCCCGAGATGATGGCTGCAGCCCGCGCATACGCGACTCGCACACCCGTCTTCCTCCCACCTCCCGTCCTCTCTGCAAACCGTATGGTCATCGACCCGTACACGGTGTACCTCTACGCCCAGGATGGCTGCCGCAACGAAGACGAACTCTGGGCTTCTGCGCTGTCGATGTACCGCTTTGGAGGTCCGCGTCGCCACGCCCCGTTTCGTGAGTTGTATCGTCTGACTGAGCCGATGGAATGGGACACGAGTGAGTGGGCGGAGAATGTCAGGTGGGCTAAGGAGCAGTACAAGTACTTTGGTGTCGAGAGCTGGACTGAGTATGATAATCATCTTGAGTGTATTACTAGGTGGAGGATGCAGGCGCTGTGGGTTAGTGAGGAGGTTGTTAGGGCGGGCATGTACTGAGCAATCCCATCTGGAACCTGGGAGGCACTCAAGACACCAATATGATTGCAGCATGGGGAAACTGTGAATCATGTGTCTGGGACATAGAGGCGCCGACAATCCATTCTGTACCTACTCTGGAGGCATACAATACATCGTACACTACTCTCGAGTCCCAAAACCGTGGTTTCCAATCCTCTCATTGTGTCACTGTTTAACGCATCCTGGAGGTCGTCAACGTACTGAGCTGCTCACCCCACCATCACAATCGGAGAAATCGGTATTTACAAATCGGCGTATTTAAGACTCAAAGGAGGCACTCAGGACACGAATCCAAATCACGAACGGGTAAATCGCAAATCTCCTTTCCGGAGATAAAAATGCTGAAGTTGAGTTGGGGACGTTTTCATGGAGTACACTTAGAAGATGGCTCGCTCTAACACCAGCCGGTGGTCTGGGACGAGAAAATCGCAAGTGCTGGTTTTAAGAGATGGGACCACAGAGGCGAGACGTCTACCGAGGTCTGGGATGGGAGATTATGGTTTATGTTTTTTTTTGAAGGATTGAGACTGATGAGTGAGCTGGAAGGTAGTCAAGGGGTATGCGGTAGAGTACAGAGGGCAAGAACGTTGTTTGAGAATGAGTGAAGTTAGGTTCTAAGAGAGCTAGGAGATGTTCAAGGTGTAGATCTTAAGTGAAGAATGGTGTGCATGTAGAAGTTGTGGTTCACGTTTTGCGAAGTTGAGACGAATAAGCGGGACCTTGGAAGTATTTAAGGCATTGATACGGAAGCACAAACGGGAATATTGTGATTTTGTGATTCTGGACAGTAAGCATTCGAAGAGGGAGCTGAAAGGTATTTGTTTCGGTATCAATTGGTCCGTACGAGGCCTGATTGCCGCTGCTCAGACTATTCTGGACTAGCATGTTCCATGTAACGGTCCATGGGGTAAGGACGTCCCATGTACCACGTGTTGGTGCAGTGGTTCCTACTCCCCTTGATAAGCACTTTCCACACTCATCTGTATCATAGATACGCCATGTAAACAAACCCTTGTGATGGCCATACAAAAAGGCCATCACGACAGACAGAACAGCAACACATCTTTGGATTATGCAGAGCAACCTCTCCTCATCACTCCCACAGTGAAATTCCAGGACAGGTACATATCGTCTTCTCCTAGCTAGATAGCAACCCAGCGCAGTATTCCATCATATTCTACTAGCGGCCCCACGCCGCCACAGTATTCAAGGTAAAGACCCAAAGTTACAACAGAGACCTTGAGATTTTCAATTTCGCAGAGCGGTGGACCTCCCCAACGTCGTGTCAGAGGTAGGTGATTGCGTCGGGCTCGATAGCAACTTGATGTGTCATCATGCGTGATCGTGGTGGCATTCAATACTGTTCTAATTCCAGGAATTGCGAAACCCTTGTATTACGATCCCGAGATTGTGGGTGAGGATAACGGTAGGCTGGAAGACTTCGGTGTACTGAAGTGCCACTTGAGTTGTGAAAACTCCAATTTACGATTTTCGCGATTCAAAGTTATAAAAGATTGCAAGGGCATGCTATTTTAGTGAGGAGGTTTGTCGGGGCGGGAACGTAGGAATCGGGATATGGGAAGTTAAGTAGGTACCCAGGAGGTATTCGACGCACCGAACGCTATCCTTGGTCTGCAAATTGTCAAAGATTTAATGACTGTCTGAGTTCCACTAAAATACAATGTCGGAGACTATCTTGAGGTCCCCCACGCTGTGCTCTACTAAATCCCAAAATGGAAAAATACCTCTTCGAGCTCAGGAGACTCACCCAATCGCGGACCATCGTGCACCGGCAAACAATTCTCAAGCTTACAGCCAGCCCAACGCGTGCCCATCGACCACATGGTCATTGGCTTGCCGGTGATAAATGAGGTGATAGTCCTAGGTCGACTCGGACCATCAAGCACTGGCTGGGAGGTATACAAGGGCTCCAACGGCATAACGGTGAAGTTCCTCTCTGTGAACAACGGCGAAAACGGTGTCTCGTACGCCAGTGCCTCCTCATCCTTCCTCCTCTTCTTCACCCCACTCACTTCCTCCAGGCTCTGCTCATACTGAACGGCACTTTTAAGTAGGTCGCGGTGCACTCTCTGCTCCGCCAACAACGAGGCGACGCAGACCTGACTACCTCTAGGCGTTGCCGACACCTCATCCTCCGCATACTCCTCCACCTTCTTGCCCTTCTTGAATTTCTTGGCCTTTGATGGCTGGCTGCATCCAGCCTCGTCCATAGCCTTGCGCTTCTTGGGCTTGGGCGTGGGCGCAGAGGTCTCGTCGTCGGTGTCGGCGTCAGCTTTTTGACTACCTCCAGCCTTGGAGGCTTTCTTCACTTTGTTGTATTTCTGAACAGGAACCACGCGTGAACCATCCGGGTTCAGCAGGATAATGGTCTTGTCGTTCTCATCTCTTTCGTGCACGCGTGGACGGCCACGACCTCTTTTTCGGGGGTCTGTGGAGGTACTCAGTGTTGTTTGGCTGATGCAGGGCAGGTGTGGGAAGTGAGAAGACATTTTTGATTATGTGTATATGTGGAGGTATTCGTAATACTGTGAAGTATGATAATGTGTATGATGTGCGATGGGATGAGAAGAAAGAAGCATGTAGTGTCGAAAATGGGCTTCACATGTTGAGCTATAATTCACTGTAGCCTCAACTATGGTTCAAGAAGATCCTGATACAGTGTTACGAATACATCCGCAGCGTAGTATTCCATGGATTCCACCAACTGTGGTTCGAAATGTGGGTATGGCATTTTTTTCTCATTAGCCGGGATAAGCGTCAACCATGAGATCTCAATGGCGAGAGGAGGCATGTGTCAGCATGAGGTATCCGGAAGGTACTCAAAACATGGGTGTGCTCAGCAGTTCGATAAAGTTGGCCTCTTCGATTCTTATGACTGTAAGACCATACGGTGTACAGTACACACTGATCATAGGGGCTGGAGATATTCAGAATGAACGCATTTGGTCATAACCCTCGACTTCTTCCCATATATTGGTAGATGCTGAAATCATGAAAGGACATATATGTCATTTTCCGGTTGCTATTTGAAGCGCTGGTTTTCCTTATGTTTTCAAAGGCGATATATGCCATCACCATCATCATGATTTGCTCGGTCTTATCTGACCACCTGGAATCTATATATAGCCTTACAACCAAAGTTGAGGGTACCGCTTGATGAAGCAATCCCAGTTTGAGCCCTTTCGGCGACGCACGATCTAGGTCCATGTTCCAGGTCTTATGGTCTGCGTTTGTCATGAAGGTGATCTGATATGTATTCTTTTGCGCAGACGTTAAGGTTCACTATGCACAAGTAGTGGCATCCAGGAGGTGCTCGAGTAGTTGAAATATTGGATGAGGTAAGACAAAATTAGTGGGGTTGAAAACCACGACTACAGACTTAACATGAGCTCAGGAGGCACTCATCAAACTCACCCTGAATTTGGCGGCAAAACAGAAGGATTAACATGCTTGAGAGCGGAGACAGAAGTCCGATCCTGGACAAGTTCACACACCCCTGCTCAACTCTTAACGCCGTTCTTTGGAAAAGAATCCTCCGAGTGTATATTCTAGCAGGCATTGTAACAATGTTGGCGAGCTCCTCGGTTTAGTTGAACCCTGGGTCCGAACTCAGTCGTGGCTAAACGAGCCTGTAATAGTCAACTAGTCGTAGTCGTCCTTCTTCTATGGTTCACGCTAGCTTGAGCCGGACCTTCTACATTGTCTAATAAACCAGATTATAGGTTGGGCGTGAGCATAACTGCATACTGTATTCTTCCGATACTTCACATCGCACAAGTGTTGAACCATGGTTTTCTTGCCGTTCCTTTTCCATTTCCGACTGTGATTGGAGAATACACTCAACCAAAAACCTTTCCTACATACGAGTTTTGAAGATAGTGTTTAGATAAACTCGGTTCCTTTGTTGCTTCCATCCCATCTGACATCAAACACAACTACATACTACTACACTTCCATACAACACTTTACACACTCTCACGATGGCATCCACATAAAGCAACAACCTGACAGCTTCCACGGTCTCAATTGGATACGTCCCTACCACAAGAACTGGCAAGCCCGGACGGTCATGCAAGTATCAAAAGGACGAGAACGGCAAACCACTCCTCGCCAAAAAAGGCTACGCCCCGAGGGGTTCTGGAGGTAATCAGCGCACTGAGGCGTCCACGTCCGCGCATGCACCTGCCCCTGCGCCTACGACCGCGCCCAAGCGGAAAGCGCAGTCGAAGTCCGAGGCTGGAGGCAGTCAGCAGCCTAAGGCTAAGAGGGCCAAGAAGTCCAAGAATAAGGTGTTGGAAGAAGAGGAGGCAGTGGCAGAGGTGTAGGCCGCGCATGGAGATAGTCAGGCCTGTGTCGCTTTGCAGGTCAGTCAGGGGATAGCGTTGTTGGTGTAGCAGTGGGAGGCAAGGGTGCAAAGTATTCTCAAAAGCGCTCTAAAGCCCTCCCGGGATGCATCTTGGGCCCATGTCGCCGCAATTCGAAAGAGGTGAAAAGGAATAGGGCGGAAGGGAGGAGGTTCAAGTTGCCGGGTGAGAATAACGAATTTAAGATGGAGTGGCTCGAGATACCTCTAAACACCCCCACGGTGGTTGATGACGGGAAGACATGATGATAGAATGCATTCACTGTGATTACTACTTAGCCCCTTTGATAAAGTGATACAGCTTGCTCGCACCATTTCCATCAGTGAGAGGCTTTCTTGCAGTACTTCTCAGGCGCAGAGCGCATTTGAAGCCCAACATCTACAGCCTATGTTTGGAATCCTTCAGCTTCCTATCCAAGATCGTATGCCCCAAGTCCGCACACAGCGGAAACGCCACAATCATATATTCTGCCTCATGCATCTAGCGCCTAGGTGCGGTTGCTGCATCACTCATCGTCTGCCTCCGCTCTTCCACTTTCTTCTCAATGTCCTTCTTCGCTTTGTCCACAACGTAGTCCAAGTCTTTCAGCTCCCAGTAACTCTGCCAATTTTGCTTCGCATACTGTATGGCGAGACCTCGATCACTAGTCGGTTCTGCCGGTATGGGCTGGTTCGCGAGTAGACCGGCGAGGTATGGGCTCGGACGTTCACCGCGACTGAGAGGGAAACATTCGAGGACCTCGCTGTAGCAGTGGTATATGGCGCTAGTATCTTTCCTCAGTTCGTCCCGTCGCTTCGCATATTGTTCAGCTCGTTGTTTTCGCTCCCTCTCTAGGCGCACACGTTCGGCTATCTCGTTACGACATGCTGTATCGGGATGTACAGACGCTAATGTCTTCTGCTGAGGTTGCGGTATAGCGGGAGCTAGTGTGATGACCTGTGGGGTATGAATACGCTTGGTTGGCGTGATCCGTGGGGAGGGTAAGGAGGTAGCCGCATCTAGACGTTGAGGAGTTTCCGGTCTGCAAGATTGCTGAGTAAACTGCTGCATTGTGTTGATGAAATCAAAGGCCATCGGTTTCTGAACTTGAGGATGAGTTGCACTCAATGGCTTGAACTTGACATTCGCGTCTTCTGACGTTTGCTTGGGCGTTTGCTGTGGCGTCAGTGCAGGCGAGGGAGGTGCATACCCGGGGGATTTATATCGTTGCTGCTGCTGCACCATTTGCTGAGATTGAAAGCTGACAGCATGCTGGTGTTGATGGTTTTGTCGAGTTGAAGCATGGGTTTGCATCTGGTGATAGCAACGTTGCTGGCCCATGTTTGCCCTCTGTGGCTGATGATGCCCAACATATGTCTCACGTGGTGTTTGCTCCTGTACCCGTTGCTGGCATTGCTGTTGATAGTGATGTTGCTGCAACAGATTGGTGTTGAGCTGCTTGGAGGCAAATGGCTGCGTCTGGCAGAAGCGAGCAGGTGAACCGGGTTGTGCGCCCGCGAACGGGTTGAAGCTGGTGGCTTGCGACGGCGCAAACAACGTGTTTTGGGCGTTCTGGCTTGAGCATGTATTGGGGTCGAAGGACGCCATGAGCAAGGCGGAGATGCCGCATGACGCTGCTCGCGAAGAGAAGCCGTTGTGCTGCGAAGACACCATCGTATTGTGAGGATATGCGTCCTGCATTGCGCTTTCAATGTGTGATATATTTGGGAAAGTTGAGAAAGTATTCGTTGGATACAATTACGTCTGCTTAAGTTAGTGTGCGATAGAAAATGATGTGCGTTGAGATAGGAGTGATGAGCGTGCCGCCAACGAGGGCGCCTAATCGGCGGAGGGCAGGTGAAGTTAGCTAGCATCGCGGTGAATATTGACGGTGAACAACGAATGTAGCAATGAAGGTACTGCGAATGCAGGGTGAAAGCGTTGAGAGAGCGGACGCATCTCTGCGTGCTGAGCAAGCACAAGGCTGTGCTTTTGTTTGGACCGCTCTTGCCATGCACTGTTGCCATGATGGCAAGATGCAATCAGGACCATCACCAAATGGCCGTTTCGCATACCAGCAAGCAGTTGGAAGACTGCGAGATTCTGGAATCAGATCTAATCTGATTCGATTTACTACATTTGGATGTTCTTTGATCTATCTACAGATTACCGGGTATCGTCAGATTTACAAACTTTTCTGCTCTTCGTATCGTGGCATCATGCTTCCTTCCCATCAGACGCTTCTGAGCTAACACACACTTTGTCTGCTTCGATCGCGACACGTGTCATCTTTCTCCGTTTCTCTATGGCTCTCTAAGCCTCAGTATTTTGGTCGATGCACTCTTAGCCAGAACCTGCGGACATGTCGCCACCTTACTCGTCGTCTTCATCATTCTGCTCATAGGGCGCATTGACAGCTGTAAAGCCGGTGCTTCCAGCAGATTGCACAATATGGGACTTGCGCTCAGCCAATGGAGAACAAGCAGCTTCATCCCCGGTCCACTCATCCTCAGTCTCATCTCCTTGAGGGCATCCAGGGGTCTGAGGTATAGGAGCTACATCGGAAGGGGCCGGGGAAGCCGGGTGCTGAGGGTTATTGCCGTCCTGCAAGTCGATAGCGAGCTGGTACACGTTCGACATAGTGTACGATGCTTGGTTCTCGATACAATATCTCACACAAGCAGTGAAGATTCCAGCGTCCGCGCCAGTGGGGTGCTGTTTGAGATTGACGCCCAATGCGCGTACATAGTAGTCAACAGTGTCGTACTCATCTGCGCGAATAAGGTCAGTGGCCCTGCAGTCCTCTGCTTCCGCAAGTACGGCACGATTCTCCGCTTCCCACTCATCGCCATATAGCTTCTTGCCGTTCTTGATAGCTGTGGTGCACTTGACAGAACAGGTGTTGCGCAGATAGGGCGGCTCGACTTCGCGGTGATCGTTGAGAGCCTGAACAATAGACGCGGGGCCCCAGCCGCGTGCGTATAGTCGAAGGGAAACGATAGGCCTTGAGAGGGAGTTGAAGAAGTACACAATGACCTCGGTATCAGTCAGGGGTACCATAGGCAGTTGTACGTTTGCAGGAGGTATCGATTTGTTAAGGTTGTGGATATCCCTCTTGTTGATGGAGGTGGTGGTCCTCTTGTATGAGTCTGGGGGACCGATTCTGCCGGGCGTGTATGGTGTGCGGGGAGTGGCTGGGAACGAGGGTCCTAGAGCCGACGGAGGCGCTGTCTGAAGGGCCTGCGCGATGTCAGTTGAGTCGCGTGCTGGCTTGGTGGTTCGCTTACTGAAGGCATTGGAGTGGGCAAACCAACGCCGGGAGCTTGTCCAGTTGCTTTGCTGGGAATTTTGACTTCAAGTTTCTTGCGGTACTTTGTACGTCCAGGCATGGTAACGCCTTCAGCGGCGAATGCATCAGCCACTGGGCGCTTCGTGGACGTTTTGGCGGTGATCTTGGCGGCAATCTGCGCAGGGGAAGGACTTGGGTTGTCACCATCGGGCACAGCGTCGCCATCTGCTGATGAAGCTGGTTGCGTTCCGGTAGCTGCGTTCAAGGCTGCCAGTGTCTGGAAGTACGCAACGTCGCGCTCGAGCTGAGCGACGCGTGCATCGAGCTTGTGCATGGCTGAGTGCATATTATGATTGAATCCAACAAGCTCGGTGATAGCACCATGCTGCCTCTCCACTATGTTTGTTAGCGGGCAGTGTGCATTTCAAGGATGAGTTACTGACGGTGTTGCTGGTTTCTCAGGTTGGTGTTTTGGAGCATTTGCACATAATTTTGCTGGTATGGGTAGTCGACACCCGGGATTGTCACCATGTCGGCGACTTGATCTGCTCATTCTCAGTTGCTGCCCTGTCACTGTAGCCTGCATGCAGTGCAAATATCAATTTAATACCTACCATGCGCTCCCGTGTAGGCGCTCAGAGCATTCATGTCCATCTGCGCACCAAACCCCGCTGCGTTGTCGTCTTGAAAGTCGAAACCTTCCATCCTTGCAGTGCGCGCAATGCGACTTGTATACGTTGGTCGAACGCTGCGCGTACCCAAAAAGCGGTTCAGTTGCGTCAGGCTGTTGCTGGCCAAAAAGTGGTGATTTGGGCGTGTTTTGGTGGGAACCACTGTTTGTTGTTCTGTTGCCAGGGCCGAAATTGGACGAGATGAAAGCCACGATGCGACTGGCAGTTTTTGAGCACCTGCGCTACCGCCCGCCACAGGAACCCCTCTAACCCTATCACTGCGTGGCGAAAGCTCACGATGTGTGGCTGGTACGGGTAGGGCGGCAACGGCATGGTTCTGGTCGGCGGGCTCTGTCTTGATCTTCGCCGGAGGAGGCTGCTTGTGCGTATCGCGAGGTACGTTCGACGATCTGGTTCGCGGCGAGAGCTTCGGTGGAGGGAATCTTGCATCGTCATCGCTATGGCGGCCAGATGATGGAGCTGCGAATAGCATTGCTATCATTCCTCCACGCTTCGAAGGTATGGCTGAGAGCGGCCGCCCTAAGCTTTTCTCCCTCTTGATCTTGGGATCTGCCATCGCAGTCTCCAACAGTGGGTATAGTACAACAGTGGAAAATGGATGTAGTCAACATTGCGTTCGTCAGAAGAGTTTTCTGAGTGCGCGCGGCTGTCTGTGCGCTTCGCCATGGTGACATCGCGCGGTGAGGTGAAGATGCCTGGTGGTTGCGAAACATTACATGTGGGCGTACAGTGCCGCGAGCCGCAATGTGTACGCTACAGACGTTCTGAAGAACAGGGTAAGTGCAAAAGAAGACTTTGGCACTGCAGTTGCTGAACGCCGAATACAGTACGATGACCTTGGGACTCTTTGCCTTGGGAACTTTAGAAGGCGCAAGTGGGCTAGATCACGTGCGCAGCGGTGAGAGGGAAAAGAAGTGACGAGGTGAGAGATGATATATGGAGTCATTCCAAGAGAGCAAAGCAGACACCGCCAGTGTCCGCTGTGCGAGAAGTAGACAAGTCAAAAGGAAACGCAAACAGCTAAGGAAACCCATAACCTCACCGTCCGTACGCTTCCGGGAAACGGCTGGTCCCGCCTTCGTGTCACTCATCACCAGGGCCTTCAACACTTCCTCGCGCTGAATTTCCGTTGGCATCACCCACCATGGAGCCCTTCAATCTCACCCAACCTCGGTCCAGATGCCTGACCGCCACATCAACGACCTCCTTCATGCTCGCTCCACCAAAGATAAGTGAGTTTGGAATCTGCACTCTGAGCTCTTTCCTCGCCCAGCTGCCGATCTCTGCCGCGACGAGCGAGTCGATGCCTAGATCTAGCAAGCTTCGATTCTCGTCAATCTTGTCCATCTGAAGCAGAACGCCGAGCTTGCGTGACAGTGCTTCCGTCACAATGGCGCGAATCTCATCAGGAGAGGAGGCTGATGGCGCGGCCAGTTGTTTGCTTAATTGCCGACGGTGTGATGCCTGGCGTTCAGGTGCCGAGTAGGTATTCGCACGACTGGGTTTGGTCATGAGATGTGCGAACATTGGAGCATTTGCCCATGTGCACTGCTCCAGCACTTCAGGGTCCACATTTCTGATGCCAGTAATGATCTCAGGTCCGGTACCTGAGTTTGAAGGGCTTGCAAGGACGGCTTCTGCGAAGATATGATGAAGGTCTCGCTCGGAGATGGGGTACAGACCAGTCTTGCGGAGCTCTGTGATGCTTCTTAAAGGTGTCTCGTCGTTGGCATTGCGCTGGACGTAGCCGATGCCGCTGACGTGGCCGAGATGTACTACCGATGCAGGCAGTCCTAAAGAGCGTCTGTACTTTGCAAGGCCAACCATGAAGGCGTTGCCCGCAGCATAGTTGGCTTGGCCGCGGTTACCCGCAATGTATGAGATGCTGGAAGTCATGATGAAGAAATCCAGATTCTCATCTTTCAGCTCATCGTGCAAGATAAGGCTACCATTTGCTTTGACATCGGTCACAATTTTGAGATCTTCGTGTGTCATGTTGTTAAACGCAGCATCGCGGAGCACAAGCGCAAGATGCATCACACCAGCAATGGGTGGCATGCTTTCTCGACCAACAGCGCCATCTCGTGCTGAAGCCAAGAATCTGCGAACCGAGGTCCTGTCTGTTACGTCCACGGACACGATGCGTACAGAAGCGCCCTTCAAGGCCAGGCCTCGGGCCCAGTCCTGAGCATGGTCAGGATTCCGGCTGGCAACAACGATGAATCTTGCGCCACTATCGATCATCCATTCACACAGAGCACGAGCGATGTCGCTACTGCCGATAATGAGATAGGTCTTTTCAGGATTGAATCTCACGTCTTTAGTCGCTGGCAGAATTGTGACCGGCACTGTCTTATTCACAGTCCAGTCGACCAAAGTAGAAGGGCCATGAGTGAGGTGTTCAGCGGCAGTCTGAGGATCCACAACGCTAGCTGGTGTAACTTTGTCTGTGGACATTGTTGTCATCGTGTTCAAGTATGTCCCAGCAGTAATGTGACATCGTCCAAGACCGCGGCCAGAGGCATCGCCGGTCGACTTCCTTTCGAAGAATGCATCGTTGTTGCGAGTCTTCACGCCAGTGCGACGTAGCACGGAGCATACACGATTGAAGAGTACCTCGTCATCATGATATGTTGACGCGTTGGCAATGAGCGAGGCATCGACTGGGAGCTTTTGTCGTACACTGAGGTCCAGGCTGTTGTGATGCACAAAGGTAGCTCGATCCTGCTCGAACGTTGATTGGCTCGTTATGAAGAGGATCCTTTTTCCATGCTTTGCAGCTTTCGCATGGATGGTGGACATCCAAAGCGGATCGGCGACCAGGACCACGATAGTGCCAGTGCAGCGAGATGAGCCCACCACGCGTTCAGCAACAAAGTGCGCGGAGACATGCCGCAAGTGATCTTCTTCGCTTTGTTGTATAGCGTGGCCTATGAACACCAGCTTCTGAGGTACTTCGAGCCTTGAGCGGCAAGCATCAGAAAGCGCGACGACTCTTGCACCATTTTGGCTAATGCCAACGTTGAGGAAGTAAGAACCAACATGCTTGATCCTGATTGCGAACAGGGTAGAGAGATGGACTGTCACCAATACAGTCGGTTCCATGTTGAGTCGAGACGGCGCTTGCGGTACGCCACGAAGCACGTACTGTGCGATCGAACGCTTATATTCAACCTCGATCGGCCGGTTACAAGGGTTTAGATGCTCTTGTATCTTTCGATGGCGAGAATTGTACCTGTCGTTGGACTGTAAGGACAGCCGAATGCTGGGCACATAGGTAACACCCTCCCTTAGGCTCATCTCCGTATGTTGGGTATATTTGAGATTCCCGAGAGTGCCCGTCGACTCCCAATGGCAAGCCAAGTACTGTCGAAGTACTGCATTGGCAAGATATTCGGCCGTGACTCGATCAGCACCTTCGATATCAACGACCGAGATATTGAGGTGAGGTAGCTCGTTCCGGACCGTCCGCATTAGACCAACTGTCATATTGGAGTAGCAGTCAGAGACAACCTCTGGCAAGGTAGATCGTGACGTGATCCAGGTCACGTTCGAGGTCTGGCCGAGAAGGGCTTGAAGAGCACACCAACCTCGCGCAGTAATGCTCTTGAACAAAGGCTGTGTTAGTTCGGCAAGCGAGAGGACGGTGTGTGGCACAGTGCTGCACTTGCTAACACCATCTAGGCTCTTCAGTCGCTGCACTTGCCCAAAGAATGGCGAAAGGAGGGACACAATCTGGGCGACTAGACCAGGATTGTCGATCGGTTCGTCTCCGATGACCAACAAGGATTCCTCTTTTCGGTCCCTGCAGAAGTGCAATGGATCGCGTAGCAATTGCACTCGCTCATCCATCGCTTGTGAGTAGAAGATGCGGTATGGACGTACTATCAGGTCCGCAGCCGGCGTGATGCAGTCGAACCCTGAGAAGCCTGTTGCTTTCAGATAAGCACTCCATCGACTTTCGGATAGGGCAGGTGTCCAGAAACGATCTTTACCGTGCCCTAGCCACCAACCTTGTAGGCCGCCCATGATAACAGTGTTGCTTAGCAAATGTCCATCGGCAAGTTCGACGCAAACAAGGTGGCCACCAGGTCGCAGAAGTGAACGTATATGTCGTAGCACTGCTTTGACATCGCTCGAGGCATGTAGCACGTTCGATGCAATGACAACGTCAAATGACTCGGTGCCAAAGCCTTGCTCGAGAGGATCTCGTTCCATGTCGAATATTTGATAGCTGACTGTGTCATGGTAGCGCTTCAACTTCTCCTTAGCCGGACCAAAGAATGCGGAAGACACATCGGTAAAGACGTATTGTGCGCAGATTGTCGAAGACAAGATTGCCTCACTTGAAGCACCTGTCCCGGCACCGACTTCGAGGATTCGTGCATCAGGAGACTGACTAGTCAAGGCTGCAACGAAGCTAGAGAGAACTCGATTCGTCTCTGGGAGCCCAAGGGCGTCACGATAAAATCGGTGCAGATGATCTTCTCGAAAAAGAACGTCAACTGCAGTCTCTCTGCCAGCCATGATTGAAGGATAAGCAGTACCCATTAGCTCAATGCACTGTAGGTCCACCGAGTTTGCATGATGGGCCATAATCGCGTCTATGGTCTCCTTGTCATCTTTTAGCCATCTTGCCTGGATTGAAGAGTGTCTGCCAAGCAAAGCATCAACGACTGTCAATCGTGCGAATTCGATGAGATGTAAGACTGGTGACGCTTGCTGCCCGAGTGAAGGGACTGCATAGTCGAGAAGTTGTCGAAGATAGTAGAAAGCTACTCGCTGGCATGCAAGCGCAAGATCAACATCTTGTGTGCGTGGGTCTGACGCACAGTTGTCCTGCAATAGGTGATGCGGATGCTCTGGGATCCATGTGACCTCTCGAAACATGGTGAGATCATCTTCAGCTGTCGAGAGACGGAAAGGTACTGTAACGAGACCCTCCATTTGGCACAGGATACCCGCCTCGGATGAGCGCCCAATCGCTCCTGCATACTCGAAGAAAGCGGTCCTGTGGACATCGAATCGTATCGGAATAGTTGGCTGTTTGGAAGACTTTCCAATTGTACCTACGGCGGTTCCGGATCCCACAGCGGATTCCGGCGAAGAGGTCAGGGCTCCAGACACGAGAGGACATCTGGTCTGGAAAGTCTCCTCGCATCGTGTGGGGAAGACTTTGATCGATCTGATGCAAGCAGGGACACGAAAGTTTGGCATCGCAGAATCAGCTGGATAGTTCTCGGCTGCAAAAGACGCTTGGAAGAGGCCATCTAACGTTGCAGGGTGGATGAGGAGATCGCTATAAGGCGCAGCGATTTCGCCAGTAGCGAAGTCGATCCTGCGCTGAATATCTTTAATTGCTTTGAACTGTCCAGAGTAACCATAGCCAGCTTCTGAGAGAGCCCGGTAGAAGTAGTCACGGTCGACAGTGGTCAGATTCGATGGACATTGCAGAGCCTCGGGGGAAGCCCTGTCAGCATCGAACCCGAAGCGTACGTAAATTCGCCCTCCTGCTGCAGTCATGAGCTCGTCGTTGCGTGGATGACTACAGAAGTCGACGTAGAACTCTGCGTGGGCATCATTCTGGGATCGATCGATCTTGACGATGGTAAGGACAGTTTCGATGGAAGTGTTCTCGTCCGGAAACACGATTGGAAGATCGAATCGAAGGTCTTGAATCTCGATCATGATAATGACTTGGTCCTTGAAAATGCGTCGAGCAGCAGTGGACGCCATGGCGACGTAAGCTGCGCCTGGGAGAACAGCGACACCATTCAGTCGGTGCTTGAGTAGCCAAGGTATCTCCTGAGGATCAAGGAAGGAGCGCCACTTTGACTCGTGAGATGCCCCTATCTCCCACTCCTCACCAAGAAGTTCAATTGGTGGCATGGTCGACTGGTATCGCTTTCGCAGGAAACGGTTCTCCCACCAATACTCGCCATCATGCTGCCAGGGGTACGCCGGGAGATCTTTCAACTGCTTCGGCAATGTCATGTGGTTTGACAAAACAGCATCAAAACTGGCAAAATCCACAGCATCTCTGCCAAACTTTGTCCAGACATAGCCAAGTGCCTCCGCACACGACTTGACAGCGCCAATTCCACGTCTGAGTAGGGCGGTATAATTGATGACAGTCGAAGTGTCTACGCCAAAAATTTGACGGACTGCTTTTTCCAGCGTGGGATGGGGTCCAATCTCGAGGATCAGATTAGGAACGCCCTTCTGCGAAACGGCAGTGTCAACAGCAGATGAAAAGTGAACAGGAGATAGCAGGTTTTGAATCCAGTATGCAAGTCCCAGCTGCTCGGCAGCTTCGACACGTTTGCCAGGGAAGACACTCGAATACCATGACGGACAACGTTCGTTCAATTCGAGGCTTGTCATCTGGAGATGCCTCAATGATCGCAAGTAAGGAGCGGCGCATGGGCGCATATGTTCTGAGTGATAGGCCTTGTCAACTTGCAGCCGCCTCACAAAGATACCATTGCCTTCGAGCTCAGCTGTAGCTCGAGTGATCATCGTGTTGTCCCCAGAGATGGTTACAAGAGAAGGGCTGTTGAAAGCTGCAACGACGAGATGACCGGCGTATTGTGGCCGACAGCAGAACTCCTCTGCTTGGACCGCGGATAGAGCTGCGGCAAGCATGCCGCCAGATTCGCCGTTTTCGCTGCTGACTTGCTGTGAGTGCAGCCCTCGATAGTATGCAATGCGGATTGCGTCCTTGGCCTTAATCAGACCCGTTGCGTAAGCAGCTGCAATCTCGCCGGAAGAATGCCCAACAACGGTATGGAATCGAAGGCCAGCAAGTGAGATAAGATCAACCAACAGTATTTGTACGGCTGTCGTAAGGGTTTGAGCGAAGAGTGTTTCGTTAATGCGGGACCTTTTGCTATCAAGCATGAGCTCTTCTTGTATCTTCCAACCCGGTCGGTCGGCCTCCGGTAAAGAAGCAAGCGCGTCATCTAGCTTTGCGATGACCGTCCGCGCCCAAGATGACTGTTCAAGAAGCTCTTTGCCCATAGTGGCCCACTGCGCACCTTGACCCGTGAAAATGCCCATGATTCGAGGTTGCGACTCTGGTCGCCGATTGTCGTACACATAGAAGCCAGGGCATTTCTCACGGTCGTCTGCCGAAACGGTTTGCCGAAGGCTGGCTTCGAGGTCGTCTACGCTGGATGCCACGATAGCGCAACGATGATCGAACTGAGACCTTCTATACTGTAGAGTCCAGGCCAGATCTTGGAGATGAATGCTAGCTCGGTGTTCCTGAAGGAATGCAATGTACGCTTGAAGATTCGCCGCGAGCGCACGCTCGGATACGCCCGAAAATGTGAGGGGTGTGAATAGAGGCACGTCGGCCGAATGGAGAGACGATGAGCTCGCGAACATGCTCTTTAGCGGTTTACTGTAACTCTCGATGATGACGTGTACGTTGGTTCCACCAAAACCTAACATATGTCAGCGAAGACTGGCATTATGTCCCATCCAACTGCAAGACTTACCAAAACTGTTGATAGATGCTCGACGAGGACACCCTTTGGACAACGTGGGCCATCGAATCGAAGCTGTAGGCAAGTGAAGATGCTTGCTATAAGGTAGTACCTTAGGGTTCATGCGGTGGAAGAGCAGGTTGGGAGGAATTGTTGCGTGCCGCACGGCGAGAGCTGCTCGAAGAAGGCCTGCAACCCCTGCTGTACCCTCAGTATGACCAATCACCGTCTTGATTGAGCCAATGTACAAGGTCTCGTCATCGCCATACTCTCGGCCAGGTGGGAAGAAAGCTGCTTCTACGGCTTGGGCTTCGATTGGATCTCCGACAAAGGTGCCAGTACCTGCAAGTGTCAGGGGTATCCACAAGATGAATCATGGATCTTACCGTGCGCCTCAAAAAATGATGGGCGTGAGCCTTCCTCAGTAGGAACCAGCCCAGCGCGTGCGTAGGTCTCACGTATCAACTTAGCCTGCGCCTCCGCGCTCGGCATCGTGATGCCCTTCGTTCTTCCGTCTTGACTCGTTCCCGTCTCGCGGATGATGCATTCAATGGGATCGCCATCTCTTACTGCAGCGTCCAGGCGTTTTAGGCACACCACTGCTGTACCCTCGCCACGTCCATAGCCGTCGGCCGCTTCATCGAACATTTTGCTGCGCATGATCAATGAGTCGTTTTCAATGACTGTTGCAAACGTACCTGCGACCATCGCCGCTTATCATCCCCATTCGACTCAAAGACTTGAAGGAATTAGGCGTGAGGATGAGATGCGCCCCACAAGCGAAGGCGATCGTTGATTCGCCGCGCCGCAGGGAAGACACTGCGAGGTGTACAGCCATCATACTGGATGAGCATGCTGTGTCAACTGACAATGAAGGACCTCTAAAGTCGAAAGTGTACGAGATGCGATTTGCAGCCATGCTGCGGGCAGTACCGGTGGTCAAGATCTGGCCACATGATGCATCTACGTCGTAATTTGCGTTCTCGTAGTATTCGTTCGCCATCATTCCTACGAAGACGCCCACATCGGTTCCTTGCAGGTCTTCGAGGCAGAGGCCGGCAGACTCAATGGCCTCATAAACGTTCTCGAGGAGCAGTCGGTGCTGCGGATCGATGTTTTCGGCCTCGGCAGGGGATAGTTTGAAGAAAACCGGGTCGAATTCACGGATGTTCTCGTCCAGAAAATAGCCTTTGTGCGTCTTGACAGATCCATGGCGGCCGTCTGGTCGGTAGACACCTTCCCAGTGAAACCGATCGCGTGGAACGTCTTTGAGCAGATCTCGAGGGTGCTTTAGCAGTTGCCAAAGTTTCGAAGGGCTTGATGCGCCTCCGGGTAGACGACACGCGGTGCCAATGATCGCGATCGGCTCGGGTGGCTTCTCCTGGGCCATCGAGCTCACGTTCGAGGCTTTGAAGGGAAGTAGTGAGAGTCTTGGTGAAGAGCTGCTGATTTGTGGTTCAGCAGGTGTATTGAAGTCAGACTAAATGGGTAGTCGACATAGAAGATATACTCAGTGCTATAAGTAGGGATATGTTACTGACGTAAATACAGACTCGTGAGGCTGGTGAAGTGTGCCAAAGCCACGCTTAGCTGATATAGCACATCACCAACTGCTTGTAACATGATGTAGTATTCGATGCTATACCGCCATCTCGGCGGTGTAACATCGTCCACGGTCTCCAAACGAACATGTAGATTCAGAAAGTCCTACTGGTCAGTCGTTCACCGCATTCACGAGAAGCCAATGACGCCTGCTTTCGACGCGTTTGCAGCGCACGCCTCGAACACATGGCAAGCATGGATGCCTCCATTGGATATGCCAACGGTCAGGATGTCTGTACATCTGAATTTCGTGGTATAAGCTCGCTCGGGTAGCTGCGGCCATCGTTGGGAGAAGTCATTGTGTGAGTGATGATGTGAAGAAGCCTGACGTCGACGCGTTCAACTTCGCGGGCGAATACGCTAGTCCCAATTCATTCATCGTGATTTCCTCCATGACTTGCCCTTTCGACATCTCGATTCTGATTCAATAGGTTTACACCGTGCTCGGCAACCACTCTTCAAGGCAACAAGCTGGCAATACAGTTAAATAAAACCAGAGGACAAGTTTTCAGCACAATGTCAACGCAACTTCTCGCACCTCAATGTGCCGAGGCTAAACTCCGCATATCCGTCTATCGATAAGATGACGCCCACCTCCTTGAGCACGACATCACAGCTCCCAGTGCCTGAGTTCCTCTGTTTCTATTGCTAATAGGGCGGCCAGAAGTCAATCCCAGCTATCGCTAGCTTTCAAGAGAAACAAGATTTCGCCTTTCCCTCGATCTTCAGCAATACCACATCACAACCATACCATGCCAACGAACATCCTTATAGTAGGCGCCGGCGCAATCGGCGCCTTCTACGCCTCACGCCTCGCTCTGGTCCCCGGCCTCTCCGTCTCAGTCATATGTCGCAGCAACTACAAAGCCGTAAGAGCAAACGGTTTCCAAATCACATCCCCGCAATACGGGGACTACACCTTCACACCGACCGACACCTTCGCGAACCCCGATGAAGCACGCAAAAGCAACACACAATGGAACTACATTATCGTCTCAACCAAAGCACTCCCCGACGTCAGCGATGATTCCGAGATCTTAGAAGGATTGGTCGGGAAGAACACGGCAATAGTGCTGATACAAAACGGCCTCGGCGTCGAAGAACCCTATGCATGCCGCTTCCCAGGAGCAGTGATATGCAGCGCCGTCACAATCGCAACCTGCGCACAGCCCTCTCACGGGCGAATCAAACATAACCGCTGGACACGGATAAACAGCGGTCCTTACCTGCCGCACCTCGACACCGGCGCACCTAAACCCACCGACGCTACCGCTGTAGACAAGAATGCTGCTTTCATCGCGGCGCTGGTCGAGGGCGGGATAAGAGACGCCTCGGCGTACAGCCACGCAAAACTGCAGTTAGTCCGCTGGCACAAGATCGCCATCAACGCCTCCATGAACCCATCTTCCGTGCTCACACTCGGTTCCACAAACTACGCGATGAGCAACGACCCCGAACTGCAGCGGCACTTGAAGGGCGTGATGGAAGAGATCCTCGAAACGGCGCCGAAAGTGCTGGGCCAGCCCATGCCGAAGGACTTTGCTACACCAGACGCCATCATCAGGTCTACGCAACGGAATACGAGTGGGAGCAGGCCGTCGATGGCTATGGATTGGGAGCAGGGGAAGAGGATGGAGATTGAAGTCATTCTGGGGAATCCGATTCGGATTGCGAGGGAGAGGGGGTTTGAGATGCCGCGGTTGCAGACGTTGTATGCGTTGGTGAGGATGGCGCAGGAGGTTAGAGAGAAGCAGAGGGCGAAGTTATAAGCCAGGGTGGCGATAGCATGGAAGGAGCTGATGTTAGCGTTTTGCGAGCACACGATTTGGAGAGGGTGTGAGCGAGTGTTAGAAGCAGTAGGTATGTACTGTGATGCGTGTAATGCTTTCATTCTATGCCAACTGGGTATCATGCAACATCTACTCTAACTCTCTCATCTATCCCCTCGCCCCTCTCTTCCTCATCTCTCAACTAAAATGATCCCCATGATCACTCTCCCCTATTCGATGTCCCGCAACCCTCCCCTGACTAAGCCTCCATCTCCACCTCCGCTCAGCCTCCGCCCTCTCCCTCTCTTCCCTTTGTTTCTTCTTCCGCTCATACACCGCCCTAACCGTCCTCTTCGTCCGCTCAGCCCCCTCCTGATAATTCGTCCGCGCCAACTCAACAACACTGTCAATCTGCTCGGGCGTATACACAAAATTCCACGTACTCATAAAATCACTACTCCGCGGATCGACACCGGGGACCTTCGGGTTGGCGAGGAACGGGTTGTATACGACCGTGATACCGGAGTTTTCGTGCATGAGCTCCCAGTCTTCTTCGACTTGTTTGGACTCGGGGGGTTCCGAGTTGCTGATGCGTTCTTCGGTGGTGCCGACCCAGATGTTGCAGTATCCGAGGTCTTTGTGCTTCTTGCGATTGTCTGTGTCTTGTGCTTTTGCTTCCTTGATCTTCTTGTTCGCTTGGGCTTCGGTGCTGGCTTGTGCCTCGTTGAGATCGTGCTGGATCTCCTCCATCGTTTCGTCGGCGGGCGGCCAGCCGGCGCCGACGGGCCAGCCCTTAATGCCGCGCTGGCGCGCGTAGCCGTCTGCGACTTTGAGCCAGTTGTCTGTGCGGACGTCGGCGCTCGCGTCGAAGGCGATGAGGATGTCGACGTTGCGGCCGGGGCGCAGCAGCGGATAGATGGGCAGGTTGTTGGACATGCCAGCGTCCATGAACTGGAAGTTCTTGTGTGTGAAGATACTCTCGGGGCAGGAGGGTGGGAGGAGTTCGCGCATGCCGAGGGCGTAGTTGGGAATTGAGGCCGGGTCGATGGGGTGGACTTTGACGAGGTCTGAGTCGCGCTCGGCGATCATGGCGTCGATGGCTGCGAAGCCTGCGAGGCCACGGAGGAAGGGTCCGACTTCCTTGTAGTAGTGTGAGAGGGTTGCGCAGAAGGCGGAGCCCCAGATGCCCATGAGCATTGGCACGCGCACTTCAGGCAGAGCAAGGCCGTTCTCGCGCCATACGGTCCGTCCGTTCTCGAACTTGCGACCCATGGCCCATGTCGGGATTCCAGCAGAGAGCTCTTCACACCACATCTCGTAGGGCGTGAACTCGAACCACTGGAACCAGGCTTCCCTCCTTGCTTTTACCTCAGCAGCTACAGGGTCTTTTGTGTCGATCTGCTCAGCGAGAGGTATCTCGTGCCGTACTGCGGTGTAGATGGGTAGAGGCTGCGAGCCGTCGTCGGTGAAGCGTCGCTGATTCGAGATTTTAAAGTCATATTCGCTGACAGACAGTTCACCCTTCGGCACGAGCAAGCGTGCGGCGAGGAGTGCACCATAGATGTCAACGATGCCAAAGTCGGCGTCAGGTACGCCCTTGGCCTTTTCTACGAGCCCAGCGAGAAGGTACTTGTTTGTAGGCGCGCTCACGAGCAGCTCGAGCGCGTCTGGTGGGAATGCAATGTGTACGCCGAGTCTGTTCTTCAGGTGTCGAATGAGCTTAGCGTGGCTGCGCTGGGTGATGTCTGAGTAGTAGAGGGTCTGAAGCCAGCAGCTTCCACTGACACCAGCCGTGTAGGTTACGCAGTCGAAGAGGCCGTGCTCTTTAGCCGATAGATATGAAGACGTGCCGGCTACGAGGGCGCGGAGACCTCCACCGGAGCCACACATGGCGATGACAGGGACGTCGTCGGGGTGGATCTTGCCCTCTGGAATGTCGAGGTAGCGTGCGAGGGCCGCCTTGGTGAACTGTGACCTCTTCTCCCGGAACGACAGCTCCTCTTCGCACAGCTGGTCAGAGACTCGCACTGAAGCATCCCAGATGATCTCAGGGTGCGTCTCAGGGTCGTTCGCCTCGTACCAGATCTCCTCAGCGAGCGATCCTGGCGCCATAGACAACTCGTTCTGCAGCTTCTTGATGAACCCTGGCAGAACTTTGACCCAGTGAGGAATGACATAGTCCAGGATGGAGTCGCCGATGTATGTGACCGACGTCGTGGGGCTCGCGAAGCTGGTCGTGATCGTCTGCCAGGCTGACTTCACGCCTCCAGCTTTCTCTTCCTCTCCACTGTAGCCCTGCGCGACTCGTGTCTGTGGTGGAGCCTCCTGCTCGCCAGGCCTGTCTTCGTCCTGGTCACTCTTCTCAGGCTCGGCCTTCTTCGCCGCGGCACTCGCGCTGTTTCGAGCCTGAGAACGAGATACGGTGGGACTCCAAGATGACCATGCAGATGGCGCATCGAGCTGTATGGGACGAGTGTGGTGGGCTGATACGTAGTAGCCGGCACCGAGGGTTGCGAGAAGGATGGGTGGGCCATATCGACGGCTATAGGTGGAAGCGCCAGGTCTGAAAGTCGTGCTGGCGTTGGTATGCAGTCTGAGCTGTCAGCGCGTGCGCGTCTTACAATGCCATGGTGTCTGCTCACCCGCGACGCGTCCCCCGCAGCCAAAGCTGGCCGAGGTCGCGCGCATTGCCAAAGCGCGCCATGGGAAAGCAGAGGGCTCAAAAGGAGTGTATGCGGTGTTTAGCGCAGGACTGGCCTGCAAAAAGCCCAATTGGCCTCACAGCTATGCGTTCAACATGACGGAGCGGGCAGTCTGCTGAGCGGTCCAGTTTTCCGCATGTTGGCGATTCAGGTTTCGCAGAGCGTCGATCGAACTGACTGCCTGCATACGTCAAGCGCCAAGGCTTGCACATGCAGGAACACCCGCCAACGGCGCCAACGGCACCATCGCCCATTCCAACGGTCATCTCGAACGGTGCTGAGGATGTGTCTGGAGCCACGCGGCTATTGCAGGAACAGATCACGCCGCCCCCGGTGATGCGGCTCGGCAATGCTTGTTCCATAATCCACCTTTGCTTTCCAGCACTGATCCTCACAACCTGATGGCACTGGAATTCCTTTGCTTCGGCAATCCTTGCTCATGCTACCGGCCGAAGCCAACTACGAGGACTCGTCACATCATCTCTTTGAGATACTCTCCGACATCGGAGACAAGGTGCCACGCATTCTCATGAAGTTCAGCAATGATGTCGATGTTGCCGCTATTCGTCACCACCTGCTGGAACACCTGCCTGGGCTGGGCATTGACCTCAGACACTTATCAATTTGATCCAGACCGTCAGCACGAAGAACGGCAACAAAGCTGCACTGATCGACGCAGTCTCAGACCAGATCAGGATTCGTCAATGCGAGAAGTGGTATGCCATCGAGGAAGAGTTCATCACTGAGGTCCTGACTCTCTTGGAGGTGTTTGCTCAAGTCATGGTGGAGTTGCTGGAGAATGAGAACTATATGTCGGTGGAGCATGTGCAGATTCGAGAGGAGTTGGCAAAGCAGCTCCTGGGTTTCACTGAGACTCTTTCGATGGTCAAGAGCCATTTCCTGAGTTGGAGACGCAGCGAGCAGCGAAGAAGGCAAGGACTGTCAAGACCAAGCAAGAGGTGGATCTACCTTCTGACTCTTGACGGCCTACTCGCGGATTCACGTGCATTTACAAGGAGAAGATGATGGAGACATTTCAGAGCTAACCTCTGTTTAGCTGTCACGCATTGGTGGCCGGCTGAGTACGGAGATTCATGCGAACTTTTCAAGGGACGTTCTGCTGGTATAGCTATCTGCATTTTCAATCTCTCGATGTCCACTAATTTGACTTTGGAATCCATCAAATTCAACACAACTAGTTTTCTCACCATCACGCAGCTGCCGCGCTTACACTGCGACAGTGGGAGCGCTTTTACCTGCTTGTGCGGAGTGTCTATTCTCTCACTTGATAGCGCAGCCCGGGGGCTCCCAAGCCAACTTCCACGCCTATTTACACCAGTCTACTACGCTCCAACCTGATTTGTGCCACCCCGTGATTGCCACTGTTATTCATACCCAGCTCAACACCAACACTTCACCCCCATCACGATGTTACAGACCAGAAAGTACGACTTCTTCCCCAACGAAGATATGTCAGACGATGACGATGATGATGCAACCGAAAGCGTAGACGAAGGCGAGGAGGTACTCGACGTCACCATGGACAGCGAGGACGAGGAAGGGACTGGCGACGAGAACGAAGAGAATGAAGACATTGATGATGAGGAGAGCGATGATGAAGATCCGTTTGGCGCCGCACAGAATGGTTCTCAGAAGAAAGTTTCTGCAGCGATGTTGCGTAGCGCGAATACTGCAAGAGCTTTCTCCGACATCTTTGCTGTCAAGAGAACGAAAGTACGAAAGGTCTATCTACAAAGTCAGCTTGACTACACAGAGGATGGTCATTTCACTCAAGTGTGTGTTCAGCAGGCTTAACAACGCCTGAGAGAAATCGGCGCACGTAACGGGGTTTTGGAACGTCTCGCAGTCGCTGATGACGACTTAGCAAGTCTTCGAGAACTCAAAGCCGACAGCTTCTGGCCTCTTGTGAAAGCGGTGCGACTTGCAACACGTCATGTTCTTCTCAGGAACAACGTGTTCAACCTTGATCTGCCGGGTAGACTTCCAGGAAAAGAGAGGGCGATATCATACTGACACGAATAGGTCAAAGCGATGATGAAAGAAGACGTTAAGGCGGACCATCTTCTGGGAGAGTACAAGGAGTATATCATCAAGAATCTTCGATCGGCATACATCGAACGCGAGGAAGAGATAGTAAGGAAAGACATGAAGAACAAAGAATTCAGGATGGGCGTACTTGCTGTTTCCGCAAGGCAATACAGTCTCTGTCTGCCTAACGACTTCGATGGTAACGACGACGAAATCGTGGCCCCTGAGCTGACCTCAGAAGCGACTGGGCTACCTCGATTGCGATAATATCTCTTCAAGTTGCCAGCACAGACAAACTATCGAACGCTTCATCGCCATGTCCTTGAGACACTTCCTGACGTTGCTAAACAAATCCAACGCATCCTCGAGAAGTTTAAAGACGATGAAGGCTTCGAAAAATTATGTAATTATCTCGGAGCCCAACTGCCGAACACTTACGAGCAGCTAGAGAGTCTCGCTGAGTCTCTACCTGTGGAACGTGTGATCAGACCGTGGAACAAGTTCAAGTCTGAAGCTTCTATCGTCTCAGGACTCAAAAGGTTTTTGCAGACCCTTGCTCACCCGATTGTCAAATATTCCAATTTAATCAAAATGGTCGAAGAGAATGGCATTCCTGCCAACGGCTAGCGGCGGGCAGGAACCTGAACGCGGAGATCCTAAGCGAGATCGAACACTTCATCGAACAGTGGCACATGGAGATGAATACGCAGATCAAAAATCTGGCTTCGAGCATTCGTGCCCCAGTCCAGGAGGTGATACAGCAATTCGGGACTTATGTCGCCTAACTATCAGGAGAGCCGGGTCTGAAAATCGAGGCCAACGTTGCACTGAGCACGAGATCATATCGACTCGAGATGGCGTACGAAAAGTTCGTTGCGCTTTTGGAGAGCACTCTGCGTGACAACTGTTTGCTGTTCATTACAGAAGTCAACATCAAGTGCTCAATTGCGTTGGAGATGAAACGCATCTACCACAGCGTCCTTGATGTGCCTGGTGGCGACAGCGCATACCGGCAACATCTCAAACATCTCGACAAGTGTCTCACAAACCCCACATGGCGATCCGAAAAGTTCCCGGACATCGTGGCGACCAAGATCTTCGACAAGCAAACCGCTGACTAGCAGCAATGCTGCAAAGGTCATGTCTCAGAGGTTATGACGCTGCTAAATGAGTTCGACCGCATTGTGGAAGAACGGCTCGTGACTGAAGAGCACACACCATCCCAGCATCGCCAAGTTCGAGATCAAATGACGACGTTACTGCCGGAGTTTGAAAGGAAGCTGGACTTGGTTGAGAAGCGGTTCCCTGTCGGCTCGAAGAAGCGCAAGGACGACAACGATGATCTAGCACCTCAGGCTTTCTCGAAAAAGTCCTCAAAGTCGACTCGCACTAAGAAGAAGCCGCTCTTCAAGAAGGAGTCGACTCCTTGAACATGTCTTCCACGAAAGAAGTCATCTGTAGTGCGGCTGAAGTCTTGTTTTCATGTGCTGGAAAACTACCTACGGGAGGAGTTGTCTAACAACCTATGGTAGAGACATCGGAGACATCTTTAATCACCAAGCGCAAGAGTGCCGACGAATGAGTAGCTCACTCCCACACAGATTATACGCTCCTGTACACATCGAAGGCTTAGTTGCACATAGTTTGCATCTATTGTGAAGCGGTAATCGTGGGACATCTACACTCTTACACCAGCAGATTCGCCAGTAGATACAAGTGGCTCAAACCTCAACAGTACGTTGATTCACATTCTATACACCATCTTGCCGTGAATCCATGTGTTTATCTCAGCATGATTGTCCCTAGAGGCCAGTGTAGCTGTGATGGTGTGTCATGCTGCAGCGAGCTCTCCCATTCTCAAGTTTTATTTCTCCGCTGCTCGCTCTTGCGCACTCACTCATTCCCACCCACAACGGTCACATCGAGACAAGACACGAAACCGCACCACACTCAGCAACTGAGCTTGCTCAGCAAAACCAATTACGTTTTCTCACGTCTCTGTAATCCCAGCGCTGACAATACATCAGCGACATCTTTGACCATCACCCGTACGGTGCAGAGTGAGTCGACAAGACAATCCTACGAACGACCAGCATGCGCCAAGTTAGGTTTCCGCGGTCGTTAGCGAAGATGGTCACGTTACCCTCGAGGCAGGGTAGTGACGTATTGCAAGCAACCTGCGCTGAGCGTACGATGCCGCCATGGAGTAATTCAGGATCATCTTCAACACGCATACCAACACCATTGCTGAACAGGAGCTGAAGGGCAGGTTGATCAACTTACACCACAACGTGATTGCTGCAGTGGAACAGTATGTAAACTCCCGTGGTCTCGAAGTTATCGATACTAATTTCCATGTACCAGGTTTTATGAAGAGACTTACAATGAGCGTACCAGTCGCATCCCAAAACTCTCCCGCGAGGAGAACGGCTGGAAATTTGATAAGGCAGATAGCCTGGCACGAGGCACTGTCGAGAACACTGCCCTTCATGCTGTCACGACCCATGTCAAGAAGCTGTAACCGCTTTTCAAGCGTATGACGATCTCGACAGATTCAGAGATTCTAAAGAAAGGTATCGTTGTCATGGATCTACCAAGTACGTTCGTCTCCATTATCCACCAAGTGGCTTTGCTTATACAGTTAGGTCATCGCGAGCGTAATCTTTCTCGAACCGCTACTATCAACAACTCTCATCGGGAAGCCGACTTCGAAGTGATTGTGGCCTCATGTCAGCGCTACGAAAATGAAGCAGATCAGAACGACTATCTTGACCAAGCAGTACCGAGCAGTTGGATATGGTCAGACAAAGGGTGGAAAGCAAGAACGTCACGCTTTTCGTCGCATCTGCGTCTCAACACAACGAGCTCTTGAACATAGGACAGCACACGAACAGAAGCTGCAGACGTACCCAACCAAAATCCCTGCCTGGGACCCCGTTCAGACCGGCATTCCAGCCATCCAGCAGTACTTGTCGCGTTTGACAGTAAAGTCAAATACTGAGAACCTCGCACGTCATATACAGACCGAGATGTCGGACATGGAAGCGGAGGGCAAAGAAATTCTCCAGAGGTTTGAGTACAACGCCGCTTTTTCCAGGCTGAGCGACAACATGCCTGCGACCATATTACATCTGGACACACATCTTCAGGCACATTGCGTCAGCGCTCCTCGTCATTGCGTGCAGGATCCATGGGCCGATGAGCAAGTGCGCATCATCAACGTAAATTTCGTGATTTCGATTGCTGGCTGGAAAAGAACCATGCGACCAAACACGTTCAAGATGCTGCTCAGACGGAATGGCATCGATTTACGCAGGAACACCGTCCATCGAAATCTCAACAGGTGCCTCTCCACGCAGTATGAAGACCGCATGGGTAGATGGAGATATCAGCGTTCGGCAAACACCAAAACGGTCTGCTTATTCCTGCAAGAACTCATCCACAGGTTCCTTCACGATGCCAAAGACACGATCAACCAAATCTCTAGCACTTCCGACCGCTCCAGCCTCATTCGGAACGCTCATGTCGAACTGCAGAGGATATCTTTTAGCAACCATCAAGCCTACGGCAAAATGGTGGCTAGGATGGAAGATTTAGCGTTGAAAGTGTATCGGAAGTTCACAATCGAGACTGACATCAGCTGCCCCGTCGCGATCCACATGAGGCTTCTGTACTTGCAAGTACTTCACATGCCACCTCCAGCGAAGGGTGTTTTTGAAGCACAGCGCGAAGAGTTGATGCAGCTTGCCAACAGCCTAGGTATCTCACTGTCAGTCGTAATGCGTAGTGCACTCTGCCATATTCTGATCTCGAACTGGGAGGCAGTGTGCAAGAGTTACGTTAAGACCATGATGCGGCACCTGGAAGAGTTGCCTCATAACCCGACTCTCAGATTTCAGTGCACGATTCGAATGTCGATAACGATGGCGATGTGGAAATGGCGGACTAGCTAGTGGCCTGGTGCAATGACTGAAGATTCAGCGACATCGCAATCGCCCCTGTGCGGCTCATTCGGCGTTGTCGTCCAGGTTCTAATACCTGTCTTGGTCATGCTCATCGTCTTACGTACGCAGTATTGGTGAGAGGTATCATTGGAGTTCCCTCTGTGAGTTGGAAGCTACCTGGGGGTAAGCCTGGGTAACGACAAGTTGCCACTCTTGAGATACAGAATGGGAGCGCATAGAAGGATCGACACCTTACATATAGGCCTCATCCTCGATAAAATCAATAAAAGGACATTGTCCATCAACCCTATCAATATCTCATGATGTACTCCTTGCTCTTGAAACTTGCAATCATGTCTGTAACCTTTACCGGCTTCTGAATTGCCATGGGGTAACAAGACACAGATTGCTCGTTCTTCGTCGTCGTTTCATGACTAACGCAGGTTTCATTCGTCAAAGTAAGGCTGACAGCGGCTTTGACGGCGACCAGAAACACTCCGTGGCTTTGACAGCTCGGCAGCCTCACTAGATGAAGCCACACCCAGCAGCTTACCATTTGCGAGTAGGGGCCTTAGATCATCCTGGGTATAGAACAACATGTATAACGAGTTCCAGCTGTCGCATGCAGTACTGAGGTGTAGAGGGTAGGGTGCATTCTACGAGAGATGAGTGGTCAAAAGGTGGTTCCCTGCACCGTGCGCCTCCCATCGACCCTGGTTCGTCATAGCTTCACTCTCCCGCAGCTCTCCGCAAGCATCCCCACGCCAACCATCTTCCGTACATAATCTACATAATCACGGCTACGTGCCGCCTTGCACCCTAATCTTGCAATTATTGTTCTTTGTACATGTTGCCACATTCATAGACCACCACCTTTGGCCCCCACGATCACAACAGCCTCCACACTCGCTCGTAGCTGCCACGATCCCAGCTCGCGTAACTGCAGCAGTCGCGCCCCCTCCTACTTCCTTCTTCCCCTCGAGATACCGTTGGCAGGCACCTTCTAGCCACGATGGTGGGCCCGCGCAAACCCCCGGCGCTGGCAGAAGAGAGCGCCGAAGTCGAAGTGCTGTTCGCCAACATGGACAAGATGAAGGCGCTCACGAAGAAGATCCAAGGCTCCGTTAACAGACTCGATGCCAGCGGTAAAGCGGTGCAGGACGCCATTAGCCCGATCTACGGGAACACGCAGAAGCTGCAGATTGCAACGAGCAATATTGATAGGGTTATTGAGGCGATTGAGAGATTGAGGGCGCCGAGGGATCAGAGTGAGAGGGAGGAGAGGATCATCAGGGCTGGGTGTGTACACATCATGGGGTACCGGAGAGCTTGAACTGACATGTTACAGGCCTGGACGGGGCGACCTCCGCGATTACATTGCATCTCTCGACCGGACTACGATGGCCCTCGCCGACTTGAAGCGCACGAACCTTCGCTCGAACGAACAGGCAATAGCACAATTGAACGGCCTCCTGAAGTTGGGAAACAAGCAGCTGGAAGACGTCTTTCGCGGCATACTGGGAGACTGTTCGAGGCAAAAGTTGCAACCGCTGGAGTTCGTTGCGAAGAACAACCCCTTCCCACTTCTACCGCAAGATCAGCTGTCGACTTTGCGCGGCATCAACAATCACATTTCTCAAGCCGTCGCCTCCACATCGCAAGTAGACTTGTCTTCAACACCAACGCAAAGGATCTATGCAGACATTCGAGGCAGCTATCTGGAGAGTTCGCTCGGCAGTCTGGCTCAGGCTTCAGTCACCACAGCCAGAAAGGTGCAGCCTGACGCATTGTACAAGAAAGGCACCAACGGCATTGGTACATACGTGCAGGCAATAGAGGGTATCTTCGTGGCCGAGTACGACAACATCACCAACGTCTTTGCGCGAGGTGAATGGACGCCGGTCTGCGAATCGACCTGCCAGACCTCGCTAGGAGAGTTCAACCGGACGTTACGTGAGCTGAACGGCCATATCCAGAAGAACCTGCTCACCGACTGTTTCCTTGGTTACGAGATCTGTGGCATGGTACGCACGTTGTCTCTGCGGCTACAAGACACCACTGGCGCACTCAAGGGTCAGATCTATGACAGCGTCAAGCCTATTCGAGAAACATCGAAGACCTCCTTGAGCAAGCTTATCGAAGATACAAGAGTCCGCACACAAACGCTCGTTGCTCTACCAATGGACGGGGCTGCAGTCCCCATCACAACAGAGAGCATGCGTCGCCTGCAGGAGATGACCAATTACCTGGATCCACTATCCTCAATACTGGCGTCATTGGGCGAAGGCGGCTGGAACAACCCCTCTGCGAATAACTCGTCGACCACCTTGGATGTCAATCCTGACATGGTCAAGCTATTTGCATCATACGCGTCCGACACAATCGACACACTTATTCAGAACCTCATGAGCAAAGCCAAAATGCTGCTGAAGGGCAAGAATTTACAGGGTATCTTCCTGGCGAACAACATAGCGATTGTCACCCGGGTCATTCGCAACTCTGAGCTTGCACCACTCTTGGAGAGCTACGCAGGTAAACTTGCAGGCTGGCGCAAGACGAGTTCCGCTATGTATCTCGAAGCGTGGCGGGAGCCATCTGGACATCTGCTCGACGTGCAGTACACGAATCGCTCAAAGGAAAGACCACACTCTGGTGGTGGGGCTGCCGACTCCGCAGCCATCGTAAAGGGTTTGGGTTCGAAGGACAAGGACGCAATCAAGGAGAAGTTCAAGAACTTCAACACAAGCTTCGAGGACCTTGTCGCCCGTCACAAGACCTACGCCATGGAGGCTGAAGTGCGTACGCAGTTGTCGAAGGAGGTGCAGAACATCATCGAGCCGCTGTACAATCGCTTCTACGACAAGTACCGCGAGATTGATAAAGGCAAGGGCAAGTACGTCAAGTATGACAAGGCTGAGCTCAACAAGGCGCTCATGAGTTTTTCTTGATGATGCATTGTCTTTGGCGTTGGATTGGACTTTTCGCATAATACCCTTGGTTGTGTATATTTCGCATCGAGTCGAAGTCGGCATTGGATAGATGCTGGTGCACGCGTCAGAAGTTGGGCATATATTATTGGGACCCAAGATAGTGCTTCCCTGAACCCACGTTGAAGAGAGGGAGGAGGCTGCGTACCAAAGAATATGAGCCGCGGAGGCAGTACAGTATGTGAGCATCTCTGTGCCCTTGCAATGCATTGCAGTAAAGAAGTAAAACCTTCAAGCCTTCTCTGGGGTGCGATTTCCATGTTCGTGAGCTTGTGCACGTGACAGCTTCCTTTCCGAGCTCTGCGGTACGCGACTGCCATTCGAGGCTGCACAGCAACACAGGAATCATCCCACGTCGACGTGCAAGCTGTCAATTGCACTCTGCAGCTGTCAGACAGCGACTACTGCTCGCTCTGCACCATACTCACCTATTTCCACAGCTGCACCAACTGTTGTTCGCGGAGCGGGGATTTTGGCTCTAGCGCCCATTTCTTCGACGTTGTTCACCAATCCCTGCGAGGACCCCTTTCCACACCAGCGAAGCGTACCACGCCTGCCTCCTTCAACGTCGCAGCATCCACCGCACCCACGCCGTCCTCGCTCGCAGTCACCTGCAACCCTCCCAATTCCATTGCTTTGAGTGAATCGCTCCGCTCGAGAGCATAACTACCGTCGAAAGGTACGCCGCCTGTCTTACCACCCTGTTTCACTTTATTTCTCCAGGATTTGGCTTGCGTCGCGTCTCCATATTGTTTGGCAGCAACCACGGTCGGCTGCACCACGCACTGAGGACATCCTGCTGATCTCGCATGCCTTACAGAAGTCTCTCACTCCACCCATCCTCACTGCGACCGCAGCTCCATCGCCGCCATGGGTAAGGAACACCCCCAGCCCTACATATCTCGCGACATCGACCACTGCTCGAGCTGCAAGCCTCCCAACCGCCTCAGCACGTATGTTGCAGCAAGAGGGACTGTGCGGCAGCTCCAATGCAGCTCTGACACCGGTTGATGTTGCCGTTCCTAACGGCCACACCACCCTCCTTCCCACACACAGGGGCTAACCGCAAACACAGAATCTAACGGCGCCATATCGCCCGCCCCTCCCTCGCGTGCGTCCCCATCACCACCGACAACCGCGAACGGTTCGTTTGCTGTGGATGGCAACAACTCCATGGCTAACGAGCAAGCAGCACTTCCCCAGACCGTCACAGCGAAGAACCCTAAGCTCGCAGCACAGATGGCGAACGACTTGAACATCGTGCGCAGAAAGCTTACAGGCTACGTCGGTTTCGCAAACCTGCCCAACCAGTGGCACCGCAAGAGTGTGCGCAAGGGCTTCAACTTCAACGTTATGGTCGTTGGTACGTCTGCACCTGGGCAAGGAGCTATCAACAGTGCACTAACAAGACGATAGGTGAATCTGGCCTCGGAAAGTCGACTCTCGTGAACACGCTGTTCAACACCTCTCTGTACCCTCCCAAGGAGCGCAAGCCCCCTAGCATTGACATCTCTAAGACTGTCTCGATACAGTCCATCAGCGCCGATATCGAGGAGAACGGCGTTCGTCTGCGCTTGACCGTCGTTGACACACCCGGCTTCGGTGACTTCATCAACAACGACGAATCGTGGGATCCCATTGTTAAGAACATTGAGCAACGATTTGACGCCTACCTCGATGCCGAGAACAAAGTCAACCGCATGAACATTGTTGACAACCGCATCCACGCTGTTGTCTACTTTATCCAGCCCACTGGTCACTCGCTCAAGCCCCTCGATGTTGAAGTTATGAAGAAGCTGCACACCAAGGTCAACCTGATTCCGGTTGTTGCCAAGGCCGATACAGTATCCGATGACGAGATTGACAACTTCAAGAGAAGGGTAAGTAAATGCCTTAAAACAAGCGTGTTTAGATGCTGACAACTCTCAGATTCTCGCGGACATCAAGCACCACGGCATTCAGATCTTCGAAGGTCCACGATACGAGCTCGACGATGAGGAGACCATCGCTGAGAACCAGGAGATCATGGCCAAGGTTCCCTTCGCTGTTGTCGGTTCGAACGACGAGGTCATTACTGCCGATGGTCGCAAGGTCCGTGGTCGCGCCATGCCTTGGGGTGTCGTTGAGGTCGACAACGAGGAGCACTGCGACTTCGTCAAGCTCCGACAGATGCTTATCCGCACCCACATGGAAGAGCTCAAGGAGAATACCAACAACACACTCTACGAGAATTACCGTTCCGAGAAGCTTACAGCGATGGGTGTCCAGCAAGACTCCAGCGTGTTCAAGGAGGTCAACCCTGCGGTCAAGCAGGAGGAGGAGCGCTCGCTGCACGAGCAAAAGCTCCAGAAGATGGAGATGGAAATGAAGATGGTCTTCCAGCAGAAGGTCAACGAGAAGGAGAGCAAGCTGCGACAGAGCGAAGAGGAGCTGTACGCCCGCCACAAGGAGATGAAGGACCAGCTCGACCGACAACGAAGCGAGCTCGAGGAAAAGAAGGCACGCATCGAGTCTGGACGGCCGCTGGAAGAGAAGGGCAAGAGGAAGGGCTTCTCCCTCCGTTAAGCCGGGATCCTTGGTGTCCGTTCGCCTTGACATCTTGCCCGGCTTTCGCCCTCCGCTTCTTTCTCTTATCCCTCTTACAGACTTGTTTAATATGATGCCGCTTGACGATACCACTGGGTGTTATCGACAGACGACTAATACGGCGGTGCAGTTTTGGCGAGTAGAAGGCAGCGGTGTCGTCTCTTGGTCCAGATATCCCGGCTGTTGATTGATACCAACATCATTGCACTCCTTCCAGTTCCTTTGTGTTCCCTTCGACTTCTTTATTATTTAGCACATGGGGCAGTTGTTCTCGGGCGAAGTGGGGGAGCGACAGGATACTTCTTTTCATGTATTCTACAACTATCGTAGCAGTGAATTTCCTTTGTGGGTAGTGATCTGGTTCATGATGTACCTCTAAATCTATTGAATATGTCCCAGTGTGAATGGTCATTATTACGAAAGTTGGCAGTCAGCTTCCATGTTCGCCTTGCCCTGCACTTGCAACGATCGTCAGGGTGCGGCAGTCGTGGAGGGGCGCCATCAGGCTTGTGCGCGCCAGCCAGGACTGGAAGTGGCAGAACGAAGGCATTTCGTCATCACTCAAACGCCCACGACCTGGTTTGCGTGCCCGCTTCTTGAAGCTACAAAAGTTGATCGCCCATTCTTCTTCATCCAACATCCTCTTCTGCATATTGCCTGCCTCATTCGACTGTTGAACTCCAATCCGGGTTCTGTCTTCTCTTCGGTAAGTTGCACCTATTGGGTCACGCACAGGGAGCGTCATAAGCAGCAGCGGGTTCCGAGCGCCGAACAGACAGCGCCAGCCTCCGCTTCTTGCCAGATTGCACTCGACTCCTCCACAAGGCACCCAACTGCTGTGTATAAACTCGAGTACCATTGGTCTTACGCATTCAATACCACAGTTCGCTATCTAGAGCTCCGCTGACCGTTCAAGCTGCACATTACGTAGCCCACACGACACAGTCGAAATCCCACAATGGCCCCTCCTCCGCCCTCCAACCTTCCTCTGGGCCAGCGCCTAGCTGCCCTCGCGCAGACCCTGCAGTTCGCCTGGTTCGCCGGCCACGTTACGCTGCTGCTGGCTTCGCTGAGATACGGACTGTCCTACATCACCTTCAACTATAACTCGAAATGGGCTGCCTTCTCGTACCGCACAGCCTTTGTGTCTGCCTGTGTCACATATGGCATTGTTGTCTACAAGGCATACCGCGCCCGCATGAGGGCCGGTAAGCAGGGCGGCGTTATGGCTCTTGCCACTGATGAGAACGTCCAGTACCTGAGTAAGTGTTTGCAGCAGATAGAGCCCCCACTATTTTGCAGCACAAGCTGACATCAATGTAGTCATGGCGCTCGTCTGGCTCTTCATGCGCCAAATCCCTCTGGCTGTATTGCCCTTCACAGTCTATTCCATCTTCCACGTTGCAACCTACGTGCGCTCTAACCTGATCCCCACCATCAAGCCCCAGCCTGCTGCTTCTTCAGCACCTGGCGCTAAGCCCCAGGCTTCGGCTTTCGCTGAGACCATTGGCAAGTTTGTCAAGGAGTACTACGATGCCAGCATGACACTGGTCGCTCTCCTCGAGATCACTCTTTGGTTCCGCGTTGTTGGCTCCGCTCTCCTCTTCCAGAAGGGCTCGTGGATCCTCCTCGCCGTCTACACTATCTTCTTCCGCGCCCGCTACGCTCAGAGCAGCTTCGTCCAGGACGCCATAAACAAGGTCACCGCCCGCATTGATGCTCAGCTCGCCAACCAGAGCACTCCCCCCGCTGCTCGTCAAGGCTGGGGAACCTTCAAGAACGTCGTCCGCCAGGCTGCTGATGCGACCGACATCCGCAAGTACGTCGGCAACCAGCCCGGTGCTGCCCCAAAGAAGGCCCAGTAAGCGCTTCGAAGAGCGTGCGACAACGGCCTGCCTCCGACTCGCGGTGCTATGCACTCTTTGGAGGTACGAGGTATGACAAGTTATGACGTATGATGCTATACGGTCGCGACAAAATAGAGAGATTGAGTCTTGGAAATGGACAAGGGACGAGCCTATTCATGGACATGTTGAAAATGGAGTGGTAGTCTGTTCTGCAAGAGCATGACAGGAACAGCGCTGAAGTCGGATTTGGTCTGCATTATTTTCCGCGTGCGACCAGGATATACCTCTGAGCATTTTCGTAGCTGTAGAGTGGCGTTCTTTGCAACTGAATATGTTATTTTGACCTCAATATGCCACAAACAGCAACCATAAAATGGCAAGAGTAGGCGTTTAGCCGCACCCACTTTTCACATGTTCGCCGGCTCATACGCATGTGCGGCTGTGGAGGCTGGCATTTCAGCTGCGCTCGCTACCGTTGTTGACGCCCGGTTGTTTGGCGAACGTCTTACAAAGTGCTGGTTTGTGGACGATGGGCATGATTTGCTAGAGCGAAGTACGGTGTCTCGTGGCTACGTTACGTGTAAACTATGTGCAAGTGCCGTGATGGTAGTGTCGAGGTGAGGCATTTCGCCTATGTCTTGCTAGCCCCCACAAACGAAATGCTTGCGTCCACTTGCATCTCGAATCGACCGAAAGACTGACAGATGGCGCCAGCATCGTGTGTCAACATGATGATGTGAGAGGCGCCTGTCAGACCTTTGGGTTGTTTGGAACTGCTGCCCTGGTCGGACTGAAGGTTCGACAGATTTGCAAGGCTTTGCAGAGGAGGATCGATCATCACATCACGATCACAGCATCGAAAGCTTCGAGATGCTCAACAGGTCTCCACAGCATGGGGGCGGTTGTGGGTTTGCAATGTGGGCGGAACGACTGGAGTGGAGCTGGGAAGTGAGTTTTGCCGACATGCAGACGCAGACTGAGGTCCTTACTTCTGTGGAAGTATCTCATGGTTTCCTACGTTTTTGAAAGGCAGACATCACAATGCGACTTTCAATACACCCTGCAGAACATTGCAGGATCTCGGAAGGCCAATGTCGACGTCCACGTGCTCGGTGTGCATTTGCCGTTCCTGGATCCACTGCACGTTTATAGGACGCCCCTGCCAGGACGCAAGCTCAAGCGACCTCACTCTCACGGCTGCTGTGTTTCTGCGCTGCCTTCTTACTAGTGCGATGGGTCTGTCAATATGGGCCAGCACATCTCACATGCATCTAAAGGATCTCGGAACACTGAAGCGAAGCACGATCCCCTCAGCACGAATCCCTCAGCACGAATCCTACGAGCTCTTCTCACGACTCGCCATGCACCTGGAAACATCATGTCCATGTTGCCTTTGCGGAATGGCGCGAGAATGTGCGTGTGGATAACGTCAACTTGAAGGTTAGCAGGCGGGTACGTAGCCTTTGGCGGCTTGGTAGGGAGGTGTGTGCTGGTCAGAGGAGGTGCGTACGGATGTACGATGCGCCCGAGCCCCGTATACGCACTCGTTCCGCGATTCACAGACGCCGCTGCACCGCCGCACGGAGGCAGTTCTGATGTGAATTGGCGGTGAGTGCGTTGAAGACTCGGAGCTGTTCGCTGGTTGCTATGTTCGCGTGGAGGATGCGGTAGGTGTGTGGGTGGCGTGATGGTGTCGACGAAGATGCTGAAGGGACCACTTCGTGATGTGAAACATTCCTCAGCCGTCTTTCCAGCGTGTGTAGATTTGATGGTGTGCAAGTGAGCATGTGTTTGGCGGACATTGTCATCGATGTCTTCAAGACCCTTCAGCCACCGACGGACGGGACGGGCGGCCTTAGGCGAAGCTTTACAGCAAAACAATCAAACCTTGTACCGGTATTCCGTACAATAGCAGATTGGAATGTAGATCTGGGGGATCATCAAGTTAGATGGATTGCTTTTGCGTCGTTGTATATGAGATCGCGCCATGGCAAGAGCATTCCTATGCGGGTTGCTGCATATCTGGCTACCGGGAGAGGAAGGTCCAATGCAGTTCGTCCACCATCTTTCACCCTGCGGGCCTCGCAAACTCCTGGGCATCCACAATTGCGTGCGGCACGTCTGACGGTGCGGCTACCGCCCGAATATTCAATTTTCGCTTGCATGCCCCCTACTGCACTGCCTAGCGCGCTAGGTGTTCAGGTAGGGCTTGGTGTTGCGGCAGGGAGACCGCTACGGGTTAAGGAGCCACACGGAGCTAGTGAGCGCACCGTCAGCCGCTTCACCGATTCGAACACTGTCGTCTTTTTGGGACAGTAGTATATAGTGCTGTGGATGCCCTCGTCGTCAGGCCTTTTGTTCTTCTCCTTTCCCCAACTGTTCTCAAGCCACCACGACGTTTCGATCCTTCAATCTACGGTTCGACAAACGAAACTGGAATGATCTTTCGAGCAACACCACACCAACCTTCGCTGTACAAGAAGCCCTGAATCGCGACCAGCATTTCTGCGACTCCAAACCGAGAAGCAGCATCAAAATTACTTTCAAGATGGAACTCTCGCCAGCTTTCTCGACCACCAGCGATATGACCGACGAAGAATTGGACCTTTACTTTGCAACATGCGGCTCGCTGTCCAACTTGCCTACCCCTCCTCCAGCAAGGGAGCACACCATAATCGAGAAGCCAATATCAACAACGTCAGATCTGCATGAACTTGCTCCTGAGCTACAAGGTTAGTTTGCCAACAATCTAATATCGCACAATTACACGTGCAACATTTCCACTCAGAGACAAGTTTGTTGCTGGTCTTGGGCATGTGGGACTTGCTCGGCTGAGCAACGTTCCCCTGTATGCTAGCACGAACCGACTTTAGGCGACGTCATTGCAGTCCAATCTCCTTTTCTCTTCGAACCCACATTGCACGGTGTTCCTGTCGATCGATGAGTTTTCTCGTCAATGCTTGCCCTACTCGCCACACTCATTATTGGACACGAATGCTAACTACTATCTTTAGCACATGCGACCCATCTCGCCAACCTCGTCCCGTTGAATATCTCCACAACCCGACCTTTTGTGCCTGGCATCCGCGGATTTCTGGAACGATCATGCCTGCCAGACGAGGTCGTTGCCTTCGCTGCCTGCATCCTTGATGCCTTGTCGTACCGCTTCGCTGCTACATGGCGGGAGACCTTGCTGCCGTCTAACTATGCCAAGGATCTCAAGTTTTTCATGAAGACCGACACATGTCATCAGGCATCCGTCAGCCCAGACGTCCTTGTCCTCGCTGCCTTGTCTCTCGCACATGGTTTCTTCAGTGACACCCGTCGTTCTGCCCACTACTGGGCAGTTGGCATAAGCCGTAACCAGTTCACCATCCAGGAACTCGAAGCCACAAAGCGATTGATCCTTCAAGACATGGACTACGGTCTCTGCCGCATCACCGAAGGCATGATGGAGAGCATGCTGCGAGACATGCAGCGTACCAAGGCGTTGCCTGCGCCACCAGTTCTGACGAATGAGAATGACACTATCATCAAGACCAGCCGTCGCCGTAACTTCTCCATCGATCTGTCCGGCACAGCAATGTGGAAGAATGGCGTTCAGACACCAGGACCTAGTCCATAGGTGCGGCGTGGTGTTTCCGTGTTTTGCATCGCCTTCACGTTTCAGCGTTGGCTTCGCTTCTCTTGCAGCGCTTACGATACCCACATTGTTTTAGCATTCTCAGTCATCCAGCATTTCAGCAGCATCAGCTTTAAGGAGTCTATGGGCGTAATTTAGCTTGGAGGATCGAACCCAGCGGTCTCATCTCTTGTATTGTTGGCACGATACCCTCTTGCACACATGGTAGCCGTTGTCATGGCACCATCTAGCATTATTGTAGCGCAACATCGCACAATCATACACATATCTATCATTTCGCATGTATGCAGCACGTCTTGACACGTACGCAGAAAACACTTCTTGACTTGACCATGTGTGCAAGGCTGACACAAGGTACACGAATCAGTCCTGCGGTTTTCATGCCCAGAGCCGCCCGAGCTTTCCTCCACGTTCAGTGTCCGCCGACGTCACAGTCCTTCCCCTCCATCACACCACCGACTTCTGGCCTTTCAAAGTCACCGCCTCGTTGTGTATGAAACCCTTTAGCACACACTTAGGAATTCTCAAGATGCCACAAGCGCATTGGACGCGCTCCCAGCCGAGTTAGCCAGCCGCTTTGCGCTCGAAGTTTGGTTGGCGTGAGGTCTGGCTACCCCACTAACCCCATGCGCTTCACCAACCGCGTGCATCAAGCTGCAGCTCAACAGCTGTTGAGCTGTTGCTAGCTGTCAGCCTCGATCGCCTCCCCGCGTTCGATTGCAGTCGTCAGTATCTCCTGATGTTAATTGACCTGTGGTCGTGCTTCGCTCCTGCTGCTTGCTTGCCCGAAGCTCTTGTTCCTGCGGCGTAAACATCTGTTGCCATCCTCTTCCCTGATTGTAAACACTCGCACCACCAAGCGGGCATATAGGCTTGCTAAGCTTAGATCTTCCTTCCTAAGCTTCCGGCGCTTCCTAAACATACACCTCCTCTCCTCCACAATTCGTCCCTCAACTCCTCCCTCTCCTGTGCGACACCGACATTCACTTAGCAATTCTCCTTTCTCTGCAATTGACATCCCCAAGATGGCGACTGCTACCCCTTCGCCGCGCGAGCGCCGTCCCTCCACGAGCGCCCCGCTCGCTGACCTGAAGGGTCCTGTTGGACCTGCGAACTTCACTCGCCCCAAGCACAAGAGGACCGTGACCGGTTTCGGCCCCGGCGAGATCAAGGCTGTTGAAAACAGCATTCCAGAGCCTCAGCGTGAAGCTTGGAGGAAGTTCGTAAGTCAATCGGTCCTTGGAGTACCTTGATTGCGGGGTAGCTTCATTGCACAATGTGGGGTACTGATAAGACAATAGATGCCCAAGCCTTTCTCCACATCAGATGAATTCAACAAGGAGGCTGTTCGTCATATTGAGACTACCCTCGCGCGCTCGCTGTTCAACTGCGATGAGTCAGCTGCGTATGCTGGAACCGCCCTGGCGTTCAGGGATCGCTTGGTTCTGGACTGGAACAAGACACAGCAGAGCCAGACCTTTGCTGACCAGAAGCGCGTATACTGTAAGATGTCTTGAAACACAGTATAAGTGGAAGTGGCTGACCACATAGACCTGTCTCTCGAGTTTTTGATGGGACGTGCTCTAGACAATGCTATGCTTAACGTCGAACAAAAAGACGTCGCTACCAGTAAGTGTCATCCGCCAGGAAACAGCCATTGGCCCCGCTGACACATGTGCAGAGGGTCTTGCCGACCTTGGTTTCCGTATGGAAGATGTAGTTGCTCAGGAGCACGACGCTGCTCTTGGTAACGGTGGTCTTGGACGTCTCGCCGCTTGCTTCCTCGATTCGATGGCCTCCCTGAACTACCCAGCCTGGGGTTACGGTCTGCGATACAGATACGGTATCTTCAAACAGGAGATCATCGACGGATACCAGGTGGAAGTCCCAGACTACTGGCTCGACTTCAATCCGTGGGAGTTTCAGAGACACGACATCACAGTCGACATTCAGTTCTACGGCCACGTAAACCGCTGGCAAGACGATGAGGGAAAGCAGCAGTCTTCTTGGGAAGGCGGCGAGATTGTCCAGGCTGTGGCTTATGATGTTCCAGTTCCTGGCTACAAGACTGGCACTTGCAACAACCTCCGTCTTTGGGGCAGCAAGGCTGCCAGCGGCGAGTTTGACTTCCAGAAGTTCAACTCTGGCGAGTACGAGAGCTCAGTAGCAGACCAGCAGCGCGCTGAGACCATCTCCGCCGTTCTGTACCCCAACGACAACCTCGAGCGCGGTAAGGAGCTTCGTCTCAAACAGCAGTACTTCTGGTGCGCTGCCTCGCTCTACGACATCGTTCGCCGTTTCAAGAAGAGCAAGCGCGCCTGGAAGGAGTTCCCCAACCAGGTCGCCATTCAGCTTAACGACACTCACCCAACCCTGGCCATTCCTGAGCTTCAGAGAATTTTGGTCGACATCGAGGGTTTGGACTGGGATGATGCGTGGAACAGTAAGTCGCTTGGAGGTACTCAGCGTTTTGCAACGACTAACACTGTGCAGTTGTCCAGAACACTTTCGGTTACACAAACCACACCGTCCTTCCTGAGGCGCTTGAGAAGTGGTCTGTTCCTCTGATGCAGCACCTCCTTCCCCGCCACCTCGTGAGTATACCTGATGAGGCGTGAACAACGACAACTAACAGACCTCCAAGCAAATAATTTACGACATAAACTTGAATTTCCTCCAATTTGTTGAGCGTAATTTCCCCAACGACCGCGAGATGCTCGGCCGCGTATCAATTATCGAGGAGTCGCAACCAAAGATGGTCCGCATGGCTTACCTTGCTCTGATTGGTTCCCACAAGGTCAACGGTGTGGCCGAGCTGCACTCTGATCTGATCAAGACCACCATCTTCAAGGACTTTGTCAAGATCTACGGACCCGACAAGTTCACAAACGTCACCAACGGTATCACACCCCGCAGATGGTTGCACCAGGCCAACCCCAGGCTCTCTGAGCTTATTGCGTCCAAGCTTGGTGGATACGATTTCTTGAAGGATCTTACTCTGCTGCACAAGCTCGAGGCCTACGTCGACGACAAGGAGTTCAGGAAGGAGTTCCGCGAGATCAAGTACGCAAACAAAGTCCGCCTCGCCCAGCACATCAAGGAGCACAACAATGTCACAGTCAATCCAGCTGCACTCTTCGATGTTCAGGTCAAGCGTATCCACGAGTACAAGCGCCAGCAACTGAACATCTTCGGTGTTATCCACCGCTACCTCCAGATCAAGGCCATGTCGCCAGAGGAGAGGAAGAAGCTTGCTCCTCGTGTGTCTATCTTCGGCGGCAAAGCTGCACCCGGATACTGGATGGCTAAGACCGTCATCCACCTCATTAACAAGGTCGGTGATGTTGTCAACAATGACAAAGATATCGGTGACCTGCTCAAGGTCATCTTCTTGGAGGACTACAACGTCAGCAAGGCCGAGATCATCACACCTGCTAGCGACATCAGCGAGCACATCTCCACCGCCGGTACCGAGGCCAGTGGTACAAGTAACATGAAGTTCTGCCTCAACGGTGGTCTCATCATTGGTACCTGCGATGGTGCCAACATCGAGATCACCCGCGAGATCGGCGAGGAGAACATCTTCCTCTTCGGCAACCTGTCCGAAGACGTCGAGGATCTTCGCCACGCCCACTTGTACAAGCACTACGAGCTCGAGCCTCAGCTTGCCAATGTCTTCGACCACATCCACAAGGGCACATTCGGCGATGCCGAGCGCTTCTCTGCTCTGCTGAATGGCATCGTCGACCACGGCGACTACTACCTTGTCTCTGACGACTTCGACTCGTACATCAAAACCCAGGAGTCCATTGACGAGAGCTACAAGAATACGGAGGAGTGGACGACGAAGACTATCCTGACGGTCGCCCGTATGGGCTTCTTTACCAGTGACAGGTGTATTGATGAGTACGCGGAGAGCATCTGGAACGTGGAGCCGCTCATTCCCCAGGATGAGCCTGCGCCGTAGATGCGGTGATGGGGTAGTGTTGTGTGATGTGGTCTAACCTAATGTCTAGATGGTTCAAGTAGATCCGTGGACTGGTAGATGGCCTCATATTCCTTGGAAATATCAATATTGTGTTTTTGCGACAAGAGGTTCAACTGTCGCTTTCTGGACGCGTGTGCTTGGCTGTCTATGTCTGGTTCTTAACTGCGAGCGTGTTGCGATAATTTCAGCTTTCAGGTTCCTTACACAGCATACCCTTACTTTAATCAAGGCCTTCTTTATTGCAAATGCTCTCGACTTGCAAGGGATGTTGGTCGCAGGGCTGCTGAGTGTGTAGCCAATGGGAGCTTGGACTCTTCCGAAACGCGCAGCAACGTCAACGCGCAAGCGCAATCTGGCACGTAAAGCTGCAGCAAGCTCACCACAAGCCGAGCTCCAAACACACTCGCCATGGCAAACAGAGGCTACGATGTCGTCGTAGACGTTGATCAGGAGGTGAGACACATCTCTTGAAGTTACAGCAACTACAAGACCGCAGCTTACACCGCCCCAGGGCGACCTAGGCCACACCGATCTGCAAGAGGACCTCGAATTCCACAGCTCCAGTAAGTAGTCCACCAACCTTCTATACCTCACAGCTAACAATCTGACCAGACTTCGAAACCACCCCCTCCCGCGGTGCAAAGGTTCAACCCGACTCTTCCTCCTTCCTCCCCCAGCCCGCGACAGCCTCCTCCAGCGGTTCTCGCAAACACCTCCTCTGGACGCTCTCCTTCTACGCGCAAGCCTTCGACGTCGATTCCGCTGAAGTCCTGCGCCGCTGCACGGCCACCATCTACCCGCGCGCCAACTTCCTCGATGTGCTGGAGGGAAATCCGGACCTCTACGGGCCGGTGTGGATCGCGACGACCGTGGTCGTTATACTGTTTTTGACGGGGACGATTAACCAGTACCTTGCGCACCAGGGCAAGGAGCACTTTGCGTATGACTTCAAGTTGCTGAGTGGTGCCGCGGGGCTGGTGTATGGGTATACGGGGCTGGTGCCTGTGGGGCTTTGGGGCGTGTTGAAGTGGTATGGGAGTGAGAGTGCGAACCTTTTGGAGTGCGCGTGTTTGTATGGGTACGCGAATCTAGTCTGGATTGTCGTTGCGCTGGTGAGCTGGAGTCCAATCTCGAGTAAGTCGAACATCCCCCCATGGGGTTTGCAACCCTCAACATCCTCCCTCGACGCCTTTTCTTCCTAGTGCTAACCACACCCAGTTCTCAACTACACTTTCGTCGCCCTCGGCCTCGCCTTCTCCGCAACCTTCCTGCTACGAAACTTGTACCCCGTACTCTCGACCACCGAAGCAAAGACCTCCAAGATCCTGCTTGTCGTCGTTCTGGCGCTGCACGCTGGCTTTGCTATCGCAATCAAAGTGCTCTTCTTTGCCGCAACGAGCCCCGTGGGCCCGAACAAGGGCAACGATGAGAAGACAGATCCGGCGCGGATGCTGTTGGGATTGTAAGGGGCTTATGAATGCATGGATGGAATATTGGGAAAGAAGCAAGACTCGACAATTGCAGAATTATAGGAAGGTTTGGGGACACAGCATGGCGTTTGGACGGTATACCTAGCGTACAGACTGCGGCATCAATTGATTCTATCAACCTCGAACCGTTGAAGACTATAAACCTGCGCGTGCGTCGAGCGAGGACGCTTGTTCCCGTCCCTTCCCTTGAAAACCAGAGAGCATTTCAATCAACGATGCCTTTGATCGAAAAGTCTCAACTGCTTGAATTGAACTACATTGCAGGATCCGATGCCCAACCACCATACATGAGCTACAACATCGACAGACTTCGCGAGGCACAGAAGCAATGGACAAAAAGTCACCCCCTTCAGGCAGTCTCATGATGGATACAAAGCATCAACGACGGTGAGTTCAAGCTCTCTCCAACCCACCTGGAGCGTGCCATGTTGCTCGAACACTTCAAACAAACCAAATACCGTATAATTCCAAGCTCTCCCGCGCCACGTCCCCGCTAGGCCCGATTCTGGACGCGACAGCCTTGAAGTATCTGGAAGTTGTCAGTGCCATCGAGTCGTGGGTCTGTATCCACGATGTCAACGCAGTCAGACTAGGCCTCTGTGGGGGCATATACCAGGGACGTGACCAATCGAACATGGAGTAGAGCTAGATTCTGTGGCCAGACGTTTTCTTCAGGAACTTCATCTCAGCGTCGTAGTGGAGTCTGGTGTTGACAGAGGGCGTGGGGCAGTCAGAGTATTGGCATCACGAAGAGATTTTTGTTTTTTGTTTGCATTCGTCCATCACCTGTATCGGTGACTTTCACAAGTTGCTGACCCCCCTTGATGACTGGAACGATGATGAGATATAGCTCTTTGGCCCTGAAGAACAACTTTGTGGGTAGTGGAAAGCCTCACATATGACCTAGAATGCAGATCCAAAGTTACACACGTGGAAATCGTGTCTCGCAGTTTACAAAGTTGGGAATCTTAAAGACGGAGCTGGGAGGTATTCAATGATGTTGCGCTGTACATAACCTTTAGGACCCGAGGATCAGAAAGGTCGGCCTTTTTGTATCGCCGCAACAAATGAGCAGACCCAATATCAGAAACAGAGAAATTAGATTTTGCTACAGATGAGTCTATCAACGGTCTCCGAGGTTACTAATACAAGGTGGCCAACAATTCACGTCCTTGTGTACTTCAAAGCCCTCCCATACCTTCACTGAAGGCGCGATTCTGGTTTCACGCAGCCGCCGAGGTATCGGAGGTTATCAGTAATCTCTGTGTAGAAGTCTGTCCCCTCCATGTCGACGACCGGTCCAGGCAAGACCTCTTTACGGTCCAGACGAGGCCACTCAGCTACGGAGTAAGGCCGTCTGCCTTCAGTCTGCGTCTGGGTTTTCTTCGCTATGGCTTGCATAGCTTTCCAATCGAGGTCGTCATGATGTCCAAAGGTAGGAAGGAACGCATCTTCCGCGCCACGTCGAAATGCGTACTTGGTCTCTGGCTCCTTGAGCTTTGGGTGTTTGGTGAGGAAGTCTTGTCGAGCTTTGGCGGCGTGTTCGTCTTGGTGTTTGTCCGACCAAATCCTTTGGGTTAACAACATGATCTCTTTCTTGAGGAGCTGTATGGATTCCTTGGTTGCTGGGAGAGTTGAGAGTGGTTTGGTGGATGATGCTTTGAGTGCGGTGCGGAGTGCGTGATCTGTGTCTCTAGAGAAACGGAGCTTGACCTCGAGCTCCCGCTTTTTCTCCAAGAGCTCCCGCACTCGAATTTGAAGGAGAATGTAATACTCATAGTCAGGGTTAGTCTTGCTCGGCTTACGGGGGTGTTTGGGTTTTGGGAGGACGCCAGCCTTGATCATACGCGAACGTTCAGCTCGGACTGCGTCTCCGGTAGGCCCGTCTTCTGGAGTATAGTGCCCAACGTGATACTCGATAGCCTTCCTGGAATCTTCGCTAAGAACGTTGGGAGCATCAATGTGTGTCGAAGTTGAAGGTATCCACTCAAGATCGTCTTCCTCCTCTTCCGGTTCTGTAAGATCGACAATGTTAGAGGCCACGCAAGGTGCCTGAGCAGCGGCAGGTTGACGTGGCTGATCCAGTGACAACGAGGGGAAAGCTGCTGCTTGGAGAGTTGTTGATGTCGTACGTGCGCCTTCAGCGTGAATCTTAGCCCACTCAGGGGGCATGTCGAGATACCTGTGAAATGGTCAATAAATCATACTGTTTGGAAAAGGACGCCTCTTCGGATTCAGAGATCGTAGAAACAGAATAGCTCGCGAGAAGGCGGTCAAAGGGTACTCACCCCATATTGTCTCTGCTGGTTTGTTTCTGACGCTTACGACACGGCGGCGGTGAATCCAGCAACGTAGTACAAGTCCTGAGGATGGTCGATAAGTATGGCTCAGGAGGAGAGCAAATAAATATATCTGAGCTGGAACTGTCTGACTGTTCGAAGTCACTGGGCAACGCAGTTGTGGGCGACTGTGGACCTGAACCGATCCCATCTTGCTCGAATCGCTCGGGTCGTTTCAGCCTGTGCTTCGGTCGTAGTCCAATACCCATAATAGCCGATATCGAATAGTACGAGATGCTCCGGAAGGGATGTAAACAAGATATGGTTCCGATAAAGCGCGTACCATGGTTGGGTATACGAAGGGATAGGAAGCCGGAAAATATTGAAAACGGTGCCAAAGAACGTAGCATTGCAACTACCATAGTGAGAATGGCACTGGCTCTGGTGCTCCTGCACTTGCTGCAACCTTGGTAACCATGGTTGGGAGGCAATGACAGAGCCAGCTGCTGCGTAGAACGGTCGCTTTCTTCGACAGACTGTAGCGGAGTTAAGGTCGTGCTAGGTTGCTGACGATGACTAGTACCTTGCAAACACTGTATCGGTTCAGAAGCGAGGTATGGGAGGGTGATGCAATGTTCAATATTAGTACCTTGGTAAGGCAGGAACAACCTCAGGGCATGGTCAGCGAGGCGACGCCTCGCCAGGTTATACAGAATAGTCACCGCATCCATTGAATAATTCAGAACTGCATTTGCCTTCCAAGTCCTGGCCTTTGGAGGCGGGCAGGGATGGTGGGTGGACTTGAGCCGTGGCGCCGGAGTGACTGAGTGTTGAGTTTGCTGTAGACAGCACTGTAACGATAAAACATTCGCGGTCGGCATGTCTCGGGTGGAGGCAAGAACACGGGGGAAATGCCAAACAATGCAGGGAAGAAGCTGAACAATTTGAGGGTGCAGACAAGTCGGTGTAAGCTCATACATGAAAACGAGACCCTTGAAGGTAGTCAGAGCATTCAAAACCAAGAAGCACCAAGCGATCAATCAACGCAAGAAGAGTCTTATGCGAACCAATCATGTAGATGAATAGTGTTTAATTAGTAACTCGTGCCTATTATGGCCAATTGAAACCGAGCTGGGCCCAGAAAACGCAGCTTCAAACTCGCGATTGCGTAGCGTCTGCTGCTTGTTGCTCCCTCAATGCATATGCATCGCCGATAGAAAACGCCAATAGCCATGCAGGGTATCATGTAAAAAAACGCCGCTTTATGAAAATTTGCCGGACCTCATGTAGCTACCAGAGTCGCCTAAGAGTTCTGGAAGGGAGTATTGTCGCGACCTTGGAAACGAAGAGCATCCGAGGGGTCCAGGCTGTCCTCCATGGCCACATCATCGTCGTCACGCGTGTCCTCGATGGAACGCTTGGACCTTACTGTCGAAGAAGGCTGCAAATGGGAAGCACGCTGGCCGAATTTGGCGAAGTTGTTCACTTGGTATTGCTGCGCATTGAAGCTCGAAACCGAACGTGCAGCCTGGAGGACGTCCCAGTAGGATCGAAGGATGTTCTTAATCGTATCGTCGAAGTTGACACAGAAGCGCTGGGCCTGGCAGACTTGCATCGCTTTGATGTAGTCAAAGTTGTCGAGGATCTCCATGAGGTATGCGGCGACCACGGCGGCCGACTTTTCGTTGCCAGACTCGCAGAAGACCAAAACCTTGCCAAGTGTGGGCTGCCCTGTTTTTTCAAGAGCGTGCTGACGAACCCCCGCAACGTGCTCGTTGATAATCCGTGTTGTGTCGCCAAATCGCCTGATCAGGTCGTGATAGGCCGGTGCTTCGATTGTAGCCACAGTAAGACCGGCGTCGCGCGCTGCTTGCAAGGCGCCGCTCATGCTACCATCGCGGGAACGGATTGCGAGCACCATGGTAATCCCGTCGCGTGCGAAGAAGTCTTTGTCCTTAGATGCAACCATGGGCCCCAGAAACAACCACGGCAGGATCATCTGTGCTTGCCGGCGCCGCTCGTATGCCCAGTCAATCAAAGTGTTCTTCTGGACGATGTCTTCCAAAGCCATATCTTTGAGGAAGCTTATGTCAAGGCCCCCGGACCCAGTCCCAACCACGAGACCCGGCATGTCGGTGGATAGAGTCGGTGGAGGTACAACAACCCGGGGCGGCGTGGGAAGCCGATAAGAATATTCGTTGTGGTTGCGCATGGTCATACCGAGCGAGCTACGCATCGGCGAATCCGCTCCTGTGGTCGTCATGGTGTTGGTGGCGGTCGGTCGCTGTAGAGGTAGAGGTGGGCAGCCCTGCGATGTGGGGGATATTTCAGTAGCGCGATGACGCGCTGTCACGGGACTGACGTGCTAGAACAACGCGACAGGGCTATTGAGATAGTTGTTGTTTCTGAAAGGATATTTTGCGGTGAAAGAAGGTCGGTCGTGTACTCTGCGGCAGCTGTTGAAGAGGTGCGTTCAGGCCCTTAGGCAACCGCGGCGCAGAGGTCGTCCCAAGCGGGGTCTGTGACAACCTCCAGCTACAGTCAAGCGCAATTAGATCATCATCCAGGACGCAGTGGTAAGTCATCTTCACGGCGCAGGAGACTTGAACGTTACCAAGGAAACCTAGGGAAGATGTGATTTCTCGAATGCAGCTGTGAACCCCTTCATCGTTCAACGGGCAGCTAGCCGCAAATGGCAACGTTAACGATCGTCTGGTTCGTACCGTTCGCGCGTGAAGCTCTTCTCGAAGCTCTTGTCACTTACCAACACAACCTCCATCAATCCTGCTCGGATCATCTTCGTCGTACAAGGCCACGCAGGGCACTGTCGCACGTGGAGACGTGGTCGTCGTGAACTATCGATGCTGTACTCCTGCTCTATCCCACCTGCCTTACTTGGCGACAATAATCTACCAACCACTCCGCCGTCCAAGGCTCACAACCAACCTTCTCACCCACCTCAGCGGTGTGAACCTGTACACACGTGAACACCATCGTGATAGCGGCACCGATTGTGAAGTCTCTTCCAGCCACGCGGAACGCTGCTAAGGGCATCTTCCTGGCAGTCTCAAAAGTACCGTGGCAGCCCTACTCTATCGCCAGTCATCACACTGCGAGGAAGACCGGCGAGCAACATCATCCGCAGTAATCCGTATAACCACGAGCTAGCCTCAGGGCTCAATCAACTGGACTCGGCGACATGATACAAAGCTGCGGGCCTCCGACCCTTTGTTCCGCCGAGATGGAAAGGAGTCGGTGGAGCAGGCGGATCCAAACATGCAGATCCACAGGTTCACCGGGTGATTACAGTGGCAGCACGATGAAATGCAAACACGAGGCTGATGTTTCCTAATCTGCAGGTACGTCGCGACTTGACTACCGTCTTCTCAGCTGCTGCTGTGATGCAACTATGTGAGGTTGTACGGTTATTCAGCCGCCGCGTTCCCAAACACAAAGCTAACAACGACTATCCAAACGCTCTGCGCACATGATCTCATCGCGTTGAAGACCTCCATGGTCCTCCATGCTTCCACAAGAACATTCCGAGTGTAGTTGCGGCTATTTTTACACAACGTGCCACACACGAACTATCAATTGCGGGAACCCGGCAGGGGAGATTTTTGATGGGTCTAAAAGGAGGCTGGCGCCATCCTGGAGGTCCTCAGCACCTCGTAACGTGAGCCCTACCCCCGCCTCGGAAATTGAGAATCCCATGCCAGCGGCGCAAGGCCCCAGCGGTGACCTGCACAGAGGACAAGCCACGAGCCTAACGTGGTTTGGTGCACCGGTGGAAAAAGGCTTATCTCTCCCAATACAACGTTGCAGCTTTAACCCCGGTTTTCATCCGTGTACAGCTAGGACGGGTGATCCTGATCCTATCATCTCAGCAAGATGACGCCGCTGCGGCAGGTCAAGATAAAAGAGTCGGTCTGTCCTGGTGTTGGAAACTCCAGCAGCGATCCCAACCTCCTGCCGACTCTGAAGACCTCCACGGTCTAAACCAACACTCGCTGATCACAACAACTTCTATACCTAATTCTGATTCTGTTCGGCTTCACACCACACACCATGCACTTCTCGACCATCACAGCTCTGTCGGCTGCGACACTCGTATCGGGTGCTGCAATCAAGAGACAAGATGCGTCCGAGTCTGTTCCAACAACATCTCTCTTCCCTGCACTTCCTCTTTCCATCTTCGCCGAGACGGCCGGACACACATTGACCCTCGAGGAAGCTCTTTCCGGACTGAACATCACCGACAAGATCGACGAACTTGCCGACAAGGTCGAAAACAACCTTGAGAACCTCATCGCACCCAACCTCAGAGTTAGCGTAACCGCCGCTGCCGCAACATGCTCCAACGTCCGCGTTCGCACAGAGTGGGACTCCGTCTCCACCGCTGATAGGCAAAACTTTGTCGACTCTCTCAAGTGCTTGATGAACAAAGCACCATCCGGCCAATTCTCAGCCTCCAAGAGCCGCTACGAAGATTTCGTTGCTCTGCACCAGATCCTCACGCCCAGGGTACACAGCAACTCGAAGTTCCTGCTGTGGCACAGATACTACCTGTGGACATTCGAACAAGTCCTCCGAACCGACTGTGGCTTCACCGCAACCCTGCCGTGGTTCGACGAGACCAAGTATGCCGGAAAGTTTGGCCAGTCTTCAATTTTCTCGAGCCAGTGGTTTGGTGGTATTGGTCTCGGCGGCGCCTGTGTAACGGACGGCGTAAGCATACCCACGCTTCACGGCACTTCGTACTAGATAACTGACTTCAAATACAGCAATTCGCCAACCTCGCCATTAACGTTGGACCTGGCTCGGGCAACCAAGCTCACTGCCTTGCCCGCAACGGCGACTCCGCAAAGACCATTAACACTGGTCAGTCAATGGTCGATGCCTGCAACGCCCGCAGCACTTTCGCCGACATGGCTGGCTGTTCTGAAGGCGGTGCTCACGCCTGGGGCCACAACGGTATCGGTGCCGTTATGCAGGATGTCTACGCCTCTCCTGCAGACCCCGTAAGTACTCCAAATCAACCGCATGTAATCGTAACATTCTAACGAACCTCAAGATCTTCTGGCTGCACCACGGCTTCATCGACCGCAACTTCCGCATCTGGCAGAACCAGAACTCTGGTGTCCGCACGACCACCATTGATGGTACGGATGTCGATGGCAACGCGCTGACGCTCGACACAAGCATCAATGTGTACAGCATCAGGCCTGATGTCAAGATCAGGGATATCCTTGATACTGCTGGCGAGGCGCTTTGCTACAAGTATAACTACTAGAGGATAGTGCGTGGTAGTGGTTTTTTGTAGATACCCTTTACTCGTTCATAAATTTTTAATATGGTAATAATGAGTAATACCATTTATCATCCAATCACTCACACCAACTATCGCCCCTAGCTTCGACAATGCCGATTGGAGGTCTGCAACTGGACTCAGACGTTGCAATCACTCTGTCAAATTACTGCTATCACGCCCTCAGCAAATCCACAAACCCCCCCCCCCCTTCACGCCCACCAAAAACTCAACCTACGTCACCGCAGCCATGTAAAACCCACCGTACACTTACGTCCCCCTCCCCTCAACATTCTTCTCACCCATACTCGTTTACCCCGTAGCATACAACACACGCCCAAACATCTACACCATTCCCGCCACAGCTGCAACTCTAGGGTACCTCAAGCCACTGATGACCATGCCCGTCAAGACAATCGTATAGTTCTCGTGAGAATTGTAGTGGGCGCGCTGCGCGCAGTTGAAAAGGCACAGAGCAGGTTTTTTTGAAGGTAAAGAGGCAGCGGCCGTGGTCTCTGCAGATGCAAAGGCGTGAAATTGGGGGACTTTGGCAGCGCGCTGAAATGGAGTAATACAGGCTCTGAGGCAGATGGAGGGGAGGTAGGAAAGAGATGCGGTGATGAGGACGTAGCTGAGGGATTGTTAGGGGCGGATTTGTGGGAGGAAGAGCAGGATACCCGTATTCTGCGGGGACTTAAATCGTTGTTATTGTCGTCATACTGGCTGGGACGCAGGTGCTGAGGGAAGTTGAAGAGTGAGCAAGATTCATAACGGACGAAACGATTAAGCACAACAGATGTTATGTAGGTTCTTGGTTGACTGCTAGATCTTGACTTTCTCGATCTCTCCAGAGTTGCCACAAGTTCGGGAGAAAACATATAATAGTGGGTATTCACTAATGGGCACCCACCTAACTATTAATCCGTCGGTAAGTTGCTGAAACAGAGCTGAGCGAACGGGAGGCCTTGCTATCCCCTGGCCGGTTACCACAAAAGTCCTTAATTTCACCGTATGCAGTATTGTTGGCGCTGGAGACGGGCAACAGAGATACGCAAATTAGCACTGATTGCTAGAAATTGAACTCGGAGTCCCTAGGGAAGGCGAGGTTTAACATAGGCACTAAATCTCAGGTTTGCAGAGAAAGCGTGTAGTAATATTGAGTTATTGAGGTGCAAAAAGATTACAAACAGCGAGAGCAAAACTTCGGGAACAACCATCACGAAAGCACTAAGGGGTAGCTGCTAGTGGCCGCAACAGAAAGAACAATGAAGCCTAAAGTATATATACCATAAGCTCTGGGTGTGCCTGTTTGTGGATAGTGCGCATGTAGGAAGAATTGAAGGATTGAACTAGGGTCGTATTGTATGAAGCTACGAACAGTATGTATAGGTGGGCAACAGTAAACAACGCCCACGGCAGGTGAGGTGTGACACGCAGGTGAGGTTTGGCAGGCAGGAGACACCTAAAACCGTGACACTGGGGCACGAGGGCAGGCTAGCAAAAACAAGAGCTGGAAAGTATAGGAAGGCTGAAGGTATCGCGGTCGCAACACATGAGGCAAAGGGGATCTCTAAGCCTTGAAATTTGGTATGCACATACAAGGATCATTGTTTAGATGCGCCAGCATGTGGTTGTAGATACTGGTCTGAAGAACAACGGCGGGCCACTGGGGACAGGTAGCTCTTATTTGCAAGAGTGAAGTGGGGTAGAGTAGAAGCTTCTTCTGTGCTGCGTTAGATATCTGCTAAGCCTGTCAGCCGAGCATAGCCGCCGATACATCGTGGCTGAAACTGAGTAGCAATCAATCGATCGATCAATCAATCCTCGTAAGACCGCTATGGCATTTCAGGAGCACGCCACAGAACGCATAGAATAGAACACGACCTCTTCGTTTCGTGGGCGTAGCTGTGCTTCTGCCGAAGTAATTAGAATTTAATCGTCTTCTAAAGTACAGAAGGCGACGTTGGTTTCATTCGAGTCGGTCCTGCTGATATGCACAGTGTTCCTTCACTGGTGTATACTTCCTAATACTGCACTCATCACCGAGCCGTGCTGAATCCCGTCAGTGTATGCTGCAGTCTTCGAGTGGTGCTCAGACCACCGCAAGCCCGCTTCGCCACAGAGCTGCATCCTTCCCCTTTTCAACCCGCTTGTCCCGTGAGATAGTACTCCCAGCCTCAGGTTGAACAGTAATTTTGTCCTCATCATCTTCACCTTTCGCGTTCACCTTCGTCAGGTCTAATTTGACCACGTCGTAGGTCCTCAAGCTTGTTCACGAGGTCTTCGTTGGTGAACTAACTGCACCACACATCACATAGCTGGGAAGCAAAGACCAGGCTCATATCTACTTTCCCTGAGGGGTTTACAGTCTCTCCTGCCGTATCTGTCAATCTAGATGTAGTTTACGCAACATGGTTGGGCCCAGATGGTTGGCATATGCGGCTTTGCGGCACGGCACGTACAACCCCGGTTGTTTCAACAAGCCAGTAAATCCAAAAAAAATCCCAATCCTACAGGATTACGTCTGTTTCTACAACCCTTTTAAGGCAATGGTTTATCATAGCCTTCCAGCTCCAAACCCCTGGTTCTGGAACATGAAATAATCACAGCAACTCAACACTGTTGGTGGCGGTTTCATGAACGACTGCGAGTTTCGGCTTCAGAAGGTCTGGATGCACTCATATGAAAGGTATAAATCACTGCGGTGGGAGGTGCACCTACCAAACGATAATAAGATTCGGCTTTCCATCCTTACAATAAGTTTGCATATCGTATTTCTCATAACCAATTACCCATCACTGTACATTACGCTTAGTCGTCATTATGGCCTCTCAAGTAACTCCCCTCGTACTGTCACCGACCAGCTCGATGTCTACACCTTCAACGCCAGACACTGGCAGTTTTGTTTGGGACACGTCAGAAACTCCTCTGCATAAATCTTCCAACGAAATCGAATTTGACCTTTCGACGCCGTTAACTCCGCCACTGACTTCGGATGACTTTAAGCAGACTTACGAGTCGCAAGTCAAACCAATCTTCTTGCCGACCGCCGACCATATACCGACCACACAAATAACAACCCCGGACTCGAATTCTGGCTTGAAGGATTGTCAAATTGCAGGTAAAAGCCCGGTTCCAGACACGGTCGCTTTGGGAAAGCTGTTCCGTGATACTAGAGATCTCCTCCAAGCGGGTAAGGAAACCCTATAGTAACTTCCTGGGCATTGCTAAACGTGTGTTTTCTTAGTTGGCAATGAGAGTACTTCAAAGTTCCAGATCCAGTACAATCCCGTGCCTTCGATCGATTTCCTCTCTATACCCAAATCTCACTCAAACAGCGCGAATATCACCAAGAGAGAGAGCGAAGGCACAGAACCTCAAGTCAAGACTGAAACTACCAAGACCCGTTCTGTCATCGCAGACACTCCGCGTCCCAATAGCAGATACAAAGGTCTTCAGGCAGTATTAGAGCACATCACCCCCTCTGAGATTCATGCCAGGTTAAACGACGATCCAAAGCTTTGCGTTGCCTCTTACGTCAGAGTTCCGAACGAGAGATGCATCTGCAAAGTTCAAAAACAGCTTACCAGTGATCACAAAATCTTAAACACTGTGTCTAGTTGTATCGAGAAGGGCGATTATGCTACTTTACCAGAATATCTTGAGCAGCTCGCGGAGGTCGTCCTGTGTGGCAACCATCGAAAAGTGGCTCTGCTTCAGCCGAAAGCCAAATCAAGGATTGCCAAATTGCGAGATTTTATTTTCAACCTCCCGCAAGCATCAAAAGCAGATCTCTCAACTTTTAGAGCATGGACAATGGCACTGGCCAACCGTGGCCTTCCTCTTCCAGTTGACTGCAGTGCGCGAGAGGATTCACCCTCTGTGGTGCCACCCAAAACAAACACTACTGCTGCCTTCAGCGGCAATACGACGTCGAATTTACCAGGATTTCTGCCTTATAAACCAACACGGATGAGCGACCTTGCTATTGCCAAAGCCGTGAAGAAGATGATCGCCAAGCCATTGACAGCAACTGACATGAAGGATGGTTTCATATACATATTCTGGGACAAAGGAACCTTTGGTATGGTCAAAATCGGTCGAACGAATGACCTCGAGCGACGACTGAAAGAGTGGAACAGGTGCAAGAGCACGCACAGCTATCACAAGTCCTCCCGGGATGGTGACCTTCGCAAAGTTCCGCATGTCCAACGCATCGAGAGACTTATGCAGATTGAGCTGGTCAACAACCGAAAGACAAGAGCTTGTGACACCTGTGTTAAGACTAAGATGCACAAGGAGTGGTTCGATGTATCTGAGGCAAAAGCTGTAGAGGTTTTCCAGAAGTGGCGTAACTGGATCCTTCAAGAGCCATATGCGGAGGACGATAAAGGGCAGTGGGTAATCAGGCCCGAAATGCTCGAGACGATACCTGAGAACTGTAAGCTTGAGCCCGAAGAGGCGCAGAGCCTGCGGATTCGACCGCGAAATGTCAAGAACAGGTTAAAGCGACCAGTTCTACGACGGTCACCTGTAATGCGGGCCTTGGCTGCTTCTTACAGTACTTAGTTCTCTTAAAATGTGGCAAGAGCGATCCTTTTGCTAAGGCACGTTATAACTGCTCGCAGTATGTACGGATCCCCCTGCCCATAGGACTCAACATGAACAAGCTCTTCAAGGCGTAAGAGTTGCATAAGAGAGACTCGCCGGTGAACACATTCAAGACCGTTGGCGGCGGAGGTAGTAGCCAAACAGGAGAGCTATTGAGGAGTTACGGCTGCGTGGCTTTGTAGTTGTGAAGGAGCAAGGTCATCGCAGGAAGACAGGCGTCTACGGGGTGGCTGAGTCCACGCTTCCAATTCGAGTATTGCGAGTGCCGCAGCCTATGTCGCAAGCAGAATGTCAAAGCAGTCTGCATCTGCCTACCTACCTGTCACTCTCAACCTGTATGTTTTCATCTCCAGCCTCGTCATGGGCGATGGTTGCTGGTTCTCCGATGTCATAACAATGACCTTCAAGCGGCAGAACAGGAGACGTCCGTCTACAGCCGGACATAGATCGGCGCAGAGGTAAAGTGATGTGGCCTAATTTCCAAGGTCCAAGCAACTGCCACCTCGAGAACGGTACACCGGCAACATGATGGCGCAGACTGGTCCACGGCAACCAGTGTGGTGTTGAGGTAATGGACCGGACCCCTGATGGTGAAATCGTCGTACCAGTTCTGCTCATAGTGAATGTCATGGCAAATGGGACATGTCTTGTCCTCTTCGACAAATGCAGGTGTAGAAGACGAGGCTGATGGGGGGCTGGCGGCGGTGGTCGGTGAGCGACGGAAGTGCCGACATGTGCTGTTGAATTAATTCTACATTCTCAAACAGCTGCTTGCGGCTCGGTCCGCAGCATCCGCCCTCTGCCAGATCATTCATTTTGATCACTCCTTGAAGGTCCGCTGGCTTGCCAGCTTGAGAAGGTGTCGCGGTAGATCGTGAGTGACCAGTGCGCATGTGCGGAAATATTGAAGGATTGAACTGAGGTTGTATTGTATGAAGATACAAACAGTAAGTATAGGTGTGTAGCTGTAAACAACGCTAGTGTGACGTGGCAGTCACTCTCATGGCAAGTGAGGTACGACAGGCAGGAGCACCCTAAACCGTGACAGAAGGTGATGCAGTAGGCAACACCTATCAAAACGAATGCGAACATCTTGCCCTCTCAGCCGCACACGTGACGGCAAGATGGTGTGATGCCCTTACCGAGACGGTGTCACGAAAGACAGTAAGTCGGGCAGGACAACTCATTTACCTTTACCTATAGCTGTGTGAAGAAGACGTATAAAGACGCGCAACGTATATCAAGAATCATTGGCTAAACACATCCCTGACTACATGGGCATGCGCTTGAGATATGGCAGGTGTCGGAAGCAAAGACACAAACCCGTACCAAGAAGGAAAGAGTATGCCCACACAAGGCTATGAACAGTCGTCCTAAGAAAATTACGCGGTGGTGGTGTTGATGAATTTCGAAGGCGGTCTGCAATTAAGTAAGGTTTGGGCGTGATCGCGCGTCGCAAATGACGCATTTGATGTTCGCCTAGCGCGTTCCTTTCACGCGCCTGAGCACCTCGCCACTCCCATGTCCCCCGGCGCTGCCGCTCCTCTCTGCTGTTGTTGTTGGTTTGTTACACTCCCTGCCTCACAATTGAGGCTTCAATCTCTGCAACATGACCGCTTCTTCGAACGCAAGCGAGAAATCTGATCCCACACCCGATTCCTCGCCTCCACCTGTGAATATGGACGACGGTAATGTGTCGAAGAAGATGCAGGATGAGGAGATGCGTATGAAAGCGCAGCGCGAGAAGCAAGACGCGAAACGCGACGCGCAATTGGACAAGGAGAGGCAGGAGGACATCAAAAGTGGCAAGGAGGTGTTGGACAAGAAGTTCCAGCAGCTGGAGTTCTTGATGAATAAGAGCAAGGTTAGCATGCGACATTCTTGTATGGGTTCCAAGGGCTAATGCCAAGCCCATCAGCTCTACGCGACAGTTATGCTGCAGCAAATGCAGCGGCAGGAAGACGAAGAGAAAGCACAGGATGAGAAGACCGACGGTCAAGCTTCGAAACGCGAGAAGAACGCTGAGAAGGCAGCAGCAGAGTCGCAACGACGCGCAACACGAAACTCGGCAGCGAACGGCGCATCGACACCAGACACGAAGTCAGACACTGCGACAAAGAAGAAGGGGCGAGGACGGCCGAAGAAGGAGAACTCGAACATAGCAGATTACTTCAAGAAGGAAGACCTGGAGAAAAAGGTCGAGGAAGAAGGGCCAGGCGATGTCAAAAACGAGGATAACGTCAAGACAGGGGACATTGGCATACAAAACCTCAAGTCTGCGCGGCAACCGAAGCTCGTCACAGGAGGCACAATGCGGTCATATCAGCTGGAAGGGCTGGAGTGGATGCTGTCATTGTACCAGAACGGCATCAACGGCATTCTGGCGGACGAGATGGGTCTGGGCAAGACGATACAAACCATCTCCATGCTCGCGCACTTGTGGGAGAACAACTCTTTCGGCCCCTTCCTGATCGCCGCGCCACTCAGCACAACAAGCAATTGGGTGGCAGAATTCGAGAAGTGGACACCGAGCATACCCGTCATGCTGTACCATGGCGATAAGAAGGAGCGCGAGAGGTTACGCAAGACACGACTCAAGAACCCAGGCACGAAGGACTTCCCTGTTGTTGTCACCAGCTACGAAATCTGCATGAACGATCGAAAGTTCCTGACCCATTTCGGATGGCAGTTCATTATCATTGATGAAGGGCATCGCATCAAGAATCTGGACTGCCGCCTCATTCGTGAACTACAGCAGTTTCAGTCAGCGAATCGTCTCCTAATCACCGGCACGCCACTTCAGAACAACCTTGTTGAGCTGTGGTCCTTGCTGCACTTCCTGCTCCCAACAGTATTCGACAAGCTGTCAACGTTCGAGAGCTGGTTCGATTTCTCGGGCTTGAAGGACAAGTCCAACTTCGAGCAGCTCCTGTCTGAGGAGCGGCAGCAATACCTGGTCAAGTCACTGCATGCGGTGCTCAAGCCATTCCTGCTGCGACGTGTCAAGACCGACGTAGAGTCTCTGATGCCCAAGAAGCGCGAGTACGTACTCTACGCACCCTTGACGCCGATGCAGCGTGAGCTATACCAGGCGATTCTGGATGGCACAAGTCGATCATACCTTGAGGATAAAGCAGTCGAGAGGCTAAGCGTTGGTCTTTCCAGCAGGGCTGGAACACCCCTCAGCATTCGCAGCAACAACGACAACCTCAAGCGCAAAGCAATAAGTGGTGCCAACACACCCAACAAGAGTACGAAGTCGTCGCGTGCAGGTACGCCTGCGTCAGTGACTTCTACACGTGGTCGTAGCAGAGTCAAGAGGAACTACGAAGAGGCCAGCGACGACGAGTACTTTGCAGGCCTCGACAAGGAAGAAAGTACGCCCGAGAAGGAAGAAGAAGTCGACTCAGAGGGCGAAGAGGAGCGCATCAGAGCAGCAACCTTCGAAATCGCCAAGCGCCAACTTCTACAAAAGAAGCTCGGTAACCCCATCATGCAGCTCCGCCTCTGCTGCAACTCGCCCTACAACTTCTTCAACCCCTTCCTCAAAGCAGAAATAGAAGGCGGCGAAACGTTCGCATCAAACACAGAGCCTGATGAAACCATCGTCTCCACATCCGGCAAGATGCTACTCCTCGACTCCCTCCTCCCTCCTCTGATCAACGACGGCCACAAAGTCCTCATCTTCAGCCAATTCACCACAACTCTCGACCTGATTGGTCAATACCTCACCCTGCGCTCTTGGCCACATTCTCGTATCGACGGCTCGGTCGCGCAATCTGATCGACAGGCGCAGATCCTCGCCTTCAACAAGTCGAAAACCAAGGACGGGACAAACATTTTCATCCTCTCGACTCGCGCGGGCGGCCAGGGTATCAACCTCGCAGCTGCAGATACCGTGATTTTGTTCGACTCAGACTGGAATCCTCAGCAGGATCTGCAGGCCATGGATCGTGCGCATCGTATTGGGCAGACAAGGAATGTTATTGTATACCGCTTTGCTACGCGTAATACGGTGGAGCAGAAACTCCTTGAATCTGCCGAAGCTAAGCGTCGTCTTGAAAAGTTAGTTATCAGAAAGGGAGGCGTACGAAACAACGCAGGCAGAGGTGTGGAGAAGGAGCAAGAGGTTGAGGAACTGCAGAAGTTGCTCAGGAAAAGTGATGGCGAGAGGTTCGATATTGCAGGAGAGGGCGAAGGAAAGCTTTTCAGCGACAAGGAACTGGAGATCCTGCTCGATCGAAGTGATGAGGCGTATGAGAGGGCAGAGAAGGGGTTGGGTGTCGGTGGAGAAGGGCAAGTCTTTCAGGCCGTGGGGAAGAGGGAGGAGGGTGCGTTGATGAAGGGTCTGAGGGCATGATTTGTATTAGATGCCATTTGCTTTTGCACATTTAAGCCAAGTTTCGCGGTCGCATTTTCGTCGGAAGCCAGCTCCAGAGTTCGTGTGTCAAGTTGCTTGTTCATGTGAGCGCTTCGCTTGACATCCAGGGAAGGACTACGTCTGCCAAAGTCCAACAAGTGGTCGGGATCCGAGGTTCATGAGCTACCGTAGTCTCCAGGGTTACAGAAAATGTTTGCTGATTGCGCACGAAGATTGCTGAAGCCATCTCTAATTAGCACCTGATTTCGCGTGCCTGGCCAGCGTGTCATGGACGCGTCGCGACATCCTCCAATCACCCTTTTACTTCCACAAACATATCATTTGTCTTCACAGCGACCAGTCCCAGCAGTTACTGCCGTCTATTTACTTCCCGACTTTGGCAACCAGCATCTATCAGGATGCCTAAGGAGATTCCAGCACCGCCACGGCCGAAGATAGAAGCCTTTGGTTCTGGGCTGACATGGAAAGACGTGAAATATGCATACTACGACGGCATCCTGACTACTTTCGCGATGACGAATCCAAGCAACGCTTCGATGCATGGTCGACACGGGAGTTTAAGCAACATCATGAGATGCTGGACACAGAGACGCAGCGACAAGTACACACGGTATGAAGATGAGAACATGTACACGTACTCATTTCTGAGCAAGAGACTCAAGACTAGGGTGGAGGTCGAGGACCGCCCGCCACATTGGATAGATCCAGAGGATCCTATATTCCAGAACTCCACGCCACAAGCGCCAACAGCACTCGTCAAGAAGTTTGCCAAGATTGACAAGAACTCTACAGCTCCAGCCCCGCGTGTTCACCAGAATGTATCTCTTAGCTCATCTACACTTATGGGGCCGTTCCGTTGCTTCGAGCGACAGACTCTCGAAGGACTGAAGATGGAATTAGAACATGCCCTTGCGTCAAGATGGGCAAGTGGTTCTTGTACCTTTCGGGCATCCGAGGCTAACTGCATCAGTGTGATTATGTATAGGCATGGATGGTTGAGTTCGAGGGTGAACTGACAAAGAAGTATCGAGGACTCCCCGTTGAACGTACTGGCACTACCAGGCTCAATGAAAACCTCTCTGCTGGAATTTTCCCGGTAATTGGTACCCAGGCTGGGATAACCTCACATGGCACCCTGATCTGACTGCAAGATGGGAATGGCAGTGCATCCGGTCTGGACAGAGCTCTTTGGGCACGGCCTGGAACATTCTTCAGGTTGCTTCGCAGCCCGTCCACCCTGTCGCGGCCCGTTCCACGCCTACCGTCTCAAGCCAAACGGCCTAGGTCCAAATGTGGATGCAAAGACTAAGCTCCACTTCCAATGATAGTGCTGTCCGGGGTAACCGGAGGTTGCAGAGTACTATACCAACTTAGGAGATGACGATGAGTCTACAGCGAATGACTCCTCGCTCGATTTTGACGCGTCGTCGGATGTTGGTCTTCTTGATGGCTCCCTCCCGGCATATACGCCCGACTCTGGAGACGATGATAGCAGCAACTCTGGTATCGCAGTCGAAAAGTCACAGATATCTGTCCTGATAGTGCTATTTCATTGGCAGTCCTTCATCTGGACCGGACGCTGGAGGTGGTCAAAGAGAGCCTGGCAGTGAGATGCTAGATCAGTCAGCGCAAATGCCGTCGTCACTGGAGGCCTTCTTCAAAAGGTTGCTGGAGGATCCACAGAGATTGGTCGCGCTCGGGCTGAGGCGTATTTGATGTTATTTCTCTACTTCTTCTGCTTTTCGCCTTCAATGAAGTCCTTGATCGTCTGCTCCAATCCAACATCTTCCGAGAAGCCCAACTCCTTCGCTCTTGCTGTGTCGTACTTCGCAGGCCAGCTCAGCACGATCTTCTGGATACCCTCATCTCTTTGCTCCTTGACTCTTGATCGGACCTCCTTGCCGGCAATCTTCTCCAGTGCCTCCAGGATCTCCCCGCTTGTCGCTGTGTAGCCGGGAAGCAAAACCTGTCTGAAGTGGCCGAACTTCTCAGCCGGGATCTTGATGGCGTGTACAAGGTTGGTGGCCAGAGTACGTGGTGATGTCAACCAGATACCAATGCTGGGGTCGACTGGAAGCACAGATTCTTCTCCATTGACAGGCTCGCGGACAATGCCAGATACGAAGGATGACGCCGCCGCTGTGGGAGCTCCAGCTCGTACAAACACGGTGGGCAGACGGACTACACGTCCATCTATAAGGCCTCGACGGGAGTAGTCATTAACCAGGAACTCGATCATCAGCTTCTGTGTGCCGTAGCTGCTCTCTGGCATGGGAACAATGTCCGTCTCGGTAGCCACGTTTTTGACAGCCGCACGGCCAAAGACCGCGCACGAACTTGTGAACACGATCTTGACGCCAGGCTGCTTGACTCGGGCAATATCGATCAAATGCCTCACGCTGTCAAAGTTGACCTTCAAACCGAGTCCGAGGTTTGCTTCCGAGCCACTCGACATAATGCCGTGCAGGATGTATACAGCATCTGGTGCCTTCTCAAACAGCACATCCACCGCCGCAGGATCAGTAAGATCCGCCGCAACAGTCTTCACATCCTTCGACTCCGTCGGATTCGGTGGCTCCTTAACATCTGCCAGGACCAATGATGTGGAAGGGTCGGTCTCGATGAGCTTCTTAGCAAGGATCTGGCCGACAAAACCGCCGGCGCCGGTGATGACAACTCTCATATTGCTGACTCGTGTGCTGGTACCGGTGTGTGTTGATGTTTGTAAGGTGTATGTAGTATGTAAGACTGACACGCAGGGACTGAACACGACACCGGTTTTCGAGCCACAGCTGCGGCTTATGACGTTTCTCCGTCGGCGAGAATCCCGACTTGGGATGAGTGGGATGAGTTGAAAAGGCGGGGGAAGACGTACTGACGACCGCGGGGTCGGCAACTCGGTGGGCGGGCCGAAAGCCCCTGGATATGTTTTCCTACAACACCATGGTTTGTCTCGTGATGCGCTATCCAACATACATACACTTGGAGTTCACTAATACTTTAGGGCTTCCGTGCTTTGTTGTTGCTTGATTGACAATTTCCCTCGCAGTTTTCCGCATGAAAAGCACGAGCCGCGAGTCAAACCGGCCCGGTCGCTGACTTTCCCTCTTCGCGTGCCGCCACCGTGCTCAAAGTGGATCGAACACCGGAATTCGATGGATTTTCGATGAAGCCGCTCGCATGCCTGCGGCCGATCCGCCGCCTCCACGGGGCAATGGGTCAACAAAAGCCTGAGCACCTCCATGATGAGGTGTTCCGAGAATTTCACGACTTTCCTTCGCTTTCAAGATGGTTCTCGTTTTGGCCGCACTGCTGGGCTTCGCCCAATTGCCGATTGCACACGCTGTCAGCTCGCTGAAGATTGAGACGACTTCTGGCACGGTACGGGGCGCAGTTGACTCTATTACACCGAATGTTGCCCATTTCCTCGGCGTACCTTTCGCCGAGCAGCCGTTGGGAAAGCGCCGCTGGCTGCCATCGGTGCCAAAGGCGAAAGAGAACGGAACGATCGATGCCTCCAGCTTTGGTCCCGCATGCCCGCAGTTTGAAGGCAACACAGACAATGTCTGGTTGACAGACGCCCCTGAGTTCGTCATCACACCGAGGAACTACACAGGCGAAGACTGTTTGACGGTGAATGTGTGGGCACCGTGGAAAGAGGAGGGCGAGCAGGGCAACTGCACGGAAGGAGCGTATGAGGCTAAGGATGAGAAGTTGCCCGTCATTGCATGGATTCATGGAGGATCGTTTCAGACAGGCGCCTCCACTGTACCGTATCAAGATCCCAGTCGATGGATCCAAAGAAGTGGAAAGCACATTGTTGTCGGCATACAGTAGGTTTTCTCTCGAATTGCAGTTTCATCTCGCCGTACCCTGTAGGCAGTCACACGTTCTTTCCAAGCTGATACGGGCTGTAGGTACCGCCTGGGTATTTTTGGACAGCCGAATGCAGCGGGTCTCGCAGATGACGAGCAGAACCTTGGACTTCTCGACCAGCGTCTGGCGCTCGAATGGATCCGCGACAACATCGCCAATTTTGGCGGCGACCCAGAACGCATCACCCTTTGGGGCCAATCCGCAGGAGCCGTCTCTGTCGACAACTACAACTTCGCTTACCCTGAGGATCCTATTGTCTCTGCTCTGATCATGAACTCCGGAACCTCCTTCCTCACACTTACCTCTGTGGACCCTCAGCACACCAACTTCACGTTCGTCGCCTCCTCCCTCGGTTGCGGTAATCTCAATGCCACCGCTGAGGTTGAGTGCCTCCGCGATGTTCCTTACCCAGAGATCATCTCATTCCTCAAGGCCCGCTCCGACAACGGCATAACCCCCGGTCTAACATTCAACCCCATCATCGACAACCGCACCAAGTTCAGCAACTACACCGCGCGCGCCCTCGCCGGAAACTTCACCCGCAAGCCCGCCATCATCGGCACCACCGTCGATGAAGGCAACGTCTTCCTGCCCTACAACCGCACTTACGGTCCTGACATGGCGATTGCCGACTCCATCACCCTGGGCTCTTTCCTCTGCCCAACCGTTCAGACTACGCACGATAGATCTGCAGCAAACACGACGACGTTCCGCTATCTTTATGGCGGCAACTTTACCAACATTGCTCCGCAGTGGTGGCAGGGCGCATATCACCAAGCCGATATGCCTCTCATCTTTGGTACGCACAACATCGCGCGCAGTAACTCCACGCCCCTTGAATTCGCGGTGAGCGAGGCGATGCAGGACTTCTGGCTCGCCTTTGCTGAGGACCCGGTGAACGGACTGCCAGAGGCTGGGTGGGAGGCGTATGAGCCCACTGGGGATGCAGTGTTGTTTGGTTGGGAGGGCAAGGCTGTGCAGCCGATTAAGGAGGCTGAACTGGAGGCGCCGTGTAATGGGTTAGTACCGAATGGGCTGCCTAAACCTCCGACGTTCTAGGAAGACGATAACGAAGGATTTAGACGTGGTCATGGTGTATTAAAGCATACCAGTAATCTAATGTAGACAGTGGATTTTCACTCCAATCCATTTCCAGCGTACACCTTCCACTATTCATTACGAGGAACACCAACGAGCTGACGACTTCAAAGAAGATCGAGACTCCATGAATCCTCTTGATAATAACTAGAATCCATGCAATGACCAGCTCAGTAGGTACACACTTTTTGCTCAGAGCATACATTGTAGCCAACAACACGAAACGCAGGACATGCTTTCCATCGCCTATCGTTCTCACTCTGCACTAACCACCGCCTTGCCACCCCTCACCCCAGCAACCGCTCCTCCAACAGCAGCAGACGCATTCCCAGCTTTCGCAAACACACCTTCATCGTTACCAGCCTCCTCATGCTCCTGCACAGCCGATCCCTCTGACGTTCTCGAATCCTTCTTCCCCTCAGCGCCGCGGCTTTCCAATGTCTTCGTCGTATGCGTTCCGTTTTCATCTTTGGTTGCTTGGGATGTCTGGGAGAGGCTTTCGCTGTCTTTGTCGGTTGAATGTGCGCCTGCGGAACTGTTGGCTCCGGAGGTCATGGTGTCGACGCTAAGGTTGGCGTCTGTGGCCTTTGTTGTATGAATCCCGTACTCATCTTCTGGCATTCTCGATGTTTGGAAGGTCTCGCCGGCTTGTTTGTTGAAGAAGCGGCTGCGGAGCTGTTGGCTCCAGAGGTCATTGTGTCGACGCTGGAGTTGCCGTCTGTGGCTTTGGAGGAAGTCGATGAGGCGTGAGCGGTGGGCATTGTTAATAGTGGGTCGTGACGAGAAGTCAGAGTAAGACAGTGGGTAGACTGAGGCTTGAACCTCTGGTTGCTTTAGGGGAGTTCGTGGACACTGGCAGTAGCAAATGAAGGAAGGTGGGCACAGTGGACATACGTGAGATTGAACTGATGACGTCTTTGGGATTGACATGGTGTATCGAGAGTTCGAATCGGGTTTTGTTAGGATGGCTGAGCTGGAACACAGGGCATCGAATGAGGTGTTGTGAGTTTCGCCTTGGAGGGCGCAAGGTCGAGGATGCCGACATGATGACCGACTGATACTCAGCTCACCGGTGCCTCAGCCAGTAAAGATAGATTATTAATACCCGTCTTCGTAGGTGGCTCTACAAGCATCTTTAAGAGACGAAACAAGCATGGACAAGGATCGAGCTATGACGAGGACAGTCCATACAATGGCTCGAGCAAGAGTGTGAGATTTTACACGTAAGCGGGAAGGCAGCTCGCGAGGTGTGCAGCTAGATCCAAAGTTGTTGCAAGTAAAGGATGTCCCCTGGAGGATTTCAGTGCATTCGACAAGCTTACTCAAGACGATGGAGCAGCGATGCTAGAATGACAAAGATCATTAATGCAGAGGAGTCATGTTTGTGAAGTGTTGTGGGAATCTATTTCTATCTGCAACGAGATCGAATTGCAAATTGCACGGGCTGTCAAAGCAAAAACCTCGCAAATTTTGAGATCCAGACGCCAGCCATGACCACTGCTACCATCATTATCATAGGCAAACATCTAAGCCTGGTATGCATGCACCGTAACTATCATGAAGAATAAAGAAAGGCTTTTCGGGAGGCGAGACGTTTAGTCGTCCTCGTCAGAGAAGACCTCCTCACCACGCTTGCGGCGGGCCATACGGTCCTTCTTCTTCTGTAAGGGAGTCAGTAAATGTACCATTGAAAAATCTGGACTTGGAAAGCCTACCTTGCGCATCTCGCTGGAGGTGAGCTTCTTCTTCTTTTCCGTCGCCGCGATCTTGTTACTATAGACAGTCAGTTCAGGTTCACAAAATGTTAGAAGAGTCAACCTACCCCATGGCGTCAAACTTCTCCTCCTCCTCACCCTTCTCGGTGAGACGGGGACCGGCACCCTGACCCTGGACCCAGTTGTGACCGGAAGGAGTCATCTTGCCGTCAAGGACAGCCCAGACTTCCTCAGTAAGGTTCTTGGTGAACTCAGCGGAGTGAGTAATGATGATGACACCACCCTCGAAGGACTTGATGGCCTTGGACAGGGCACCGAGAGAGTCACGGTCGAGGTAGTTGGTGGGCTCGTCAAGAACGATCAAGTGGGGGCGTTGCCACGAGCAGGCAGCAAGGACAACCTTGACACGCTGACCACCTGACAGACCACGCATACGCGAGTGAGAAACGAGCTCAGCGTCAATACCGAAGTTGGCGCAGTGAGACTCGATCTCCTTACGGACGAGAGGACGGAACTGACCAGAGGCGAGAGCCTCCTTCTGGTCGACCTCGGCGACCATCTTGGCGTGGGAAGCCATGATCTCGGAACGGGGAATCCAGGCGTTGTCAGCAGACATCATAGGTGTCCACTTCTCGTTCTTCATGCCGACGTTCTCACCAAGAGCGAACGAGCACTCGTACTCGTAGGAGTTCTTGAACTTCCTGCGGGAGTTGATGCCGATGACACGACGCTGGGTACCCTCGATCTTGTAGATCTTGTCCATGGCCTTCTCGTCCTCCTCAGTGACGATCTTGTTGGCACGGTCCATGGTCTCACGGTCCTCACCAGTCTGGAAACGCCACTGGATGTACTCGGAAGGAGTCTTGTCAAGGTGGTGGTCGATGTGAGCGAAAGCGTGCTGCTTAATGTAGGCGATACGGATGTTCTCGTGGTGGTAGATCTCACCAGATGTGGGAACAAGCTCACCAGTCAAGACGTTAACAAGAGTGGACTTTCCGGCACCGTTAGGACCAATGACGGCAATACGGGAAGAAAGCGAACATTGGAAGGTGATGTCGGAAATCTGGGGCTTGGAGGTACCCTCGTACTGGAAGCTCATGTTGGTGGCACGGAGAATGGCCTTGGCCTTGGTCTTTACACCCTCAAGGAAACCGGGCTCAGGGAACTTGAACTCCAAGTCGGAGGCGCTGAGCTCGTGGTAGGACCTAGCAGAGGGCACACGCTTGACGAACTCATCGAGGTTACCCCTGTAACGCTTAAGCTTGAAGCGCTCGTAGTGAACTACGTGCTGGATGACATTGTTCAAGAACTTGCTGTCGTGGGAAATGACGATGGATGTGCAAGGAGAGTTGATGAGGTAGTCCTCGAGCCACTTGACGTTCTTGACGTCCATGTGGTTGGTGGGCTCGTCAAGGAGCAGGATATCGGGCTTCTCGAACACGGCACGGGCAAGCGCGAGCTTCATCTTCCAACCACCAGAGAGGGCAGTGATGGGACCGTTGATCTGCTCATCAGTGAAGCCGAACTCGCTCAAGGTCTTCTCGATGTCGGGCTGCTCATCGGTGATACCGACGTCGCGGAGCTTCTTCATGGTCCAGCCAATGACAGTCATCTCAGTATCGGCAGAGTCCAAGTCGTGCTCAACGTAGACAGTCTTGACCTCGCTCTGCTTGGGGAAACCCTCGACCTGCTCGTTGTTGATGGCGCGCATAAGAGTGGTCTTACCGGAACCGTTAGGTCCAAGAAGACCGTAACGCTGACCACGCTTAAGACGGAGGTGAGTCTGGTTGAGCAGGATCTTGGCACCGTAGGCCAAGTTGAATGTGCAGTTGCAGAGATCCTCACCTTCCTCCTCATCGGGCTCGGCAACATCCTCAGCGACGGAAGCGGGGAGAGACTTCTTGCGAAGGTTCTCAGTGATGTCCTTGGCCTCCTCCTCACCAACGAGGACGGCGACGAAGGGACCGGCGTTGGCTTGCCAGTTCAGACCCTCGTAGTCCTTCTCGTCGATGAGCTGACCACCGATAGCACCGATGTAGTTGACAACAGGAGCGAACTTCTCGTCAACCTTGTACTTGGAGGGAAGGACAGCCTTCAGGTTGGCAGCAATAGTGGCAATGTCACCGTACCTCTCGAGCTCGGGGATCTTGCCGTCCTTGACGTGACCGACACGGATGAGGGTGTCGAGACCCTGGCGGGTCTTCTCACGGGCCTCGGGGTCAGCGAGGTTGTCGTAGTTCTTCTCAAGAGCGGGCATGAGCTTGGGCAAGAAAGCAGCGACAATCTGAGGGTCCTCGACAAGCTTGCACATGTTGTCAATAATGACAGCAGTCTTACGCTTGATGGCAGTCTCGCGCTCAACGAGACCACGCTCAAGAAGAGGAACCATGATAGCCAGAGTAGGCTCGTGGACGTCAGTGACGAAGGTGGTGGCACCGAGCAAGTGAACGGTCTCGGGGACGTTCTCAGGCTTGGAGATACACTTGATGAGCTCGGGGATGAAGCGCTCGATATCCTTGTTGGAGATCAAGGCGCAGATCTTCTCCATGGTGGCGTAGGCGGCCTTCTTGACCTCAGGCTTGGTGTCCCACATGGCACCAGAGATGACAGGGATCAGTTCAGGGACACGGAAGGCCATCTGAGCAGGGGCAGAGGCAGCGAGGGTCTCAATGCACTTGAGGTCGGTCATCTTCTCGGGCCACTTCTGAGCGTTCTCAAGAGAGTGGGAGATGTGGGGGATGATGGCCTTGACGGCGTTGGGGTTGGCGGCAGCAACGATGGCCTCAGCGGCGGTCTGAGCAGCAACCTTGACGCCGGACATCTTGTCACCGACAGCGGCCAGCACGTTCGGCAGAAGGGCGACGAGGTAGGGCTCGACGGCAGCGGAAACCTGGGCGTGCTGGGCGATGGCGCGGATGGCATCGAGGGCGCGCTCGCGGGCGACGGCATCCTTCTTGTTGGCGAGCTGCTTCTTCAGAAGCTCGACAGCCCTGCGCAGGTGTTAGTACTGGCATTCGTGTGCGTATCAGAGGGGCTCAATATACTTGGTGGGAGCATCAGCCTCCTCGATGTCACCGTTAATGAAGGTGGCAATCGAGGCAGCAGAAGAGTTGATCTCGTCCTGCGCCTTGGAGATGGTGAGCTTTCCGAGAAGCTCCTCGAGGACCTTGACGGCCTTGGAGTTCTCGCTCTTGACAGCCGAGGCGTCGTGAAGCGCTGCGGGAGCCATGTTGGAGGAGGTGTGTGGTGGGTGAGGGTAGGAAAAAAAGAGGGCGGCGGTCCTCTTATACGGATAAGCGAAGGCGGCGGGGCCTAAAAACCTTGCGGTGAAAAGATAGACGGAAGTCTACCGGGGTATCAAATCGCACAACGCGAGAAATGTGAAAGACAGCTCTCTATACAGCTGAAATCACACAGATAACTTTTTTTGTTGGCCCAGAGAATGTGGGAGAGCTTGAGAAGGCGACACACAGCGCAATGGAGGGGCTTTATTTGCGGTGGGCTACAAAATTTCAAAGACCGTGCGCAAGATAGGCTAGCGCGTGCGTGGCGCTCCTGCCACAACCGGGCGAGGTTCGCCCACACGGCCTTCACTGACACCAATCGAGAATGGCGGAGTGCTGAAGTTTTCTCGTTGCCCCAGTGTCTCCAGTTATGCTGCTTGCCACTCTGGTTTGAAGTCTGCAAGGCTGTTCTGTTGTTCTGAAGCGTGCGTTGAGGCCATGTCGCAGCCCACGTTGTCGCGAGCGAATCCATTTGTGGCAAAACCAAAGTACAGTATGCGCGCTCACCGCCTTCCTTGAGGCTAGCCGCGACATCCCAACCCAACAAATCCAGGGTCCTGGATTATGCAGCAGCGAGGTCAAGGGACTTCCAGCATTTCTGGCACTGTCCCTTGCATTGCTGTGAAGTCCATGACCTGAGTGCTTGCGTTTCATGTTCCTCATCAAACTGAAGGCCTCCATGCTGGCACAAACGCTCGTGAAGGCCAATTACTGCTGCCCTGGCGACCCCTCTACGTATGTGGCAGAATACCTGCCGAACGCTTGTGTAGCCCTGCGCTACGGCCACCAGCGGAGGCTCCAGAAGGGCTCTTCTTACGCACCCAAGTACCTGCTCTTCGTACCTCACGCTCAGTCTCATCTCCGCCACCCGATTGGAGCCTTTTTGCCGAACGCTCAAGGCGAAACCGTGGTTCGGGTCGCTCAAGTTCGGGGGACGATGCAAGGCCTGGCCGACGTCGGTCGTGGCTCTTCCGTCGTTATTCACGATTGTTTCGTTGGTACGGCGCTTGCGCTTGGTGATCCTCTTCGTGCTTCGGGAGCTCCGGTGAGTGGCCGCTCACATCTGTTCCTGCGCCCTTCTAGCGCGGCTTCGATTCGACGTCAGACCAGTGAGCGTTTGCAAGGCGCGTTCGTGTCGATAATTGTCCATGCACAACAGCGAAGATGTGCTTTTACAGAGGCCAACTGCATTACGACCCCTCCAGTTCCCTGTATCAGTGCCATATCTCTCGCTCCTGAAGCTTGTATCACGGACCGCCCCTTATCGTGGTAGCACAGGACGCTGTGTAGCATGTTCTCCAGCGCTGCAGTTTCCTTATCGATATACCCCAGAGTGCCTCCACATTATGTTCTCCGCAGTACGCTTGCACTGATTGGTCGTGTAAATGGTATGACTTGCATGAGAATGGCACCTCGTTCGATCAACATCAACATCCAGGACACCTTCAAACATGGCTCCCGCAGCGAGTAGGAACTCTAAGGTCCGTTATACAGCACCTCCCGCTGGACCTGGCAGCTTGCTGGCCGTCACGAGTGAGGACTCGAAGATCACCATACCTTCTCAGTACTTCCAGGTAGCCAGGTTCACATAATAGTTCGACTTCTTTCACGAACTTCAAACCTTCTAAAGTGAAGGGAATACCTTCTTGCTGCGTGCCGGGTCCAACAACGGTCAAAGCGGGATGCTCAAGCTCATCATTTTGATGCTCTTGGAGGGATTGTCCCGAACTCAGCTGATCAATTAGCTAGCGGAAGTTCTCCAGGCTACAGGGTACTATGTGTTGACTTAATTGAATTTTCTGGCCCTTCTGCAGCTTATATCCAGTTTTGTCATTTCTTCTCCACAGTCTCAGTCCACTCGCCCTTATCAGCCCTTTCGCACAGCTCCTTCAAGAACGGCACCACGCTCTCGAAGTCGTTGAGCTCCACGTACACCTGACCACTCAACCTCGTCCACCACGCACCACCGTAGAACAGTGTCTGCAAGAACGTGTTGTAGTCGTCAAGCATCTTTCTATGTAACCAGATGGTCACTGCCTGTCCTACCTTCTCCTTACCCAGTCCGGCCTTCTCGCCTGCTTGGAGCGCCTTCTCGACGTCAATCGGCAAACGCACCATTGACATGCAGCACTGACTCAGCGTCTGCGTCTTGTTGTCCATCGTCTCGGTACCCAGAGCTCCAGCAAGCAGCTGTCCGGCATCCTGAGCAAGCTTCGTGCAGTACTCAATGATAGCCTTCTCGCCGCCGAGAATTTTACGCCATTCGAGTGCTTGGGGAATGCATAGGTAGGGTGAGTTGTCGATGGTGCCGACGAATTCGAAGTTGCCGATGTACTCGGATTCCACGTCGCCGCCGAACGCGCCTTTGGGGTTGACGGTGTTTGGAACGGAATCTAGTGTTTTGAAACCCCAGGATGTCGGCAGTGTGGAGCGGATGAGGTGCTGGTTCCGTACCGGCACGTACAAGATTGCGCAGCCGCGGGGAACATGGAGCCATCTTGGCCGCTCATCAGCTCTTCGGTCCTAATCAACAAGGAGGGTAGGAGATACTCACTTATGACAATTACTCACAAAGAAATCCGGATCCAGCCTCGCCACATCGACCTCCAAATGCCCAATCGCATGCGCCCCATCCACACAACTTAGCACGCCCAGTTCTTTACAAGCTTTCGTCAAGCGCTCGAACGGGACGCGCACACCAGGCATACTCACCACGGTGTCAAAGACAGCGATCTTGACCTTGCCTTTGGAGTTCTGCACTTCTTGGACTTTCTGCTTAAACGCATTGACCAGCCAGTCATCTTCCACGGGATAAGTGTACTCCAGCTTGACACTCTTCACAGGCGTGGTCTCGGTGATGTACTCGATCGTCGTACCACACGCCTTATAAATAGTAGCAAAGTAGAGAATGTGGTCGCCTTCTTCGAATTTCAGGCTGCGCAATACCGTGTTGACGCCGGTCGTGGCGTTTGGAATGAAGACGACCGTCTTTGGTGGCGCGTTGATGACTTCTCCGACGGCCGTGCGGGATGAGTTGATGTATACTGGGTACTTGTAGCGGATGAAGTCGTCGGGGCGGGATTCTGCTGCGTCTTGGAAGGAGCGGAGGGCGGTGCGGACGGGGAGGGGATAGGTACCGAAGGAGCCTGATAGTGGTGTTAGGAACGATGGTATACTGATGGATGCTGGTTGGGGTTGTGAAAGTTGGAAGAACTTCGTATACTTCAAACAAGGGCGGTATAATACTGATGCTTCTTCAGATTGAGATGCCGACATCTATATTTTCCAAAATTGTTCCCCATCGACGATCTTGGTGTATGGCAGGAGCACGTATTACTCACCATGATTGAGATTCAAGTACCCTTTCTCAAACAAGAACTCCTTCTCCCTTAACTCTTTTCCAAACTTGACTCCACCCTTCGACCTGAGGGGTAATGACGCCGTATCTTTGGTGATCGAGCCCATTGCTTCAGGAAGGCTTCTATTGAGACGCTGTTATCCAGAGCCAATGTGGCAAATCCCACATATATTTGTATGTGTTTATGAGTGACTCAATTGCATGTCAGTCATACATGTAGAATGCACAGATATGGCAGGGCGTGGTGTAACAGTGGGGCTGCGGTATTAACAGCGTTAATTGGCGAATCAGCGTTGAGCAAGAGCGATTGGCATAGTAGAAGCCAATGAGAGCGCGGCTGCGGATAGCGACGGTACCGCGAATATGAGTCTTGCAGCACAGTGCGATGAGGCCTGTTCGTTACTTGGAGGGGTTCAGTATTTTTCAGTTTTGTCTTGCTTTGCTATTGATATTTAAACAAGACCCCATTTCCTGCAATTCTGTTCGGCCCGTTGCTTCCTTCTTGAATGCATCGCCAGGATGATGAATTATGTACAATGTCTATAAAAAGAGTATTCATAACAAACGTTCCGCGTAGGGCATTAAATGGTGCGCACACTTCGCGCCTTCTCAGCATTCATGCGCCTCCTGTACTGATCGCGGAACTGAATGCGACCGTATGTTCCTAAGCCCACTGCAAGGAAGAAGAAGGCAGTCCAGATGCCGGTGACAATCAAGCCGATGGGGAAGAAGGCGAGTGCTGTGCCGGGCACAACGAAAGGAGCGGCCAGGAATACAGCAGAAGTAGCTGCGGCGGCGGCAGTGGGATCGGCGTTCGACGGTGCATTTGCATCGGCCTTCTGAGCGAAGACACCATTTACGAAGCGAGCTTCCTTGTTGGAGAGGGTGGTGGTAACGTCTGCGTTTGTTGTAGGGTTGCGCGCAGCGAGATCAATCTGAGGGACGAGCAGCGGCTGGAGTGCCTCGCTGTGGCATGGATTAACGATCATGTTGACAGATGCTGTAGTTCACTTACTTGGTCATAGCGGGGCCCATCAAGTTGGAGTTGATCTTGCCAACGTACATGAGCGTCTTAAGCTCAGTCATGGTGTTGATTGTTTGTCGCTGAACCAAGGTTCTGTCGTTCAATCTTGCTCGAGCCTGAACTTCGCTGACCTCTCGCTTCGTGTTGTTCATGGTCATTGCCTGTACTGTGGCACCCAGATAGGACAATGTCATGCTAACGTCGGCAGCGGTAACGCTCTTCCACGGATCGACGGGTGCTGATACGTTGTACATTCGGAGTTCGGCTTGGAAAACACCTGTCGAGTTGTCGAGGAAAGGTACATTGTAGCAGACGGCGATACCACTTGGATTCGAAGCTTGGCCGTTGAGGTTGCCCAATGTCTGCATGCAAGCTGCCCTTGTCTCTTCCTCCCACTTCTGCAAATCCGCCTTTGATGCATCTCCAGATGCTGGCGTTAATGAAGCTAATGGTGCGGTGTCGGCGGCGTTTGCGTCTTGTCGTTGTGTAAGAGTGGCGAGAAGTCCAGAGTCTCGTCGAAGTACCTCCTCCAGATCCTCGCCTCGTCGCAGTACTGCGTTGACATTGCCAAGCTTGATGGCAGCTACGTGTCCAGCAACGAGCAGTCCACCCAGCGCAGCAGTCTTGAATAACATTGTAAAGAGTGGTATTAGATACGACGGTTTGATTAAGGTTGTCACTATGAAGTCACAGGCCGACCAGCAGCGTACTAGAAGAGAGCGCCTAGCAGCGAAAGCTTGGAAAAGAATGAAGAAGTGTGAAGTTAGAAACCACTCATGAGAAACCGGCTCTGCATGGGAGGCATTAGTAGCAAGAACCTGGCTCAGCGGTAAAGAACGGAACCACGCAGTCTTGGAGTGTCCGACGGTGGGCTCCTCATGGCGTGACTCAATCATCTCAGTCCTACTGGAGAAGCAACACCAAGCCTGGACGGAAATGCCATTACAGATATGAGACCGGTGCTGCTCGAGTCTGCGACAGGTGACACGGAATCTTTCTATGCGTTCGTCTAGTAGCGCCCAAGAATAAGCTTAGGCTAGGAAATTTGGGACTCCACTGGCGGACACCAACCAGATGTTTCTTCGAGGCAGATCGGTCTGGGAGCGCGACCGGAGCAGGCATGACGATGTCTTGCCCCTTGAGACAATTGGTGTTGAGGCTGTGTCGTAGTGCACGGATAATGTTAGGGGCGCTTGTGAGGCCAGCATTTCGTGGCCAATCAGCGCAGTATGTGCAATCCTTACCGAGCTCTTCCGGGTTCCTGGTTTCACCCTCACACATATTCCTTGAACCCCGTTGTACGCGCCACTGTCGTCTCAAGGCAGTTGAGCCACTGCGGCAATCACCATCGATGGGCTTTTTAGTCATTGTAAATCTCCGCTATCGTTCTTTTGGTGCCAGCACGAAGCTGTCAGGCGTTCTTGGCTTCTCAATTGAGATGTCGAACTCGGTTCCTGAAGGTCCTCGTCGCCTAACCTTGCGCTGTATCACCGCCAATCAGGTATTCTGGAAGCATTCAACCATCTCTACAAAGGCTATGCGCTGGTATTCTAGAGCTCCGGAGGGTGTCGAGATGGTCAACGTGTGTTGGTGAAGAATCATGACGCGCTCAGGACACGAGATCGTGGCTGCTGTTGAGCGCACGGACGTAACTGCCACCCATTGTTCCTTCATCGACCAACTTCAGGCCTCACACCCGCCTCTCCTTCGTACGTCTCAGTCGTGCACTCGTCTCGAATTTCAACCCTAGAGCAGGAGATCTTCGACAGCCCAAATAAGCAACATGCAGTTCGCACACATCTCGCTGCCGGTAATTGAGCGCTGCCGCTTGAGTGGAGATTTACGGACATTCGTTGCTCACACGACTTCCGTATGCTGATGAGCATCACAGCGCTACTAAAATCGAAGAACAACCTCCCCGTCATTCCCGTATCCACAATCGTGGAGATGCCTGTTGTCTCGCCGTTGGGTGCCGAGAAGATACGGTGAGCAAGTGACGCTGAACGTTGTGGCCTAGTCCTTACGGATCACCGAGCGAACAGCAGCTAGGAGGTCCTCCAGTTCGTCTGCAGCCACCAATGGAATACCCTGGAGTCGTCAAGTAGGACGGCCCTGAATCTACTTAATGCTCGTGCTCGTGACACTGCAGCCTCGATCCTGCAGCAAAGCGGCAGCCTCACCCACCACCACGAATGACGGCTGCGGCGGAAAGACCTTCGGGACGGCTCGCGCGCTACACACGAGTCTCTGGGTGATCTGGCACCACACGAAATCGTTTGGCGGCGAACATATGCACAAGTTGCACTCTTACGCAAGAGGCGAGTCTCAGGTGGCCACGTTCGCTTGCATACCACTATTCCGCAAAGGTGCGATGCTGCCCAGTTTGCATTCGCCCAACACACATACCTAAGGGCATATATTGTAACCCTCTACTAATGTGGCACAAAATGCGGGCGACTTGCTGCCAGCACATCAAAAGCCTCTGCGCTGTTGATAGAGGTCAGCCTTATATTTCCTCGGGTCAAGTCAACTCTCCCCGAGACCCGCCTCAGTACTTCTGCTAGTGACCGCGGCTCCTGTGCCCAACATTCTTTCATTGTCATCTCCAAGTTTACCACCTTGATCTGGTCATGTTCGATCGGCTCCGTTACTAGCTATACAGGTCTGAGCTAGTTGCTGTTGCTATCCATTGATTTGCAGCTGGCATCACGCTGCTCGTCTTGCTGCCTACCCACGCCCATCAAAACAATCGGGATCTGTCTCACTATGCAGCACGCATCGAACTCACCATGGCGAATGCCATCCGGTGATCATCCTAAGCCTCAGTATAGCCTGTCGCATACGATCTCTATGGTCAACTTGCACGAGGAGCCGACTTGGTACAATCGAGGCCCTTCATCTCCCACATCTTCTTCGGTATCCACTTCTACTAGCCGAAGCGCCACGCCCACCACTACGAACAACAACCCTTGGTCGAATGTAATGACAAGCCCGAACTCGGTTGCTTCGAGCAAGTCGCCGAAATCGTCGCCCAAGCACAGTCCAGCTCGTACCCCACCATACACAAGCCGGTCGACCACGCCAACGCCAATTGCACCCCAACCTTTAAGGCCTGTCAAGGCTATGGCGGGATTTGTACCAATGTCGCCGCCTACTTCAGTAAATGGAGATTCCTACCAGAGTGCAGAGTATCCTACGTCATCGATGCCTGCTTTCCCAGGCTCTCCCAACCCTTACCGTCAGCCCGTTACTCCTTTGTCTCCGTTGGTGCATGGCTTCATCAACACCTCCGTTCTATCTTCACAAGGCCAGTCTCTTTCCGGATGGTTCTACGACCTCTGCCGGAAACAGGGGTGGGATGCGGGCCAGATCAAGCGGATATGGCAGTGGACACTGTCCAACCCGCGCCTCGCGATACTCCTTTACGTCTGCGATGACGTCGCTTCCTGGCGGCAAGCATCATTCTTTGATCTGAGAGACGAGAGTCTGCCCTTTCCCGAGGATCGTCTCCAAGGCATTGTAGCAGATGCCCGCAAAGTCGTGGATGAGCAGTGGCGCGCAACTTCGAAGGAGATGTTACTGAATGGAAGCCATGTGGACTTCGTGGCGCGTGAGACTGTACCACTGCAGTCAGAGATCATCATTCGCACGTCGAAGAACTCTGAGAAGAGTGTCGACCGGGTGCGAATGTTGGGCAGTAATGATGATCGTGTATTGGTAAGGAAGCGCTTGGTCACGACTCGTCCATCCCAAAAAGCCGCTCTACTGGAACAAATCAACAAGTTCAAGCAACTCGAACACAAGAGCATCGCAAAACTACTCTGCTCGTACGCTCAACCTAGTCACGTGGGTATTGTTGTGGAAAAGGCGCAGTGCAGTTTAGATGAGTATCTTGCGATGCCCGGAGGTGACCCTTCTCGCTCTCGAATAATGGTTGACTGGATGTACGACCTCGCGTCAGCGATCGAGTATCTCCACTCGCAAGCAATATGTCATCGCAGCATTCGGCCACGGAAGATTCTGGTCGATGGCGCTCGTATCCTACTTGCGCCATTTGAGATCGGGCACAACATCGATACGTTCAGTCCTACTATGGCCACTTCGCAACGTCTGGACCAGCTGCATACCTATTTCCAGGACCAGACCTACATATATGCGGCCCCGGAGGCCATCGTTTCTCGCGGCAAGCGACCGGCTGATGTATTTTCATTGGGATGTATCTTCCTCACGATGTTGACAGTAGCACAAAACCAGTCTTTGTCAGCGTTCACGCAGTATAGGGCTGGTTCTACACAAGATGCATCATTCCACGCACATCTTGATCGAGTTGGAAGTTGGCGAAACAGGCTTGTTGCATCTACTAACGCGAGTCTTCGAGCCGGGCTAAACGGGTCTGGTAGAAGGTTACGCCAGCTCAAGGCGGAAGCTGAATGGCTCAGTATCATTGAGAAGATGATCACACCACGGCCGAAAGAACGAATCAAGATGGGCCTCATCATGGGAAGCCTTGGATCTGGGAAGGTCACTGGAGGCAGACGGCGAAGTTTGGACGGCGGCGGCTACAGTGGGCAAGTGTCTGCTTCACTAGGGATGGTGAACGCTCCGATGACTACTCTTGTTGATCTTGAGCCCATTGTCAAACCCAGGATCACAAACTCGCCACCGCGTCGACCGGAGTTGAGCGTCTTCGATGGCTACTTTCAGCAGCAGTCACGTAAACTGGAGCCAGCCGGCGGGTGGTGAGCAATGCCGAGACGTCAAACGAACCATCACGGCGAACGTGCAACACCAAGGTGATACTTGGCGAAACATGTTTGACTTGCGTAACGTTCTCGGTACGAGACTGGCCCTCGCTCGGCCGAAACATGCGAAACCTCGTCTTTACGGCCCTCGAAGATATGTTGAAGATCGCATCACCAAATACGTGCTCAACAACCAGTAATGCACGACCTCTACACTAATATCTAGCTCCCACCCACGATACCATCGTACCGTGCGAAGGACCACGATCACATCCCTTTCCGATTGGTGCAGCGTTCAGGGAGCATAAGAGCACGGCACAACCACGAGCACGAACACGAACACGAACACGAACTTACGAATGCATAAGAGGAGGACTTCACGAGCGAGGCGATACCCCTTCCTCTTCATATATTTTCACGGGATACAGCATCTCATTCCCACGGCGCGATCCTTTCATGTACATACTACCCAATACTACAATTAGTTTCAAGCATCTTCGGACCATGTCCGAAATCTTGAAACTGCCTGCTTTCTCTGCGCGTCCACTAGCATCTTGCAAGACCACTCATTCAAGAGTTTGGACTATGCACATTCAGAAACCCACGACGTGGTAACAATGCAAGGCTGTCCCCAGAGGTGGATTAGTGGTTGGTAGGATACTCTACACAAGTCTAGAACCAACACCACCAAGCTTCACTATCCTACTCTCATATATCGTATTCCAGACTCCGATCCAATACCGTTGTGCAGCCTACCAATGTTCACCGCTCTTGCTCTACCTGTACCTAACCAGCATGCTCAACGATCTCACTAACCACCTTCCCATTTTCAATCCAGCTCCTGATCTGCTCCGGCAGCGGGTTCTCAGCGTAGTCATCCTCACTGGGCAGGTTGATATTGATGCTCGAGCACTTGCTCGTGAATATCTCCGTGTTCTGACTGTCCTTGCCGAGGTAGATCGTCGCGCTGTCGACCTGGTCGAGGAGAACGGTGGGTAGGGTGCCGATGACTTGGAGAGCGAAGTTGGGGCACTTGATGACATCGACGGAGGAGATGAGCGAGTCGATGATGATCGAGGTGCGCGATGAGTTGTCAACGGAGATGGCGTTAGCCTTGCCGTTGACGCGGATGGTAGTGTTCTTGCAGCGGGAGATGAGGATGGAGTGATTGAATTCGGCGTCGACCTCGACGATTTCTCCGGGGTTGTCGAAGTTGTCCTGGAGGCGTTGTTAGTACAAAGCTCATGGTCCGCAATGTGGGAAGACTCACGATGATCCACTTATTGCCATCCAGCTCCTTCTTCGGTGGCTTCTTGGTGCGCATGGTGTCCGGCTTCCGCGGAGGAGCTGGGCTCTTGCCGCGCAGCGAGCCATTGCTGTCACTTCGTGTTGGTACTGGCGCCTGTGCTCGCAACGACGGGTTCTTGTGTGTCATTTGGCTTGGGTCAACCTTCTTCAGGCCCTTTGTGACATCTGCGCCCCTATTCAGATCGTCGAAGACAGCGTTCATATCTGGCGCCGCCTTCTTGGCTGGAGGAGCCGCACCAGGCGGTGGTGGTGGGCCTGGTGGTGGGGGAGGACCGGGTGGGGGAGGAATACCGCCCGCTGGTGGCGGGGGCGGAGGTGGTGGGATTGCGCCAGCAGCTGGTCCTGATGGAGTGCTGGAGACCTGCTTGGCCGCTTCTTTCGCATCGATACCGTTGCTGTTCCAAGCAACACCGCTGGGATGATGCTTCTTCGCATATTCGGAGAGAGCCTTGAACAGCTTGTAGTAGGCCTGCACCCACTCGACGTTCGTCTTATCTGGCTTCTCACGGTACTCCTTGAGCACCTTGTTGCCGTACATCTGCGCGCCGCCGAACAGCTCGGTGATGTACTCGTGAGGCTTGGGGCCAGCGCCGCCTCCTATAGTGACCCAACCCAGCGATCCCACACCATCAGCAACCATGGACAGCGGGTCCTTAAGCGCAGGCTCGCGGTTGCTCTGGCGGACCTCATCTGTCTTCTCCATGGACGCCTGCAGATCCTTCAAGAACCCCATGATGGTCTGGTCATCTGGCTTCTTCGCTTTGTTGGCAATAGACAAGAACGTGCGCTGCGCTGCGAATGCGCCCTCTACTGCCTTGGACTGTGTCTCGATGACGTTACCCAGCTTGCTGCTCAGGTCCAGCCATGTCTTCAATTCGGTGTTGACGAGCTCGTCGAAGGCGGCGATGGACAGGGGCAAGCTCTCGACAGCTTTCGGTGTAGCAGCGGCGACCGCAGGGGCTGCAGAAGCTCCACCAGCGGCCACGGCGGCGGGTGCTCCTGTGTTGCTGGCGCCGTCCTCGGTCGCAAACGACGACGAAGCTATGTCTTCAAGTCTGGAGGTCGCAGCTTCAAGCCTGCGAATCATCGAAGTCAGCATTCCATCTGACTTCTTCTGTCCCTCCGAACGAGGGCTAATCGTTCGGTGCTCCGCCTCCATCATGGTGGGTTTGGTAGGGTTTGGAGGTTCAGTAGGGATGTACACACCGCTTTATTAACGTGGTCAAGCTATTCATATTGTTTTGGGCCATAACTGCGGGGAAGGTGCTGCTCGCGCAGGGAAGGTGTGTACTATGACCAGGAGCTCAGGGAAGTGACAGACAACGGCCACCTACAGCTTGTACACGCTCTGTGTACTTTCTAAAAAGAATAAGCGGAGCTAAAGATAGTCGAGCAGGCTCGTGTCACGTCTGATGAACAAACGCCTGCCTGGGATAATGTGTGAGAAGCTACGTAGTCTGGTCAAGGGGCTGTCGGTACAACTGCTTCCTCAGGCGATCTCCAGCCGTGGGTCCACATTAGCGCTAGTGCTACAGGCCAACGACACCGGAGCTCAAGCATCACCGACCACCACCGCGGGGGTCTGTGAATGGTCGAGTTCCACGACACCGCTGGAACTTGACTTTGGTTCATGAACACTTCCAGAAATCAATCCTCAGACTTAATCATCAGTGGTAATATTGGTATCATCAGTGTTAATATTGGTATCACGCTTAAGCCTCCAAATATCGACATCGACACTCGACCCTTCTCAATCACGGAAGCTCCGAAATCGCCGATAAGACATATTTCAATATCTTTTGTTCAGAAGCAAGCAGCTTCAAACAACCCTCAAGATGGCGAACACCAGCTCTAACATTGACTTTTGCACACTCGGCATGTTCATCATCGACGAGATCGAGTTCCCTCCACCAAGACCGCCAGTCAAAGGCATCGTTGGCGGCGCAGGCTCATACTCTGCACTTGGAGCACGCATCTTCTCCGCACCTCCTCAGTCGAGAAGCGTTGGCTGGATTGTCGACTGCGGGTCCGACTTCCCTGCTGAGTTGCGAGACTTCATTGCGTCATGGGATAGCGGCGTGCTGATCCGTGAGACGCCTGACCGATTGACAACTCGGGGGTGGAACGGGTATGGAGAGAACGAGCACAGAGGTACGTACATCTGAAAGTGGTTAGTGTGCTATGATCTGACAAGATGCAGCTTTTCGGTACATGACTCCAAAGCTTCGGTTAGCGCACGAGGATTTGAAGGATACAGACCTGTTATGGGCCAAGTCTTTCCACCTGATCTGCTCGCCTGTGCGGTGCATAGAGCTCGTTAAGAACATCCTTGGACTGCGCATCGCGGCCTCTCCCACGACTGAGCGCCCGTTGTTCATATGGGAGCCGGTGCCCGATCTTTGCGTTCCCGACGAGTTTGACAATTGCCTGGAAGCACTCAAACACGTGGACGTTGTAAGCCCAAACCACGGTGAGCTCGGCGGCTTCTTTGGTCAACCCACCGATGAGAAAGATCATGTCGATTATCGCCTGGTCGAATCGCTCTGTGACGAATGGCTCGATAGTGGCATTGGACCCAATGGCAGCGGCAGTATTGTGCTGCGGAGTGGGAAGGACGGGTGCCTGGTTGCGCGTCGAGGGTTGCGTAAGTGGATGCCTGCATACCACCAGAGCAGCGAGAAAGTCATCGACCCCACTGGCGGTGGTAATGGTTTCTTGGGTGGATTAGCAGTTGGGTTAGTGCGAAGCGGAGGTGTTGCAGAGCTCGAGGAAGCTGCAGCCTGGGGCTCGATATCAGCAAGCTTCGCCATTGAACAGGTCGGTATGCCGGTGCTGGCTCAAAGTCCTCAGGGTGAGACATGGAACGGTGTTCGTGTCGAAGACAGGCTCTCAGAGTTCAAACAGAGGCTGGATAGATATGTACAGCCGTAAACCTCATTGCTTGTTGTTGATCCTACTCGCCCTCTCTGCCCCTCTATTGCACCTACTCCTTCAGCTTCTTCTCATGCTCGACGATCTGTCTGCTCCAGCTGTTCCGTGTTAGCTTCAGTCTCCTCTTCCGGCGCTCCTTCCCCTTGCTGTCTCGGTGTGACGTACTATCGACTGGGGAAGAACCTGCCCTGCTCCGGCATCTTGTCGCGGTACTCGCGTTGTGCAGAAACGGACCAGGCCATGCCGACGATGCTGACGAGGACGAGGCCAACGACGGCTGTGTTGCCCTTCCAGTTGGCAGGTTGCGCATACCAACCACCAGCGGGCGACCAGACGTGCTTGGGGTACCTGTGTGCGGTCAGAGGGCGGGCGGACGAGGCATTGGCCGTACGGGCTCACGGGATCTTTCCTCCTCCGCCCATTGTGAAGTGTAGCTGTGGAGATAGCTGGGGGTGGGTGTAGCTGCTGGTGGACCTGCAGCCGGCGGTGCTGTGATGGTTGCGCCGCTAGTGAAGGCTTGGCGCTTCCCAAATTCTCAGAAACTGATGATCGCGACTTCCAGGAGAAGACACACGAGCCTGTCCGCCTGCCGTTGTCCTCGTCGCCTTTCTTCGTCCCTCCGCCGGCTGCCGTCTAACTGTCTCTTCGATGAAGCGGATACCCCTCTCCCGGTGCACCTCGCACTTGCAGGCAGCGCCGTCGCCTCGCCGGCCCTCGTGCCTCTATGCCGCCCAGCGCTCCATCGCAGCTCGTAGCAACAGGATACAAGCGCGTTTCCAGGCGACCGTGTCGATACCCAATGACGGCGAATTGGAAGTCGAGCTCCCCGAAGAGCCCTCAATTGTAGCCAGGCAGCCTGCAAAGCCAAAAACACGGCAAAGCCGCTGGCCTACTCCCCTCGAGAAACTGCCATCACCACATCCCAGCGCCGCCGAGCGCTCGGTAAAACTTCATGCCCTCCGGAGCCGACTGTCTCTCCCGCAGCGATTCCCTCTCCAGACCCTCGCCCGATCCCTCGTGCATCCCTCCGCAGACCCGAATCCGGCCTTCAACAACGCCTCGCTGTCCATCCTCGGCCGCCATCTGCTCGGCTACTACACTACAGAATGGCTCATGTGCAACTACCCACGTCTGCCAATGGCCGTGGTCTTTGCCGCAGTCGACGCATACATTGGCCCGAAAGCATTGGCCACTGTCGCCAGCGAATGGGGTATCGAGGCTGCGGCAGAACCTGGAGGTGAGGTCGACCCAGGCCTCCTCCAGTTCATGAGGATTCAGTCAGGAGGGGAGCTGCCAGCATCCCTGAGACGTCAGGCACCATGGAGCTGGAACGTCACAACAACACACAAGATTATGAAGACAGACGAGTTTGGCTCGGACAACGCCGCACCGGGCCCACACTCGCTGAACAGCACGCCAGTGCCAATGGAGGAAGCGGCACAGTCGTTCGTCAGGGCTCTGGTAGGATCGCTACACCTGCAGCTCGGCGCGCCGCTCGTCAAGCGCTTCTTCCGCGACCACTTCACAAGCCGACACCTCGACATTGGCACGCTCTTCGATTTCCGCACACCGACACGCGATCTCTCGAAACTGTGCGCGCGAGAAGGCTTCGAGGCCCCTGTTGCCCGCCTGGTCTCCGAGACCGGTCGTCTGAGCAGACACCCCGTGTTTGTCGTGGGTGTATACAGCGGCAAGGACAAGTTGGGCGAAGGTGCGGGAAGCTCACTGGATGAGGCACGAACAAGAGCAGCGGCCGCAGCGCTGAAGGCGTGGTATCTATACAGGCCACTCGAGGTCACCGTACCCAGCAGCACAGAAGGCGCGCTCGACACATCGAAGTGGAGGCCGAACATGATCGACTGCGGCGAAGTCATCGTGTAAGAGGCGGAAACAAAAACACACTTTTGGAGTACGGGACGATTTTTCAGCATGTACGCATAGATGGCCGGCATCTTCTTCACCTGTACACTTTGGGATGACAAGACTTTGGGCGCGTATGTGAAGCGACGAGAAAGTAACACGAGGAAGAAGGGGGAAGGAAGAAGGAAGCTGGACGGAAGAACGGAGGAAGAAGGAGACCAAGAGCGCTGTGTCGTTTTGGCGCATTGCATGTACCATATGTGACACCATTTGGGATACCACTGAGATCCGGAACTTGTAAAGAATACGAAGACGAAGTTGCATTCCATCCATTCGACCCTCCCTGTTCACGCTAGCTACTGGTACTCGCGATGTCCGCTGGATCTGACGAGTGAATGCTTGTCTTCTCAGCGCCGCTGACCTCCCGCTTCCTCCAATGCCTCCTCAGCCCAGACTTTCATCAGCCCAGACTTTCATCAGCGCACGCCAAGCTGACTACCCCCACACGCTTCCTCTTCGACTTCCCGTCCAGCACGCTGGCGCTTTTGTCCAAGACCTCGATCTATGACTGGGTACCTCGTGGCCGCTACAATTCGCCTGATACTAACCAAAGGATCTCCCACTTATGAGGTCGGCGAGTGGAGCTTCACGTCTAGACGCGGCCAGTCTTTCCCATGAGACGCACTGCGTAGACGGCACATCTGCAGAGATCAGGAGCATGGTCCTTTACCACGCGGGTGGCGGATGTTGAAACGAACACTGAGCCTACGGGTACTCAGGAGAGCTACTGGAAACGTGAAGGACTTAGGTGTGAGGATGTCTTCTTCCTCGCCAAAGTCTGCAACCAGATCGATTAATGAACTTATGGACAAGCGTTCACACGCTTACCGGGTCTAGAAGTGCAGCACATAATGAAGGAAGTCGTCAATGAAGTCGATTGTGTTAGGAGCAGGATTGCTTGTGAAAAGTGATTTGAACAGCGTGGGGTCGGAGGCATGCGCTCGGTAAGGTGAGCTGCGTCAATGACTGTGAAGCGGCGAAAGCGGTGCAGAAGAAGTACTAATAGATTGATACGTGATTGGTGCATCCAGGGGCCGCAACTGCTGTTGCCCTTGCGCCATTGTATGCAAGAGAGGTCAATCGAACGCTGATCATGCTCGCTACTCGCCCACGATACTCTGGCTTACTCTCAGGTTCAGTAGTGATCCAAAGTCGGCACTGAATCCAGCGCTTCGATGCTAACCTGATCCTGCCTCCTTGAAGTATCTTCTCTGAGAACACGGAAGACGTCGGATTTGAACTCCTCCGAGAATCCCGGCCAATGCAGCGCTATATGAAGTTGGCGGCCCGTTGTCTTAGCGTATCGTACGGCGTAGCTGCAGAAGCTAACATGTTCAGCAGCACAGTCAGGTCCAAACATATCGAACTTCGTAAAGAAGGCGGATAATTCTTGTGAAGTATGGTTAGCTATGTCGCTGTAGAACGGCACGATGACACTTATCTGTTGTTGTGCCTGCAGCGTGGCGACCAAACATGAATAAGTCCTGCAGTATCCGCATATGAGAAAGAATCTGAGCGATATGACTCAGAGCCATCCGGTATGTGGCATCGCTTGCGGAAGTACTCTGCATGACCTGTGGAGGAAACATGGCCATGCTCTTGCTCAAGAACGGCTTGGCTTCTGCGCTTATGAGCTTGCATATTGCCAGTAGTGCGACTTGGAACCTGAAAGACTTCAATGCCAGGATCTCGTGATCGCCTTCGGGCGTGACTGCTTCGAACTTTTGAATGGCTGACGTGACGGCCAGTCGCTCGTAAACCATGAGCCGCAGCTCCTTGGGGAGATCTAGGAATCGGAAAGACTGCGGTGGGGCGGGCGTCATGGTCGATCAGTCCGAGCCGGGAGGCATTCAGGCGGTAGTCGAAAGGTTCCGTAAGAGGTGAGAGGGCGACGATCGACCTTTCACTTGTTCGTTGCTCGCCTCAATCGGGCTAGCGTCTTTGTTTAGCTCTCGACAGACTTAGTAGGCACAGGTGTGCTCGGAGGGCGAGGGGAGTATCTATGTTTGGACTGCGGTGTCACCAGGCGTGGACGGTATTAGTATCGACGAAGTTACGATGTGTGTTCCAGACCATCTCTTATCATGAACCAGCGAAATACCCGTTCATCTCCATCGCAACCACTAACCTCTCAATACTATTCTCCTCAGTCGTGCCCTTCCGCCCGTAGCCCTTCTTCCCCGTCAGTCCCCTGCAGACACTCAAAAACACCCTTATTTTGCCCCTGAGCTTCGCATACAGCTCCTCCACCGTTGCGCTTCCTTCATCCTCCTCCTGCTCTTCCTTCACTTCACCTCTTTGTAGCTTCGCAAACGCCAGCACAAACTCGAAGATCTCGTCCACCAGCGCAACGACCTTGCGTTGTCTGCGCCGAAGAAGCAAAGAGAACATAATACTATCCAAGCACTTCTCATGTGCATCTCTCAACGTGGAAATACGCTCGGTAACTCTTGTGCCCAGTTCACCTGCCTCGTCTTCCTCGTCAAGCCTCTTCTCGAGAGTAGACACAAACCCATCAAACTCGTTCCAATGCTCAGCGATACCACTTTGGAACACGTAGTTCGTGTATGTGGTCACGAAGTGATGCGCTTCATTTCTGAATTTGCGGGCTGTGGGGTCCGCGTACTGACGTGGGAGATGGGAGACCACGAAAAGGGTTCGAGACAGGCGGAGCAGCGATCTGAATATTGTGTCGTACTTTTCGAGAGATGTGGTTGTGATGACGAGGTGCAGAGGCGGTGGGGGCACATACTGCAGACGCAGGAAGTCGAGGGCTGGAAGGGCAAAAGGATCCATGACGAGAGTTTGTTCCGCTTCAGTAAGGTTGCGGATCGCGAAATTGAGCTGTCCAGGGAGTGAGTCGGTATCCCTGCCGGTTATCGTGGTGGTGTTCGAGGAGGCTGGATTTGCGGCAGCGCTGGAAAGGTAGAGCGCAGACGAGTAGTAGCTTTCGCTGAGCACACCACGGAGAGCGAGACGCAGCTCAGAACTTGCTGGAGGCCAGGCGGTGCGTGAACCAAGCTGCAGACCCATGTGCACACCACTACGCATCTTGCCCTTGTGACGTTCCGCACTTTCGCGTTCGGGATCGAAGAGAGCGGAGGCGAGGAGAGACGAGAATACACCGTCACCGAGGAGGTGGTATTGGCGTTGTAATGATAGATGATGTCGTAGCTGATGAGCCCGGAAGAACAAGCGAAGGGTCGCTGCGTTAACAAGTTTCGCCTGAGCGGTAATAAGTGGGCGGAAAGAGAGCGCAGATGTAATGGAAAGTGGTGGAGCGAATGTGTTGGAGACGGTCTCCGTCCTGTAGGCAAGTATGTCATCGAGTAGGACGTGTAGCTCGTCTGGCAGTCCCTTCTGAGACTGTCCAGGCTGCGCGTTCAACTCCTTGATGGACTGCTCGAAGAAGTTCTCAAGGTTGGAACTATGCTGATCCGCTCGGCTGTCTGCCTCTGCATGAAAGCGGCGAGAGGACCTCGGCCTCACGACCTCTTCACCTTGGCTAAGGCCGAGAATAGTTGAGCGAAGCGCTTCTTCGTACTCCTTGGCCTTTGTTGCAATGGATTCGATGTCTTGCCACGCAAAGCTCCATTCCAGTTCCGGAGCCTGTACATCGAACTTGTCCAAGTTTGACAATGGATGATCCAGGTGCTGCGTCTTCAGGAAGCGCAAACTGTTACCTGTGTCGAAGATGAGATTACCGTCCCCCGGAGTGATGAATCTTGGCATCATTTCAGATCGGTAGACGTACTCCAGGGGACCCTGTTCGGGCGTGTCGTCCTCGACTGCCACGAAGCTGCCTCTCTCGTGTATCTGTAAAGGGCCTTGCTCTTGTCTGATCCCGATCCACTCGCCCATCAATTGCAGGCTAGGTGCAGCAACACAGCTCAAAACCTTGTCTGAGATCTGCCTGAGGTATCCATCGCTCTCTTCGTTCTCGAGTATGCGGTGATGGAGGATGGATGCCAGCTGCTCGTTGGTCTTTGCGTGCTTGACAGAGTCTGTCATTCGTGCGACGTGCGTAAGGATTTCGCGAGGCCTTGTGAACAGTCGTTGCAGCTCAAGCAGTGATGCAATGTTGCCTGACCGACTACCCAAATGGCTCTCCAGCGTCCCAAGAATGCTCGATACCGATGTAGCAAGGGCGACTCGTGCTGGTATGGAGTTGGCCGAGGCGAATGTACGCTCGACAAATGCTCTGAGGTACAGGAAGGTGTTCCCGATATGACCGAAGCGGCTGATCAAGCTCTGTGCGGCAGACAGACTGGTCCCTGAGGCACGCCCATTGAGGATGGTAGGCTCGAAGCTCTTCAGCTTGCCGTTGAAGTGGAAGAGAATGGAGGAGCGGCCAAGGCCGAGGTTCCAAAGCGACTGGAGGAGAACATTCGCCTTGAGTACCCTTCCGGCGGGCGTCTTGCCATCATCGCGTGCGAGCGCAGCATCGTATGCCTCAGGACCACGTTCGGTGATGTAGGGCGTGCGACTCTCCATGTGCTCGCCCCTCTCGAAGCTTTCCCAAGTGCAGAACAGTACATCCTTATTCGCCGGTCCTAGCTCGAGGGCAATCTCCCAGACGTCCTCCTCTGGTTCGAGGGCTGGGCTGTCGACGGAGATGCTGGACTCGTCGAGGCTATCGAGTTCGGGCAGAGGGCCGAAGTCAAACGTGTCCAAGTCGGGCAGTCGAAGCTCGCGGCCGAGGTCATGTCTTGGCGCACACGGATGGGTGAATGCTATGGAGCTCGCTGGACGGGGTCAGATACAATGCGACGCGTCTGCGCACAATCGACGCGACCAGACTCACTGTCTAGCTCCAAGGGAGCGAAGAGCGACGACTCGTATGTGCCCACGTCTCCACTACCTGCAGTCTGCTTCCACACGTGACTGCTCGAGAAGGGATTGTATGCAGCATCGTCGTCGTCCATCGTCTGGACGGTGGGCAGAGGGTGAGGGTGGGGCATGACGCGGAAAGCGCTGGTTCAGCCCTACGGCACCCCTGGCCCCTCTAGCTTCATGGTGCCTGCAGCGCGTCACCCTCCGCATTTCCCGCACTCTGTCACCTTACCAACGCGTCGATCGATCGCAATGCCGCCGCGAAAGAAGGCGAAAGCTAGCGCAGCTTCCACGCCGCTCGGTGATGGCCAGCCCGGGACGCCGCAGGCCTCCATCGCATTGGCGCAGGAGGAGCTGCTCAACGACCCATGGGAAGACGAGCAGGAAATTCAGCTGCTCAAGAGCATGATGAAGTGGAAGCCGACTGGTGAGCAGCGCATGCCTGTTTTACGAGGATAGTGCTTGACGTCACAGGTCTGCACAAGCACTTCCGCATGATCTCGATACACAACGACATGACCTCCCACGGCTTCGCGACCGAGAAGGCCCCGCACACGCGCATACGCGGCATCTGGAAGAAGCTGGACCAGCTGTACGACCTCGAGACGCTCGATGCACGTGAGAACGAGTTTGCTTTCCCCGAGGACGCAGCTGAGACCCTCCCCGGCTTCGAGCTCCCCGAGGACGAGTTCGGCGAGATGATGTGGCAGTCGCGCTTCCGTGGTTCTGAGTCGTCCGAGGCCTCATCGCCGCCCATGGTACCTATCGAAGATCAGAAAGCGCTGTACATGCCAGGCCTAGGCTTGCTCAAAGACCTGCCGGACGGCGTCCAATCGCGCAGGGAAGAGCGCGTGGCAGAGGCAACGCCGCCGCCGAAGAAGAGCACGAGAGCTAGCAGACCAGCCGTCAAGAGTGGGAAGGGTGCGAAAGCTGGAGCCGCCGCCGCCAAGAACAGTAAGGCCCAGTCTGCCGTATCAGACTCTGAAGAAGAAGAAGAAGACGAAGAAGAAGAAGAGAACGAAGAAGATGACGATGATGAATCTAGCTCCGAGTCGGAAGGCGAAGAAGAAGATAGCGCTCCTGCTACGCGGCGAACGATTCGCACCAAAGCGAAGGCCGCGCCCAGGCGCACGAGGAAGCGATGAAGGCCAGATTTGAGCCCAGCGCTGGGACCAGGAAGATATCCCGAATGACATTGTCCGCATTGCTATCTTACAGCTGCTCCCCAGGCCCTTGAAGTCACAAAATCAACCCTGGTGGAAGATGGCGAAGCCAGGATAGTCAAAGTTCCGCCTCTTGGGTGGCTCTTGGTTCTCTACCCACAGCGACTTGGTGTCGACCAGTCGAACATCATGCGCCGCAGCCCTGAAGCTGTCATCACCCCAGTACTTCTCCATCACGTAGTGCCCAGGTTCGCCTTGAATCCCATCTGTCCAAACATCGCGCGGGTCCAACAGCCACAGTCGCTCCAAGCCTCTCGGGATTAATCGCTTGACAAAGCTGTTCCAGGAAGCCGCATTGTTGAGCTGAGACTTGATCAGTATATGCGCCAGTCCCAGCTTTCGCAAATTGGGAAACAGATCCAAGCCCACTAGCAAGTCGGATTCGCTGAAGCAGTTCTGGTTGTCGGACATGAGCCGAAACTCCTCGAGCCTCGAGAGCTGGTAGTTGGCACTCGGTGCGTTGGTATCCGTTAGCCGCCGACAGCTCGCAAAGGAGTTCCACGGTCTCAGACTTTCTGGGTTTCTCGAGATGGCAATTTCTAAGAATGTAAGACTCTCCAGAGTCCTAAGCCAAGGCTCGAATAAGGCGACATCATGGAAACGGTCAGTTAGCGAGATCGTAAGGCGCTTCAATGCTGGAGGGAAGTAGGCGGCGGCGACCTCGACACCACAATACGATGACCTGTTTCCAAAAAGAGGAAACGTCACGCTGTCCAAAGCTAGACCTGCTTCCACAACGTCGGTCATCGTGTTGCCACAGATCCAGGTAGGCTCCTGTTGCCGGCACAGCCAGGAGTGGACACCTACGTCGTCAGGCGGATATCCCCATTTCGGTGCTGGACCATCGTCAAGCCCACATACGCCACCTGGCCAGATCTTGTGGAAACACTTGGGCGATATCGGATAATATCGGAGGTGCTTGACATGAACAAATCTCCGCAGCACAGTCGAGAGATCTTTCGGCAGAGGCGCTATGACTGGCCGATCAGACTGAAGATCCGAACTTGCATCATGCTGCCATGGCTGCAGATTCATACCACAGAGCGACAGCGTCGTCATTCGGCTAGCCATCTTCGATCGGGATACCTCGACCAGTGTCGGCATCTGATTGCGATACCACGTGAATGGCGTCTCCTCCAACACAGCAACAAAGAGCTCGTTCAACGTCTTCGAATCGCGAAAACAACGTCCAACCAGTCGTGCTGTCAGTATGCCTTGTCGCGATGCGTCGTCAAGGACTGAAAAGCGTGCGCTCTCAGGAAAGCTATACGCCGCAAGTTGTTCGAGCACTACATCAAGGAGCTCTCGAGGCAGAGTGTCCATGACTGAACGAGGCGATCCGGAGGTGCGATATTTCCGTAAGGAACACACGCTCGTATGAGGCGGATTATGTGCGCCCAACAATTGAATGCCTGTATCACCCCACCCCAATCAATGGACCATCACTCTGCGGTCACTGAGAAACGAGCCGCGTTGAACCACAGGCCTGTTACAGTCACAACACCTAGAGTCGGCTAAACGGCGAACGCAAACCCATAATCAATCAAGATACCCAACACATTATTTTGGCACAGCATCAGCGTTCAAGCATCGTTGAATTATTAGAACTTGGGCTAACAGCGATTTACAATTTATAGGTATACCTTTAAGCACTCCAACTCCACATCCTCCCCTTTTCATCCAAACACAACTCCACCGCATCTCAACTACACCAGTGCAGCCAAGACCTCCCCAATCAGCGACAGGCGTTTAGTTACCAGCCTTACGGCCCTTGCCCTTGTGGTGGGGCTCACGAGCGTGAAGATCAGCCCAGTGGGCGTCATCAGCAGCCTGGTCGAACTCCTCGCGCTTGTTGTTTGCCTTGCGACCCTTGCCCTTGTGGTGAGGCTCAGGCTCACGAGTGTGAAGATCAGCCCAGTGGGCGTCATCGGCAGCCTGGTCGAACTCCTCGCGCTTGTTGTTTGCCTTGCGACCCTTGCCCTTGTGGTGAGGCTCAGGCTCACGAGTGTGAAGATCAGCCCAGTGGGCGTCATCGGCAGCCTGGTCGAACTCCTCGCGCTTGTTGTTTGCCTTGCGACCCTTGCCCTTGTGGTGAGGCTCAGGCTCACGAGCGTGAAGATCAGCCCAGTGGGCGTCGTCGGCGGCTTGGTCGAACTCCTGGCGGGCTTCGATTTCGACTTCGCGCTTGTTAGCCTTGCGGCCCTTGCCCTTGTGATGGGGCTCACGCTTGTTGTTAGCCTTGCGGCCCTTTCCTTTGTGATGGGGCTCGCGCTTGGTCAGCTCATCCTCCTCGTCGTCGACCTCGTCGTCGGCCTCATCCTCGTCAACCTCGTCCTCATCAGCCTCGTCTTCGCGCTTGTTGTTCTTGCGACCCTTGCCCTTGTGATGGCGAGCCTCGATCTCAACCTCACGCTTGTTGTTCTTGCGACCCTTGCCCTTGTGGTGACGGGCTTCGATCTCGACAACGGGCTCAGGCTCGCGGCGGTTGTTCTTGCGGCCCTTACCCTTGTGGTGGGGCTCACGAGCAGCGAGGTCGGCCCAGTGAGCAGGGTCGACCTCCTCGTCATCCTCCTGACGCTTGTTGTTCTTCCTTCCTTTGCCCTTGTGGTGGGGCTGTGGGTCACGAGCTTGCATAGCAGCTACGAGAGCAGATGCGCGGACGGGGCCGCTGCCCTTCGGATCGTTAGCCGAAATCTTTGGGATGATGTCAGTCTGACTTACCACCACACGAGCCTCAACAGCATTATCAGTCACAACCTTCTTGTCGTTGACGACATAGGCGGTGGCGGAGGCACCGAGTGCCAAGAGAGTAAGTGCGGTAAACTTCATGTTGAGTAAGCTGTAAAATTAACTGTTGAATCCTCGAACGAATGGAATGTTCTGCCAGCAGATGAGAAGAGATGAAACAGGCTGAGAAGGTCTGAGAAGGAATGAGCACGTTCAACGCTTGCCAACATATCTTCTGGAACACGCTCACCTTATATGGGGTGACCATTTCCCCCAGCACACTCGCTTCGCTGCTTGCGCGAACCGACGAAACCTGAGTTCCTGAGACATCTTCGCATTGACTGCGGAACATGAAGGGAGCTACCATCCCTGCCACACAAACCGCGCTCCTGACGATGCGCCATGGATTCGCTCTCAGAGGGGAAGGCGCAAGATGCGACATGTGGATTTGCATCTCCACCCTCGACACGGCAGTTGTTGGCAGCCACCAGATGTTGACATTTCCGGAACAGCCGAACATTGGCAGGGCGGACTTCAAACAGCACAGCAGGATACCCGTTCTATTCCCACACGACAACATCGTCACTTCCAAATCTTCAGCGACTCGTTCGAGCAAACGCTGACACACGAGACATGTCGAAGTCTGAGCACCAATATAATTGGCCATATACCCACCAGTTTTGCAGCCCGCGTCCCCAATGCAGCAGAATTACGGGCCACCACACAACGACAGCAGATCGAGCGCGTAATACACCCATACCACCACTCATGCGCTCCATCATACGCATGCTGTGTCAAGTTGCAAAAACGACCCCGGTTTTGTTCGATCGCCAAGCTGAAACAGTGGTGAAGGGCTGTGAGCGACAGGTCTTGGCTTAGCGCGGATCGCGAAACTCAAACACCACGACAACCAACGGCGATGTGATACACGCTCCGATTGAAGGCGTCGCAGAAGGCTTGTCAGTTGCTTGTTGAGGGTTGGCGGCGTTGTAGACGGGTATTGTTGCCTCAGTGAAGTACCGCGGATGCCTCATGCTGATATGCTGCAGTACGGCGCGACGGTGCTTCTTCCTTGTTTGCGATACTTGCTTATTCCCTCTGTCGTACGCCAGGCGCAGAGATCTTTCGCTTTTGGCTTTCAGGCTTCTTTCACCCTTTCTGCGTTGAGCGCACACCTTCTCTATCTTCGCAGGCCGACTTGTAACACCATATTCTAATATCCTCTCTTCTTGACGGCGAACACTACGAACCCAAATCTATCTCAATAACACCACCATGGAGAAACAAACTCTGGCTACCTCATCAAACGACGACTACGAAAACGCCGCCTTCCTCAACACATCCTACCTCAAAGACTCCGAGACCACACGGCGGCGAAACTATGTCTACCTCACGCTCTTCAACCTATTCATATTCACGCTCTCAATGCTGAGCCTGATCTGTGCCGTCATGTCGCAGAAGGATAGCTCAGGCTACTCAGCAGCAAAACTAATGGACCAATTCGACATCTTCTCGCCCGCCATGCATGAAGTCGAGTACACGCACGTCAAATACTCGCTCCCGAAGCCGCTGAATGCGAGCAAGTATGTGGGGACGACCGAGGAGGTGGAGAATGCGTGGATGGATATTGCGTATTGTACGTCCCTGCCCACCAGCTTCCCATCATCGTCTTTTGGCATGCATGACTAATTGATGACAGTGCCTGATCAGATGGTCTCGAAAGCGGACTTCCCGAAGTTGAAGAAGCCGGACGATGCAATGCAAGTCACCGACCCAAACACCGGAGAGACTGGGTACCGCGTCGGCATCGAAGTCTTTCATCAATTGCACTGCTTAAATCTGCTGCGCATGAGCACGTATCCGGATCACTATAAGACGATTTCGTGGAGCGATACTAATGATGCGCCTGAGAAGGTCAGGGAGCACTTAGGTACGTTTTAATCCCGAGAGCTTTGCGTAAGCGAGAAGGAGGAGTGTGTGTGCTAATAATGGATAGATCACTGCATTGAGATCCTGAGAATCAATCTCATGTGCCTGAGTGACGTTAACGTGTTTACGTTTCATCCGACGAAGGAGGAGGGGAAGCAGGGGATGGGTGGCTACTGGCCGGATTACGAGAGTGAACATGTGTGCAGGAATTTTGATCACATCAAGGATTGGGCGAGGGCGAATGCTGTGCCTGATGCAGATGTGTAGTTACCACGTCACCTTATCAATCACAGAATTTTTTTTGGTTTTACTTACGTTGAACTTTTCTGTCGACGGCGGTTGGGGCAATCGCGCTAACAACTTCTGCCAGTGCAGCCAACAGTGAAGGTAGGCCCAATCAAAATCTGCCCCCAGCCACTCGTTACAGCTCCACTTCATCGTCTACGAACACCTTCCGTCAGGGACGAACCTTTGTGTCACGCAGTCGATGACCTGGAAGCCTGGGGCGGGAATTAGAGTTGCTACACCACAGATAGCCCAATGCTGTACTTTGCAGAAATGAATCCATTGCTTTACAATACTCCAAACAATTCAGTCTCTCGAAACTGGGCGTGCATTTACGTGTTGTTGGTTCTTGCGTGCGGCTGATCGAGGACCATGTGTATCGAAGGTAATGAGTGTATCGTTGTCCACCAGTGTTTCCTTGAAAGATGTTAGCGATCAAGCATGTGACAAGTGCTGTTGCTCAAAGAAGACTTACAAGCTCAGGAACAGGGCACACCATGTACACTCTGTAGGCGACAGCTGTTCGTGATATCCACATCAAGAGTTGTCTGCGCTGAGGATGACTAGTAAACTTATGCATAGTTCGCAGAATTCGCCGACCATCTCAAAGCCGGTAACATCTTCCCAAACAACACCGTCGCCCCGCTGTAGAAGAAGCAGCGGAGTCGTAGCGAACCGCCCGGGCTCGCGACCGAGTTGGATCATTGAATAGTCGTTCGCAGAGCTGCATCGACGTCATGATGCTGAGTGCGTGGATCGGAACGGGCACTCGCGTCCTCATGGACATCCGCGGCAAGAACATCATTGTCGACAACGATTAGCTGCGTATGAAGTAACATGCAACGTCTCACAGAACCAAAGCGCTCCTAGCTGCTGCGCTGTAAGTTGATAATACAGAAGATTGTTGCTGTAGGCTTCAAGCCATCCGGCTCGATACGTCGTGATGAGGGTTGAGCTTCGTGCCACTGTAGGTTCCAATCGTTGCCAGCAAGACTGGTCTAGTCTACACCTGATATGGAAGACCATCAGCTCATGTGCACACAACAGGAACGAAACGTATCGTGAGGCGGCCGACAAGCGACAACATCATTTACTGCAAATATCGCAATGAGCGTGCATCTGAGTTGGTCCTCATTTGTCATGAGTATCTCGCAGCTTCTGGAAATGCGCCTTCATCTCATCGCCGAGCCTTCCCTCTACATCCGCCAATATCGTACAAACAAGACTGTAATTGTTGCACAGAAATCTTTCCTTCTTCCTAGCGTCGCTGACAGCCTTGCTAAACTTGTTTAGGTACGCCTCAAATTCGCTCCTTAACCTGCCAACGGACACACTCACGGGCTCATCATCGCCAGCTTCTGATGAGAGCGCCAGTATGCTGTGCAGCAAGTTGGCAAATCTTTGTGTAAGTGGAGTTGGCGCCGTAGTGTTTGCGTTGGCTGAGCTACCACCAAGCAGTGCTGCACCTGTGCTTGGGCGATTTGGTAAGGACGCAGTAAGCTTCTGCAATGAGGTGCAATGCATATCGAGTATCTGCTGGAAGCGTGGCCATAGAAGCATGTTCGTGGCATTGATATATCCGTCCAGTGATGGCACCTTTCTCCTTTGCAGTTCGAATGCGAAGTGCTGGTTCAGACGTACACAGAGCAGTATCCCCAATGTGTCTGTCGTCGACTCGACGAGTTGCTTCGTCAATGTTTGGCTCATTGCCAATGTAGGCTCGAAGATCGCTGCGAAGGTTCGTGATATCGCATGGAAGTTCTGTGATGGTGCGAAGTAGGTCGAGAGGAAGGTGTACTCGAACGATGCGTTATCGATCAGCGCCAGGTTGAAACTGCGAAAGGGAACTTCGAGGTAGTGTGCCGACTTCTCTTCCTCTGCAAGATGAGACGTAAGTGCATTTGTCGAGGAACTCTTCAACGCATCCCGGCGTCGCCCAAGCGAAAACGCATCGTATGTGACAGGCGTGTTGCGTGATTGACCAAGCAAGCTGCCACCACGCTTGACGTTAGGATCCTCACCGAGGACATCGTATCTATCCAATGCGTGGATTTTGAGTTTTTCCAAGGCTGTGCGATATCGTGTGAAATGGTCCAGGTAATACCAGCGCATTGTGAAGATATAGGCCTGACTGATCTGTTGGGCCAGTTCTGGTTGATGTTTCGCAAGGAATGCGTACAAGTCCTTGTACTTCAGGAAGGCCTGCTGCTGTATGATCTGTGCGTTGATCGAGGGCGAACGGATGGCCTTGATCTGAGCAACGATGTAATCTCGTATTCGTTCAACAGCGCGATTGGTGAGATTGTCGAGTAGTGGTTTGATATCAGATAGGGCTCCCAAGTCCGGCTGCTCTTTTGCTTTGGCGTTGATGATCTTAGAACGTTTCTCGATCTCTCCCAAAGCGCGCACGAAGCCTTCGTCTACCGGCCCTTCTGCGATCTTGCGCACGACTGCTGGCGATATGGTGATATCTTGAACTGCAGGGCCTAGCAGCTTCTCGACTGTCTTTCGATTCTTGAGCTTGGTGTTCAGTGCTATCGAGCGATTCTGCAGAGACTCTATCTCGGCCGAGACTGCCTCGAGATCTGCCTGAAAATTTGTAAGGTACGTTTCCACTGACTTCAACACCTCGTCACACGCTATGATAGACTTGTGCAAGTCCTCAAACTTGTCTTTCTCCTTGTCGTCTGCAGGCACGATGAGCGCAAGACACAAGGACAGAAGACACAGACGTACATTCTTCGACTGATTGTGCGCTATATGTATGTACAGACGTGTTCTGCCGCTGCTCAGGGACGTCGGCCTCTGCGAAGTCCTGGAGGCTAAGCTCCCCAAAGTCGATATCCACCTCGATCTCGTCTGGTTTGTGCTGTATGGTCTCGCCATTGCCATTCGTACTTATCTTCCTCGGTGGTCCTCCCATGATAGATGCCAGCACCTGTACTGGGTCTAGGACGTTGGGAGGAATACCCCCTGTCGGACGGCGGCGAAGTGGTGCGCCATTCGGCCCACGTGCCGTTGAAGGCAAGCTCAAATTTGAAGCTCCTGGTGACACGAGTGTTAGAGACGAAGTTCGAGGCTGTAGACCGGGTCTCATGGGTAAAGGGCCCGGCCCTGGATGACCCCTTCGAGGAGCTGGCGAGTACGAGTCGCGTCGCGGAGGAGGCGTGCCCGTGGGCGTCGAATACTGAGATAGCCTGTCTAGTCCCCACATGATGTTTCGTTGCTCTTCAAGGGCACATTATGGAGGTTGAAGGTAAGGAGCTATCGACAACGGCAGCTGTCATTACGGACCTCGGCGGCAGTTTATCCGGGCAGGGGTGCCCGCTCTTAGCGATGGGAACGGCTAGCGCCTTTTGGCGACCAAGCTTGCCCCTCGACTCGAATCAAAATCCAGACAGTGCAGACTTCTCTTCCATCCATAAAGTCCGTCTTTTCCACCCCACCACCCCCAGACACCCGACAAAACAACAGCTTCTTCCTCACCCGTCGCAACCTACTCTCATTCATCACCATGGCCGACGACGCGCAGGTACGTTCTTCATGGCGCCCGCATGTGGCTTTACCCCACCTTTTCGGGTCGCCGCTGCTCTCTACGCGCAGGCATCACGCCGCCCACAATGCGCTCTTCCACTACGATCCTGACTTCAATGTGTAGCATGAGCACACCTTCGAGAGCGCCGATGCCGGTGCTTCTCAGACCTACCCTATGCAGTGCTCTGCTCTGAGGAAGAACGGTTTCGTCGTCATCAAGAACCGCCCTTGCAAGATCGTCGAAATGACCACCTCCAAGACCGGCAAGCACGGTCACGCCAAGGTTCACTTGGTCGCCATCGACATCTTCACCTCCAAGAAGCTTGAAGAGCTCTGCCCCTCTACCCACAACATGAACGTTCCCAACGTCCGCCGCCAGGAGTACCTTCTCGTAAGTGCCATCGCATATCTAAGTGTGGGAATGCCAAGGCTTACAATGCATCACAGGTCGACGTTTCCGAGGATGGTTTCCTTTCTCTCATGTCTGATGACGGTTCCACCAAGGACGACGTCAAGCTTCCCGAAGGTGAGGTTGGTGACAAGATCAACAAGCTCTTCGTCGAGGATGGCAAGGACACCAGTAAGTCAAATCTACGAATAACCATCTCAAGGTTTCACTAACATTATCCAGGCGTCATTGTCCTCACTGCCATGGGTGAAGAGTCCGCTATCGATGCTAAGGAGGCTCCCAAATAAATCAGCGTTGGATACATCGACTCTCAGCAGAGGGCAAGTCGCGGAGTTTTGACGGGCTCCGACCGGAAATCAGATTGCCCGAGACTTTTTCACAGTCATGAGCAAAGCTACAGCTTCTGCGGTTACTTTGGCATTCCTCAGTGCGATTTACCTGCGCTGATGGTTCCCAATGCTTGTGGTTCTTCGGACGGATTTTGAGGTCTTGCATTGCCATGTGTGGGAAACTATTTACGAATTTGTTTCCCTTTCCTAGATATATCCCTTACGACAAACGAATAAAAAGGCGATGATGTTACGGCAAATGCCTGGTTTTCAATTGGTGAACTTAGTGAATGTGGGAAATCCAATTTTGCGCTAGTGGGCGAACTTCGACTTTGCGCAACATCAACCTTCACCAAACATACACTTATGACTGCACACGACTCACGCAGTATCGACTCTGAAGTAAGGAGGTAAGTCGGCTGTCAGATCACAGTCATCATTTACTCAACCGCTACTCGAACCCCTGGAAGGTAGTACCAGCAGAAGTGTTGCGCTGCAGCCTACGCCAAAGCGTCATAGCGCTTGCTGCAATTGGCTGGTGTTCTACGGGTCCGTTGTACCAGTCTTTACAATCGAGCTCAAACCGGGTATATATAATGAGAGAAAGCAGCATTACCTAGGACTCACTGCGCACTCTTGACTCATGGATTCTCGACTGGAGAAAGGGCCTGTCTGTGGTGTAGAAAATTGTCGATCCCGATGGTATGAAGAAGGTGAAGACGGCTATCGCTACTGTCAGAACGGGCATCAACAGTTTGTGAGCAACATATCCACTAGCAGAGTAAGGCCGTACTGACGTTGGGTAGGGCTTGATTCGCGCTGCAGCAGATGACGATGATTTCACCCTTGCGACAACAACAAGAACACGCAAAAGGAAGGACACAGATGATCAAGTCAAGATAGCCAAACGTGAGTTTCGAAAGGTCTGTTAACATGCAATACGTGTATTGATGAAACATCCCAGACTTCAGCGGACGGCAAGCCCTTGACTTGTACCTCAAATGCCTTCAACTCATCTTGCGACACCAAGTATGGTACCTAGTGAAAGAGAAGGACCTCCCAGAGGAATTGGAGTTGATAACTCTGGACCTTTGGGCTCTTCGGATCGCTCAGTTCGGCGACAGGATTGCCAGTGACAAGTTTGCCGACTCACAGTCCCAGTCACAAGTCTTTAGCACCCTCGAGACCGACGACAGCGAGACTGATGATGCGAGAGGCACGCTCAGAACACCCAAGGGACGAGACAAGAAGCTCAGTGGCGTTCCGAACCTTCTTGACAGTCTGGCATTATGTTACCTGGGAATCCTGACGCTACGACTGCCAATCACACCCGGGGACATCTACCACTGGGTCTCGGAAGGCAAGCTAGCCTACAGAGGAGCTATCAAACACTTACCCTTACCGATGCGAGACCGCCTGCCGCCCTCATATCATGCCATCTTGAACCCGAATGCACTTCTGAAGTACAAGCGGTTTTATGCGGCAGTCACCGACTTACAGGTTAGCTTTACGAAAGATCACAGAATTGCGTGGGCGCCGCTGAATCACCGTCTCCTGCTGTTTCGATATCTCAAAGAGCTGGCTTTGCCTCTCGAAATCTACGATGTCACTATTCGACTCAGCAAGCTTCTCGGGTACGATTTCGTGCTGCACCAGGATGGGGAGAAGAGACTCGGCATCAAACATCTACCAGAGGCACAGCTGGTCGGCTGCCTGCTCGTGTGCGTCAAGGTGCTGTACCCTTTCGACGGGGAAGTACGACATCCACGTTCAGCTGCCGAGCCCACGGCAGCAGTGATCAGTTGGAGACACTGGCACGAGCAGCTTCGATCTGCAAAGGCAGGACAGGAAGGCCACGATCAGCGCTACACAGTCGAGGAGCTGACCAAGCTTGAGGAGAAGGACGTCTTCGACATGGCACCTGACCGGCTTGATCAATATCTCGACTTCTACGCAGACACATTCCTCGACAATGCAGAGATACAGCGAACGAAAGACACAGACGACTTCCGCAATGCAATCTACGGTATGTTCCCTATCGCAGGAACACCAACAGCCTCTGCAAACCTAAGCCCGGATGGACTGCAAAAGAAAGACGACATGGCAATGGTCAGAGCTGTGCATGGCTCCATGCAAGCAAGGACGACAGTGGAAGACGACGAAGTCGGTACTGGAATTTTAAGGCCTGGTCAGTCATACCGGCCTTACAGGAAGGAGAAAGACCTACCAGAGCATGCCAAGGCATTTTATGAGGAGGTCGTGAAGCTGGCGGGATTGTCGATGGATATGTTGATGATGGCGGTCTTCTTCACAGAGGCGAGGATTGAGAAGTGGCGGAGGAAGCAGAGGGAGGCAACGAAGCAGGGACCAGACGATGGTTGAAGAGCCTTGGTACAGTGCACGAGGTGTTGCTACAACGACAATGTGCACGGTATAGGAATTCGCTGGATGTAGCTCAAAAACCACGTACTCTTGCGTTGCAGAAAGAGCTGGACGCAAGAGCCTGGCTTCTAGCATTCCGGAGCAGCTTCAAAAAGTACTCAGCGCAAATGCGGTTTGTATAAATGCTCTATCATAGTCACGTTAATCTCTAAGAACTCTAGTTTTGTACAGATTGCTTTCAGAGTTGCACAGAGTATCTCTCTTTATTTGGAGAAAAACGCCCTTGTATGCGACTTTCCTTGCTACCAAAGAGCACATAATGGTATCTAGTTGCCACAAGAACAGTAATCAATGCACTTCTGTATGCACTCGAATATTCTTGTTGTTGGCTAGACTTGATGCTGGGGTCGGCCGACGACTTTGGTGGGGTGAAGGTGGCAAAACAAGAAGAAGCGTTAGGCGAAAGCGGTAAGTGCCGCCAAGCTAACTGCCGCCCACACTCTCGAAATTCACCACCGTCAACCTCGCCTTTGCTGTCCTTGTTACTAACCGACCAGTTTCACGACAGTCTAGGTAAGCATATCCAGATCTTCGAAGTCGCCGCATATCTCCTGCATCCGCGACGACAGTCTATCCAGATCTTCGAAGCAGCCGCATATCTACTCCGTCTGCGCGCCTGTCTTTCTTCTTTACTGACTTTCGTTCGCAGTTCACTATGCAGATCTTCGTGAAGACCCGTACGTCGCCCAAATCGACCCAGGCGTCGCCTATACGATACTAATTGATCGCAGTGACGGGCAAGACCATCACTCTTGAGGTCGAGTCCTCTGATACCATCGGTACGCACACCTCTCAATCTCGCCACGCCACCGCAAACACATCGCGCACGCATCAAACGGAGCATCATTGGATTCGCTGGTGGCTGTGGGAGGAAATAGACGAAACAGGAGACTAACTTTAGCCAGACAATGTCAAGTCCAAGATCCAGGACAAGGAGGGCATTCCCCCGGACCAGCAGCGTCTGATCTTCGCTGGCAAGCAGCTCGAGGACGGTCGCACCCTCTCCGACTACAACATCCAGAAGGAGTCGACTCTCCACCTGGTCCTCCGTCTCCGTGGTGGCATCATCGAGCCCTCGCTCAAGGCCCTTGCCTCCAAGTACAACTGCGACAAGATGATCTGCCGCAAGTGCTACGCCCGTCTGCCGCCGAGGGCTGTCAACTGCGTACGTACCCACCACTCTTCCGTCATGCCGACGTGATGAGCAAGACCTCAGTCCACGGGACGATAATGGCTAACAACCTCCACAGCGCAAGAAGAAGTGCGGACACACCAACCAGCTCCGTCCCAAGAAGAAGCTCAAGTAAATCATTCGCACAACGGCGTCTGGCGAGATCGGGGTCGGTCGAGGTGGAACCAATGCGACGAATGCATGCGACGGACAGTCATACGATAAAGACCTGTTCGCTTTTGCACATGGAGTCTTATCTGTGCTTATCACTCAGCTAAGGAGCATGATGATGGGATTGGGGCTTGTAGAGTGAATACGATTCTACCTTTCCTTCTTGCACAGAACTGTCCCTAGGATCCTGACCAGAGAATATCATGAAGCAATCACCACCACCTCAAGGGTTCGCCTACTGTGCACTGCTGTCACGTGAGCTCGCATCTGCATCGCATCGCTGCGACGTCACGGTCGTTCTTTGTGTGTTTCTGCAGCCTTTGCGCTCAGCTACACGAGGGTGTTGTGAAGACAATGACAAGTAACTCGCATTCGGACTATGGCTCTGAACTTGCGCTGAACGCTACGCAACGACTCTCGACCACCGCAACATTCCTCCAAAACAACTTTTCCACCGTGTACTGCCGCATCCTCATAACTCATCCAAAGACATTGAAACATGCAAACAGAGGTCGCCTGCCGGGACATGCTTTTTCTACTCTCAGAACGTGCGAACCGACCTGCGTCGAAGAATAGAAGAGCTAGCTCTGCATCGGAGAAGACGAAAAGTGGGAAGCGAATCGAAGGCATCCTGCATAAGGTCAGTGACGGTGTTGTAGACAACGTAAGCGGGCGCGCTTACCAAAGATCTGTTTGTGACGATCCAACAGAAAGTGTAATCCAATTATGCAATTTGATAGATGGTGGTACATAAAGACGAAAAATAAAAAAGGTAGTCGAAACATCGAGAACTGACACCAAGTAGAAAAAGTGGTATCGGAAACGCCTCGCTATGCATTGAGAAATCGGAACATCGTATAGTTTGTGGGCAGATATTGACGGGACGGCTGCTATCCGTGGAGGTCGTGGTGGTCTTTTCGGAATGGACGTGGGTCTGGGTGACAGCAGAGAAGAAGTGCTCATACGCGTGGCTTCTTCCAGTAGTATTGCTACGAGCAGTCAGTAAGGGCAGTGAGTACTATATCATGATGTGACGTACCTTGTGTGTCTTCCTGACAGAGCGTAGACCAGTGCTGCGCATGCCAGCGGTGATAGTCTCTCGCCTCATCTGGTCAGGATCCATCTCAGGGATGTAGTAGAACTCGCTCTCAAGCGGCTTGCCGGCAGCATCCTTGCCTGAGCGAGGGATTTCTCCAACGCAAGAAGTCTGTTCCAAGATCTTCCTCAAATCAGACTGCGACAGTTCAGGCAGTGGTGTGGTCGAACCACTGCGCTCTCCTAGGTCCTCAGCGCTCTTGATCTTGCTGACGCAAGCTTTGAGCTCAGCAGGAAGGTTGCTATGAATCGTCGACAGAGGGTGGGAATGGACGCGAGAGTACGCCAGCTGGTTGATGACGTGGTTCTTGATGGGCGATTCCTTGAAGCGGACAGCCTCGACGGAAGAGCGCTTTGCAGACGGTGAGGCCAATGGCACACGGGGAGGTCGTGGAGTGTTTCCAAGGCCAGGTGTAGTAGTAGAAAATGACTCGAGGCCGCCGAGGAGGTTCTGGCCGAAAGGCCCGAAAGAATGGACAACAGGATCGTTTTCCTCGTCGTTGTCAGAGTAGTCGTCCTCGCTGAATGATGACGTAAAGCTGGACTTGGTATCCTTCGTATCGGCCTCCTGGCTCGAGCCAATGGGTGAAACAGTAGGACGAATGAATGTCTTCTCTGGGTCAAGAAGGGTAGAGCCCTCATCTTGAGCATCGGCGTCCTCGAACACCTGAACACCACCAGCCGGGGCGTTGGGACCAAGTGCCTCAAAAACAGGTTGACGCATCGGGCTCTGCGAGACTGGAGAACGGGGAATGACAGGAGGACTAGAGTCGAAGGCACCCTGTGTGTTACGGCGTGTGGGTGTGGGCATGTCCTCTTCCTCAGACTCCCACGAGAACTTTGATACTGGGATGGCAGGCCAAGCAATCACGACACGGGTGTCTTGAACATCCAACATGATCTCCGTTTCTGGATTTTCCGAGACGTACGTGTCTCCCTTCGCCAACTCGAATACGCGGCCACCGCAGTGGATCTTTGCTCCATTCCATCCTAAGCACTCGACATGGATGTGGCCACGGGGGTAGGTCGAATTGGGCACGTGGTACGCGGCTTGGACGTGAACGCGTGAGATGAGGCGGTTGGTGGACAGCTGATAGTCTGCCGAGTTGGATGACCTTCCCATACGGAGCAATTCTCCATTCCCGGGGAGGTCGACGGTGGGCACCGCGCCGAGAGGGGTCCGCTCAGAGAGGGCAGACACGGCGCGTTGCAGGACCGGCCTTACGTGACGCGGCGACGAGAAGTTGAGGATACCAGTCGACGAGGTAGGGACAGGGGTAGGGTAGTACTTGAGCTGCTGTCTCGCGAACGAAGGCGAGTCTTCTTCGAACTTGCGTTTGGAGGAGCCAGGACGCGGAAACGGCGATGACGAGAAGTTGTCCTCACCAAATGCGGGGAGCAATGACGGCTTCTGCGAGTGCGTCGAGAGCGACTTGGGCGTCGACGCCGAGGGCAATTGCTGCGCCAGCTTGCTCGGACTGGAGTCCATACTGCCTGCTGAGGAGCTCAAGACGCGAGGCACGCGGCGTGTCGACGTCTATGACCTGTGTGGACGTGTTCCAAGGGCGGCTAGCCGTGCGTGATGCCGGGTGCACTGGACAATGTCGAAGGAGTGAGAGCTGAGAAAGAACTCGTGCAGGGCTAGGAAAGAGGTCAAAGAGAAGCGGCCATCAGGTCAGACACGATTTTGAGGCACGTCGACGCGGTTCACGGGTGTGGAGACAAGAGAGGTCAGGTCTCGATACGGTAGCGCGTAGGAGCTCAGGCCGTGTGGAGAACCAGGAATTCACCCAACACAACTTTCTCCCTTGCAAGCTTGCCGATTGTTGGCTTTGATTATAATTGTGACGATCTGCTGTTTTGTCCCTGCTTCACTCTGAATAGTTACTGTTTTTTATTCTTTCTATCTGCTTGCACGCGCTTCTCAGCGGTAGTCTTCGGCGACCACATCTCCGTTCGTTCATAAGCCCTGTGCACGAGCACAAAAGAACACACCTATTACATCAGGTTCGCGCTCGGCTGTGTCTTGAACTTGATTTTCACTCCGTGTACCAGCCCCTCTGTGCTGCATGTATTTGCTAATTCACCGCTGTCAATTGACAGCACTCCACACGTCGAACATACAGTCTCCACGTAGCTAGCACGTAGACGTCACTTTGGCTCAAATATCACTGTAGTTTGGAGTTCTGAGACGCCAATTTCCGAACGAATCCTCTCGATATAGAAATGGAAGGTGAAGCTTTCGACGCGTGTACAATGCTTACCCAGGGCACCCTGCTGCAATGCAGGAAGCAAAGCAATCAACCCGTAAGCTCAGCGTAGCACCTCACATCAGACATACGTAGGAGGTATTCAAGCTGTGCTATGCACGGCGGCAACGGTCGATAGTTTCTTGCGACTCAGTAAGCCAGATAGTTGTCCAGCCTAAGTGGAACTGGCAAGACTAGACGCATGCAGAGCGAACGTCACGCAATGCAAAAACTTCTCTGCATCGGGCCGTGAAGCTGAACACGGAGGATGCGCGCAGAACACGCAGCTTGTTACATTAGTGGAGCAACGAGGCAGACGCGACGGGCGGTATACCTTGACGCGTCGAGAAACTTTGGTAAGGCCGGTGCACTGCGCCGCCTTTGTTTCCGCTGGATACCTCCAGGGCTGTGTATAACGCGTGAAAAGAGCCTGAGAGAATTGTTGTGCCCAGTCATCAGCTGTGTAAGAAATGCGGCGTGTGCATCAATCCGAGGACGGATGCCAATGCAGTCATCTTGAGATGACATTTAACTGTCCTAGAAGCTACTCCACATCTTGAGTCGTTCGCGCGTTACAAGCATGCTTGCTGCTAAAGGAGAGTTCTCTGAAATTGTATTCTCCATGGCAAGGATTCTCGACGTGAATTAGAGGAGTGATATCGCAGGATGATAGTAATGCCTGTGAAAAACATGCATGGAATCATCTTCTGCGTTGCGAGCGATCGAGCGTGTCGTGTGCTTGTGCGCTAAAAGCCTTTAACGCGCTGATTGGCCAACGCAATCGCAGAGTTTCCTGAACGAGTAGGCGTGAACCAGCCCCGCTCGTGTGGGTCGCGGTTTCTAGAGTTTTTCCGAACACCGACGAAAAAGTTGAGAGGTGCGACCAGGGTCTAGTTGATTGCCAAATTCGAAGATCGAACTTTTCCAAAACGATACACCGCAACAATGGCCAGATCAAAGCAAGTAACAAAGAAAGTCGAGAAGAAGGCAGAGGTGCCGCTCATTACCAAGACGCAAAATGAGACACCTTACCAGCTGGACCCGGCGCAAGTTGAGCGAGCGGCGAATGCGCTCGTTGCGCACATGAAGAAGCACAAGGAGGAGAAGGAGGCAGTCGGCACCAAGGATCTGATGGCTGACGAGGACGAGGCCGAGGAGAACGATCAGCCCATCTTCCTCAGCGTTTCCACCAAGAAGCACGTCAGCAATACCAACAGCCTGAAGCCTACGAAGATGTCAGTTTGCACGCTACAGAATGCGCCAGATTATATGCTGACAGCTACATAGTGTTCTGCCTCACCCCATCATTGCGAACGACGCTAAGATCTGCATCTTCACCAAGGATCCTCAGCGAGTATACAAGGATCTTGTCGCCTCGGACGCATTCCCTGCCGCACTTCGCGAAAGAGTTGGCCGTGTACTTGGCGTTGAGAAGCTGAAGAAGAAGTTCAAGTCCTTCGAACAGAAGCGCGCTCTTCTCGCCGACTACGACATCTTCATGGTCGACGAACGCGTTATCAAGATTGTCGCCGACTTTCTTGGCAAGGTCTTTTACGGCAGCAAGTCTAAGCGTCCGATTCCGATCAGATTGACCGCTGGCGCATACGTCGACAAGAGTGCGAAGAAGGACAAGGAGCCTCAGAACGTGGTTGGCACAGCACAGGGTGTCGCAAAGGAGATCGAGACTGCGCTGAATTCAACATATCTCAGCATGAGCGCCTCAGCCAACACCTCAATCAAGATCGGCAACCTCTCTCAGACCGCTGCTCAGATCAAGGAGAACACCGAAGCCATCATCGCCGCTATCATTCCCAAGCACATCGAGCAAGGCTGGCGAAACGTTCGCAGCCTGCACATCAAGGGCCCTGCCACAAAAGCTCTGCCCATCTGGCTCGCTGATGAGCTGTGGGTCGACGACTCACAGGTGCTGGACGAGCCATTCCAGAAGAAGAGCATCGGCGAGGGCAAAACCGCACAGACCAAGCGCAAGTGGGACGAGTGGGAGGAGGAGCTGCTCGACGAGGACGAGCTGGCGGAGAAGAAGGCAAAGAGGGAGGCCAAGAAGGCGAAGAAGGCCGGACCTGCGAAGAAGAGCTCTTTGAGCAAGGAGAAGAGGAAAGCATTGAAGCAGGATGCGCTGTCTTCAGTACAGACATCGTTGATTGCATGAGCTGTTGAGACATGAGTAATTGCATATGACGGCGCATCGGCGTTAGGGAGCTCAAAAGATGTGTTGCATATTGGGCAGAATACCATTTGCGAATCTAGGGATACTTTTCTGACATCCTTATGTTACTCTACGTTCCCAACATATGGTCTACTGCGTTTCTGATCCTTTCCAGTCTATTGGAGGTCATTCATGTTGATGAGAGCATACTTTTGGAGTCCTTCAGCACTTCACCGAAAATTTACCAGAATTGCTACTCTGCCTCTGGAGGTAAGTAGCTTACTCTGCTGCGCTGTCTATGATCTTGTTGTAACCTTTGAAGCTGCTGTGTAGACCGTTATCATGTTGTCCGCTCTAAGTCGATCAATAGAGAATCTCATGAGACCTTCAATCCTTTGGTGAGTAATGCGTCGACTTGAAAGATCTGTAGTACAGCAGATATCAACTAAAGACCTGGCGACAATGATCCACTATCATAAGAGGCATTAATGCTGAGACGATCAGCGCGCCATCAACTCGAAGCTATGGGCGTGCCTCGGCCCTGGCGCGTCGCTGACGACATACGTTGCGGCGCGCCTTCAAATTGCAACGACAAGACACCACAACCTGCCAACATGCTGCAATCGCTATCGCTGTCAGCGCTGCTACTCAGCGCACGAGTTCTCGCCTCACCCTCCTCGCCCCCCAGCGACCCTCTCCCTCTCCTCATCTGGCACGGCCTAGGCGACAACTACGCCGCCGACGGCCTCGCAGAAGTCGCCTCTCTTGCCTCAGAAACAAACCCGGGAACCTACGTCTACATCATCCGGCTCGACGAAGATGCCTCCTCCGACCGCACTGCGACCTTCCTCGGCAACGTCACCGAGCAAATAGCCACCGTCTGCGCCGCCATTACCGCCGACCCCATCCTCTCCTCCGCGCCTGGCGTCAACGCCCTCGGCTTCTCGCAGGGCGGGCAATTCCTGCGCGGCCTAGTCGAGCGCTGCGGCGGTGCCAACGGCATCCAAGTGAGAAACCTCGTCACATTCGGCAGCCAACACAATGGCATCGCCAAGTACCAGCTCTGCAAGCCTACCGACTGGCTCTGCAAGGGCTACATCGGACTGCTTAAAGCAAATACCTGGGGCGCCTGGGTGCAAGGCCACCTCGTGCCGGCGCAGTACTTCAAAGCTGTTGATGAGGACACGGGCGAGCCGACAGACGAGTACCTCGCCAACAGCAACTTTCTCGCAGACATCAACAATGAGCGCGCGCTCAAGAATGTCACGTATGCGCAGAATCTCGCGCAGCTGGGTAATTTCGTCATGTATGTGTTTGAGAACGATACGACGGTTATCCCAAAGGAGACAGGGTGGTTTGCGCAGACGAATTTGACGAGTGGAGACGTGGTGGAGTTGAGGGATAGGGATATCTACAAGGAGGATTGGATTGGATTGAAGAAGTTGGATGAGAAGGGTGGACTTCACTTCAAGACCATAGAGGGCGAGCATATGACGCTTGGGGATAAGGTGTTGAAGGAGGTGTTTAAGGAGTGGTTTGCGCCACCGAAGGCGAGCTGGAAGAAGGTTGTGGAAGATGTGGTGCAGGAGGTTCTTGAGTTGTAGTTCTCCTTCGAACTTGATAATTGAAAGGTCGGTACTCCTTCAAATAACATTGCGTTAATACACATTGTAAAGTCGAATCCTGTGCACAGTGGCCTTCTGATCAGAACAAGCAACTACGTCGCATACCTCCTCCGTCAACCACCAACAAATCGCCCAAGTTCAGCCTCCCAGTCGTCGAGCTTTCGGAAGTAGTGCAGCTCGTCACCACAGAACCCTTCTTCCTCGGCTCCCTCACCGACTTCGACTGACCCATTCCGCTCGCACCATCCTCTGCAACTCCCTCGGTCGCAACAGCCTTGCTCTTAGTTCCAACTGCGTCCTCCGTCTCGTCAGTGTTCCCCTTCTCCGTCCATTCCCCAACGGCCAATACCGCATCCCGCAAACCCTGCACAACACCCCCAGTTTTACCATCCTCAGCCCACACAAGCAGCCGCTGTGAAAAGTCGACTCCCGCCATCGGGACTCTCAGCATCTTGAACGCATGTTCGGCTGAGGCTACGCGTTTTGCCTGTCTCAGTGCCACAAGATCTAGCGTAGCGATCACAACCTGCTCACCTGGATACCGTCGTTGTAATACCTTGGCCCTCGCACGTGCAGGCTGGTACTCAGTTTCCAGGGGCACAAATGGCATCTGCAGTCCTGCTGAGCCGAAAGAGTAGGAGTCGCGGATCAGGATGAGGCTGGACTGCAGCCAGGAGGATGCATAGCTGAGACTCGCAAATTCATCTAGCTGGGTGGCTTCGGTTGGTAGCTTATGAAGCTTGGAGAGGAAGGATCCTTGGGTGTTTAGGTCGGAGGCGAGGTGGACGAGGAAGCATTGCGTGGATGGGTTTGTGAGCGATTGGAGGAGTTTGTCGGACTCGGTCATGGAAGTGAAGATTAAGTCTATGGAGTGTTGGATGCGGGTTCTGGAAGAGTCTATCGTAGTAAGTATATGTGTTTATCATTTGGGTGTGTAGTTACTTACCTGGGTCGGAGCCTTTGACGAACGCGCTCTGTGCGATCACTGGATCGTTGAGCATGCTTTGTACTTCGCGTCCCCCCCTCCTTCCTATGCATATATATCTCTTGAACCGCTGCTGTTTGCTGACCTTGGTATCAGTAGCCTGGGGTTTTTGAGATTCGATCTTGCTCTTATTCTGTCCCAAGGACGCACACCACTCCTGGAGTAACTTCTTCGTCGCCTTACCCTCAGTCGTCTCGTTCTTGGCAGACATGATTTCGATGTGATGATCGCAACAGTTGCAGTACAGCGGATCAAAGCGGCTGCGGAAGTAGTCAGGGATTCGAGAGAACATGGCTTACACGGTGTCTCAACCTTCGATTTTATCTTAGAGAACATGCGAGGTGTGAGTGTCGACTCTTCTTTGCGAGGTGTGGTCTGCGATGTCTGACCCTGAACCCAGGAAGGTGACCAACCAGCATGCTAAGAACATCTTGCTCAGGGTCGTGTCTCACCGTCATCGAAGTCTGGCTGTCCTTGATCTTGACGTCTAATTTTGGTGTTCATGCCACACCATGTCTATAGGTGTCGTTCCTCCACCTCGAAAGGAGCAGTGTAGGCAACATCTAGTCTGCATATCCTGAATTCATGGTAAGAAGGGGTGATTGTAGCCTTCTAAAAGTCATTAGCCTTGGCGTTTGGAGACTGAAGTGTGTGCGAGAAGTCGCCAAGTTGCGCTCCAGTCACTATTGTGGTCTGTCTCAATCTCTAGATGTGTTCGAAGCTGGCGTGCGGTCTGTTCGAAAGTGTTTTGCGGGAGGCAAGAGCGAATGTCGAAGTCGGCGCGATCATCGAACAGAATGTATCATCGACAAGATTACAGGCTCAAAATCGACCCTGAACGCGCAGTGTACGACCTTTGCATCATGTGAAGACGGTAGTGACCACAGTAAGTGCTACACAGGTGACGCGAGCTCGTCAACCTCAAACAACTGACACGTACATATACCGAGACATCCTGCAATTCAATTATCCGCAGACTGCGAATGATTCATCCTCGCTGCGTTGTGCAAGCGGTAGACGACGCCGGAGCCGAGGGTGGTGAGCGCTCAGGGTGAAGCGTTTGTTTGCTGGCTACTCTTGACTTTGTCGTAGGTGTCGCAGTGTCGCTAACAACAGTCTGGAGTTGTCATTCAAGAGCAGTCGTTATTGTCGTCTCCAAGACCAACGACACTAGCAGCCACCTTCACTTACTTCCTTCCACGCTCGTTTGTTTACCGCCCCACTAGTGCCGACCGCAACTTCACTCCACAGTGCTGCGCATCCACCTTCTCCTCTCCAGATTCACACTCGCTCACGGTCAATCGACTTTCACACTCCTTTTCAACCCCAGCTACCTACAATATCCGCTCGACTTCTTGGTCACTTGGAAACCCTCGAATCCCGAACAACTCGACAACGAACGTTCGCAGAACAAACAACATGAAGATCACGATCATGCCGTACGCTCTCGCCCTCAGCGCCGCCGTGTCCGCCATTTCAGCTGCGCAGGCTGCGCCAGAACTGGTTGTTCGCGATACGCCCCAGGGCACTATCGACTGTAACTACTGCACCGGCATGCTCGACTTCTGCTTCAAGGTGAGCCACCACACATTCAAGTTGACGTGAAGTTGCGGCACTGATGATGATGCAGAACGGTCACACCCAGGGTCAAGAGGGTTGCAAGCAGACCTGCCGTGAGCACGTGTGCCACCGCACGCCAGAGGTGAATTCAAGGTGTTTGGATCATCGAAATTTTACTGACGTGACTGCAGTGTAAGAAGTGTCACGGCGAGTTCAATCGGTGCCCTGAAAAGTCCCGCTACCACCACTAGTCTCAGATGATGGCGTCTTCTTTCATCTTGACAACGTTCATCTGGAAGGGTTCGTTGACACTTGGAGGTTATGTTAGGTACATGGATGCAAATCTAGGATAGCGAATGCACGATGTTCAACAAACTCTTGATTTCCAAAAACGAAGGCTGGAACTCTTCAGCGCAAATTTTGTGTTTGTCTGATGTAGCCACGATATCTTGTAGTCTTGAGTTTAGCTTTTGGCTAACCTAAACAGAGCCTAAGTGCATCTGCGATCTTTTACGCTCGGATATGGCTCTGGTGATGCTTGTGTATGTTATTATCTCTTCGACCCTCAAAATCTTCCCACATCCACAAGTAGAGCTCTGTGGTGTAAACGCACCCTGATGTCGCAATGACTGATTGCGACATACGTTCCGCTTGGTTGTTCATGCTCGAGCCTAACTTGACAATTTTGTAGAGGATATATCTAATGCCCGGCGCAAAGTACCAGAATATATACAATGCGTAAGCATCTTCGGCGCGATCTCCGCTCACAGATGTCGTACGGATGCCTTTGGGCTCATCATTCACGAAATGGTACACGGCAGGAAACTGTCGGTTGATGTTGAAGGTTGAGTAGTACTGCAGTACTAGCGTAGAAGCAAACGTGTCCAGCCAGACCGGTAGGTAACCTAGTAGCCAGGATATGGATACAAGCATAGCGTAAGCCCCAAGTATGACAGGCATAATGTAAGCCCCGAGTAAGCCTGTCTTGTAGCGTCACAGGAGCCCGTAAATTGGGAGGTCGCGTGTACGAGATGAACCCGCGATGAGGTCGAGTGTCGTGAAAAAAAAAAAGAAAATGGTCCAGACCACAGATCGCGGTAGCAGACGTGACCTATATTTCCAGAAGTGGTCTTTGGCGGTTTACGTCCAACGAGTAGGAAGTAGCTGAAGGGGAATGTGTATGCAAACGATAAGCACACCCAGCTGAGATATCTTGAATGCTCGGGTACCAGCCAGAGTCATCGTAGAAGAGCTAGCATCGGTGGTGGAAATAGGCAACCCCATGCCTGACAGCGACGCTGTATCTAGAGCAAGACGTCTTGAGCAGAGATATATTGTCAGAACAACCTGGATCAAGTGCGCCAAACACAGCAATATGCTTGTAGTGCGCCCGCAGCATGTCTTTCGTGTAGTGCTGTGCGTGTCGCGATGGACTTCGAACTCTACCGTAGGCCCTCTGAGCATTTCCTGATAACGGAAACTGTTGATTCTACAAGCGCTATCTTTTTTGGAGGATCAGGTATAGCCTGGTAAGCTTTTAAAGGGCCTCTACTGGCCTAGTTCTGCAGAAAAGGAAGGTCTAATCGAATAGTGAAGTGCGTATCTTGGTGATGAGATTTTTGATGTCGTAGCAAGAGATCAGCAGCCACGCGAGGATGACGATTGCCGTCCATGTGGGGTGTATTGCAGCCCCCATGATGAAGAATGACTTTTGCATCTTTGGCATGTTAAGAGCCGTTGCGAATTCAGAGGCCAGGACCAAGGTGCTTATGTAGACGGCGAGTGATTTCATCACAATGTAGGCGTTATGTGCACAGTCACGACTTGGCGAAGTCGAGGCGAAGTACGCCTGCAGGCTGACTGCGCTTAAGCATCCAAAACCTGGAGCATCTCGGCTACACTTGCAAACTTCTCTCTTTTTTTGCCCTTCTCCCTCCCACGTGCTCTTTCTGCTTCATCGATTCTCTTCCAGTCATTCCAGCTGAGCGGTCGTACGCCTTTCGCCTCTACTTCAGCCTTGACACCATCCCACCCTAGGTGTGTGCTCTTGTCTTCCCCATGAGCATCATTCAGGAACTTTGCGTTGTTCTCCCAATCGTACGCAATGACGTCCGCAGATGTGAAAGCATCTTGCATAGTACTAGCAATGACCCCAGTGGGACCTCTCTTTACCCATCCTGCACAGTACAAGCCAGAGATATGACCAGCTGTCAAACTGCCAGGGCCAGCATCTGGAGATATAACTCGTCCATGGACATCATTTGGTATGATGCCCAGTTTCGAGTCGAAAGGCACGCCTAGGTCGGACAGACCACGGAGAGCAGTCGATTTATAGCCCACAGAACGGAAGGCGAGGGACGCAGGAACTGTGATGTCATCCTCAGTCGGTTGTACGCGTGCAGAGGGATCCAGTGGGTCAGCATCCGGTACAAACTGCTGCTTCCTGAAGGTCATCGACGATAGATGATTTGATCCTTGCTCGGCATTCATGGAAGTAGGTGCTCTCAGGAAATCAAGAGTCCATGACCGTTCGACCTCCTCTGGTGTAGCTGTGCTACCTTTCAGCAGGACTTCAGCGGTGCGCTTTTGAACTCGGGGCAGCTTCTTGATTTCTATTGGGTAGAAGGATCGATCGATATCGTGAAAGGCAATGGATGGAATCTTCATCAGCTCGCGAGCTTCTTTGACTGTGAAGGCAACCTTGTAAACAATCAGTACAAATCCCCATGATGCTAGGCTGTACTCTTACCTGTAGCGGGCCACGTCTACCCACCACCCTGACATGCTTGATCTTGCTCTCTGACAGGGCTTGAATAGCTTGCTCGGTGATGTCTGTCTTCTTGAGATGATCAAGAGGTGCAAGAAGGATGCGTGCAACATCCAACGCTACGTTTCCCTGCCCAACAACCACAGCGTGCTCTCCGCTCTGCAGGTCTGGCTTCAAGTTATGAAACTGCGGCAGCCCATTGTACCATCCCACAAACGCTCTCGCCGAGAATACGCCCTCGAGATCTTCCCCTGGTATCCCCAACCTTCTGTCCTCATCCGCGCCATATGAGAACAGCATGGCATCATAATGTGGTTTGAGCTTTGCTAGCTCGATGTGGTGGCCTACGCGCACATTGCCAATGTAGTTGAAACGCGGCGACTGCGCTACTTCTTCGAACGTATCCTGGCAGTTCTTGACTTCTGGGTGATCCGGTGCTACTCCAAACCGTACAAGACCATATGGTACAGGCAGCTGTTCGTACATGTCGATGACGGCATCTTGTACTTTGTGCAGGAGGCGATGGGCTGTGTAGAAGCCGGCTGGCCCGGATCCTATGATGGCTATGCGCAAGCCTTTTCGTGGAGGTACAGCGGTGCTGTATGCGTTGTGAGGGGCGGGTAAGAGAGTTGTTGCCAACTTGGTGGTAGTTTTCAACGGTCGTGACGGTGTCGCAGCGACGCTACTATAGCTTCGTGATGGCTGAGGGGAGCCATTATCACGTGTTGCGCACGCAGATCGAGCTGTTATGCGTCGAGTGCAGCTGATGCAGACATATGGCGGCGGAAGCAGGCGTTTCATGGGTATCATCCTGCGTAGGGTCAGATGCCTGGGCGATGTCATCAACCGGACAACTTCAACGGATGACTAAGAACGCGCCGAACCTCAATGTCGACTTCGATGCATTGATTGAACTAATATCCACTTCAATCACATTCACACCAGAGACATCTGAGCCACTTCAGTTCTTGACTTGAGTCACACTCGTCTCGATTTGTCAAGCTGAGGTCGAGCCTCGGCCTGTTCGCGCGTCGAACGACCGACAAACATGGAATTCGCCTGGACATGCGCTCTCTAAGGCACGAGTATCGCCGGCGCCCCACATGTTCCTGGAGCGCTAGAACTCAAAAGCGTTGAAGCGATTTGGGCCAATGCAGGAACACGCCCGTCCTATCCGCGAATCAGTACGTCATGGGCAAACCGGCACGGGAAGTTCGCAGCCAACCGTTGTCCTGGCAACGATGTATTTACTACATAGCTCCCCAGATCCTCGCGCAACCCATGTGTTCATCGCAAGCATTCCTGTGCTAAGCGAACGCTCTCACCTTCCTTTCCGAAGGTCGCGTAAGGAAGGCCATCATTCCTTGCCTGCCTGAGTCGCCATCATGGGCCGCTGGCAGCCCTACCTCTACTCGGCGCCGGAGAGGCAGTCGATGAACGACGTCCCGAACGAATTCAACCCCAAGGCGGTGACCATGGCCAGTCGCACGCCGCCCTCGCCCCCGAAGAAGAAGCAGGATGGTCCCTTGGTCAATTTCAACAAGCATCCGGATAGCTACCTTATCTTACCATATGGTAAGACCGACGCCAAGCCCATGAGCCCAAAGACCAAGCTGTGGATCAAGATTGCGCGATGGACACAGCTCTTCTTCCGTGTGTGCAGTCTCTTGGGCGCCGTGGGACTGCTACTCTGTGGCATTTTTATTCGCGGTGCGCAGGACACTGAAGGATGGATCATGAGGATCCCGGTATGTGAAAGTATTGGACATGAGAGAGGGCAAAAGACTGACCAGTATAGCCCGGTGTCGATATTGTAGTATGTCTGTATGCCATCTACCACCTCATTCGTAGTCCCACGTCGCGACCTCCGGCTAGCTCAGCCAGCTACCACTTCTTCGCCTTGGTCACCGATGCCGGCTTCATCCCGTTCTACGTCTACACTCTGCTTCTTTCGCACCGGAATGCCGATATGGAAGCTGGAACTGTGGGACGCTGGAGGACTTTGTTCCCAACTGACGACAAGACGAACAAGATCCTCCTCACAACATGGCTCACTGCGACAACTGCCGCAGGTATCCATCTGCTCTCGGTGCTTATCGACATGTATCTCGTCATTGTCTTCAGGAGGATCACGAAGCTACCACCTGATATGAACCCTCTTGAAGACAACTTGACTCGCAGAAAGTCGAAGCACAAGCATAAGAACTCGTCGATCTCCGCTATCACACCTTTCCTTGACAATGAGAAGCGCTTCAGTGCCCAAAGCACAACTTCTGTTGACAGGAACTCTCAATCTGACCCACTGCTTTCGCAGGACGTCTCGAGTCCCACTAAGACACAAATGGCTTTCATGCATACTCGTACCAACTCGGAAACAGCCTATTCGCCGCACACTCCTCGGTCAGCTCGCCAGTTTCGAACAAGCATGGCTCACCGTGATGATCTCTATCGCCAGGATGATAACGTTGACAATGAGACCTTAGCTCAACGTAAATCTTTCCTTGTCCAGCAAGCAAACATGCAGCGACACGACAGGAATAACTCTTACGTCACATCCTCGTCCAAGCAGGACTTCTACACGCCTCCTACCACTGCCTGTAACGATAAACCCACTGCTACCGGTGACATCGCTCTTGAGAAGAGTAGCCGTGAAGATTTGCAGAACGACAACTGGTTCGTTCATCCTGATGATAATGATGAGCAGGGCAACGACACCCGCTATCTGGCACCAAAGCAGTCTACTTTTGGCCAGAAGAAGGGCTACACTACGGTTTCTTCATACGATGTCTCAGATTTTGAGGATGAGGTTGACCGACCGATGATCCCTCAACCTTTGCGCATGAACCCACCGACTCCTCAACCTACTCCTCCGCCGATCCCCAACTTCGATACCAAGAAGAACACACCGCCTCCTTCGAGTCTCAAGCGCACGCAGACAACAACTTCAATCTCCACAGAGGCCACCTTCAGCCGCTCCCACTCACGTGGCAGCACACCAAAGTCGCGATACTATGGTGACCTTAAGGCTGCAGCGCACGGCATCAGGAATGGTGACTCGGCTTCAAACTCTCCTGCCACCTCGCCAAAGAAGGGTTCGTTCAAGAACCAGCCCGACCATCTCCCGAGTGCGACCGCACAGTACACAATCAACTCTTCGCCCGTCAAGAACATCCTGGCGCAGAATGCACCCTTCAGCTTGGACAAGAAGTCATATACGAGTGTGCGCAAGACTGGCGAATTCAACCACACACCCGTGAAGGCTGTTTCGCCGCGTGTTGTTAGCAGGTCCGGCATCGACTACGTCAACCCCTATGAGTTCGACGACTCAGATCTTGGTACACCAGGCCGCAGACGTGACGTGAGCGGGAAGATCGCAGAGGAGGGCCGTGGTGGAGCATGGAACGACCATGGATTGACCCACCGCAAAGCCAGCGGTGTCGGTTACGCTTTCTGAATGCGTGTACCTTTGTTTGCAACAGGCGTTGTGGGAGTGTTCTTGTGTGATTTGACGGACTGCACGTTTTTGAGATACCTCAGTAGGTACAGATGGATTGAATACGAAGGACGTTTGTACATGATATCAGGATTTACATAGCGCCGCAGCAAGCGAAACTTGACGAATGCATCTGTTGCTCAAGCAGAGACTTCGGCTCTTTACAATTGACAATGTGACCCAACTTCGTGGTACATGGAAGCGCAAAAAACCCTTAAAACTCTGTCATAGTCAATCAGCAGGCAACACAATTCCACAATGCCAACCTCTAAACCCTCCTCATACACTATCCATTCGTGCAAGCTGCTGCGTTTGCGTGTTCAATACGGTGGTTGCCGGCTGCCTGGAGTATTTAGAAACGCGTGTGTGGAGCATCGTTAATTGATTGCGTCTGTAAATCACGCACAAACGAACCGGAGAACAACGCAAGACAAGCAGCTCTTTCTGTTTGACGCTCTCTGTCATGCAGCAACCTGCAGGAGCGGCACATCACAGATGCCTGGAAAACTCTTACGAACCGTCGCGGCGGCTGCATTGCATGAGCTTAGCCAGGCATCTGGCCAAATCACTTGCTCGCGCGTGCACCCGCGCCGGGAGCTCGCCACCGCTAAGCACGCGCGTTCTGGGGCACTCGTGATCGCGCGGCATCCTTCAGGCATACTCGAGGTCGAGAACCACCCTTCTCCCCTTCACCTGTACGCGACGCGCCACTGGATCCCCCTGAGTGCTCTGCGCTCTTGTGTTCTCTGTTCTGCCTCTCTGTCCGGTTGTTTGAGGCTCGGTCCTCTCTAGGGTGACGCGAACGGCTGTCTTAACTCATCAGCACGCGCCCAAGCCTTCGAGAACACGCCCGTGGACCAACCCTCCCAATCAATCACCCCGCCATCAGGGTATCTGGTCCTTGTCTACATATACTGCTCAGCTATTCCATTGTTTCTTATTGATTCTTGGACCTGGATCAAGTTGTATCTTGCAATCTACACGTTGGGACCTTACCCCGCCGCCACGATGCGTAAGTCGCGTCTCTAGCACGATCGCGATGAGCGTCCACTTACGACATGCATCACAGAGACCGAAATTGCCCACCCCATAGATCTTACTACGCCACGTAGATTGGATGTGCCAGAATCACAGGAGAGCGTAGTATCTACGATCTCTAGCACTTTCTCTGCACCAGCTCTAGCCTCGACCTCGAGTAACTTATCCTCGGATCAAGATGAAGCCTCACCGTCCGAGCCCTGTGGCCCTGCAGGTCACAGTAAACCGACACAAGTCCCAATGCCAGCCTCTACAAGTCGCGCCCATAATCAAGCCGCCAAAACAGATGTGCGACAGATCGACATAGCCGCTGCGAACGCGCCGCAAACCGGTCACACAACAGCAACTCCCATGCCGCTAGTTTCGCCCACCACTCAGGGCTTCAAGAGGAGTGCAGATGGATCAGTGAAGGGTGATGGATCGACAACAAGTCCAACAGAAAAGACCTCTGCACACAAGCGGAACAAGAGCATGGATACACACTCGAGCACTCGAATTGGGGAGGTGCGTGGCCATCTTCCAAGGCATGAACTATATGCGGCTAACGCGCATGCAGCTATCCGCCCAACTGAAGACTCGTCTCTCGTATGCCATGGTGAAAGTACAGAACGGCTGGGAGAAGCAGTCGCTTGACGAATTAGAAGAAGTCCAATCACAGCGCGGATCGCCCAACTCTGCACCTGGTGGCTCTCGAGTCACGTTTGACTCACCTTCCACCACGGACTATCGACGGAGACCAAGTGCAATCTCTGACAGCTCCGATCAAGTGATGGTGTCTCCAACCTCCGACTCTGTGCGGTCACATGCTCTCAATACAAGTCAGTACTACAACTCTACTGTGAGATCATAGTGTTGACAATTCTTAGCATATTGGCGATCGACCAACAAGCCAGCGACGAACGCTGCTGCTAACCTCATATCCATCACAGGCGGAAACGTAGGGCTTGGGCTCGCTCCAGCCCCTGAGTTTGAGTCTGCAAGGAGGCGTAGATCGAGTACTACACATCCACCCCCATCATTGCTAGGATCAGCGCAAAGAAAGCACCACAGTGATGTAGGCGCCGGTCAAAGAGCACCAACCACACCTCGAGCGGGCATCCTTCGCATGCCCAGTCAGCAAGCGGAGAAGGACGCTGTCGACACATTACTGTTTATGAGCAGCCCAAAGAACGCGCAATACTTCCCCCACACCAGTCAGGCCGGACACAGCTCGCTGCGAGAAGGAGCACCTCAACGGCGTGTTATGTTCGAAGCATATCCACCTCAAGATAGGCGGATGGTCTATCAGCCGCCCATGCCTACCTCAAGTCACTACTCAGCCGGACCATATGCTCCGCAGCCGGCACGGTAACTGACAGGAAAACTCATCCTACACTTCCTAGGATCTTTCAACACCCTCATCTCTAAGGCTCGGCGGACGCATTGCATTGTCGGCGTTGTGGTGCGGTGATACCCACTTGCTTTGTTGCATTGAAGGCATATTCTTACCTCATCATATCAGGAAGACTGTGAAAGTCACTTCTTTTGCAATTGTTGTCCTTTATCAGAGACATACTGGCCATTGAGCCCTGCATTGTTATTTATCATACTTTTGAGCCCAATGGGCCTGCCTGTGAATCTAGCGAGCATTCTTAGGAGTAACAACGACCATTAACGACAATATGAAACCATACCTTGACAATGCTTGTGCTACGAGAACCATGGTGACCTGAACTTTGGCAATACGAATGCTTCGCCGAATCTACTCCGATCTTGCGGCCGAGAGATGAGCTGCAGATCCTCGACACAACATTCTTAACCTGTAGTCGTACCCTGGAGTACCCTCTGAATGTCGCTGGTGGTCTACAACTCAATTGCAAATAGCACTGCGTCACAGAGCTCTACATTGACAGTTTGAGCAGCTCCTACCATGTCCCACTTGCGATTCCAGGCCAAGACACCAGAGCCGTTGCCCAGATATTTCAAGAGCCTCAACTTGATTTCTGTACATCAATAAGCCAATTCGGGACTTCATATCAATCCCACTTCTCGATCGGTGTTCCTGCATGCCCCTCCACCCGGGGTCGTGCGGGATGTCCGTAACAAATATGACCTCATCCTTGCTGCGTGGGTCCAGCAACAACCAAATCAGCGGATCGGCTGAGCCCACCAACGCTCCAGCTTCGCGTGCACCCCTTAGTCATGATGTCGAAACATTTAAATACTCCAGAGTCCCACCTAGCCTTCCCCATTGACCCTTTTGCTCTCCATCCTTTCCCCAGAACCTCGCATTTCGTTTTGACGCGCCTGACGTGCAGGTGAGCTCACGCGAATTCAAGGGAGCTTCAGCACCAACCACCACCGACCTCTGATCTCGACAATCGATAAGCTTTTCGCCGACAGAAGGAGAGAGCAGCAACCATGTCGGTCTCTGCAGCGCTGAAGGCTAGGGTCAGGAGACCTAGTTATCTGAAGAAGATTGCGAAAGCGGAGGATCTGATTCACCACTTTCCCAATGATGCATACATTGGCTGGTCTGGATTCACAGGTGTCGGCTACCCAAAGTGAGTGGAGCTCCCTTTCGTTTCGGCAAGTCTGTTCGAAAGGACATGAGATTTCAATTGGAAGAGATGGATTGTCTGGAGCTTGGTTTGTAGAGATGTGACGTGGAATGGTGTCGAGAGTATGCCGAGGGGGAGCGGAAGTTTGAAGGCAGGCAGAATCGCCGAGACATCTCCGACTCCACCATCTTGAGTTGAGAAGTTTAGTGACTTGGCAATCTTATATGCAGCATTTGAAGGTTTCACTTCGAGACTAACAATTCTTGTTCAGGAAGATCCCAATTGCCCTCGCAGAACATGTCGAGAAAAACAACCTCCAGGGCAAACTCAAGTACAATCTGTTCGTCGGTGCATCGTCTGGCGCAGAGACTGAGAACCGATGGGCGAGAAACAACATGATCAACCGCCGATCGCCGCATCAAGTCGGCAAGGACATCGCCAAGGGGATCAACAACGGCAACATCAAGTTTTGGGACAAGCATCTGAGTATGTTCCCTGTGGACCTGATGTACGGATTCTACACCCTCGACAAGCCACAGAACCGTCTGGACGTCACCATTGTGGAAGCATCTGCGATCACAGAAGATGGTGGTATCATTCCCGGTGCATCAGTAGGCGCAACACCCGAACTCGTTCAGATGGCCGACAAGATCATCATTGAAGTAAACACCGCCAGTCCCAACTACGAGGGTCTTCACGACATCACAATGACAGATCTGCCACCTCGCCGAAAGCCGTACCTTGTCATGTCTCCCGAGGACCGTATTGGTACACCTCACGTCCCAGTTGACCCTGAGAAGGTTGTTGCCATCGTCGAGAGTGACTACGCCGATCAAACGCAGCCCAACACTCCTGCGGATGCCACCTCGAAGGCCATTGCTGGTAACCTCATCGAGTTCTTGGAGCACGAGGTCAACAAGGGACGACTACCCGCGAACCTTCTCCCTCTCCAGTCCGGCATTGGTAACATTGCGAACGCCGTCGTTGAGGGTCTTGCGACCGGAGGTGCCAATTTCAAGAACCTGAAGGTCTGGACTGAGGTCTTGCAAGACTCTTTCCTTGATCTGTTCGACTCTGGCAATCTTGACTTCGCTACTGCGACATCGATCCGTTTCTCGCCTGAGGGATTCGAGCGTTTCTACAAGGGCTGGGAGGACTATGCACCAAAGCTACTACTCCGTTCGCAGCAGGTCTCGAACTCGCCTGAGATCATTCGCCGTCTTGGTGTGATTGGGTAAGCCTCCGTTTGCTTAAGAACATTTGCAACTGTGCTAACTTCACTCTAGTATGAACACCCCCGTCGAAGTCGACATCTACGCCCACGCCAACTCGACCTGCGTCATGGGCTCCCGCATCCTAAACGGTCTCGGCGGCTCAGCCGACTTCCTCCGCTCCGCCAAATACTCCATCATGCACACACCCTCCACACGCCCGTCCAAGAACGACCCTACCGGAGTATCCTGCATCGTGCCTAAGGTAACGCACGTCGACCAGACCGAGCACGATCTCGACGTCATCGTCACCGAGCAGGGTCTCGCCGACGTCCGCGGCATGTCTCCCCGCGAGCGCGCCAGAGTCATCATCAACAAGTGCGCGCACCCTGACTACAAGCCGATCCTTCAGGACTACTTTGATAAGGCGGAGTTCGAGTGTCTGAGGAAGGGATGGGGTCACCAGCCGCACTTGCTGTGGAATGCGTACGATATGCACAAGCACTTGAATGAGCATGGTACTATGAAGTTGCCGAAGTGGGATTACACAGATGCTGAGGCTGGTATGCGATAAACGGCGAAGGGTGGATATCAATAGTACTGTAACAAACCGAAGGAACAAGTTAAGAATTCAAGATGTGAGCTCTCTAAAGACTGTGGATAATGTGATGGTAGTATGAACATCCCTTCTTAATAGGATGTTGTCTCTGGAGACGTTCAGAACACTAAGCGAATTCAAGCTGGCAACTAAGTCGCCGCTGGCGGTGGTTACTTTACCTCGCCGCATTTCCTATATCCATGCAACAACCTTAGGAGGGCGTCGCATTGAGATCCACGACTCCCGAGCAGTTAAGACGGCCGTCAGATGCCTCCAAAGAGGGCGATCTCTACCTCCCAACCCCCAGTGCAAGGTGCAAAAATAACGTAGGGGTCGAACACGGAAATGGTCCACGCAGAAAAGTGACCAATGTCGTTGTGCATTTCCGGTGTAGGGCGCGACGAGAGCAAAAAAGAAGCGACCGATGTGGGACTCGAACCCACAGCCTCAGCCTTAGGAGGGCTGCGCGCTACCATTGCGCCAACCGGCCGGGTCTACTATTGAAGTATGCAGATCTTTTTATGGCAACATTAATATAGTCATTTAAATATATGTCGCTCTAAAGCTTTGCAACAATCAGAAGCTGTCTGCTCTTGCAGTGCTGTGAGTGAGGCGTTTGATGTTCGGCGAACTATTCAACCCACACGGCTACGGGGTTTGCGACGATCGGTTGCGGCTGATGATCGAAGTTGCTTACAAATCTGCCCTTGCGCCGTTAGAGCGAGCTTTGTAAAACGCAATGAAAAACGACAGCTGAGCGCAAAGTATGAGACCGAGAGGAAAGAGCGTTGCTAATGAGTGGATGTGGGAAGTGTTCAACGGGAGGCCACATTTGCGATCTGTAGGAGAAACACGCTAGCTACGTCACGCGCTTGAGACGCAACTTCTTTCGAGCACAACACTCTTGCAACCAGACGACAATCGGACTTCTCAACTTTGGCCCTTCGAACGTCGACGTGTCCAAGCTAGGAGCGATACGCTCAGCTCACGTACAGTATGTTCGCAACTTGTAGCCTCCACAGCACACGTTGTCCGCGTCGTACACCACGATCATGGCCTTGAGGTGTCGTTTGAGCTATGCTGGCAGTCAAGCTCTGTATCCAGAGGCTTGTCATGTCTTCTATCTAAACGCACGCCAGTTTTCGCCTTCCACATACCATCAATCTCGAAGCACGAACATCACACTCCTCAGAGGCTAAACAATGACTTTTCATGCTCACTGTTGCTGTCGTCCTGATTATCATATACACAGGATGGGTGCTGAGCATCGTTATGGCATGTCTTATCGATCGCCATGGGCCACCGGAGTATCAGCCTGAGCGGGGGATCGACTAGCCGGATCGGCATTCGAACTACGCAGACGACCGTCATAAGGGCATTTGATGCAGGCGTAGCTTTCATGCGAAACACCCGTTTGAAAAGGCTGGTACTGAGACTGCTACAAATCAATGGACCATTGAAGTAATTAGTTGATCGTATTGCGTTGGCGAAAATACCACGGACTTCTCGCCTATATCAACAACTCCCGGCTCATACACCTTGGTCTGTGAACCATCTTCAGCAAGCACATCCATTTCTAGTCTACGATTGATTGATCGTTACACTCACTCAAGACATACTCGCAGTTTTGCTTCAATGGATCCGCGTCATCCCATTGTCATTTATTTTATCGTATCGTGCAGCATTCTCACAGTCGGCGCGGCGCTTGCTGGATTCTGGATGTGCATTATCGGATGCCGGTCAAGATCACAGCGCCCAACTACTCGACACCGAAGATGGTATGGGCGTCCGGTCACCAATCCAGACAATGACCAACCTTCGGATTTACTATACGGTTACCCTCGTTCTTACTATACAAGGACACAACTGGAGCAGCTTGACAGATTGAGGAGAGACCAGGCAGACACACGCTCGAGAGAGGCACGGCCTCATGATTCGTATAACCCCAGATACATGTATACATGCGACTGTGTGGATGGTTGGATGGGTGATGGCGGGGAATGTCCGCACTGCTGACCATATCCTTCGCAACACTGACTTTTCATGTCAGAGAAGCACAAGGGGTTCGGTGACTTATTATTCCATCAGTTCAAAGCACGGGGAGTGTTCTTTCGGCATCAGGTAGACGGTCTAGACCGTAGATTAATCTTGTTCATCCAGGATGGAACATAACATTTCCTCATTTGATCGTGTGCCAGGGCTTCTCGACTTCCATTTCCGAAATGATTGAAACAAAACCGTAGCGTAGCTTGCTTACCTTAAGAATTCGAATATTGCTTCTGACGCACAAGCCAGGCGATGCGGTGGATTGCATGCACTCTTTGTCTCACTCACAAGCATGACAAACTTGCGTTGTGACCTTCTCAGTACAAGAGATGTATCATCACAGGTGTTCAATTGATTATCCTCTCTCAATTAAGTATACCCAAATGACGGATATCTCGGCTACTTTTCAAACACCATGGCATACATTCAACTCATTAGTTCCTTCATGATACTGTTCCATCTCCAACTCTTGGTCGCCATCGACTTAGGTTGTCGCCTACTCTACGATTGCGAAACGTGGTGTGAGGGAAAAGTAAACGAAACTTGGACCAATCAGCTCAGAGCATCAGACGTGCTGTGTGTGCTCTCGAACACAGGGCACGAGATGCAAACTGGCCAGTTCGCACAGTCTGCAAATGGAGTGCACAACAGTAAAGACATAAGTTTCAAATCAAAATCAGCGAGAAGTTCCGGATGTTTGACCAAACGCAGGCACCCTTTGTCTTGTCGACACACATGCAACAAATTCAACACACCCTCGTCAGCACAAGACATGTGTATTAGCTGCAATCAATATCAACCATCTGCTACACAAGATCATACCAAGGCAACGGATCCCTTGTTTACCTTTGAACCACCATGTCATACTTTCAACTTTTCCTCTTCTGGATTGTCTTGACTCATGTCAAGATCTTGCTAGCCATCGAGTTCTGGCGTTCGCTGCTTTGCGATCGAGAAGCGCACCGATGCGGAAGAATGAAGGACATGGAAAGAAGATGGTTCGGCGCTGCGCTCTAAGAACAAGGGACTCTGGGCAAAGCCGTTTAAAATGCAGTCTGTCCAGTTGACATGGCAAATACGTGGTATGTGCTGCCGGGTGAAACCATTTCGGAGATATTGTCCGCAAAGTCGAGAAGTTGACATGCGTCTGATCATCTCCACAAAGCGACATTGAGAGGGAGATGTGATGTAGCTATCGTGAGAAAATCGAGACAGCGTTTGTGTATCTTGGACCACATCATCTTGACACGACAAACGATGCTGTTCGTTTGATCAATGCCAGCATAAATGCCACAAAATCGATCCTATACCTTTCACGTTCCCACAACACCCATCCTTGCTTTTCTCCAGAGCTCGTCAATGCAAAGACCATGTCAGAGGTTCCGTTGGTATGGATACTGCTGGGAGGACTAGCCGTGTAGCTTGTGCTCATACAAATTCTGTCGTGGCTAAGATACATCAAAGTAAGGCCGAATTGTCTTGATGACTACGATTCTGAGGAGAAGGGTACGGCTGTGACCGAGATGAATTTAGACGAATGACTGGTTCGGTGTTGGTAGTACTTTGCACCTGGAACGCATCAGTAGCGTTGTGTAGGAAGGATCTGCTGTGGCTGGTGATGCTCGCCATTGTGAGTTGTACCGTAAATGGGTTTAGTATACGTAAGCAATGAATAGTTGTCACTCGATTCCTGCACTTACGGCCGGTCAGTAGAAGATGTTATACGTCCCATTCGCACACCACTCTTGCACTGCTTCCCTTCAGCTTCTTACAGCGCCAAGATGGCAACCTACTGGACTGATCACAAGCATGAGATCATAGTATGGAGTATCGTTGGCGTCCTGCTGTTGGTGTTCCTCTTCTGGTGCTTTCATTCAAAACCCATCATCAACATACAGCCGGAAACCCCAGCGCTACGACCTCAGCAACACCCTGCTAGAGATGACATCGAGCTTGCGTCTCCTCCACGAGCCTTCCTCCCTGCACCATTGTATGGAGAACACGAACGTGACATTTGGGTGCCGGACTACATAGAACTACAGAAGCGTGATGGATTTTTGTACCCAAGCAACTGGAGGAAAGAAGACATGTAGCTAATAATGACATCCAGAGGTAGCTTTCCGTTGCTGCTGCTAGATCGCACTGTGGTGGCTGTTTGCTTCGCGATGACGCTTTGTGATGGGCTGTGAATATGCAGTGAGTGCGACATGTCAGAGTCGCAGTGTGAAGACCTCCAGGCCCGTAAATAAGGCTACAATGACCCATAGCTTATCCACTCTTTAAAGCAACCCCCCTATCAACATAATGTTCGGCATGGACACAATCTTGTACATCGCCGTCCTTTATGGCATCTTCCTCGCCATACCACTGCTCTTCTTCATCCTCTACATCATCTTCAAGACTTCAGAATGCGAAAGGGAGGAGATTTTCAAGGAAGGAATGAAGAGGAAAGCGAGGGAGCTGGATTGGGAAAAGAAAAATGCCGTCAAGAGCGAGACGATGCCGATGTCTGCTATGTAAACTTGCCGTGCCTTGCGATAGCTGGAGAGTACAGTCTTTCACTGATACATCATCTTCCTGGAGAAGATTACTCAGAGGTTTACCTATCGGGCCGTCATTGCAACTGCACTGTCGAGATATGTTGCTGTGCAGGTCTTCAGAGTGTTTTAAAAACCACAAGCTGCTTTGCGAACACCCTCACGTTGTCGATATTGCGCAGAAGTACAACTGCGTCCCTGCTGCAGGCAGCAAATGCTTGTACTGCGAATCCTTCGACATTGCGTGATGCGCACGATTGGGTGCTACCTGGCGATCGTTCCATTATTTCTGTGGTGCAGCGTCACACCCGCCGCGGCCGCCGAGCCCGTTTTGCGTGGTTGCAACGTGCGACAGACCCAGAGTAACATCTTCACCTGATGGGCGAGCTTGTCAATTCAGATGTCTGAGGTTGTAGCCAGCGGATTGTGATGCCTGCAAACGGCTCCATATGCAGCGAGCCGTCTTAGCCGGGAGATCCATGCTAACTGTGTGTGGCTTAGATCTGCGCGACGCGCGTCCTGGCGTGGACGTCACGTCATACCAGGCAAGATCAATGTGGTCGAGCATGCTGCGAAACGAGGGTTGCAGGCAGTTGTTTGTGAGGCTTTATTGTTGCGGAAGGGTCGATGCGGACTGTAGCAATGTCAAAAGTGGTCAATGTCAGCTCAGTCTATGGCAATTGCAAGGGTACTCATCGCAGGCAACCGTAGCTACCTGTCATTCCGGGTAAAGCAGGGGAAGCAGAGCTCCGGCAAGCTTGGATGATGTGACAGGTCGAATGAAGTGAAGGCAGGAAGTCAAGTAAAGACAAGTGGAAGTCAAATCGAACCGCAAACCAAGCAACCACGTTCACAGCATGAGAATAGACAGTTTGGAGTTTGTAAGCTATCATTATAGCCATGAATACATTCCGTGAAATTCGTATTACAAAAGTATGATCGACGTGACCGAGGTATCCCAACACCGTGTATCATTCCGTATCCGACAGTGCCCGTCTCGAATTGAGACAAAGCATGGTATTATCCATTCGAAAGAGCCATTGTTGAACTTTTGAGATGGTTATCGACTCAAAGTCGAGAGGGTGAGCCGCTTACAACAGACCGGCAGCGAGGAAGAGACCACCAGCAAGAGCACCCATAGCGACGGGAGCGGCGGTGGGGGCAGCAGCACCGGTGGAGGCAGCAGCCGAGGAGGCAGAGGCGCGGGCAGATGAGGCGGCGGAGGCAGCAGAAGAGCGAAGGGACGCGCCGGCGCTGGAGAGGGAGGAAGCCGCAGAGCCAGTAGCGGTAGCAGCCTCGGAGCTGATGCTAGCAAGAGCGGAGGAAGCACCGCCCTCGATGGAGGAGACAGCGGACGAGGCAACGCTGGCAACGGAGGAAACCTGGGAGCCGAGCGAAGACTCAAGGGAGGAGAGGACGGAGGAGACGTCGCTGGCTCCGGGGAGAGCAGAGGAGACCTGGCTGCCGATAGAAGAGGCAACCGAGGAGAGGATAGACTGAACCTGGGCGGAGGCGAGGCCGGCACCGGCGATCATGGCGATGGTGGAGAAACGCATGTTGATGGTATTGGTTGTGTGGGGTTTTGGGTGAGTGACTGAAGTGGTTGAGTTGATGAAAGTGATTGTTTGGTTGATGTTGGATGAAGGGAAAGGGTAAGGCAAGGCGAAGGGCCCTTTCTTATATCGACAGCACAACATGGTCCCAGCTCCACATTAGGGCGTCATAGCTAGCCCAAAGCTTCAGCAACAAACAAACGGGACTCCCTTGCTGCACCGCATGGCACCGCCTCTTTCGTTTCTCCTACGTAACTGCAAAGATATTCACTGGCTAGCGCCGCCACAGCGAGCACTGCCTGTCAAGTACCTTACCGGTTGCGGTAATTGAATACAGCATTGGCCAGGCCTGATTGGAATGTTCCTTGCTTATCCGTAGCTTTTTTGTGGAGAACTGCATGAGAAAGCTTGATCTGGGGATCAGCTCACTAACCACCGCCGTCTTCTGGCCATGACGAGCTGTTGATGCTAACACCGCTTACGTTGCTTGGACAATGATGGTGCGAATGCGGCCGCCGTGCACCGTTGGTCGCCCATGGCGCAATGTTACGCGTCGAGCGGCAAAACGTCGAAAGCATTTCAACCATGTGTTAAGCCCCGTCTGACTGACGCTTGTCAGATCCAGGCCTTCAAGGCATTCAATTGCCCAATGGCGGCTCAGTCATGCATTTTGGGGAGTCTCACTGTTGTTCCCACCGAAACCGCTATTTACAGCTGCCAGCCACTGACGATCCAGCCAACGTGAAACAGTGAGCGTTTTTCCAGGCCAGGTATGAAATACGGGGCTGTAGATCCACTTCATTTGGGGAAGAATCGAGCCACAGCCGAATCAAGGCGTGGAGAGCGCTACATTGCTTGCAGCTTGCTCAAGGCTTGAAACAGCACTGCTTGTAAGTATGATGTCATCGCGGCCTGAGAACGCTCAAACTAGTCTTGGAGGAATTGCTCTCTCATGCGCAAGACGATCAGCCGAACTCCGATGCACCTTCAAGAGGCTATCAATAAGAGCAAGGACATTCGCTGCTGCGTGGTGATGGAAGTTGGCAAAGTGATAATAAGGAGTGAGACCAATCGGCAGGGAAGAACCGCCTTCCCCAGTGCCAAGGGCCGCCATTGCCGTCAAGCCGCGTTCCAAATTGGTTCAGCCTGCAACCATTCACGCCAAAGTCCGTCAACAACCTCATTTGCCTTGGTTCTTGACTCCCAGTTTTAGAGTGCCTGGCTCTGATGTCATCTTAGATTCAAAGCGTAGCCCCCTCAAGAAGGCGTGCTCGCCAGGCCGCCTGATTGCCGCATTGCAATTTCAGTCTCGCCTCAGAACCTGATCGCCTCGGACACGGATTTATCCAGCTTGGCTGCCTTCCACCCGGCTTTCTTTTCCTATGCCGCTCGCTGCTGAAACCAGCTTGCCAACTTGCTCGACGTCACGAACAATCTGAAGTCAAGAAAGGAGACCGCACCGCGTGCCCGGAGGAATGCAACAATTGTCTCTCAGCCTGTTTGGCTACCTAGCCTGAAGACCTCCTCCAGGCTAGCACTCCAGACCAGTCGCGCCACTTTCGACTCGATGTCTTTTGCGTGGCATCGCGGACCTGACATCTATCCCATCGAATTCTGCAGAAGCTGGAAAGTTTCTATACTTCCTGCACTCCATTGTTCCTTATTCCTAGTCATCGCTTGTGTCTGTCGCATCGGGTGCTTACGCTGCTACTGATCTATAGGTGTAGTCCACCGCATCACTCGCTAAGCGCACCGAATACAGAACGTCGTACTCATCTTGCGCAAGCCCAGATTCCATGACCCACATTTCCGATCACAACTACTACCTTAGATCCAGGACCTGGGTGGTCGGCGCAGTCGTTGCCTACCCTGCCACGCGGTCATGTTCAGTCCAAGCATGACGCGGCACCTGCGTACCACATCGAATCGAATGCTGCCCTAAGATCAGGACTTGCACGCTTTTCGATGCAGAGCTCTTGAGATTAAGGTCTACACGGTCAATGCTGGCTTCGCGTATAGACATAAGTTGACCGCCGCACTTAATGAACCACCTCCAGTCGATACAGCATCGATTCCTATGAGGACACCACACGTGATTGCCATTGCTTTTCGACTTGCTACAAGTGGCTTCTCGACTATCTGTTATCCGGCGCATACTCAAATTAAATGCATGCCTTGATAGCTAGCAAAGAAACGTAAGAGTATGGCAAGGCAGTACGAAACTGCCCGTTGTGCTGTCAGAGTCGTAACACATCGACAAAACGCACCGGAGGAAGTAATGCTGCAACAGTATACATTCTGGCGACTATGAGGGTGCTACTCGAAAGCCAAGAAAACCGTCGTGCTTTTGATTGAAAGACACAAGTGAAGCGTCTATATCATCCAGATCCTATGACAGCAGGAACGACTTGGTACCCTGAGATACTACTCTCTATAACCAGTTTGCATGTTAAACTAAGAACACGGTCTGTGAAAACTTGGATGAGCTGGTTCAGATCTTAAAAAACACTCTTGAGGCAACTACCTGCAGTGAACCTCGATTGAACTCATCAGCTTCCCCAGCACGAACACCAGTAAAATTAATCAGAACTGTACGTGAGAAGCTTCACGCCGTAATTTGAGGTGTGGTCATAGAGTACAACGTAGTGAGGTACGCCATGTACACACACGCTGCATGCGCCCCGAGTGTTCGACCGAGTAAGCGCTTCAGGCAACTTGAGCACGAACCGCCTCTGTGTCCTCTTCGTAGTAAAGTGAGCCTGAGAGCATGCGCAATATGAGGTGCATGGTACGAACACTATTTTGCGGTTGTATGTGAAAGTCCAGGACGTTTGCGGAACGAGCACGAGGATGGACCGGAACGACTTTGACAGGCACACATGTGACAACTTGGCGTGCATCTTAAGATCTGATAACAGTCGCAGCAGAGCAGCAGTAGGAATTGAAGCAAATGAATGCTGCAGCACCATATCGATGAGCAATCAGATCCTTCAGCACTTACAACTATCGTTCTACATCCTGATGTTGGCGATGTCTGGGTGATTGCTAGCCGGAGCAGGAAAGACGTCGTCCTTGGCGTCCGCGGGTGGAGCTTTCTTTCTTGCTACCGAGCTTTGCGCCTGCACCTCCATCACCGCCGGCCTCCACCTCAGCCTCACCTCCTGCTACACTGCCTTCGTGTAGCTACAATCGAGTCGTAGGGACACGCACATTTGGTCAAAATGCTGGCTGCTCGCTCTTTCGCCGCCCCTGCGCGCCAATGCCTGCGCCAGGCCAGGACGCCCGCGTTCGCACAGGTGAGCTCTCACGCTGCAGTCGGCGGCTTTGGCGGACATGTCTGCGGCTGTCGAGAGAATGCGCAGGCAGATTGACTGACGGTGCTGCAGTCTGCGTTCCGCTCCTACGCCTCGGCGCCCTCAGAGGTCGCCAAGTTCAAGGGCGCCAAGGGCAACGATGGCAAGTACACCGTCTCGTTCATTGAGGGTGACGGTATCGGCCCTGAGATTGCGCAGTCGGTCAAAGATATCTACTCGGCCGCGAACGTGCCCATCAAGTGGGAGACATGCGATGTCACACCCCGCCTGAACCCCGACGGCAAGACGGTCATCCCCGACGAGTCCATTGAGAGCATCAACAGGAACTACGTTGCCCTCAAGGGTCCCCTCGCGACACCCATCGGCAAGGGTCATGTTTCGCTCAACCTGACACTCCGCCGCACCTTCAACCTCTTCGCCAACGTCCGTCCCTGCAGGTCGATCGAGGGCTTCAAGACCCCCTACGACAACGTCGACACCGTCCTGATCCGTGAGAACACCGAGGGCGAGTACTCCGGTATTGAGCACGTTGTCGTCGATGGCGTCGTCCAGAGCATCAAGCTCATCACCCGCGAGGCCTCAGAGCGCGTCCTGCGTTACGCCTTCCAGCACGCCCGCGACATTGGCAGGAAGAAGGTCCGCGCTGTCCACAAGGCCACCATCATGAAGATGTCGGACGGTCTTTTCCTGAGCACCGCCCGCGAGCTCGCCAAGGAGTACCCCGACATTGAGTTCGACGCTGAGCTCCTTGACAACACCTGCTTGAAGATGGTCACCGACCCTCTTCCCTACAACGACAAGGTCCTCGTCATGCCCAACTTGTACGGAGACATTCTCTCCGACATGTGCGCCGGTCTGATCGGTGGTCTTGGTCTTACTCCTTCTGGAAACATTGGTGACGAGTGCTCCATCTTCGAGGCTGTCCACGGATCCGCCCCTGATATCGCTGGCAAGCAGCTCGCCAACCCCACTGCGCTCCTGCTTTCCTCCATTATGATGCTGCGACACATGGGTCTCAACGCTGAGGCCGCCAACATCGAGCAGGCCATCTTCAAGACCATTGCTGCTGGCAAGGTACGTCTAGATAAAAGAACTTACGCACAGCAAGAACATATAACTAACAGATTTGCAGTACATCACTGGCGATCTCGGCGGCAAGGCCAAGACCTACGAGTACACTGATGCTGTCATCAAGGCCCTGAATTAGATTTGACGTGATTTTATGAGCATAAGAATGACGGGACGGTAGCGATTGCATATTTGTGGATATGTACCAGTCATTGTACATTAAGGCTGCCATTTGATATTGCTAGACAGTTGATATCCGTATTCATTTCTCCGCATCTTATCAGATTGAGTTCGATCTACACGTGACAGCGTTCCGCAAGGCCGCTTGCAGATGGGCCGACCTCGGTGCATGTCACGTCGAGCTCTGAACTTTGTTCCTTCACGCGACTTTAGCGATTGCTACCTCACCAATTGGCGGCGCACAACATGCCCCCTCAGTCGCCATTCCGAATAGCTAATAGAGCTTATGCTACATTGAAAACGAAGACTGCCCCCGTCCTCCACACACGACAAGCTCCACAGCGCTCCTCACCAGCACAAGCTTCATCGTCACCTCTACCTTCACCACCACCCAGCTGGACACAATCTCCCTCCCTCCGCCGCACCGCCCGCATCCTAGCATGGAGCACCAACGTCATCGCCGGTCTCTGTGCCATAACCTTCATCCGCGACAACCTCCTGCGCATCGACGTGATCCGGGGCTCCTCCATGTCGCCCACGCTCTCTCCCACCGTCCACGAGACCGGTGCTGAAGACTGGGTCGTCATAGCCCCTGTTCGCGAACGGCCACCAAAGATCCAATACAAAGACGGCCGCGCATTCGTGGAGGACAGCAAGCAGAAAGAAGGCGAGGGCGTTCGCAGGGGCGACATCGTGACGTTCTGGAAACCGCATAGACCCGAGGAAATCAGTATTAAGCGGGTCGTTGCGTTGCCGGGCGATGTCGTGTATCCTAAGCGCGGGTATGCGCTTGATCCTGAGATCGTGAGGACGGGACGCGCGCATACGCTTGATGGGCTGCCGCAGGTAGATGAGGATGCTGTTGGTGGGAGGCTAGAGGAGTTGGAGGTGGGCAAGGTAGTGGTGCCGTATGGACATGTATGGGTTGAAGGGGATAATTGGCGGAACAGCTTTGATAGTAGGGATTTTGGACCGCTTGCTAAGGGGCTGATTGAGGGGAGGGCGGTGAAGATTTGGAGGGGGTGGGCGGATTGGAGGGATGTTGGGGATGAGCGGGAGAAGAAGGGGAGGAGTAGGGTTGTGAAGGGGAGGGGGGAAGTGCCAAAGGTGTTCTTAGAGTGAGAGGTTATACGGTTGTGATTTACTTACGCTCTGTCAACGAAAGGGAGGCTTGCGTTGGACCAGACTGAACAGGTACGTGTACATTCATTACTATCATTCATGGTACTAATGTGAGCCTAGGAGCTACCGAACAGAGTCTCGATCTCTTTGCACACAGCCTCGGTAACACCCTTTGTGTTCTCGCTGCCACCCAGATCCTTGGTCTTGACACCTCTCGCCGTCACGTTCTCAACTGCCTTCATGAGCGCATCGGCCCCCTTCTCTTCTCCAACCCACCGAACCATCTCCGCTGCACTCCAGAACGCTCCGACTGGGTTCGCGATGCCCTTACCAGCAATATCTGGCGCAGATCCATGAATAGGCTCGAACATGGAGGGGTTGGCCCGTGTAGGGTCAAGGTTGCTGGACGGCGCAATACCAATACTTCCAGACAACGCTGCAGCGAGATCAGTCAGGATGTCGGCATGCAAGTTGGTCGCGACGATGGTGTCCATCGACTTGGGGTGTAAGACCATGCGGACGGTAATGGCATCGACCAGCATCTTCTCGGTCTTGACATCTGGGTACTCCTTGGCGATCTCGTAGAAGATTCTGTCCCAGAACACCATGCCGTGCCTCATCGCATTCGACTTTGTACAGAGGATGAGGTGCTTCTTTGGCCGAGAGCGTGCAGTTTCGAAGGCAAAGCGCATGATTCGTTCTGTTCCTACACGGGTGTAGACGGTGAGCTCGGTTGCCATGGCGTGTGGTGCGCTCTCATTGCTGATACCGCCCTGGCCAGAGTACTCGCCCTCACTGTTCTCGCGGATGAACATCCAGTCGAGGTCGCCAATCTTGCATCCCTCCAACGGGCTCTTGGTTCCCTCCAGGATACGGTTTGGTCGCCTATTGACGTACTGGTTCAGCTCCTTGCGAATGGGTAGGATCAGGTTCCAGAGGGAGATGTGATCTGGGACGTCTGGCCAGCCGACAGCACCGAAGTAGATGGCGTCGAACTTCTTGAGCTGCTCAATACCGTCAGGTGGCATGTACCAGCCGCGCTCTAAATAGGCTTTACTGCTCCAGTCGAATGAGGTAAAGTCGAACTGGAATCCTCCAACGACCTCTGATAGCTTGGTGAGGACCTGGATGGCTGCTTCTGTGATCTCCACACCAATGCCGTCGCCGGGAATGCAGGCGATGCGATGGACTTTGCCGATTTCGTGAACGTGAGAAGGCATGTTGATAGCTGTGAATGCTTTGTCTATACAGTTTACACCAACAGCTTCAACAGCTCTTCTTATACTGCCATGTCGCCTACTGTTTCCCTCCGCACATTCAAAGACCGAACGAATCAATGAAGCTCCGGGAGTTTCCGCCAGCTCCGAGATCGCTGACCATGCCTGATGGGTGATGGCGCCATGCGCCCTAGAAGCTAAACCCTGACTGCCCCCGCTGTTGCGCCTCCTGCCGAAACTGTAGCCCCACGTTCACGCCAGAAGCCACGAAGCTCACCGCTAGACGAGACGAGACCACCTTTCGTGTTGCTGGAGCTTCGTTTCTCAACATTTCTCTCTCTCTCTCCTACTTCTCCTTATATTGAGAGTCTACACTTTGCAACTTTATACAGCTCAATCACCCACTCAGTACACATCCAGACATCATGGCAACTTTCTTCGACACTGTTAAGAAGAGCTGGGAGGACGTCCCTGTCGATGCTTCCAAGGACAATGCTATCTCCACCACTGAGTTCCTCGAGGCTGCTGAGAGCCTCACCACATTGTTCGGTGGGTGCTATCCTAGAGTTCAGGAAGGTCTTCCTTGCTAACCATCACTGCAGATGTCCTGGGCTCCGCAGCTTTCAAGCCTGTCAAGAACGACATGTCTGGCAACGTCAAGGTATGAACTGCTCTATACTCTAGTTGATGAAGCATAGCTAACATGTTCCAGAAAATCCGTGACCGCCAGCTCGCAGCTCCCACACTCTCCGAGACCCTCCAGGACCTCGTCCTCAACGAGCTCAAGGAGAAGAAGCACGCTGCCACCGAGGGCCTCGTCTGGCTCAACCGGTACGTCTCCCCGCTCAGTAATCCCTCATCCCACTAACATAGTTCTCTACAGCGGCCTTGACTTCACCGCCCAAGCCCTCCGCCACAACCTCTCCAACCCCAACAAGGAGCTCGCCGACTCCTTCCGCGATGCCTACGGCAACACGCTCAAGCCCCACCACTCGTTCGTCGTCAAGCCGTTGTTCAGCGCCGCCATGAGCGCTACACCATACAGGAAGGACTTCTACGCCAAGTTGGGCAGCGATGATGCGAAGGTTCAGCAGCAGCTCGAGAAGTACCTGTCGGCATTGGAGAAGGTTGTTGCTACATTGAACCAGTTCTTGGCTAGGAAGGAGGCTAAGTGGTAGATACGATGTTATGATACGAATACGAGTAAGGATAGCACTGGAATGCTACCAATACATCGACCGTCGTGCCGTCTACAAATTTATGTACTACGTACATATGGCACTAAGCCTCCATTGTCGCCATGAGGGAGCACTACGCTGTATCCTTACGACGTCTTGAAGACGCTGGAGGCCTCCATATCTTTGCGTGTCATGCTAACATATGCCGGCAATTCACTTGCCTGGTCCAAACGAGCATAACGATGTCGCTCAATGCTCCCTCAACCACCTGTCATCCTAAACCTTCTTCCTCTGAAATACAAACAGCGCCTCATCCTTCCCCGCAAAACTTGGCAACGGCATCCTCAGCGTCAACTCAAAAGCCTTTAGATTCTTCTCCACCCACTGATCCACACCCTGGTCCTGAAACGCCGTAAATCCATTCACATTCTGCGTGCCCGCAACCACAATCGTATCACCCTCAAACATCTTCAAAATCGGGCCAGTGAAATCGCCTGTCGCTTGCGGATAAACTAGCAGCAGAATGGTCCCTTTGCCGTTAGCGTTGCGATGCAAGTACTCTTGGCCGTCCATTTTGATTGTGTCTTTGATCCAAGTGATGCGGTATTCGGAGAGTCCGCTGTCGATGGGGCGGACGTCTAGGGCTTTCCATTCTGGAGAGGGGGAGGGGAAGTGGCGGAGCATGTATGTCCAGTACCCATTTCCGCTGCCTACATCTAGAATTGGTATCACAGCTTCTTTACTCGGTTTCGCCGGCTGGCTTAATTTGGCGAGGACGTGCAGGGCCGCGTACGAGGGCACGATGCAGCCGAAGTGGTGGTAGAAGATGGGCAGAATGTGGTGCGAGATTTTTGTAAAGCTGGTGGAGGGGATCGGGCCGCTCCATTCTAGCTCCTGGCATGAGTAGGTCCAAAGGCTGAGGTACGGGTTGATGTGCGAGCGGTCTTTTTTTGAGGGGAGCAGGCCGATTGTGGTGTTGTGGAAGCGTGAGCTCAGATGCTCGGCAACCTGTTTTCGTATTGTGTTGGCTTTGGAATTAGATTTGAAGCCATTGAGCGCTTTGGGCAGGTTGAGAGATGGGTCAAATATGGATGTGTATGCGGCAACCTCCTCAGACGAAGGGTGTTGTGGCTCTGTTGGGTTTCCGGCGTCATCGTGGTACCAGTTGTGCATGCCATGAGCTCGTTTGCCGGATATTGCTCGTTCGGTGATGTGCAGCGTGGTTTCGCCTTGGGCGCGGTAGACATATGTGTCTGTGGGTGGGATGCCGAACGCTTCGCCTATACATCGAGCCAGGGGCTTGCCGCTGTGGGTTGGGTTGAACTCCTCGTCGGACCAGTTGTCAAGGAATGTACCCGGGTTGAACGAGTCGAGGGCCATGTTGGCTCAGCAGCCTCAACTATCTTCAACTTTTCGTGATACCCCGCTAAAGACCAATCCGAATATTGCCGTTTGGACTCAAACTCCGTAATTTGAATAACTAGACTAGCTCTTTCTGCTTTCCCTGAACAGGCAATTCTTAATTGATAGGCGATTCAGTGGCTTCGACACGATGGTGTTTTCGAGAAGTCCATCTTCAGACGGCAGCCCGCTTCCGGTGGCAGCAGCCAATGACAGACAGCTGACAAGCTGAACCCACGAATCTCGTCATCGATCAGTAAGCCACAAAGGGCGCTAAGGGATCCCCACCTTGCCAAAGCACTTAGCAACGCCTTACTCACCATTGCAAATGTAGGCTGAAAGAAACAAGCCTAGCTGTAGAACCTTCTTAAGATCCTCACTAATCTCTGCCTTGGCTAACTCGGATTCATATAAAGATCGCTCGCATCGCCGGGCTGACAAGAACCCCTCTTTCTGATGTCAGACACTACACTACCAGAGCAGCCTACATCTACATCAACAGCTCTCATATCTACCAAGACATTCTCTGCGCTCGTCGCAATAATAGCAGTAGCCCTGGCGTTCTCTAGCTCCTTCCGCACCACCCTCTCTTCCCTCCTCACTAAGCCCACCGCCCGCACAATGTCCACCGCCGCCGCCCCAGCCAGCATGAAGATCACAAAGCGACCTTGGTCGCATCGCGGCCACGCCGACCACGACTGGCTGTACACATACCACTCCTTCTCCTTCGCATCGTACTATGACCCACGCCACGAGTCCTGGGGCCCGTTGCGCGTCATTAACGAAGACCGCGTCAAGCCCGGCACAGGCTTTGGCACGCATTCGCACGCCGAGTTCCTGATCTTCAGCTACATCGTTGACGGCACGCTCGAGCATAAGGACAGCATGGGCAACTTGGAGAACTTGAAGCGCGGGGAGGTGCAGTTCACGAGCGCGGGTACGGGAATCAGGCATTCGGAGTACAACCGTAATAAGGATGACGAGGTGCATTTCTTGCAGATCTGGGCCAAGCCGAATAAGAAGGGGCTGAAGCCGCATTACGAGACGAAGAAGTTTAGTGATGAGGAAAAGGTGGATAAGCTGTGCAGGATTATGGAGTCGACGGACCGTCTTGGAGACAAGAAGCATGCTATTGGACTGCAAGCTGATTTGAGTATGGATGCGAGTATTCTTTCACCGGGCAAGAAGGTTACGCATGAGGTTGTTGCTGAGGGGCCGAGGAAGCTGTTTGCGCAGGTTGTTATGAGCAAGAGGGCGCAGCCGAAGACTGGTGCGCAGATTAAGATTGGTGAGACGGTGCTTGGGGAGGGTGATGGTGCTTACATCGACAATGTGAGGGGTCCGGCAAGCATCGAGATTGAAAGTGTGGGAGACAAACCGGCTGAGTTCTTGCTGTTTGATATGGGTCCTGAGGAACAGTGAGGTATGGCTGGCTAGGATGTGAGCGTGGTTTTTGAGGGGGTTGAGTCATTGTAGCCAACAATAGAATGTATCACACACTTCAGACTTCGATCAGAATATCTGTCGATACCAACGAGTACTTTATTCAAGGTCTCACTTCACGGAACCATTTGCGGATGGTACTGACTGATGGAGACTTTGGATTTTATGTTTTCGTCTATCCGGCTCGCTCAGGACGCAAATAAACCATGTCCGGCTGAGCCATAGCACGCATCTTTGCAGTGGCCATCTCTACATCAGCCTTCCGTTGCCGAACTTGCTTATCCTCTCGCTTCCTACGGTACCAATACAGTATGTCGGGGCTACACGAAACGGGAAGGATAGCTACAGCCATTACAATGCCGGATACCAGGAATGCAATATAGACACGATACTCGGTTGTGTTGTAGTCTCGCATAGATTCAGGATCGACTTGAGTAGTGTTCTGTCCTGCATAAACATTGGCCGTGCTGTTTTGGAGCATGTCTCGCACTTCGATCGACGGCAAGAATGGTAGGAGGCCCGCTTGAGCAAGTGTTGCGAACATGGTAAGGACGATCGTAGTCTCCATGATGTGTCTGGGTACGCGCGTGGGGTTAAATCGAGCTTGGAGAATGTATAGGGTGCTTTTGATTGATATACTTGAAACGATTTACGTTGTTGAAAATATGAGCTATGTGTATTCATATCGTTCTGGGCCCAAGTCAACCTGCGCGTGCCCGGCTATGTATTGTAGGCTGATAATGCTGCATTCATGCCTGAGTTCACAATATTCCAATCAGCAAGACAGCTTGCTGGAAAGACCATCGGCAGAAATAATCGCATTGTCTCGCGCTGCTTCAGTAAAGCTATATCCGCCCTTCGTTAGGCCTTCAATCCAGCTAGTACGAACATTGTCATACAAACCATGGCGCCAACTGCCCATACCTTGAAACGAAGTGGTGCTTGACTCAGCGCAAGATTTTCCTCTTTTTGATACCATATGTAAACGTGTGTGTACAGCACGCGGCTCATCAGCCGTCCTATCGAAAGCACATTCATAGTGAGTGCCGAAACGCCTGCAGAATTGCCTGCCGTCACCGCAGCGGCGAATAGCGGGAGGGCCTCAAAGCTGTCCGCTGAACATGCTTCAACCCGCATCAAACGAGCCCGAAGCTAAGTTTAGGTCAGTGCGAATGATCGTCTTGGGTTCCTCACTATCATGTACCTTTTCATCCAAGTCGGTTTTTTTAGGATGTCAGTGGAGCCTCTGGAATTGTTTCGATCGAAGAGCTTCTTCCCTAGGCCTGAGAGCCCTGAGTAAAACTGTGGACCAAGGGTAAGGGGCAGTGCTGGTGGAATCTGTGCGAGTGACTGCTGTCAGAAATGAACGACGATGTTGCATATTCGTATCTTACCGTGAAGTACGATGTTCTTGTCGGAATTTAGTAAACTCGACATACTGGAGTGCGATGATTCTCGAGTGGAGGTCCTCAAGTGATGTTGTTTTAAGTACTACTTGATTTGCGCGTGGTTCTGATGTATACAAATGTTCTCTTTACCGGGACCAGATAGCCAGGATGCCGCATGTATTCGTCCGGTGGATTCTCGGCCTTCGATTTCGGCTTATATTCGTTACTGAGCTTTGTAAGGTTATTTAGGAGCATGTCCAATCCAGGACCATGATCATCTCTGAGGAAAGCACCGAGAATGCCTTGATGGGGATCTCAATAGATGGTGGAGGGCCGGAAGCGCAGCCTCTGATTGGACGAATCCCAAAGGTCGCTGTGATCGGCCAATGTAGATGTAGATGAATACACAAGCATGTAATGCAGGTGAGAGCGGACAGGGCATAAGACTACCCGACTCCATGATACTTGATGTCTGATCGAAGCTATGCTTAAGTCGGTGGCCGGGTTGGAGCGCGAGCGGATGTAGAATGGTAACAGAAAGAGCACGAATGCATAAGGCTGTGTAGAAAGTAAAGGTATCAGAAGAATAGCATAACAATACTTGCATCGGATGATTGAGTATTCAAAGCTGTGTGCGCGTAGAAACAGTGCGTGATGCTCGCCTGTGGAGGCATTGCAAGGTTCTGGTCGTGTCTACAGCTGACCTACCTCGCGCCTGACAGGTGTACATCGGACTGTTCTTCTGAATTACATATCATCGCGTTTGAAAAGATTCGACAGAAAGACCATCGAATGATCGTGGGCGCAGAGAGGATTTGCGTGGTTGAGGGATAAGCTGCTGAGATTGAGATGGGGTGGAAACAGCCCAGCGGCGCGAAGGCGACTTAAGCTCTTTCACCACGCGGCTCCCTTCCATCCTTTCCTTGTCCACCACATATGTTAGGCCAATCACTCCACGGACCGAAATATTGAACAATTGCGAGTGCGTTCAGACATCGAGATGCGAAGGGAAAAGAGTTTAGACCCGACTTCGGATCGACACGGGTACTCGGTTACATCGTTGGTCAAACGTTCGTATTGTGGCGCGAATCTAGATCAAGATTAGATAAGATCAAGCAAGGTCCATCAATCCAGTGGAGTGCCGCGGCTGAGGATAGCAAATTTCTGCAGGGCCATCGCGTGGTTCGTCTCGCGTGACCTTGTGGTGTTGGTGGATTCTTAGCGAGCAAAGCCGCACCATTTCTCTTTGGTCAGGATATATCCGACGACTACGCTATCAGAAGGATCTGATAAGATTAGTGGATAAAAGCTAAGCAATTGATGGCTAGCAGGCATGAGGCCTCCTGCAGCCGTCACCACAATTTAAGCTCTAGCCCAGGCTGGGAAGCCAACCAAGCATTGAGCTGAAAATGTCGAGTCGCAATCGAACGGTTTGCTGTCCCGTAGATCGGATATGGGACTTGATTGATATATAGGGCCCTTAGCTATGCGAAGTGGCTTGCTTTCCCATCCCAGATCTTCCCTTGCAAAACGTTCCGTATAACCCAAGATCATGGCAGCGAATATGGATCCCATCAACACTGCCCAGGGTAACACTGAGATCAGTCATGAGCCCAAGAGGGAGATGAGCACCTTCGATGTCGACGAAGACGAGGCCATCCGCAAGGTTGAGGCAGCCACAACCGTCGACCCTAATGCTCAACAGGGTATCAAGAATGTCGAAGCTGTTACGTTGACCTGGACAAAGACTTCACTGGCATGCGCTTTTGCATGGTAAGTTGTATCGCAGATCGTCGCGAAAATATCACTGACAACATTGGCAAAGCATGTGGATGCTGTATCTCACCAACGCCTTCCAGTCATCCATCACTGGTAATCTTACGCCATACGTTACCAGCGAATTCGACGAACACTCCCTCCTGACCGTCATCAACATCGTCGCGAACTCTATGGCCGCCGCTGTCTACATCCCAACCGCCAAATTACTCGATCTTTGGGGCCGTGCGGAAGGGTTCTGTGTCATGGTCGGCTTCGCTACCCTTGGACTCATCCTCATGGCTGTCTGCAAGAGTCTCTACACCTTCTGTGCCGCCCAAGTGTTCTACACCATCGGTTTCGGTGGTATGATCTATTGTGTGGATGTCATTACTGCGGACGCATCGAGTCTGAAGCATCGAGGATTGGCTTTTGCTTTCACATCCTCACCGTACATTATCACTGCTTTTGCTGGCCCCAAGTCTGCGGAAGGGTTCTACAACAACTCCAAGAACTGGCGATGGGGCTTTGGCGCTTTCGCCATCATTGTACCATTTGTAGCGTCACCGCTCTTCGTCATCTTGAAGTTGAATTTGAGGAAGGCTAAGCGTGAGGGTGTGCTTGCGCGTGAGAAGAGCGGTCGAAACCTCTTTCAGAGCATCGTCTTCTACATCCAAGAGTTCGATGGTAAGTTCGCCTGACACCAATGATGAGTGGTAACTAACCCGAGTTCAGCACCTGGATCGTTCCTTCTTGCTTCCGGTCTCGTAATCTTCCTCCTTCCATTCACGCTCGCCGATTCCGCGCCAAATGGATGGATCACCGGATACATCGTCGCCATGCTGGTGGTCGGCTTTGTCCTGTTAGTCCTGTTTGGTCTTCATGAACGTTTCACAGCTCAGGTTCCCTTCTTGCCCTTCAACCTCCTGTTGAACCGCTCCGTCGTCGGTGCCTGTCTGCTATCGTTCACCTACCAGATCTCGTACTACGCCTGGAACAGCTATTTCACCTCCTTCTTACAGGTTGTCAGTAACCTCACCATTGCCGAAGCCGGATACGTTTCATCAACATTCGACGTTCTCTCTGGATTTCTGTTGCTCTTCTGCGGCTTCATCATCAGCAAGACAGGTCGCTTCAGATGGTTGCTGTTCATCGCTATTCCCTTCTACCTCCTCGGCCAGGGTCTGATGATCCACTTCCGTCAGCCGGATACCAGCGTTGGCTACCTCGTTATGTGCCAGATCTTCATCGCTATAGGTGGTAGTATCATTATTCTCTGTGAGCAGCTTGCTGTCATGGCCGCTGCCGATCACCAGCACATTGCCCCTGTATTGGCTCTGCTCAACATCTTTGGTTGGCTTGGTGGTGCTGTCGGTAATACGATCTCTGGTGCTATTTGGACAAACTCCTTTCCTCAGGCTTTGGCAAGGCTGCTACCTGAAGAGGATCTTGAGAACTTGGACTCCATCTATGGCGACCTCACGGTCCAATTGGGCTACGAGAGAGGTACTCCTACACGTCTTGCGATCGAACAGGCGTATGGTATCGCACAGAAGAGAATGCTCATTGCTGGTACATGTATTATGTGTCTGGCCCTCATCTGGATCGTGCTGATCAAGAACCACAACGTTGCAAAGATGCAGCAGACCAAGGGTCGCGTCTTCTGAGCAATTCATAAGATCCGTAAAATGCTGGGCGTCATCACAGTGCGAGTTCGTAGCCCTTCAATAGCAATGTATCTTCCGTCGTATACTCCAGCCTCGTTGAATGTGTGCACAACAACATTGGAGTCGCCCGCCTTATCTCACTACAATGACGTACTGGACAGGCAGCGAACTCTGATAGCTTTCCAATGGAGGCGATACCGAGGCATCACAAGGGTGCTTCTGTGCGCTTCAATTATCTACTAAGAAGAGATCGGCCTGACCACTGACAGCTGTAGCACGGAGTAAATCGTTGAACCCAACAGCAAATGATGCTGTTCAAACGATTATAAACTTCTCCCAAATTGTGCAAAGCATGCCCGAGCACGATCCAACTCGTCACCATGGAAGCAACCCTCTAGCTCGGCCAGTTCAACGCGTCTATACAGCTGTTCTCCTCCACTAACCTGCACCATCGCAATTCTAAGCATATCAAGTTCGGGACTGTTATTTGAACAGAAGCGTTCTCTAGGGAATATCGGCATACAGAAAGCTTCTTCGAGCATATCATTCTGATCGTCGAAGACGGTACAGTAATAGTGCTCATCATGATTGCCGTTATCATCATTCGAGTGGATGCATACATAGGGTACACTGTATATCTCCCCTATCAAAGGATGGACGAAGCTCTCAACGAGGGTATCATTCATGTTTATCTTGACCCAAGTCCCTAAAATCTCCAAGATGCCACTAACAACCTCTCCAGCCTCAAGTGTGCCATGATATGCTGTGGACGCGGAAACATCTTTCTCACTTATCAAGGGTATGATCTGGAGCCCAGGCTCACCCAGAGCATACCTTATGGGTCCATCTATTTTCGCCCAAGATCAGGAAGGAGCTCTGTATTCCGAGACTCCTGTTGCAGGAGCATGGCTTGCATTTTGCTTCCTGCAAAACCCTTGAAGGAGATCATCTACCCATAGTCTGGACTTGTTGCAAAGGATCTTTGTGGCTGAAATGTTGTCCATCAGCATCGATTAGGCTTTTCCAGATGTGCAGCCGTTTCGCAGGTTCATCGTGACTCAGTGCATATGTGGTTTCCGGATTAACTTCGCAAGCGCTCTGTTGTCGACACTCCCAGAACAGCTGCTTCCGCGCATAATGAACTGTCCGTGGCGACAAGAATCGCTCTTTGACACACCAGTTTCGTCTTGTATTAACTCCGCTAACAAACCACGACTCTTGCCACCCAGCACATTTCGCCCGACTGTCTCGGAACATTCTCCTATCACCGCTACCTAACAATGGAGTTTTGAGCACCGTTGACGCTACTTGCGCAACGTCTCGGTAGTAAAACAACCCAGCCTCCGCATTGGCACTAGAAACTGCGGAGACGATTAGGAGCGAATTGCGACATACACCCGCCATGGTCGATGCTTCTTTTCCAATCTTCTACAGAGTCTAGGAATATGCAAAGACTGTCGATCCAGAGATAATGCACGCTGATGTATGTGATTACTCGCCTAGCATCACGGAAGGCTTCTGGTAAGCTATCCACTGGCCCTTCCTGACGTAAGGAAGCAATGGCCGAGTTGAGCAATTGTAGACTGTTCATGGCAAAACCAGTGCCCCAACAATACGACAAAGCTGTATACTGCGTATCGGGTGGATACTCCTCCCTCAGGACCAAACTATATGTCGACGGTTCTTGGCTGCTATTGATTCGGAGGAAGCGGGTCGGGAGAAAGCCTTGACTGAACCCAGCATTGACCGAAGATGTTGCGTAGAGCAGTTTGAGATCCATCGCGATAACAGGGTGTCGGAAGGAGTGAAGATATCCACCGATCGCCATCTGTTTGCTAGCGGTCCGTTGCAGTGTTTGCTAACGGTCCACTGCACTGATTGTCCAGCTCATTTGGTTAGCTCGGTTTGCTTTCCCAACCCTTCACTGCTATCCCCTTCTACTATATAGTCCCGATTGATTCCAGCCAATAGCTAAAAGAATCAATCAACATCTCAACCCTTCCACACAGGGTCCATGATCTTGGACTATCGGTGCGGTCATCGAGCTCGAATGTGATGTTTACATCAAACTTCTGATCCCCAACTGGCATGAAGTCGTAGTTGTATCCATAGCCGTCATGCTCCAAGCGCATCGTCACTACGTGCTGTTTGACCAATACGACGAAGGAGGTGCAGTAACTTGTAGCTTCTATAGTCCTGAGGACTATACGGAACATCTTTTGGAAGTGCCTACACGTGTTGCAGCGCGGATGCCGCCAGCGACTCTCTTGTTAGATGATGTGCGTATCTGTACTTCTCGATATCGAGCCTGAAGTCCGAGTTTCCATCGCTGGGCTTGTTCTCTAACAATTATACTCGTACCGTAACGGCCGGATCTTACATGCCTTCGAGCACTCGTTTACAGATACCGCAGGCCATAATAAGCAGTGATTAGAGGGTGGCATAGATCTAGAAAGATAGATGCAGACTTGATCGGCATGAAACCAAGCACCTCTAGGATTGGTGTAAAGTCACATGTTGGTGGCAGACGTTGGGAAGTCGGCATGGCAAGCGGCTGCGGGGTTCAGTGAGATTCGTCGCTTGCCCAGGTGGGCAGGGATCCTGCTTCCTCGACACCAAACTTTCGAGACACGTATTAAGAACCTTGACGTACTTTCATCACGACACATCCACCGCGGGTGTACTATCGGCATCATCCCCCTTCGAAGCCCCGATAAAAGCCTCAAATAATCGTTCATTGTACAGGGTGCATCGTTATATGACATCTTGCTCAGAAGATGCATGCGTCGCTCCGCCACCACCGATAACCTCATCCGGAAATCGAAATGGCCAAGCACTCAGACCGAAGTAGGCGTACGGTAATCCTGTTAAGAGCATGGCTGTTCCTTGCAGGCAATGAGCCTTGAAGATGCCGCTTACGTTGGCCATGCATCGAGTAATGCGCCTCTGTTACCCAATGCAGAGCTGTGGCCTTTGTGGAGGCTGAACCGTCCTCAACATGGTGATCTGATTCGACCAGATATATGATGATCAACCTTGACGAGAGCTGGGGTACCGCGCTCTAACAAAGTAATGTCCTATCCTGGAAGTTTGAGTGTACAGCGAGGCCTCCAACAACTCCACTCGCCTTGGCAGCTACTGACGCACAAGTGGTAGAGGATCGGACTCTAGTATATATAATGCGATGTTCTGCACCAACAAGAGAGCGCTAAACACCTTCACTACTATCGATCACCATGCAACCAAGACTCATCTTTTACAGTGCCGCGGCGGCGCTCATGCACCGTAGCTTTGGCTCCCCTCTCAGCACAAGACAAAGCAATGTCACTTCTGTGTCCAGTTTCGACGAAGTAAGCTAACTTTCACGAACCCCGAGGCATTGACTGATGATTGTAGCTTACACCGAGTGCGGATCTAGTCTGGACACCATGCTTCGAAAACTTGTATGCATCTTATCTTTACTTCCCAGCTCGGACTGCTAATATGCTCAGTACATGCTCCCTGCTTGAGGTACCACTTGACTACAGTAACGAGTCTGTCGGCACTGTCAACTTGGCGATCATCAAACGGCCTGGGGATAGCGAAGATGCACAGGAAGTTTTGCTCAATTCTGGAGGTCCTGGTGGCTCCTCCGTCGGTATGGTCATTTCAGACTCTGAAGCTGTCCAAGACAAAATTGGAACTCAGTACTCGCTCGTTGGTATCGATCCTCGAGGTGTCGCCAACAGTGGCCCTTCCAGCGACTGCTTCCCTGAATACTCCTACATAACGCGCAACTCCTTCTTGGCTGAGATCTACACGCCGGTGGACATTACATCCGACTACGCACTACGACAAAACCACGAGTACATGCGCGGCTACGGCAAGTGGTGTTCAAGTGTCTACGCTGTCAATGGTACAGCAAGATACGCCAGTACTGTCGCTACCGCGCAAGATATGCTTCACTATATCGAGCTTCGCGCGAAGAGTAAAGGCGAACCACCTGAAGAGGCAAAGCTATGGTATTACGGTATCAGCTACGGTACCATTCTTGGCGGTACTTTTGCCAGTCTGTATCCTGATCGAATCGGACGCATGATCATCGACGGTGTTATGGAACTGGAAGATCACTACAACGGCGGTTGGGAAAAGTCCATCGTCGACAACGACGAAGCTTCACGCTACTTCTTCAAGCGATGCTTCGAGGCTGGCCCAACACTTTGCCAGTTCCACCAGAACGCCACATCCTGGGAGGAGCTTGAGCAACGCTATACTGATATGTTGCATGCTCTTATGAATTCACCAATCGCAGTCGGTGACCTTGGCCTTGCTGAACAAGGTGTGGACCTTGGTGTCGTACTTACGCCAACTCTCTTCAAATGGCAGGACCTTGTCAGCTACATGTTTGCAACAGCATACCTTCTATCCCCATCAGCATTCTCAGAGTTGGACGCAATCCTCATGGAACTACAAACTGGAGTAATTCAACTAGCCGCCGTAGTACCAGTCAGATCGCAGATCGCTACCACGTTCCCTGGATACGACCAGCGCATGGCTCGATCTCTTGTCAACTGCTTGGATGCCAATCGTCGCTTCAACACCTCGGAATTCCCACAATACAAGTCGTTCGTGGAACAACTGCATAACATCAGCGTGTATGGCGGGCTCAATACGGTCTACCAGAGTGGTCCGATTTGCAGCCACTTGGACGTCGCCCCACCAGACAGCCAGACTTTTGACGGTAAGTTGCCTAATTTTGATTGACATCGACATTCTGACACTTTGAAGGTGTTACAAGAGTTCCTTCGACAAGCGCTCCGATCCTTCTTGTCAGCATGTTACACGATCCCGTCACGCCACTTCCAGCTGCTAGGAAGATGCAATCGTTATTTCCAGGCTCGGGACTTCTGGTGGGAAACAACAGCGGCGTAAGTCTAACCTCTCAAAGCGATATAGGAGAAATTTGGAAGCTGACCATGATTCTACAGCACTGTGCACACTTCCAAAAGTCAGAGTGTTTGTCCACATACGAGAAACAGTACATGCTCGACGGTACACTACCACCACCAGACACAACCTGCGAGGTCGACCAGCCAAACCCTTTCATTGCTGTTGCAGAGCAAGGTAACGCTACTACAGGCTCTTCCTAGACTTCTATGTATCGGTTCGATGTCTAGACCCTGAATAGACCGACAGCTGGTCGACTCTTGCCAGCATGCTCAAGCCGGAAGAACCTATCGTCCGCGTCATTCACCTCAATACTCTCCATAGCATCATCATCTATCCTGAACAATCTATCTTCTGGAATCCTGTCCCTCGTTGAATCATCTCCATCCTTTTCACACATATCTGGTTTTCCATCTTTGGTCTCACGCTCAACACTCTCCTTCAGCGCAAATTCCACCGCCAGCAAACTACTCTCAATCTCTTTTATTCTGTGTTGCGATACAGCTACGTCAGTGATGTGCTTACTGCCCGCATTTTCGTCGCAAGCAGCGTTGCAGTTTCTAATCACGCTGTCAAGTAATCTGTTTGTACTCACGATCCGTTCTTCCAAAGCGCTCTGTGATGAGCCTGCTCCCGTGTCATACTCCGCGATAAGGTTTTTCACGTAGGCTTTCTCTTTCACGATCAGAGCTCTCAGTCCAGACGCCTTTTGGACTTATTCTAGACGACGCTCGGCGGGCCGTTGCCGGAGAATGTTGAGCGCTTCTTTGTCGGTACTGGGAAATGTGACAGTGGTGGGGGAAGGTTAGTTGGAGGCGCGGACATGGTGGCGGTCGTGATTGAAGCAAAAAAGTCGAGATACGGTAACGCGAGGTCCATCACTTGCAGTTAGCTGAAGATATGTGTCTACAGAGCTTAAGTGGGTCATGCGCGAAGAAGTAGGAGCAGGTGAGCTCGGGCAAACATTTGTAGATACTTCGTCAGCTGACGAGTCTCTTCTAGACAACACCAAACGTTTCTCGACGCATACAGCGAATGGTCTTCTTCTATGCGGCACACCAGATACCCCTCAGATGAATCCAAGCTACTCCATATCCCAGCGCTTCAATATTGGAGTAGTCATCAGGAGGAAAGCAGGAGCATAAAGCGTGGAGATGGTAGTTACTAATAATCTGACGATTTTGGAGTAGTGTTACATGAAACTGGAAGCTGCCATTTGCAACTGGTCACTACAACCCGTCATCCACTTCTGCCTTCCTACTCCTCCATAACCTCACCGACAACGCCCGTTACCTCCTTCCCGATATCCTCCAGCGCCTTTCCCACCGTCTTAATCAGCGCCTCCCTCTGCTCATCGTTCAATCCTTGCCAATCATAGAACAGCTTCGACAGCTGCGTGATCTTCGCCTTCACGGGCTTTGTGTCTTTCTTCCGGTCCTCAAGCTCTTCTGCGGGCACTTCGGGCTTCGACTCGTACGTAATAAGCCCAGCCATGTGGCGTGCGAGCGCATTGAGGATCTGTTGGCAGGCGGAGGCTATGGGATCGATTTCCATCTTGTCGGACATGATTGTTGGAAGTAACCTTGAGGAGGGGAAGGAAGTGTGTAACGGAGGGTTTGTACGGAAGCTGAAGTAGGACGCGTCAAAGGCTCACTCACAAACACTTGCGGTTCCGACATCAGAGGCAAATAGCTGATCATGTCAAACCTTTGTCTAAGAAGCAGTACTGGCAGGTAAGTCGCAGTGATCATTCTCAATAATCACGTTGGCTGATTATGTGCTTCTAGACATTGACAAATCGTTCTGACCGCCTACCTTGGACGTCGATCTTGATTGCGAACATCCACTTCAGATTGAAACTTCCAGCGCCAACACTTCAAGATCAACAGTAGTCACCTCACTCTCAACATTCTTGAAGCCGACCTCTTTTCTCTTTATTGTTATCCTCCCACCCAGAAAACATTTGTCTGGTCTGCGTAAGCTTCCCCTTCACCGTGGCTATCTTCTCCTTGATCTTGTTAAATGTTTCTGTGGGTAAGCTCTGGCTGCTCTCTGGTCCTTCTTTGAGTGATTCTAGCTACGACTCGTGCGTGATGGATTTTTCCATGTTTCGAGTGATTCTGTTCTTAGCATTGTGAAGGTGCATCTATTCTGTGTCGACTTGGTCGCGCGGGTTCATTACGGAAACCGTGTTGAGAGTGAAGCGAATGGAGAGAAGCGGACACAGGGTAAGGATATCCTGAGGTCGAGACGGGACTGGTCATGGGACCACGAGTGTTTTGGCCACATGATGCTTCGGGATGAGTGGTAGCAAACACGACCCCTCCCTGGTAAGCCCACATTGATTCTGAAGCGAGAGAGGTGTTCAGTGGATGCATTTGGGGTACGTCCAGCACGTGGAGATTGATGGTCTCGAAAATTTAGTTGCATATGATGGCTACTTTCAACATCGTGACGAGTTTCCGAGACATAACAATAGATTACCAAAGCTGGAACTACTTGGTCAACCTCCTTGCCTCCCTTTGCCCTTCTCTAATCCGAAACCTCAAGCATAGATCCATTCGCCTTCTCAATGAGCCTCCTCGCCTCCTCATTCCCCATCTGCAGTCTTGCTAAGAAAAGCAGCCGATGCCTGCTCCCAATTTCTTCTGGCCACCTCTACAATGTTCTCCCCGAATTGAATCATTCTCTGCAGCACATTCTCCCTTGGGGGATCCGTCTCGTCGAAGATCTCCTCCATGAGACTTTCAAGCTTTTGCTCATGCATGTCAACATGTGCTTCGAGCAAGTTGAGTTCTTGTTGGAATTTCGTAAGATCAACGTCGAGCCAGCCTTGGTGGCCTCAGGCGCTGTGTGTTTACCAGCGGTCCGCTGCACTGATTGTCCAGCTCATTCGGTTAGTTCAGTTTGCTTCTCCATCCCTTCACTGCTATTCCCTTCTACTATATAGTCCCGATCGATCCTCGTCATAGCTCACAGATAGACCAATCAACTCAATCATCTCAACCCTTCACAATGGGCCTGCTGAAGTCGTCAGCCATACTTGTATTGGAAAGTAGTTGACGCCGATCGCAAAGCTGAGTATAGTGGGGTCAAGTAACGGAGGGAATTTCCGAAGTTGACATGGTCGTCCTGTCTGATCGTGCTTGCTCGCATGCTTGTTGGTACTTTACGTGTGCAGGTGGTGGTTGATAGCCAACGGCTTGTTGATGGGAATGCCTTGAACGCGTCTGGAGTAAGTCAGATATGTACGGACTGAAAGACCGGCAAGATCTGGTTGCATAGGACGATGTCTCCAACGTATGCAGATACTCTGTAAAGCGCTTAGTAAATTGTGCAGACTACAATCTACTCAGACTGTCCGTTCGCTCTCCATCTCCTTATCAATGACCCTCACTTCACTGTCGAGCTCCTCCAATGCTTTGTTCGCCTCCTCAATCAGCAGCTTCTTCTGCTCATCCTTCTTGAACTTCTGATCCTCATAGAACAACTTCGAAGTGTGCGTTGCCTTCTGCTTCAGCGCCTCTATTTTCCTCTGCCTGCTCTCGATCTCCTTCGCGGATAGCTTCTGCTCCTCCACCGGCTTCTCTCCTAGCTCCTTCAACCTTGTCTCGTGCTTGGTGAGTTGATTCAGATGGCGGTCGACTTTTCCTTGCGCATGGTCACGGAGATCTTTCCATTGGGCATCAGTTTCGATCTGGGGTTCCATATTGCTAGACATATTCGAGATGAATCGATGTAGGAACCCAGAAGGCAGGATGAAGGTTAACATACGATCGAACACGGGTCAGTCGGGGGCTCACAATCACTCGTTGGCACATGATGTGTTCACGCGGTGGTCGATGGCAAACAAGCATAGATGCTACCATTCTACCTACATGATCACACGATCAAGCCAAAAGGAAGTCTGCCCCCGTGGAAGCCAGCTTCCGTCAGTACACCTAGGATATCCGCTTCCGAAAGCCGACCTTCACGTCTAAGTTGCTGCAAGTGTGCACGTGCAGCATGAATGACCTCGAGCTCCTCCCTCTCATCCGCGGCACTGGTCATATAGTCATCATCATGGTCAGCCGGCTGATCATGTTCGTTTGAACGACCGTTGTCGTCAACAAGGTTACCAAAGCGGTCTTGGCTGGACATGATATGGGATGGGTTTGGTGGCGACAAAGTGTTTGGGATGGTTATCCGAGGTTTGGTAAATTCGTCTGGAGTGATTCGAGTAATTCTGGAAGGTGTTTCGAAGTCTGAAAAGTAAGCCTGAAGGCTATGAGAGAAGTGGATGCTGGAAGAGAGAAAAGGTGGGAGGCGAGCAGACACTTTTATACCCAAGATTGAGCTCCTCATTCACCTCTGGAGGCCTTCACATCCGTGAGGCTTGAATACCAAACCGCGAAGTGGTGAAATTATTCGTCCAATGCCGCCAACACCTGGTATCTTCCGTGAATATCATACACATATCTAACATTATTCATCACACGTGTTCAATGTTTTGCCGCCTCCTTCACCTTTTCATCCTTTGCTCTTTCTGCAACGTGTTCAGCCTCCTCGTGGATTTTCTCCAGGATATGATCTGGCAGCGTGTCCTTGGCTCTTTGATCGCCGGTGGTGGCCTTCTCTTGCTCAAGCTTCTTCTCCATTAACTTCTCCTTCGCATCAATCGACTTCTCGACCTGTTCGACGGCGCGCTCGATCTCGACTTCCATGTCCGGCAGATCGAATTGCTCTGCGATCAGCTTGCCATTCCAGCGCTGCAGTACCATGACGTCCTCGCTCTCGTTGTTGGTCTGCTGGTGCACTACACCAGAAACCTGGTCGGCCTCCTTCTCTGTCGGCCGTGGGGCGGCGCGGGATATCTGGCGGGTAGGGTACATCAGGCCGGCGGTGTATGCCTCGTCAAGGGCCCAGGAGGGGTTTGGCTTGGGTTGGTTGTGCTTGAGGAGGAACTCGAGGTATTTCGAGCCAGTGAGTGCTGCAAAACATTAGCTCGTGAAGCAGATAACCCGCAAGGGCAACTCGCCCTTCCAATGTGACCAGGCGCGGTACAAGACGTAGAAGAACGGCAGGTTGGGGATGACGGGTACTAGCATGAAGGGCGCGGTGAAGGGCATGATGACGACGCTCCATATCAGTTTGCTGCGGTGCATGCCCTGTCGTTCTTGCGCCAGCTTGGTCAGGATCTCGGTCACCCTCTCCTGCTTCAAGTACCGCCCAGGAAAGAGAAGCTCATGCTTTGCCTTGCCCTCCACGATGTCTTTCTTCCGCCGCTCGGTCAGGGAGGGCAGCGTCTTGAGGCCCCATTCCTCATACGGTATGCGCTTCAGCGCCTGGTTGCCGTAGAAGGTGACTTTCTTCTTCCAGTTGCCTACAGCCTTCTCGTCCTTCTCCCAGGCGGCCCAGGTCTCATTGGCCTTGAGGGTGACCTTGTCGAAGATGGAGCGGTCCTTGGGGGCCTTCTCGCGCAGCTTCTCGCAGTAGATGAGCGAGCGACGCGTCGAGATGGGTAGCAGGAAGAGGCGCATCGTGGACTGCCTGTTTGGGAAGGAAGTGGTGGAGGTAGCAGGGAAGGCGCGTTAGGTAAGCGCGCACGATGGCGCAGACGGGGATGCAGGGCTCAGACGAGTGCTTGGTGAGACATGTTCCTGAGCACCGAGTCGCGTGGCACGTTTTGTGCGATTCCTGAAATCCAGCCGCGGTCCTTTGCAGAGGCGAGGGGTGAAATTGCTTGCGCAGCTGCAAGGCTGTGCTAGGCGGGCGATTACATCAGAGCGCGTCCAGCGCACATCCAGCTGTTCCCTGCACGACCCAGAATTGTCTGGCGGCGCCATTCCTGTTTGCTGCTCACGACCCGCCCTGATCGACGACCAGCAATCTCTCCCTGCCACCGCCGCACGCTCCCGGGCCCCCAACGCTCGAAACGCTCGAAACGCTCGAAACGTCTGGCAAATCCACCCCTCGTGCCTCGTGCCTCGTGACATCGCTGCTGCCCGCCGCGGCCCTCGCACATTCTGCATGACATGCTGTCGCTGCTGCGCACGCCCGCCTAACTGCTTCTGCCACTCGCTGCCCGGACACGCCGCCAAGCAGGCCAGAGCCCGCCCACTGTCGCTGACGCGCACCCGCCTGCTGCCAGACGTGTTCGCGGACGGACGCTGGGGCAGGAGACGGTAGCCCAGTCACGGGACCCGCTCCGCGCGACGAGGAGGCCCTCAAACCTTGACGCCCCAGACGGCATATCCAGGTATGGCCAGCAAGCCCATGGCCGAGCGCAGGAAGAGCGACCATGGCTCGAATGGCGCCCGAGAGCCATTGTCGTTCCTCAGCCCCAACGACGCCCTCAGCACCACAGCCTCCCACCAGAGCACCAGCTCCACCCACGCCGGCCGTTCCGGAGGCAATTCACTGCTACCCTCGCCCGTCCCGCCGCCCACGGCCTCGTCCCAGTCCTCGCAGCACCGCCCGCACTCGAGAGTCAGCGTCGTCTCCGCCGTCTCGCGCGACGACCAGAGCGAGAGTGCCGCGGTGCGGAAGAGCCACAGCTACAGCATCTCGAGCACGCCGCACACGCTGGCGTCCTCCAAGGGCACCAGCTCGACTGCTGCGGACAACCGTGAGCGCCAGCGTGCTGCCCGCTCTCTGCCGCCATGGGTCCTGTCGGCCGACGAGGACGAGATAGCCGATGCCACTTCACTGCTGCTGCCCCGCACGCCCACCTCTGTCCGGCCTGCCTCCCACAACTACATGCCCACGCCCAAGTCCAATGTGCCCGGCCGCAGATTCGACCATGCCCGTGAAGGGGCGCCAGTGACGCTCACCACCCCCGTCAGCGAAAATGCCTCAAAGTGGAAACAGTTCGCTGCAGCCTCCAACTACGAGCAGCACGACCGCCCTCTCTCGTCGAGAGGACAGATTGTCGACGATGACTGGATGGCCGCGAACCTGCCAGATCTTGAGAAGCCATGGGAGCCCATCGACGAAGAGGAGAAAGAGGAGAAGATCAAGGGCTTCTGGTTGTTCAATCCGGCGAAGCGAAGGCGCAAGATGGTGCAGTTCCACCGCACCATCATGAATCACCCCATGGTTCCGGCATTGGTCCGTATGATTGTGCTCACCTTCTCGATTCTGGCTCTGTCGTTAGCTGGAGCTATCTTCCACAAGTCAGATTCCGCTAGCTGCGATAACAACTCGTCCACCTGGATGGCAATCATCGTCGATGTCGTAGCCATCATCTACACCGTCTACATCACGTATGACGAGTACACTTCGAAACCCCTCGGTTTGCGTTCGCACAACGCAAAGATGTCCCTTATATTCTTAGACCTGGCCTTCATCGTGTTCGAATCTGCGAACCTCAGTCTGGCCTTCCAGGCGCTGACCGACGACAAGTGGGCGTGTAGGGACGCCACGGACCCGGTAGCTGCTTACTGCCAGTACACTCGGTCAATCTGCGTACGGCAGAAGGCACTGACTGCTACACTACTCATTGCGCTGCTGGCGTGGCTAGCTACTTTCAGTATCAGTACCCTGAGGTATGTCCCATTTGCCCAAGGCGCCATCGTGACAATGCTAACAATGTGAAGGTTGATCCACCGTGTCGCTAGGTAGTACCTGCCACACACATCTTTGTCTCATTCCTATTCCGCATACATACTTGTACCATCATACACGTTTCCTTACTTTGACTGATTCGAGTGTCTTCACAGGAAAGACTCATACAAACCGATGCTCAGATACCGCATCGCAAAGCGCGCTGGTACTTTCGTCCTTGCGCAGACTGACCGTTTCCGTTCCCGTTCGCGCGACCTTTCTGCATCTGCATCTCCTTAGTTTTGATTTGGCATATGCATGGCGTTGGCGGCACATATTCCCCGCATTGTTCCTTTGTTGTTCAGCGAGCCGTGGAGGTAGTCACGGTTGTAGGTGCCCAAGTAGACAGTTCGATAGGGTGTTGTAGTCTTCAGCACTCCTCAAATGTAATGATATGACCAACCACGGGTGTTTTGTATGCCTCCACCACTCACACCAGAGCACCGATTTTCAGACCACACTGGCTTCAGTACAGTATCAAGCTACCCAAGCTACCCAAGCTACCCAAGCTACCCAAGCTACCCAAGAAACCCCCCCCCCCCCATCCAATCACACCGAAGCCCTCCCGCTCCTCTCAGTCTACAACTCACTCCTCGCACTTCCCTCCAGCCTCTCACTCCTCACACTTCCCTCCAGCCTCTCTCTCCCCCACAGCACCGGCCCATTATCCCCATACATCGGATCCCTCTCAAACCACTCCACACCCCCCACCGCCGCCGCTTTCCCCTCCTCCCCCTTCTCTCCATAGCACATATCCCACCCGCACCCCCTGGGATAAGCTCCCACCATCTCAAACCCCCCGTCCACATCCTCCAGCAACCGATGCGCAACCCCCGCTGGCACAACAACCACATCGCCGACCCTCACCTCCTCCTCTACGCGTCCTGGGTTCGATTCGCCGCCGAAGAGCAGGCGCGCCCGGCCGCGGATGATGCACAGGATTTCGTGGGTTGTGCTGTGGTAGTGCGAGGTTGTATACATTGTGTACCGCCATTGCGGGGCTATGGAGTTTGTGGGGAGGTGGGATTCAATGGCTGATGGGGAGGTGGTGGCGGGGAAGCAGGAGTGGTATATTAGGAGTGGGTGACCGTGAGGTGTGGTGTTGGGGAGGAGGGAGTGGGAGGGGATGTAATGTGCTGAGATGCGGAGAGAGGAGAGGGGGGTTAGGTTGAGTTTTGGTGGCATGTTGTTGAGTTTGGCTGTGTTCGAATGGGTGATGTGTGCCGTGATGGTTTGGTGGTCTGGTGGCGAGAGGTGTACCCTTGATGTTGTTTCTGTTCAGTAAAGTTGTCTTGGACCGGACTAAAGTGTTGATGGATCGAGAAGATGGATAGTTGATATGAAGCTGTGAAAATCATACTGATACTTGAAGCAGACATGCATGTCGTCCGTGACCCCGCAAGACGTCATAGGTCCGGGAATTTGATATTCTCTACCTTCTTCATTACTGCTGACGATCTGAGCTGAGCTGTAGTGCTTGAAGCAGTGCCTTCTGCTCTCTGTCCTGGGGTTTTCAAAGCTGCCTAAAACACCAGGTGGATGACTGGGTGGAGGCCGTGGTTGCTGAGTACAGGGATACCATGGTACCGAGTTATGGCGCAAGATGTGACCAGATCCCAATATTTGAAGACTCATCAATTCCGCTTTACAGCACAACAAGACTCAGACGTTGAATCACAATTTCAAAGGTTCGAAAGTCTGAAGATGAGCACCCTCGAGAGCGCCTGACCGAGACAACTCCGGCCCCACTTTTGTGGTGTGTAAGCGTTAGTGCAAGGCTGAAGTGAAGCCATAGCCAAGCTCGGTGTTGCCTGAACCATCGAAGTGATTCACAAAACCTCGCCACACCTTCTCACCACCGCGCCTTCACCACCGGTTTCCTTTCCCTTCCTCCTCCTCCGCACAGTGAGAGGGTGTTTGCGCGCTAGGACCACTGCAAAAGAGGCCCTTTCCGCCTTCTATAGTCGGCCGCCCGCAGTGCGACCTTCGCCTCCGCACCTCGCACCTACCGCACGACCTCCTCACCCACACAACCGCGACCCCGCCCGCTGGCAATAACGCGAAGCTCGCCTACGACCTAATAGCTCTCACACAACAAATACAACACCCCTTGCGCAAGAAGACGCCTCCGTATTGTGCCCCGCGCACGCGACGCTCACTATGGCTTCCACCATGCCGCCCGTTCCTGCAAAGGACGATGTTAACGCTACGTAAGTACCATTTCTATATTCGCTCTTTCCAGGTGTTGGTGAGGCGAGGAACTACCCCTAGGCGCCACCAGCGGATCCTCACAACTTCTACTCCCCCATCTACTTCTTAGAGTGTGCTGGAGACCTCCAGGCTTTACTATTCATACCAGAGATCGAACGGACTTCATCAGCATCGACAATGAGCCGCAGAGTTCCAGTGCTTTCGGGACGTGTTCGCAAGCTGCCGACCTTCGAACCACGGGAGAGTCTGGGGAAGCTCCTGCAATCGTTCGAGAGGCTGGAAGTGCATGTTGGATTGCAAGACTCACAACGAAGGATAATATGCTGACTGCCTCCACAGCTGGAAATATTTAGAGGCTGGTGTCGACAAAATCATGACCAACCTGCGTGGTGGTATGGATATGAAGACCTATATGGGCCTCTACACAGCCATCCATAACTTCTGTACCGCACAAAAGGCCGTTGCCGGCTCGTCTTTCGCAGCGAACAACAACCGTGGAGGTGCTCACCTACTTGGAGAAGACCTCTACCAGCACCTGATTGAATATCTCAAGGCACACTTGGCTGGAGTACAAGCTCAATCGAAGGAGCACGTCGACGAGGCGCTACTCACATTCTACATCAAGGAATGGAACCGATATACGACCGCCGGCCAGTACAACAACCACTTGTTCAGGTACCTGAACCGTCACTGGGTGAAGCGGGAGATGGACGAGGGCAAGAAGCACATCTACGATATATACACACTGCACTTGGTGCGATGGAAGGAGGACATGTTCACTGGCACACAAGAGAGCGTCATGCGCTCCGTTCTGAAGCTTGTCGAGAAGCAGCGGAACGGCGAGACCATCGAACAGTCCCACATCAAGTCAGTGGTCGACTCATTCGTGTCACTGGGTCTGGATGAGGCTGATAGCTCAAAGTCGACGCTGGACGTATACAAGGAGTACTTCGAGAAGCCCTTCTTGGAGGCGACCGCAACATACTACGACAACGAGTCAAAACAATTCTTGGCGGAGAACAGCGTTGTGGAGTACATGAAGAAGGCCGAGGCTCGTCTTGACGAAGAGAAGGAACGTGTGCCGCTTTACTTGCTCAATGAGATCATGTCTCCGTTGATGCGAACCTGTGAGCAGTCCCTGATCACAAACCACTCACAAGCTCTGCGCGAAGAATTCCAGATCCTTCTCGACCACGATAAGCAAGAAGATCTTGGCCGCATGTACAAGCTTCTTGCTCGCATCCCTGAAGGCCTCGACCCGCTGCGCAACCGTTTCGAGACCCACGTGCGCAAGGCCGGTCTGCAGGCTGTCGAGAAGCTCGCGCAAGAGGGTGAGAGCCTGGAGCCTAAGGTGTACGTCGAGGCCTTGCTTGAGGTTCACACCCAGTACCAGGATCTTGTCAACAAGGCCTTCAACGGCGAGTCTGAGTTTGTACGATCTTTGGACAACGCATGTAGGGAGTTCGTCAATCGCAACAAGATCTGCAAATCCGGCTCCAACAAGTCACCTGAACTTCTGGCCAAGTACACCGATACTCTGCTGAAGCGTTCAGGCGCAAAGATGAGCGAGGAGGACGATATGGAGAAGTTGCTTACACAGATTATGACTGTGTTCAAGTACATCGAGGACAAGGATGTCTTCCAGAAGTTCTACTCGCGTATGTTGGCGAAGCGTCTCGTTCAGACTACATCTGCATCCGACGACGCCGAGACTAGCATGATCAGCAAGCTCAAGGAGGCATGCGGTTTCGAATACACCAACAAGCTCCAGCGCATGTTCCAGGATATGCAGATCTCGAAGGATCTGAACGGAGCCTTCAAGGAGTGGCAATCCAACAATTTGGACGAGGCCGATGTCAAGGCTAGCGTCGACGCCAGCTACCACATCCTTGGTACTGGTTTCTGGCCGCTCCAGCCACCCACCACGCCCTTCACGGCCCCACAACTGATCGTTCAGACCTACGAGCGATTCGCTCGCTTTTACAACCACAAACATCAGGGTCGTAAGCTCACATGGCTCTGGCAGTTGTGCAAGGGTGAAGTCAAGGCCAATTACTGCAAGGTCGCCGGCTCCAAGGCCTCTCCCACCTTCCAAGTCTCTACATATCAGATGGCTATCATGCTCTTGTTCAATGACAGTGATACTGTCAGCTACGACGACATCGCCGAGGCTACCAAGCTCAACAAGGAGACTCTCGACCCTAGCCTTGGTGTCTTCATCAAGGCTAAGGTCTTGCTCGCTCAACCGGAGGGTGCCAAGCCTGAGTCAGGTACAACGTACAAGCTCAACACCGGGTTCAAGACCAAGAAGGTCAAGATGAACTTGAACATCGGTATCAAGTCTGAGCAGAAGGCGGAGGCAGAAGATACGCACAAGACCATCGAGGAGGATCGAAAGCTCCTCATGCAGGTACGTACATATCATACATGCCCCACATTATTTGAATATCTACTAATCCAACGTAGTCGGCCATCGTGCGTATCATGAAGTCCCGCAAGAAGATGAAGCACCAGCAGCTGGTCTCGGAGACGATCCAGCAGATCAAGAACCGCTTCATGCCCCGCGTTCCAGATATCAAGAAGTGCATAGACATCCTCCTCGAGAAGGAGTACCTCGAGCGCCTGGAAGACGACGAGCTCGGCTACCTTGCGTAAGCAGGCTGTGCGGCTTGTTGTTCTTCTGCTGGCTTGCCAGCATCGAGTGCGTTATGCGTTTTGCTAATGAGTAATGGATTTCTCTCTTCTCTCACGGTCGGCGGTCTATCGTCATCGTCCTTTGGCTGCATATACGGCGTTTCAGGAGCGATAGTGACTACGTGTGGGTATGTGTGGGTATGTGTGATGGGAAGGGTATTTGAGCACGATTGGCGCTTTCCCCTCCTCGACCTAGCGATAGACGCCAGGGAATGGACCTAAAAGGTGTCGACAGATAGTCAGTATACGGAAGAATGATCACGTATTCTTTCCAAGTCGGTCGGTATTCTTGCCTCTTATCTGTGCTAACTGAACGTATCGCGTTGAATCGCGTTAAGGGTAACCTTGTGCAGGGCTCCGCATGCATGTTGCAGATCACCAACATCACTCCTTTCTCGTACCAGCCTAGATTTTAACACAGACCTCGCTCTATAACGACACTTCGCTCGTCTTCGTCTTCACGAAGCTTACTCGAACGACCGAGGATATCCCCGCATCGACCCCTCACTATAGCCGATACATCCTACAATATGAAATATAAAGTCAACACAGCTGTAGTCGGTTTGTACTAGCATCGCATTCTACTTGATAGCTCATACGAACACCGATTCTCATCTTGACCTCCAAGCGAGCATCAAGGCACCACCGTTCGACCATGCCAGGCCGCCTCGCCAACAAAATCGCCATCATAACTGGCTCCTCCTCCGGCATAGGCCGCGCCATAGCTCTCCTCTTCGCCTCCCACGGCGCAACAATAATCTGCTCGGACCTGCGCGAAGAAGCGCGCATCCCCGGTCCCTCAGAAGCCGCCGACTCCTCGCAACCTAGCACCGTATCTGCCATCACATCTGCCGGCGGCAACGCCATCTTTGTCAAATGCGATACTACGAAGAGTGAGGAAGTTGGAGCGTTGGTGAAGACGGCGGTGGACAAGTACGGGAGGCTGGATATCATGGTGAATAATGCGGGAATCGCGGTGGAGACGGGGACTAGTCATGGGCCGAGACCGGTGTGGGAGTACGAGGAATCCGCGTTCGACCAAACCATCTCAGTAAACGTGCGAGGCGTCTTCCTCGGCACAAAATACGCCTCCCTCGCTATGAAAGACCAGTCTCCCCACCCCAACGGCGACCGCGGCTGGATCGTCAACCTCGCTTCTGTCTTCGGACTGGGTGGTGGAAGACACTCCAGTGGGTATATCACGAGCAAACATGCCGTTATGGGCCTTACGAAGGCGGCCGCGTGGGACTGTGCAACTCATAGGATCCATGTCAATGCGCTGTGTCCGGGGTACACGCAGACTGCTTTTACGGCGCCGATTTGGGAGGATAAAGAAACGACGGCGAAGATTGAAGGTATGCATCCGTTTAGAGGGCTGGGGACGCCGGCGGATATTGCAAGGGCGGCGGTGTTTCTTGCGAGTGAGGAGGCGAGTTGGATTACGGGAATTGGGCTACCGGTTGATGGGGGGTACAGTAGTATGTAAACGCGAACTCGAGTTTTGTGATTGTCACGAAACAGTGGCTGTGGGAGATGTATTCGAAGGAGGAACGCTATGCTTGCATTGGTGTGTATGCTATGCCCCTAGAAATGCTGAATATGCAAAGAAGCGAGTTTATAGTCTCGCGTTTTCAAAGCTTGTCCTTGTGCTATCCTTCCTTGTGTCCTCCAGCTTCTCGTTGCCCGCAGTCTTGCGAAGGGCAGGCGGTGCAGTCTCAAGCCCAAGATCAACCACCATCTTCTCCCAACCGATCGCGCATCGCGAGGCCAGCTCTTGGACAACGCCATGATCCTTCCTCTCCATAGCACGGTTGAACAGCTCGAAGCTGACCCAGCCACCATAGCCGATCTGGTTGATGATCGCATTCGCAACGTCCTTGACTGGCAAATATGCGCCATACTCTGTCTCGCCGTAGAACAACCTGCAGTTCCTGCTCCAACTCATGCGACTCGCTTGCTCAGCATTGTAAAAAGAGTGACCAGGCTTCAGAGGCTGATCAAGCCTCTCAGCATCAACGATCTGGATGAAGAAGATCTTCTCGCGATGCGGCTTGATCTGCTCAACAAGTCTTTGCATCGACTCAGCAACGACTTGCTCTGCATTTTCAGTGCATCCAGTCTCTGATGTGGGGTCGGCGTATATCCTGCCGAGGATGTTGAAGCTGTCGAGGCAGATGCCGAAGTTTGGTCGGTTAACGAGCTGGACAATCTCCCAGCAGCGCTCCCACTTGTCGCAGTATGTGCCCCAGCATAAGCTTTCATAGGCGAAGCGGACGATTGGTGTTTGTTGCAGGCCCATGTCTGCTATTTGCTGCAAATCGGAGACGATCAGGTTGAGGTCGGATGAGATCTTGGATTTGGGAAGGAATGATGAGGGCACTTGGACGATGTCAGTACCGAGGACGTGGGCCAACTTCATCCAGAGCTTCATCTCTTCTATCCTCTCGTCGTGCTTTTGTCGGTCTAAGAGGCCCTCGTAGTGCATGAATGGTTGCAAGCAGATAATCTCAAGTCCTAGTGATTCGCATAGGTCCCGTACATAGGCGGCTGCTGTGAGGAGGTCTGACAAGGATTTTGAGGGTGCAAGATCGCAGAGGTCTTCATAGAATAGCTCGATGCCTTGGAGGCCATGTTTCGCGGCCATAGCCATCTTGTGCTCGAAGCTGTGGCCGGCGTAGCACCGGCCTAGCGACATGGAGGAGATACCCGGTCGACAAACCATGGTGATGATCTGATTTGAGAGCGTAACGAGTGTCAAACAAAGATCGTAATTCGGAAGCTGTTTCCGAGTACAATATGAAGGCGGAGTTTAAGCCGTGGAGTATTGATCGTAAAGCTGTATGTACTTCAATGCAAGAGTATGTTTACGCTTTTGAGGTCGACAGGAGGCTTGATTAGGCCAACTTAGCGGCTCTAGAGTTTACGCGGAAGCCTTTTGATGAAACGTCTCTAAGATCATCCTGGGTTGCTTGTTGATAAGATCTCTCGAGTTAGCCATTGGTAGCCGCGCTGGGCCATGACGATGATTCGCCACCTGGATGTGACTTTAAGCGTGACGTCGCGGCTGCAGTCAACCGGGCTAGACCTCTGGATAATCTTCGGTACCATGAAAATGACGCGCTGTACTTCGTAAATGGTTTGTCGCGCAATACTATCGGTACTGAATCTTGAGCGTTGCTGAGCGTTGCTGAGCGTTGCTGAGCGTTGTTGAGCGTTCGAAGTCGGTTTCGTTAATTTGGAAGATGCTGAGCTCCATGCGAGGGGAATGGGGAGCTGCTCTAGACATGCTGTGTGCATTACGCGCCTGGGCGTGAGTAATCTAAGTTTCGTACACGTCGCCATACTTCTCGGACAGTCCTCTCTTGGCTCTGGCGTCCAGTCTCTGTGGGTGAAGGTCCGGCTGGTCTGTGGATCACTCTGTCAGCCTTTTCAGAGTAAACGTTTTGTGACATAACTTACCGAATGGCGAGGTACAGCCGGCTCCCCAGCTTAACATCTGGTATTGGGCATGTAGCTTCGTCTGCAGGTGGGTTTGCGGTTGTCATCAGGCCTCCTGCTTCGAGCAGGATTGCAACACCTGCCGCGACGTCCCTAATAATGATCAGTAAATGATACTGCGAGCTTGGCAGGCTACTCACCACTCCCAGCATCCACCTTCCCACCAGATATCAAAAGATCCCATCGCAACGTAAGCTAGGTCTAATGTCGCACTTCCCAGGCTCCTAACACCGTGTACCATTCCACCTCTGCCTGACCTTCCACCAAGCTCAGCTGCCATGTTGACGAAACTCTCAATCTTGCGGTGCATGTTGCCATCCGGAATGTCTCTCCTATCCTTGCCCCACTCGCACGAGAACACACAGCCTGCTGGCGCCTTTTCCGGCATAGGTGCAATGGGGTTGCGAATAAGCGGCAGTTGCTGCGTTCCGTTCAAGAAGGCTCCGCGACCAGCGCACGAAGAGAAGAATTGGTTGATAAACGGAGCGTAGATAATACCGATGAGGGGCTTGCTTCTGTGGATGAAAGCGATCGAGACGCAGAACATCGGGAACAGGTGGATGTAGTTGACAGTACCATCCAACGGGTCAACGCACCACGTAGGGCTTTCATCAATGAGGTAGTCGCGACTCGCACCCTTCGAATATGATTCTTCGCCCACGAATCTATAACAGGTCAGAAAGGGAACCTTATCGAGAGTGATCAGACTCACTTGTGTGAAGGGTACTTCTGTGTGATCTGGGTCTTGATGAAAGCTTCCACATCCTCATCCGTTTCGGTGACCAGATCGACTGCATTCATCTTTTGCACATGCTCATCCTGCGCTTTCGTCCCGCCGCCTCCGTCCATTCTCAATTGTGCGGCATCCCTCAACATCTGACCCGCCCGCTTCCCAAGCTCAACGGCGAACGCATAGATCTCATCGAGCTCTTCTCTAGAGAACTCAGACATTACGAAAGTGCGAAGGAGTGTGAAGATGGATGACAGGTGCTCATTGATGATTCCATATCGATGGAATATGCTGATGACTCGGTTGCAGATGCCGTTTCAATCCGCTACTTAGCGGCGGAGATATGATAAGGAGATAAGGAGGCTGCGACTTTCCAATCGCCAAAACCACTACACCAACCTTTCTTTCGTCCACTCATAAGCCTTTCACCATCTGTTTCGTCTCTTCATCAACCAATGGCTTCGGCTACTGGAGGAAAGACGCGTTTGCTGAGTTCATCCGCTTCGACATTTCGATTTTCCCCAATGTGGAGCCAGGCCAAGGGACCCTTCAAGTGTGTGGGAAAGAGTTCTTCCGATGCTTTAGATTCTTCCGACTCATCACGATCGACCTCTGAACCGCAATACTTACTCGCGCACTGGTCTGACCACCCAGTTGACAGATATCAATAAGACTCAAGATACCCATATCAACATTTCAGCCAAAACCCCACAGACAGAACACCATGGCCAAATCGATCCTTCTCATCAACGGCCCCAACCTGAACCTTCTGGGTACACGCGAGCCTGCTACATACGGCTCTACTACGCTCCCTCAGGTTGTCGAGGCCGCACAAAAACAGTGTACCGAGAAGTCGATCACATTCGCACACCTGCAGTCCAACCATGAGGGTGTAATCCTGGATTGCATTCACGAAGCGCGTGGGAACGTCGATGCCATCATCATCAACCCTGGGGCTTTCACACATACCAGCGTCGCGATAAGAGATGCTCTGCTAGGTGTGGATATTCCGTTTGTCGAAGTCCACATCAGCAACGTACACGCACGGGAAACATTCCGCCACCACAGTTACTTGAGCGACAAGGCCGTTGCTGTCATCTGCGGGCTAGGGATCTACGGGTACGAGGCTGCGATTGAGTATGCATCGAGGCATATCAAGCCGAAAGAGAATGCTTAGACCAGTTTCAATGAAAATCTAATGGAAGCCGGCTACCTTGATGTATCTACTCTTGACGTGTTACAGTTCTCCCAAACCGTCATCCACACATTACAAACGAAAGCTCCACAGTAGCCGATGGCTCACCTAGGAGACTTGTCATTGCGAGTCACGTGGTCGACGGATACGCGCGTGGTCCGCATGATGTCTGTCTTGGAGAACTTTTTGCCAGTATCTTCTTCTTCGAGGTATTCTAATATTGCCTTATCACTCTCGTTGTCCCCCGCATGTCTAGCATTTCGCCTTGTCATTGCTTCGATGGTGCTCCTTCTGGTGACCTGACGGCGACAGGTTGGTAAGTTGTAGCTTTGGTTGCCACTGTGCGACTGTTTTCCCGAAAAGATTTTGTCGGTGACAGAGTCGGAAGTATGTGCTTGAACATGCCGTCGAACGACTTGCGAAAGGGGTGTAAGGTTTGCAACGGCGATGCTGACTGAGATCTTGGTGATGCTCCAGATTGATAGCGATATGGACTCGTGGTACGCTTCTGCTTGGCCTTGGAGTTTCTGAAAGTACACCAGCTTGATCGACGGGATTGCAGTGCAGGTACTTTGAGTTCAGCATGAACTCAAGTCAAGATAAGATGATTGACTTACACCAAGGACATAAGAAACACAGCTCGAACACCCCATTGGGTCTGTCTGATCAATTAAACGGACTGGAGGTGTGCGATGGGCGCCGTGGCGTATATCATACCCGTTACGATAGTCGAAATAGCTTGCGTATACGCAATGCTATTTTGTACAGTCTGTGACCAACGCTGCTTGTCTTTGATCCTCGTGTCCCATCTCGATGTAAGAGGCCGACAGAGCCCAAAGTGCTGAATGACTGGTAAGATAAATTTGAAGACAGTCACGTACGCAAAAGTCTCCCATATAACCCATCTGTTTCGCTTCGAGAAGTTCAGAGCGAGAAGGTAAGCACGGATGGATAATTTGACCACCCATATACCGTAGACATTGAGGAGCTGACTGGTAAAGGTAAGATGGTTTTGGTAGATCATCTTGTCCAGAGTCCAGAAGGTGTCGTGAAGAGGGCGACCGGCTCCTGCAAAGCCACATGCGATTGCGGCTGAATGCTTCAGGTAATTAGGATCTGACATGAGACTCTCAGATTTCAGGCTTCGGTTTAGGGTTTTCTATCCTGCCAGCCCAGTTGCGCTGTGTCTCGAGCACGCAGTGTCGACTCCCAGGACTCTTGTCGATTCGCCACAGTCTGTCCCAACTCATTACAGAGGAGCTTTATTGGCGGACGATGTCCATCTCTCTGGTAAGACACAAGACTGCGAGCTTTGCTTAGGCTCTGTTCCGTTACTGGATTGAGAGCATGTGCCGACCAACTAGTCCAGTCAACCAAGAGACACGATGGGTTCGACATAAGTGTATGCTCACGGCATGGTTCGACTCGCGATTTGATAAACCGATCCACCGTGTCGCAATCAGCGGCACGCCAGGAGTCTGATGTCTTGATCTTTGATAATTACCACCTTCGACTCCGCAAAGCGACCGACAGCTACTGAGAGTGATCAGACTCGCCAGAGCTGATCTTTCCTTTTATCGTAAGACGTGCTTCCAGCCTCGTGTGCGACAGAGGGCTATAAGGCACCTTACTCATACTGCCTCACTGTATGCTGTGAGAAGTTGTTCTGATACATCGGAGAATGTCCGACTACACAGTCATCTTGTAAGTCGATCGTCTCGGATCTTTGCCTGCGAGCAAAATCCTACAATCCTTCAGGAATCGCCAAGACAGGCACCATGGAGTTTTCCCTTGCTCTTTTGTCTCCTAGTAACCGCGCCGCACGGCACACGTTCCCGCCTTGCTATTGTTCCGGACCGTTAGTATAGCCTCCGCAAAGTGGAGCATACGCGATCCGACAACAAGGAATGTGGTCTTGCAGGCGCGCTATTAGAGAGTAAGCTGAACAGCTTGCTCGGAAAGGATGGCCATAAAGGTCCGTCTGAATGATTCTTATTGTTTACCATTTCCCCCAAAAGCAAGCTCGATGGCGGTGAATTCATGGCGAAGACCGCAACCGTGTTGGATGCCAGCAAGATTATCGAGGGGAGAGATGGGTGCGGGCCGCAGTGGGTATGATTAACCGTTAACCCTCTTGGCAAGCCCCACCCGCAAATGAGCCTTCCGCCTCGCCACTCGCGCCAAATATCCCGAATCCAACATCATGAAGGTTGTAAGTTCACATATGCATGCTCGGCGACTCGAAGAGATACTCCGATGATAGATTTGGCCAGCGACACATGGCGTACCTTAATGAGCTGTTGGACTCGATCTCCCATGAGAGCAATATGGATTTTCGCGAACATATTGCGAACATGAGCTTTACAATCCTCTGGTCCCAATGATGAAGGTCGGTATACTTTGGAGCTTCAGGTATGAAGTTCCAACATAGTTCAGCCCAACGCTCGACACGTAGTGCTGGATTCTCTTTCCAGAATGGAAGGAAGCCCAAGATGTGGCTGGGTGAGTGAGCGGCACTAATGTGCCGTTCGTACAAGAACACTTGACGTGCCGGTGTAATCATGTGCTTAGCCAGCGATCGCAAGAACCTTATACAAATGTATACAGCAATGTGGGCCCGCGTAACGGGGAGAGGTTTACATGGTCCCTTTTTTGTGATAGTACCTACATGTCGTTCCAGAGTACTCAAATATTTCTTTGTGGGAATGTCCCAGGAGACCAGTTTCGTTGTGGGGAAGATAGTTCCGTGCAGAAAGTCGGAAGGTGGGCTCAAATTGGTATTCTAGTCCGTAAGTGCTTGGTGAGCAAGCTCTTGGAAATTGTGTTTGTTGGACATCTGCTGGAGAAGGTAAGCGATGCAGTCGTGGTGCGTGAAAGGTGTTTGACCCCAGTCCTGAGCCGAGTTGACAACCTTGCGGTCGGTTGGGGGTTCTTAGATCAAGGAGTCCAGAAGCAACTTGCTCTTTGCGAACAGTCGGATTGACTCGAGACGGATCTTCTCAGTGATGCAGAACCAACACTGATTAGAAGCCATGCCCGAATGTCGTTTCGTTCATCAATAGCTCGGTCGAAACGGACGGCTGGTTGACTGGCTGACTTGTCTTGGAGAAGCGTCAAGGTCAATTTGATGTGGTTAACTCGTAATTCAGCGTTCTTTGCTTCAAGGGTGATCTTTTACATGCGTACAATAAAGATAGATCGATCGGCTTTTCCTCGCGGTTCGCAGCCTGTCGGTCTTGGGGTCCCATTGCATACAGCCTTCTTCCGTGAAGAAGTAATAGTCGTAAACTTTGTTGCGCAGCTCTCAGGGCAGGTTGAAGAGCGACATGGTCTTGAAAACAGCGATATCTGTACTTTTGTTAATCTCATGGAAGTCCACCTCATTACATAGGATTGTACGTCAAGGCAGCAATTTCAAGCGTACAGTACCACAATGTCAAGTCAGTAATATTCCATCTACGAAACTACCACCATCAGAACAACCAAGGTTCACGGCAGAGACTGAACCAGCGAAGCAACGTGCCCCGTTCAGCGCCTTGCTAAAGTGCCTGGGGTATCGTCATGACAATGCATCATATCTGGATTCCCAGCACCTGAATTGATCACCTAGCTCCCGAGGCTCCTGCCTCGATTGCCCCTCGACACTGCAGTCTAACGCTGCACCATGCTAGCTGTCTTTTGTAGGCATCCAATTCACACGTGATCTTCCTACGTCAATTATCAACTAGCCCCAACTAGCTGAACATCGTACCGTGTCCGTGCTCGCAATGCGCATGCGCCGCAACGCACACCATCGGCACCTACACCACCTATAGAAAAATGAGGCTCTACAGCCACACACAAAAGCTATCTTGACTGAAATTTTTGGTGGATTGATCTATGGACCTATGCGACAAATCCTGCTACCAATATTTGCGTGGCTGAAGTATCTTGCGGCCACGGCTGTTGAGTGTTGGTACAGGAGCCGAGGGCTGCTCGTGCACAACACCACCATTCTGCACAGCCGCAGAACCACGATTCTGCTTCTTTCTTGGTGCTGCTTTCTGTGACGCCTTACGCTTGCCGTTTTGAGTAGTGTGTGATGCTTTTTCACGGTCTTTCTGCTCCTTAAGACGCGCTCTCTCTGCCTTGCGTGCATCGATTTTCTTGCGCTCCTGGATGCGTGCTTTCTCCCGCTCATCCTTTTCTCTTGCACGCCGCACACGAGCCTGCTCATCGCGCTTATCCTTGAGTAGCTTCTCAGTCTTCTTGAGCTCACGTTCAGTAGCTTTTGCTGCCTCTTGTTCAGCAGCGTAGGCCTCATATGCCGCGTCACGTGCATCAGCCTCTGCCTTCGATGTAGGAGACCACCATCTGGCTCCACCATGCCACTCAAGAGTGTGAGCGTACAGCGGCAGAACCTTCTGCTTGCCCTTCATCTTCCCTTTCTCTGATAGCGCTTCTTTGGCGCCTTGCAATTGGTGTTCAAGCAGCTGATTCTGCACTGAAAGGTGGTGGATGTACTGCATCAGCTCACGGCCAGCTGCCTCGTCATTCTCCACCATTGCTGCTCGAAGTAGCGTCTTAGCTTTAAGCCACGGTGGCTCACCAACTACTGCAGCTGGAGCAGTTTGATGAGGAGGTGTTGCAGCTCTCTCAGATGTTGTTGTTGCAAACTTGTCAAGTATAACGTTGGCGTTAGGTGGGAAGATTCCCGTGGCGGAGAAGGCCTTTTTTACCAGCTCTTCAGTGAATGTACACGTCCAGGCCTTCCAAAAAAGGGGGAAAAAGTCACCTTTTGTGACCGGCAGCCATCCCTGGGTCTTCTGAGTGCGAATATCAAGCTCATTAGTGTAGTTACTTGCAAGAGGCTTGAAGCAGACTACGTCTAATGGTTGTAACGTATGGGTGGCGTGTGGGGGAAATATAAGCAAAAGGATCTTGTGTTTGTCACAATAGTCGATAAAATCCTTTGTTACATGGCTGCCGTGGCCATCAATTATCAACAGCCGCCACTTTCTCCGCGCTTTGTCCTTAGTGTAGCGGTCAAACACCTGTTCAAGCCAGGTCAAACCAAGATCGTTGTTTGTCCAGCCATTAGGGGAGGTGGTGAAGTGCACGTTATGCTCTTTCTTGTCAATTGAAGCGACCCAGGACGCTTGAACAGCTCGCCCAGCAGCTGCGTAGATGATGCCTGGCGGAAGGACACTACCATCACCGCAGATGGCTGCCAGAAGCGTCACCCACTCTCTGTTGCCATCGTGCAAACTCTGCTTGAAGTGCTTCTTGCCATACAACACTTTATCAAAGATCCTTTTGCTCCTGCCAGTGACACCGATAGCGAAGCCCTTCTCATCCATATTGTACATGTGAGCAGGTTCCAGATCATATTGAGCCATCTTTTGGTGCAGTAGCTCAAAGTATAAGCTGTACTTGTCACCACAATCAGCCTTGTGACGATCCTTGTCCATTGGCGTGGTCCACGCGGTGATGAGCGTGTTGGAGTTGCGGTTGATGAAGTCGGTAACCCAGGAATCTGATGGCTCTCTTCCAATGATTGGAGCTGCAAAATTCTTCAGCATTTGCCTTGTAGGCATAAGGTGTTGCTCTGTGAGTCTTCTGATATACTGCACTAGCTCTGCTTCGTCGTGTGGGTGCATTAATCGCTGCTTGAGTGCCTGGTCCTCTTTCGATGCGCATTCCCCGTTCAGTTGTCGTGTCAAAGTTGATCGCGTTACACCATGTTTTTCGGCTAACTTTGTATACTGAAAATCATCGCAGTGACGAGTAGCACGTCCCTCAGCAACGGCTTCCTTCACAGACATCGTTGCGTTGAGAAATAGTGGGTGGAAAAAGTACTGTTATTGTGCCGAGGCGCGCGTTGCGGCGCATGCGCATTGCGAGCACGGACACGGTACATGATACGCTGTTTTGGCAGTAGCAGTAAAGTCACTTTGATGGAAAGACCCTAACACATCTCTGTTTCTCACGGCTCAACTGTATCGAGCCGCTGGTGTGTACGAAAGATAAAAGGTGGTGTTTCCTCATAAACGATGTTGGGTTGGCTTAGATGCCTCCATTTCTGGAGGGTTTTGCGTCCAAAAGTCGACGCCTCCAAGCCAGCAAAATCTTGGCACCGGAGGTTCTTAGATCCGTCACCATTCCATGTTCGTTACGTAATCACTGTTATGTATAAAAAGGCTTTCTCCGTCTTGGTTTTATTTCGCCCGAAAACATTTCAACTCTCGCCGCCCCTTATCTACCTGTACTCTCTTGCGCAGGGTACAGCCACGCCTCTACTACCCTGTTTTACTATTCCTACTTGTTAGCACCAAGATAAGAGTACCTATATGATGCTCCTGGTCTGCATTTCACTGATGGCAACTTCGACTACCGTCAATATTTTCCCTCCATGAAGCAGGCTTCCTACTTCGTTGCACCTGTCCAGTACTTGGAGCCTATCATTTGCACGGCCTTTCGACGACTTCAGGAACAGCACTCT